AATGTAAAATTTAAAAGTGACAAACACAACCTCCCTATCCACTCTTTGGGAGCCCTAGTAAATTAGTAATATGTACATGCAGCAGTGGTAGTGTACAGCTTATTATCACACTACGCTTTGTATTCTAAAGCCTGTTGTTTGTAATAACACTGTTCACTCAACGTATGTTTTGTGTGTGGGCAGTCAACGATAATCATTGTTTTATCCCGGTTATATGACCTCGGCAATTATAACAGAACCGTACTAAACGAAAAAAACGCAAATAAGAGAAAGCTTTCACACACATACAAAAAATGAACTAGTCTAATCCGCCAGTATAAACTCAGTGCTATACGTAGCCGGGTCAGGCGCACACTTTAATAGCTTTCTTATAAACTCTATCACTTTTCAGCAACAGATTGATAACATTGCTTCCTATACACTGCAACCCACCTAGTTACACAGACGTATCGTCAGTGTATCATGGCTGAACTACTTCCGGGATTTGAATTCGGTAAGATATTTTTATTTCTCGATTTACATCTACTTATAAATCATGATGTGGATTATAATTTGGCTCGAAGTTATGGGAGATAGTTTAGTTTGAGAATGTGTTGATGGTTTTAGGTTTGGTATGTTAACGAAGACGCATTTCACATATTTAGTCCCTCGCTTTTCTTACACTGACGATCGGCATTAATATTGCCAATATTGCACTGATATTGGTAGTTCGTCAGTGTAACAAAAGCGAGGGACTAAATACGTGAATTGTGTCTTCGTTAATATATAAAACCTTAAACCATCGACACCCTCTCAAACTAGACTATCTCCCATAACTTCGAGCCAAATTATGATCCACAACGTGACTTATAAGTAGGTGTAAATCGGGAAATAAAAAAATCTTACCGAAACCTAGTCACGGAAATAGTTCCACCATGATACACTGACGATACGTCTGGGTAACTAGGTGGGTAGCAGTGCTATAATCACCAATTAATTGTTGTACCTTGTACTTCTCATCAGTTTGATTTTCACACTCTGGACACTGGAAACTGGTATTGGATATCAATTTATTGGTGGCAATTTAAGCTGCCCTAGGACCCATAAATGCCACCTGCAGAAACATGAGTATTATGAATTATCAACCTCAGTGGGCTCATAAGTTAAAGTTTGTCTCTGCTATATATAAATTAACAATTATTTTGACAAGCGAAACATCATTTGTTTGAGTTTTATATTTTCTAGGGTAAACTCTAATTATATAATTGATAGCAAGTTACACTACAATTATTAGAATTGGAATAATATTAATTAATATTTTGCAAAGCAAAAGAAAACAAAAATCACAAAAAACAATTTATTTGCGGTTTTGTGCTCTAACATAAGAATGACTCTAAAACAAATAGTTTTGGAGTTTGATTTTGTTTTAAGTAGTAACAGTGCCAAAGGAATTACAAATGGCATAGTGTCTTGTGACCTCTTTGCTTACAAAACCTACCTTTCAAATAAACCCTACCTTTTTAGCAATTAACAATAAATTCAATTTTGATTGTTAAATTTGCTTCCTGTGACATAATGGAACATCAATCATGTCAATACATTGTAATTTGTATTGCAGTGAAAAGTGGCAGGGTTGATAAGTTGAGTAGAATTGTCAGAAATTACTTTATTCATGTTAATAGGTTAACTTATTATATCATTAGTACTTGTGCTTTGTATTGTTCATCTACCAAAGGGTGGCAGGGTTGTTTTAGACATTATTAGGTCTATCAGTGGCAATTTAAGCTGCCCAAGGACCCATAAATTGCCACTTTCAGAAAGTGTCAATGTAGGCTTTAAGGCCTACACTGCAAATCAATGCAGACAGATGTAAAAATTTGCAATGTCATGCAATGAATTGTGTTTTTCATATATGAGCTTACTATTCTTTTGATGAGTTGAACATTATTTGTTAGAGTTTTATATTTTCTAGGGTAAAATAGAATTATCCACTTGATTAAAACTCAAGTCACAATTATCATGAATTGTTAAGTATTGATTAATATTTTGTAAGGCAGGAGAAAGTTGAAATCCCCCAAAACTATTTATTCATAGCGGTTTTGTGGTACATGAGAATGATTCTAGAATAAAAATATTGGAGTTTGGTGTGGCTTTTAGTTGAGGTGATGAGTGCAACAAGAATTACAAATAGCACAATGTCTTATAACCTCATTTGGTTATCTTAATAGCTTTCTAATTAATTGTATCACTTTTTTAGCAATAGATTGATAACGTTGCTTCCTTTAATCACCAATTAATTGTTGTGCCTTGTCATTCTCATCAGTTTGATTTTCACACACTGGACACTGGTAATTGGTGTCAGTGAACCTTTTTTAAACCCAATAAATAAATTTTATACCCTATATATATGGCTATAATTTTGATTATTATTTGGGAGATTTTAAACATTTCTCCTCAATTTTTTAACTTTTAAATCCTTAAATTGACTTCCACTCCATGCAGACAGATCACCTAAAATTACATTTGTATGATGCGAGACTCAATATTCACCAGGAAAGAAGAAACATTTTGTCACCCATGATGCAATTTTAATTTTTACTGCCTAATAAATGATTAATGACATTCATATTAAAGCAGATATGAAATGGTATTTTTAACCTAAAGGAATCAATATAATTTTTTGAAAGATGTATTTGGACATGTTTTCTAATCAGTAGTGTGAAAACTATTTCACTCTAACGATCGTTATAGCTGCTTAATAAGCAATATTCGAATTGGTTGTGACGTTATTGGCCCCCACGTGATCTCTCACTGGCCCCCACGTGGACCGTTTTGGTCCATTAGATCATGACGTCATAATGCCAAAATGTTTTGTTATTTGTTTACACAACAATCCTATGGTTGCCGTGACGTTGTGATTACTATGGAACCAATAAACCAAAGCTATAATTTGTATATGACGTTACTAATCACGTGGGGGCCAATTTGATTTATCAGTTAGTTTTATTTCGTTATCTATGACAGTTAGCAGTTATCTAACATTTATTTTATAATGGCTATCGCAAGAACTCTACAGTGGGCTTACAATAGAGAAAACCGCATTTTTGTAGCTGCAAGTTGAGAAAAGCTATTTCAGTTGTCCTTTAAGTTCTATAAATATGGGTGCAACCTGGTGCAAATATCCAAATATTCCTTTATCCAAGTTGCAAACATCCTTTATGGGTGCAACCTGGTGCAAATATCCTTAAAAGCCCTTAAATTCCTTTATCCAAGTTGCAACTGAGTGCAACCATCCTTTATGGGTGCAACCTGGTGTAGATATCCAAATGTTCCTTTATCCTAGGTGCAACCAGGTGCAAACGTCCTTTATGGGTGCAAATATCCAAATGATCCTCTGTGAAAGGTCAAACAGAATTATCATTATCTTAATTGGTAGCAATTTAAGCTGCCCTTGGACCCATAAGTTGCCACTACAGAAACTCAAGTTGTAAGCATTATAAAAGCTTACAGTCGTAACAGTTGTTCAATGGATAGGTTTCTCTCATTTATATATGAGCTATTAATTTGTTTGAGGAGTCATACATCATTTGTTAGATTTGTACATTTTCTAGGGTAAAATCCATTGTATACTTTTTAGAAAGTTAAACCTCAAATATCAGAACTTGAATAGTATTGATTTATATTTTGCTAGGCAATAAAAAGCTAAAATCTCAAAGAAAACAATTTTTATATTAACATTGTACTCACATGAGAGTGAATCTTAACTCACTGGTCACTCATGGGAGTTCACATTGGCTTTTAGTAAACACACTGGGGTAAAATATCACAGGGTTTGAATATTCCATTAGAAAAGTAAAGCATCGGGAATTGTACATTATGATTCTAGTTTCGGAGTTGATTAAATAATCCTGTCGTGAACAGGGGCCAATTTGACAATTTTACAGGTCATCTGTGTAGTAATAGAAATACTGTCATCTAAGAAATTTTCAGAAAATTTACAGTACACTGCCATCCTTATCCCCCCTGCTGTCTGTTTGTATACCCAGCTTATTTAGAAGGTGTGTTTGCTATTGGGGGAGTACACAAGGGTTTGATGTAAGACTGCTTGCATTGTACAAGTACATTTATTTACCTTGTACCTTGTAAATTGTATTTGAATTACAATTCATTTTAATTGCAAAATACAACATGATATTTTAATTATTGAACAAAGCTGTAATCCTGCTTAAGAATACAATGTAATATATAAAATGGGAAAAGAAACCATTTTTGCAAGTCATTTATACAATTTTGTGACAACTCTCATACCTTGTTCGGTTTGATCCTAGTGGCAAACAAATTTAAAGACTTTGCCAATCTGCATTCTAATATGACATTTTGCAAGTCATGGTTGTTTATATTAATATTACCAAGTTCTTTCCACAATCCCAATATTGAATTAATCAACTGTTATTCAAGGCAGAAACTGCAAGTCATGCAATGCATGTAAAAATAGTCAATACATTCTGACTATCAAATACAATTTTAGGCTGATAAGGCCGTATTAACAATCTCAGCTTTCTTGGCTTTGTATATGGAAGTTAGAATGTGTAATGTATGTTAGCTACCTGTAAAGAATTGTGTATATGACAGTTTGATTAAATATTAAGGCAGTAACCCACTTTCTCAAAAATGTTTTTAGGGGAATAGTCACTTCCACATTTTCATGTCACCACCAGAAGTAGTGACATATTATAACTTTTTGTGTGGAGGAGTCTGAGTTTAGGGTCTGTTACCTGGTGCCTGTAACAAATGGCAGGTGGTGACATGTTGCATGTTAATGCCTTGTAGCCTAATTAAATTATTCTGATTCTGAACTGTTCCCTGATAAAGTGTAAATATCTATAAAAACAAGAAAAACATTAACAAATTTTAATTATAATCATGAAAATAACACGTGGATCTACGTGAAATCATACCTCCATTTTAAAGAGTGGTCTTAAGGTCAAGCTCTTATGAAGGTTTCCATTTCTGTTTTTCAGGTGACAGGCAGTAACAAAGGCATAGGGTTTGGTATTGTGCGAGGGCTGTGCAAAAAGTTTGATGGTGATGTTTATCTAACAGGTATATAGACGAGTACTATGTAATAATAGAATTGAGTACCTTGCATACAATCATACACTTTATAACCCGCTCTTGTTCACCAGACCCCCTCTTATCTTTTGGTTGTGAAGATTCCGACTAGGGTGGGGGGGATGCAGTTATTGCGATGTTTATAATCAGCCATGCAACTTTTGCAGCCACTATAGTTTTTATTTTAACACGTTTTGAATTTTACATGTACCAGTATGTCTAATATTACAATGGTACACCCTAGAACTTTCTTCTTGGAACTCAGGCAAGGAAGAAATGAAATTTAAAAACCTAAGAACCATGGGATATTTCCTTCTCTGTTTTCAGCCAGGGATGAAACTAGAGGACAGGAGGCTGTGGCATCCCTAGAGAAGGAGGGCCTGAAACCAAAATTTCACCAATTGAATATTGATGACCTAGCTAGTATTCAACGACTCAGGGATTTTCTCAAGTCCACATATGGAGGCCTTGATGTCTTGGTTAACAATGCTGCAATTGCTTATAAGGTAACATTCCTATAGAGATCACTTTATAAATACAAACTTTGGCAGGGGTCCTAGGCTGAACCCTCAGATATCAGTATGTTCCCATACAAATCTATCAAATTTCAATGTATTCCCATTAGGGGTCCCACGATACAGTATCTTCAATTTCGATATGAGCAACGATATTTACCTCACGATACGATACAAACGATACGAGCAATGTAAGTGCATAACAAATAAATTTATTTAATAAAAACAAATACGTTAACAAGACAAATGTCTTTCTTTTTCTCCATTTTTTACCGGAAACCGGAAATACATTCTACGCCGGATTACGCTAGGCGGATAACAAAATGGAAACGGGACAATGGGTAGATACAATCGTATTTAAGCTGCTTTGGAGCATGATTTTGCTGTTTTGGGGAGTTAAAAATGATACAATTTGTTAACCGATATTCAAGGTGAGTATCGATACGCTCGTATCGTGGCGTATTGCTCGAGCGCTCGAGCAAATCCGAGCAATTGCGGGACCCCTAATTCCCATACCAACAGACAACGAAAACATCAGACGAAATATTGTTATTTTTATGGTGAATTTAGGTTTTGCTGTCCACTATTGTATATCTTCTAAACAGTCAGATTTCAGCTATGCACCAATACGATTTCAAATGATTATTTTGGAAAATGAAACTAATCCAATGTAGTATTTAAATGATTGTTATATAAATTCTCAATTATATCTAGTTTCTTAGTAAATTGAACGTGTTGAGTATGTGTTGGAGGATACAAATCATATGGACACGATAAAACGTGGTCTTTCTATGAGTATGAAATATCAAGCAAATCCTTTTTGAGAGCTGGTTACAAACATATTTAATTAACAAGTTGGAGATTATTGGACCACAAGATACATTATTTGTTAATATGTTGTCTGAGTTTGTTTTAGCAAACTTTGATTTTTGTCCAAAAACGTCATCGTTAAAGCTGTTTTTAAGAATTAATAAGCAATATTTTCAGTATATATCGGACATAATAGCCAGTTGTGTTGACATTTAAATAACACACATTAAATAACGTTGATATCAACACACATGGTGCAGGCTTGGTAGAATAACAGAATTTGACTATATTTGAAAATATCAATTATCGTAAATTTGCCCTTATAGATTTTTAAGATTCATCATGTTTCAAGAGGAATATCAGCTGAAATAATGTTCATCCAGGGGGTTTCTTTGGAAATAATAAAAATATATGTTTGTCTTGAAGAAATAACCAAACTTAAATATATTTTGACACTTGTCCATGATCATTGAATGGCCCCTCTGCACTCATTGTTGCACCTTTGATGCCTTGTTCTAGTTTTGCTGTTTTCTTTCAGGCGGCTGCAACTGAACCATTCTCAGAGCAAGCAGAAGTATCATGTAGGGTGAATGTGTTTGGTGTAATCAACACATGTAATGAACTATTTCCTCTTCTCAGACCTCACGCAAGGTAAGGCATTCAAACCTTATACTTCAACTATGTACCATCCTCCTAAGCAGGTATCCAGAATCCGTACCTCCTTCTTCCCCCTGCTATGACCAATTTGGAAGCGCCCGATTAAACTGAATCATGTGATCTAATTATGTGCAATGATTATACATGATTTCTATCGCAGTGTTGCGACAGCCAATCTGATTGCAAGTTCTTAATCTGGGAAATCCTAACTGCTTATCGCAGGGGGTAAAAAGAAAGAATATATTCTGGATTTTGAAGCCCTGTGATCGGAGGATGACTATGTACATGTACGTGTCTTTTGCCAGCTTTCCTATTAAAATGAGGAGTCACATGTTTCAGGATTACAAGTTTTGATGAAAATTTATGATTATTGCCAAAGATTTTTGATTTACCCAGAATAAGAATTTAAGTAAATATTTCTAAATGGTGGAACTAATTTTGATTAATTTTGCCCGAAATTAAGAAAATAAAAATTGCCAATTTTCCCATTTGAATTTTTCATAAACATTGCTTTTCATTAACATTGCTTGAATTCTGAATATTATAAAAATCCCTCAATAACAAAAGTTTGTTATTTGAGAGAATCCTTCAATTCTTCCGCAGAATCTTTCAATTCTTCCGCAGAATCATTCAATTCTCCCTCAGAATCCTTCAATTCTCCTGTAGAATCCTTCAATTCTCCTGCAGAATCCTTCAATTCTCCCGCAGAATCCTTCAATTCTCCCGCTTTACTAAATATTTTTCTTGTATTATAGAGTGGTACATGTGTCCAGTTTTGTTGCCAAGATGGTGACAGATAAAAATGCAACAGTAAAGAAAATATTCGGGGATTCTAAGCTTACTCAAGAGGGATTGATTGATCTTGTCAACGATTTTGTTAAGTATGCAAAGTTTGATATTAGATACAGGTTTTGCACAATATTTTTAGCTCAATGTATCTAAAATCAACACATTCACCAGATTTATGCGTAGCGGTTCAGTGAGATGTGGTTGCAGACACGTTTTAGCTATAAAACATATTGTGTGAAACCTCTATCTGGAGATTACATAAAGTTGGAATATTGTTTTAAGTGTTTCGTACATGTAGTTGTATACTATGTTTTACTATGTTGACTTCATGTTAAAAAATGTGTCTAGGGTTCCTTTAAACAATTGTAGCCCTATCACCTTGGAATATTGATAATAATAACAATACAATTTTTGTATATCATCCACAATTGAGAGATTCTTAATTGTTTCCATTTAGGCTATTTATCCCATCGAACGAAGTTCGGAGGGATATAGGGAACGCCTCCGTCCATCCGTCCGGGCAATAACTCAAATACCGTTGGCCCTATTTTGTTCATATTTTGTACACATATACCCTATAGGGGTAGAAGTTCTGCTCAAAAGCCGATTTTCAAAATGGCCGCTCATTTAAAAATGGCGGCGATTTTAGTGCCGATTTTACAGTAATTTAGGTGCAATATGTAAAACTGTTAAAGCAATATCAGGGCTTTCAATAGCAGGGGGCGAGTGTCTGAAATCGCCGTTTGTTTTCGATAATCTGCCGCTAATGTTAGAAGTCAAATATTGTCTAAGTTTTGGGGGAAAATTAAAAGTCTTCTATAGACTATCCTTTATTTTATTCAGCCATCTTGTTTTGCACTTCCTTGTCTATGATTTGTACCTCAGTTTCGAACTGCAAGGGAACTCACTATAATCGTAAAGATCACTTGATCTCATTATAGTAGTTAACACCGTCCAATTTTTTACCCGTTTGGGCTATGCATTTTACATCACTATCTGACCACTATCACGTGCATGATAATTCAAATCCCAACCTTTGGTATAATCAGAGTTGGTTATTTTCCACTGGACATGCAGTTACATGTATGATTGATACAAATCTGTCCAACCAGTCACAGTACAGTCTATCCAGTGTAAAATTGTGTTAATCAGTTAAAGGCCCCATATAAAGTTTCAACAACTTTGGCTTATATTGTTGTCTTATCCAATGTTATCAAAGTGTGAAATGTGAAACTTTTTATTAATTTCAAAAATGTTTTTGAAGGACTTCTTGTTCAAAATATCGTGAATTTATTTAAAACTAACTTTAACATGTCACACTTATCCTTTAAAGCAATAATTCACACTGATGCATAGTAATCCTTTTAACCTGGTGAGACAGTCAAAATTGGTTTATTTTTTAAGTTTAGCATATTTAGAAATTGAAATATGTTGCCACCTAAGTGATGTCATGATGTGGTCACTTAGGTTGAAAATATTTTCGATATGCTAAATCATTGAATTGGCACATTAGATATAACATTTTATTTTTAACATAGTTTGTCCGTTGTTCAATCTTTATATTGGTGTTAAAAAGATATAGAGGTTCTTATATGAGTACCTGTGCAAGATCGTCCATTCTTGATGAGCTTTCATAATAAACATTATCAAAGCGACTGTCGGATAAATTATGAATGTAGTTTCGCACAGGTGTCAACGGAACCAAACTGAACCCCGGTTTCCCGAACCCGAGTTTCCAGGATTCGCCTCACATGCCTTCGACTCTTTCTCAAGATTTGGGTCCTATATTGTACCCCTACCTTATCATCCTGGTGTCTCGTTTATAACACCCTTGAAATTACAATGTGAAGTTACTTAAGCATGATAAAAAGTGTATGTGTGGATGGATGGAGGTTTGAACCCCCACTTGTATACATGTATACCTTTATATACTCATGTACATCTAAAAACACTATATAAAATAACTATCTATACACCATCAATGCAAATATATGCTTTCTTCCATTCTGATACTCATAGCATCTTTCTGTTTCACCTGAATCATCTCAGGGCTGAGAAGAAATGAGATGTCATGGTTTATATTATGATGGCTTTCTTCGAGAATACATAATGCGGGCCTGAGAATGTGGGATGTCACATTCATTGCAACACACCTTGCAACAATGTCTTATGAGGGTAATTTCTTATATTGAGAAGTTTATCATCTATTGAAATTAAATACTTGTAGCTACATGCAAGTAGCAACACATACAAGTCTTCCATGCAAATGAAGGTGCGAATTCACATTAACAAATTAAGATAAGATCAACAATATGTTATCAAATGGTTAAATGCGCAAAATGTGTAGATATGTTTTCCTTAATAATGTGTGAGGAGGCCTTTCAGAACAAGTTTGGTGTAGAGGGGAGTGGGATATCTCCCACCTCAGTCTCTCTCTAATGCCTAGGCCACATATGCGCCAGTCATCGCCAGTTTCGACAAAAATTATGTTATTCGGCAATTTTAGTTACAAAACATGAAGGTACATTATGTAAAATTTTGAAGACAATTGGTGTATATTTAATAAAATACCAGCACCAGTACTGTTACTTTTGGAACACCCTGTGTACCCTCTGGAGGTGGTAAAAAAACTAAAATTAATCTGATATACACATAATCACAAGTGAATCATCACTCTCATTTTAATAATGACAATTCTAGATTTTGATTTATATCAAAAGTGCTCAATTCAACAGGTGTTTTGGATTTGTGAAATGCAACCTGTGTAAGGGTAAGTTATCTTATAAAAGGTAAATGACATTCTCTATAAGTTGACCTAGTCATTCCACAGTTCCAGGTGTTATTTTGTGGAGCCCATGTCTTGCCACATCACACGTGGAAATGACTTTGACAAACCTTGGACATCTTTCTTTCAGTCCATGGACTCTAAAATAACAAGAATTTGTGTTGTCAGGAGCGTAAAATTGGTTATTTTGAATGCCGCCTCTTGTATTTTTCATCTGCCTCTTGTACACAAAGTTACTGAAACCACAGAATATGTTTTAAATGTAAAAAAATATACAGGACATTAATAAAACTAGAAATGTAGATATTAAAGAAGCACATGGCAGCCATCTTGAAAAATGGCATCTGTAACAAATGGCAGGTGGTGACATTTTGCATCTTAATGTCTTGATGTTACAATGTATCTTGTTTTTACTTATTTAAGATGTGCAAAAGCAGGGAATCATGAGGCCAAGGGGTATGCTAACACAGCATATGGTATGACCAAAGTAGCTGTCAGTGCATTAACAGGTATCCAGCAACAACAGTTTAACAAAGATCCACGAGAAGACATCATCGTCAACTCTGTGAGTATGAGTGCTGCAAGCCAGGCAAGAGGCAGACAGTTTGCCTTGTTAATTTTTTTCCAGAAAAATAGTCACTCAATTCAGTTTTTCATTTTTATCTAAATGGAAATGGGGTCTTGTGATATGAGCCTCATTTGGCTTTAATTTACTTTGCCTCTTTCAAGATGGGCCATGTTTTAGAATCAGCCCACACAAAATGTATGCCCATTGATGGCCTTGCCTCTTTCAAGACCCTTGCTAGGTCATTGCTTTTTATGACCCCATATTTTTAAAATCAGCCCATGGCATGCAAGATGGTTTTGTATCGATGTTCATTAAAAATGACTCCACACAAAAGTCCTAGTATTGTATAAAATGAAGCTCTATTACTTTTATTTTCAAAAACATTTTTGTTATTTTTCTTTTAACAGGCTGACCCAGGTTATGTTAACACAGATATGTCCAGCGGAAAAGGGAAAAAAACTATTGATCAGGGTAAGTTGATTAACATGTCGCCACCAAGATCTCCCATGTCACCACCAAGATCTCCCATGTCACCACCAAGATCTCCCATGTCTCCACCAAGATCTCCCATGTCACCACCAAGATCTCCCATGTCTCCACCAAGATCTCCCATGCCACCACCAAGATCTCCCATGTCACCACCAAGATCTCCCTTGTCACCACCAAGATCTCCCTTGTCACCACCAAGATCTCCATCGTCACCACCAAGATCTCCCATGTCACCACTCAGATCTCCCAGTGTGTACTTTTCAGAACTTGAGAATGAGATTCTTAGTAATGTTAATGGAAAAGTTGATGGAATTCTGTGAGCTATTTTTGGGAGTCTCCCAATTTTTTTGTATCACCACCAAAAGTGGTGACATATTGTTATAGTCTCCAACTTTTTGTGTCAGCGGTTGGTGTTTGCGCATCTTTAACAAATGGCAGGTGGGGTTCACCTTTGACAACTTTGATCCAAAAATGGCCAAACACACTTGAAAAGTGCTCAGAATGATGAAAACCTGCATGATTTTGAAATAATTTTTGGCCCCTTGAACTTCCCTGGCCACGTGCTTGCAATGCATGATACAATAATTCTTAACATTATGAAGTTTATGCTGTTGACCACCTTATCAATATATATAACTCATGACCAGTATTGTGTTCCAGGTGCCATAGAGCCTCTAGCATGCGCTCTCCTACCAGCTAATGTTGGGGCCCCCAAGGGTGAAACAATTACTAGCGGTACCAAGGTTTTGCCAGTGTTTTAACCTACGAACTATGAAGCATGCAGTGTAACATGCACACCGGTACATAAGGAATCTATCAACCAGTGAGAGACATGACTTTAATCAAGAAATCAATGCCAAAATGACATGTATTATTTTTTCATATATGGCTTTTTCATCTGAAACTATTTTAGTTCTACGAGACTACTATACCAGAAGCATGACATGTATTATTTTTTCATATATAGCCAAGACAATCAGTTGAAATGATATGCCACTTGGCACATGGAGAAACATATGGCTTTTTCATCTGAAACTATTTTAGTTATACAAAACTACTATACTAGAAGCATGACATGTATTCTTTTTCATATATAGCCAAGACAATCAGTTGAAATGATATGCCACTTAGCACATGGAGAAATATGTGGCTTTTTCATCTGAAATTATTTTAGTTCCATGAAACTTTAGACTTGTTAAAATGCTATCTTGTTGGATAAAATATTTGAATTGGTTCTTTAAGCTAATTATTGATAAAATATTAAAATTAATCAAATTGTAATTGAAATAATTAAACTGTGGTATTGGTACAATTAAGGCAATATAATATTGAAATGGCAAGGTTGTGATATTGAACAAATGAATCAAATATTGATATATCAAGAATCAAATTATGACAAAGGAACTACTTTATAGTTAATTACATGTACATTAGTAGTTAATTAGTACATTAATAGTTCTATAATTTGAATTCCATGACTAACACACTCATGTGTGGTAATTGAAATTTCAAAGCATATAGAATTTGAGGATAATGTGTCAAAGGAGGTTTTAAATGATGACAAAAACTCTGAAAAGTAATACTCATTATTTTGAAATTTTATACAATTTTGAATTTTATACAACCATGTATTGTATATTGTATGGCTTGACTTAAAGAGGTTCTATGCATATTTAAGAACAAAAAGGAAAAATGTATTATGAAACCTGGGGTTATTTACTCTCAAAATTCATTATGAAGATAATGTAACTTGCACAAGCAATCATACTGTGGTATAAAACTATCAAAAAAAGTTTACTGACCATGATGAGTCCAAAATTGAATATAACTACTTGCACCTGTTTATTGAATTCATTCAGACATCAGCCATTATTTCTCAAATGGAAACTAGATTAACATAAAACAAAATACGCTTTTAACAATTCTTAGTTAATACTGTTTTACTATATAATACTTATACATTTGAATGGTTACTGACTGTGATACTTTTCCATTGTTTATGTAATACAGTATATGTAATGGTAACTTTATACTATAAACCATGGGCTTATAAACTCATAAATTGTACAATCAGAATTTGGCCTGAAATTAAAAAATAAGGCCTTAAAAGGCCCAGTAGTGACCAAAAAGGCCCACTTTTAGGGGCCTGAAGGCCTTTTTCTGGGCCCACCCAAGGGGGGGGGGCCCGGGCCCCCAGGCCCCCCCCCCCTAATCCGCCAGTGTTTTTAGTCACATGGAACATGAGTGACCAATCACATGCTGATTATAACTACAGAGAAATAATAAATATCATTATTTAATATTATATTTCTCAAAAAATATCATGATGTCACACTGAATAAAATCCATGTCCCTTTCCTCTATTTTCATGCATTTGTCCTTTACATGTATTTACATATATGTATGTTAATATTTGATTTTAATAAATAAATAGCAAATAAAATCAAATAATTGTTAGTTCAGTTAGTTGATGAAGACGTGCATTTATTTATCCCAGGTGTTTCTTTTGATTTACTAGAGAATGTTTAACATTTTTGATTGAATCATTTTATGTCACCAAGAAGTTATATTTTATTTCAGCCTTGATTTTTTACGACTGGATACTTTTAACCATTTGCCCCAACTGTATATAGGAAGTTATGTTCGGATGAACTTAGAATATTTGGGAATATATGTTACCATGACAACGAATTAGTGAATATTAATTTATCAAACATTTTAAGTTAACAACATTATCTATACAGTAAGTGTATGTTACTATGGCAACATGAAACACTTTTTACATTTGTTACATAGTTAGTAACTTGAGAAGTAATGGTCAATTTCACTTCAACATCATCCAGTGACACAATTCTTAAGATTAGATTGAGCAATACTAACAGGTTACCATGACAATGAATAAGAGGACTTACTGAGATACATGCAATTATTTAATCTCTAATATAACTGGATGGTAAGATTTCATCATGTAAATGCCTGGAGGTGGATGGATGGATTTGATTTATTCTACACGCAACTTGCTTGCTAGCTTGAAAGACACTAGAGAATTGAGAAGAATTGGACGGTCCTCTGTATCTTGGGCTACAAGCAGGATGCTAGAAGAGCCACAGCAACAAGAACCAAGTAGTTTGAGGCACTTGGCTACGTGACTTCCATGACTGCTTGTTGCAGCTCATATCCCACCCCTTACCTTACAAGATGCAACAAAACAACACTTTCAAAATGATCGATCCTTAGATTCATATTTGGCGCCTCATGAGTTAATATTGTTTTGACCAATCAGAGACCACTAACCAATCCAATATGGCAGCCTCCACAAAGGTAAACTTTCTAAATGTTTTCGTATATTTTTGAACAATTCCGTACTTTTACATACCAGATTAGTTTATATATAGCATCAAATCAGACACTATTTCACTGCGTCAATAACTGGTGGATAACGATATTTGAAATTGAGTATAACACATGAAATCATGATGAAAAAATGGACCGGTTTTTAATTTTTATTTTTGAAAATGTTGGACACGTCCAACATTATGATTGGCCGACCATCTAGATTTGTAGATCACAACAATAAAATGAAAGTAACCAGTGTATAGTCTTAAATATTATTTGACGAAGTATGTGCATATTTTTTTCGTGTTTTGAGTGATTTTCATTGATCATCTTTCATATCTGCAGTGCATGGAACATCTATTTCTAATTCTAATAACAGATCTAACCTCTTGTAAAACAGTAGATTAGTCTACTGCTACTATGATGTCTGCAATGGAGAAACCATGAGAAAGGAGCAGGGGCAATTCATGTATTTTGTGATATCTGTAGACAGTCGGTTGGTTTTCTGAATCCTGGATGGATCCAGATTCAGTTGTGTATCAGTGGCATCTAGGGTTACTTCCTGCGAAAGCTATTTGGATTTTGATATAATAGCTTTCCCACGGAGCATTTGGACAGCTCAATGATCGTGACCTTTGAAATCGAATTAGGTCGATCCGCGGCTTACTTTTGGTCTCTAACTGTGTCTTACATCAGTATCATCAATCCGTGTAAGTATTGGAGCGCTGGAGTACTTTTTTTTCGATCAAGACTTGTAATTGTTAGGTCGAGTGAATCGTTTTACTGCCAAATTCCAATATGGCGGTTTCTGCTCGGACATTTTCGTAAATCTCCGGAGGTTGTCCGAACCTAATTCATTCTCAAAATTCATTTCGTTCGTTGCGTATCTCGCACCTAGCAAACCGCCATATTGGAAATAGGTCTGTAAAACTTTAACTCGATGAACAATTTACAAGTCTTGATCGAAAGAGAAGTACTCCAGCGCTCCAATACTTACACGGATTGATGATACTGATGTAAGACACAGTTAGAGACCAAAAGTAAGCCGCGGATCGACTTAATTCAATTTCAAAGGTCACTATTGATCAGCTGTTCACTTCTCCGTTTGAGAGCCATAAGTTTCAAAATCTAACATGGCTCTCGAAGTGAGTAAATCTAGGGCTATTTTATCGTCATTGACATATTTTAGCCCAAGAACCACATTCGAAGAAAATGTTCTGGAGAAAGGAGATTGGGATTCCAAATTCTAGTTATTGATATCTATCCCGTTCGAAGGACGTATTAGACGTCAGTGCCAAGAACACTTTCTTGCTCAGCCTCGAGCCATGACAGATAAATTTATGCTCTCATTTGTATACCCAAGGTTTTCTAGACATAACACGGCAATGTCATTGGAAACTTCAGTAGTCTAGCTCATCAGAGAATAAGCCCTGTCCATATCAAGCCAATGCTTATTTGTACATTTTCGGAAAAAGTTCATGAATTTCATTTAGGCTTTTAGAGGAAGGAAAAGTTTCTGCTATTCCAATGATACTTACAGGGAGAAAAATGAAAGAGGCACTGTGTCTCATCTTGGTGCTTAGTTAGCACCCTGATTTCACACAATTGTTGCAAGCAAGACAAAGGGGTACAGACAATCTCTATCAATACCATATATAGCACTGTTTTGGCTACCTTTAACACAGCACCTTGTTTTACCTTTAATATGGTACTTTATGAATACAGTACTGTATGGTACTGTGTGAATATGGTACCATGATTTCAGTGTGCGGATTCAGGATGTAGAGTATGCTGTAATTTGATGAACAGGACAGTTGAGGAAAAACAAACTTTTTTACATTTTAGTTTCCCATTTCTTAGTCTTTCCCCTTTATAACACAATTTGAAAATGTTGATTTAAGTGTCACTCTTTTGATATCATTATTGCTGTTCTTCCCCTATTATGAAATCACCATTTACCCCCTCCTTCAAATGATATTTTCATCACTTTCTTGAATGTTGATATTTGGACAGTATTTCCTTACTGGATTAATTATTTTCCAGATGAGGGGCAGCATTTTGTGCCTATTTGTGCTATCTGTACAACTCGTAGGCGTGTTGTCCGCACCAAAGTTTGTTTCAACATCGCTGTCAGCTAAATGGATGTCTACCCCCATACTTCTTGAAACAAGGTAAGGTATGCTGGGATTGAATATCTTGTTTGAATGAAATAGTACATCTGTTATCAACTAAGTACAGGAAAGTCTGTAGAAGGTATCTGGATATCTGATTAGGGTAGTTAGATACAAACATCAGCCTGAAAATGGTATTCACAATTTAATGTAACATTAAAATGATCCTTACATCCACAAAATGAGGTTGCCATTGACAGTTTTAAAACTTTACAGATGGTTTTCGCTAAAGTATTTACCACATTGAAATGTACTATGGCAATCATAATGAGACAAGTTTAATGTGCCATAGACTGTAATATTGCCTTATTTCTGACTGTAGTGAATAAATAATTATTATCCCATCGAACGAAGTTCGGAGGGATATAGGGAACGCCTCCGTCCGTCCGTCCGTACGTCCGTCCGTCTGTATGTACGTCCGTCCGTCCGTCCGTCCGGGCAATAACTCAAATACCGTTGGCCCAATTTTGTTCATATTTTGTACACATATACCCTATGGGGGTAGAAGTTCTGCTCAAAAGCCGATTTTCAAAATGGCCGCTCATTTCAAAATGGCGGCCATTTTAGTGACGATTTTACAGTAATTTAGGTGCAATATGTAAAACTGTAATAGCAATATGTTTTAAATATAAAAAAATTATAAAGGACATTAATAATGCTACAAATGTAGATATTAAAAAAGCACATGGCAGCCATCTTGAAAAATGGCGGCCTTTACTCGTCATTTTACGATTTTTGCTGTAACTCAAAAAATAGTGGAGCGATTTTGTTCATATTTGGTGTGTGAATACTATAAGCATTGCACACTGTCTAAAGACACTTTTGGTAGAAGGAGGCCATTTTGAAAAATGGCCGCCATTTTAACGTATTTTACTTTAACTCGAAAAGTAGTGGAGCGATTTTGTTCATATTTGGTATGTGAATACTATAAGCATGGCACACTGTCCTATGACACTTTTGGTAGAAGGCGGCCATTTTGAAAACAATTTTGAAAAATGGCCGCCATTTTAACGTATTTTACTATAACTCGAAAAGTAGTGGAGCGATTTTGTTCATATTTGGTATGTGAATACTATAAGCATGGTACACCGTCTATTTCTAATGACGCTTTTGGTAGAAGGTGGCCATTTTGAAAAATGGCCGCCATTTTAACGTATTTTACTATAACTCGAAAAGTAGTGGAGCGATTTTGTTCATAATATGTGAATACTTTAAGCATGGCACATTGTCTAATAAAACTTTGGGGAGTAGTCGGCCATTTTGAAAAATGGCCACCATTTTTATGTGTGTTATTTTACAAGTACGTGTGCTATTTTTTTATGATATTTGTGCCAGCCATTTCTGTTCGATGGGATTCGCTACGCTTTGGCGTTGCCGTTGTTCTGGTTTACATTTATTACTAGTCTGAAGACCTTGTACCCCCCCTCCCTATAACCATCTACTGAAGGAAGAGAAAAAACAGCAGAGAGAGGGTGCATGGTCTTAATGTGAGACTAACATTTTAAAATCTCATTTCTGGTTTATTTTTTTATGTTTTAGTGAATACATTGCAAAACTGGGTAACTCAGAATTCTGGGGATTTGTTGAAGAAGTCACAGACGAGGATGTTGAAATGTTACAACAATGTAAGTTAGCTTGAATTAAGGAGAGCCTTGCTCAGTGATATTTGGATCTAGCTTATTCAAGATCTCTCAATGTCAAAAAATCAGCCAGATAACTCATCTATCACATATGTTAAGGTGGGCATTGCATCATGAATTTTGCATCTGTATTATTCATCTTATACAGCCCACCTTGAAAAAAGGGATTTAAGGATATGAAAGTAAATACTTCCCAGTTCAGTAGAGTAAAAAATATATCTGAACAGCTCTCTTATCCAATCAGCTCTTAATGTGAACACCTTTTCTTCTGTCCCATTTTGTAACCTCTCATTGATTCACATTTTAACAAACCTTGAAATATGAAAACATTTGTGAGATTTTATCTGATCTCATAAATTAGCGCTGATGCATTTTTATCTACACCTATTTCTATATATTTCATGAGATCATAATTAACCTAAATATTAAACATGAAGAAGGCAATTATAAATACTTCTGCTAAATACTTTCAAAAAATTAATAAGAATTTTTTTACAGATTCGGATCAAGAAAAATACCATCTATTCGTGGAGAAGAAGGCAGTGAATTACCTAACCCCTGTTCAGTTAAATCTGCTTAAGTTCTCCCTTTCTCTCAGGGCTCACTCTGCTACAGTAGAGATGCACAATCAGGTGAGGGTGTCCATCTTGAATTACCCAGGGGAGGGGGTCATTAACAGAAACTTGGTAAAGTTAAGAATTCGTAAAAAAAACAAAACATTGTTGACATCACGGTTGCAATAATTTATTTACTTTCCAAGGTCACTGAAGGTCAAGTAAACATTAACAGAAACTTGGTAAAGTTAAGAATTCGTAAAAAAAAATCCATTGTTCTCTAACTGTGACATCACGGTTACAATAATTGATTTACGAATTCGTAACTTTATGAAGTTTCTGTTAATGACCCAAGGGGATCTTGAGATAAACTTTGTTCTTTTATACTATGATGCTATACATGGTTTCCTTGGTTATAACAATTGATTGAGGAATTCTATTTTTCAAATTTTGGAATTTTTTTTTAATATTAAAATTGAATCTACTTAAATTCTTCTTATTCAGGGCACATTCTGTCACAATATAAATGCACTATGAATTATAAGTGAAATTGTTAATGACTTAAATATAAACCATCTAAAATGATGCATCCTAAAAAACTATGTTCACCACAATTTGTGTTTGCTTGTGCATTTGTGTTAAAATGATTTAATATCCCATATTTTTTTCAGATGGCTAAGCATGAAAATGCTCCAAAAAATTGTGAGGTGTTTATTAACTTAAACAATGTAGTGACATGTGAGAAAATGGCTATTAAAGCCATCATAGGGGCTGCAAAAGACAGGTGAGAACTTGCCACACCTTGGTAAGGTCTAGAAATTAGAACAATGATCTCCCCAGCATTAAAGCAAGTGGGCATAGCACCCACCTGAGATTTTGAAAGTAGGCTTGCACCCACCTGAAAATCCCTTTGCAGTCACTTGAAAATGAGAAAAATCATGACAAATTGGCATATTTTGACCAATTTTGGTCTGAATTGTGAAAATGAGAATTTTGCACTCTAGAAAAAACCCTGGGAGATCAGTGTAGAATATCCCAAATTAAGAAATTTATTATAGCATAGAATTTGCACAATAAGTATGTATGATTTAAAAAGATCAAGCCCTTTTGATTTATGCAAATTATTATTTTCAGCACCCCAGCGCAAACATTCCAGTTTGACCATACATATCCAGGAATGAGTAAATCGAATTCCACAGCAATTTTATATGCAGAGATCGGGACCCAGTCTTTCAAAGAATGGCATGGGATCTTAAAAGATTTGGCAAGCAAAGGAGAGCTAACTTATATTTTACGCCATTTTGTAAAGGTAGGCTCACTTTATTTATTTTTTTATTTTTTTAAGCTCACTTTATATTTTGGTTTTGTATTTAAAGCAACACTTGTGAGTTTATTCTTTTCAAGACATTGCTCCAGTGTTAAAAAACTTACAATGATTCTAGCAATTCTATAATTTCAGTTTGGACATATTAATCCTAACTATAAAGGCACTATAAAATTCTATATCTTGTTATTTCAAGCAAGTTTGGCATTAAGATTTCTTTACATTACTGTAATGGTCAAACTTTATTTTTCCACATTCGAAAAAAGCAATTGATTCAATTGGAAAATAACTGGTTCTGGGGGGGGGGGGTTCTCATGCTGGAACTCATCTTGCACTGTATTCACACTCTCCAGAGGCGTAGCTAGCCCATTTTGCGAGTGTACGCCCGTATGATTTCCCGGTTTTATCAAAATTATCAAAACGATGGTTCCATAAAATAGGAAGATCACGGGTGTTCAGAAGATAGGGGACACACTGAACACTCTTAATTCAATGAAGGAAATATGTATTGTTTGATCATTTTGACATAGCTTTTTAAAGGGATTGAATTGACTGTATTAACAGATAATATTCGGGAAACAAAATAGACAGATTCTATATAATCATGCCATCGGCGATCGAAGCCGTCTATCAAGGCGATTTTATTTTCTAGGCTACCTAAAACTGTATGTATGAGGCTCATTGTTTTAAGCTTTTGTGGTCATTCTCCATGAAATATTATTATTTTTTCTGTGTTTGTTTTTATCTAGCTCACAAGGTGATTAACAATAAAAGAACAGTTACACGACCGTCTCAACTCCATTTCGGATCTTAACAATCTGTACGTGATTCTATAGAATAAATTCTATCTTTCTGTTTTTTGCATTTGCGAACATGTCAATAACAGTATCAATGTTTATATCCTGTTCCCTATGGATATGTATCATGGCCAAGGAAGAAAGTCTTTCCTCGTTCATTGTGGAACGCAAGTATGACTTAATGCGTTTCAAACTGCTAAAGCTTCGTTCAGCCACGCAAGTGGATACTGGCAATGTTAGCAGCTGGACCAAACACGTGTAGACATTGGGGTAAAGAGGCTGGGGGGGTCTGTTGAATAGTCTCCTATCGATTTCTATCTCTTGGTAAAATATTTATTTTTCATCACAATTAATCAGGTAAATTTTATTTTTCCTTAAAATTTAAGAGTACGCCTGGGCGTACTTGGCGTACACGTAGCTACGCCACTGCTCTCCAAAAATATCTTTGTATTTGTTTTCTAGAATGAAAGTCCCAAGAAAACCAGGCTATCAGGGTATGGAGTGGAGTTAGCTATCAAAAGCCAGGAGTATAAAGCAAAGGATGACACAAAAGTAGAAGGTAAAATGTCTTGAATATACAAGATAGTTCAATTTTAAGTGTTTTGATTTTTTCATTGTATAAACTTTATTTAGGTACATGTATAGTAAATACATTTCCAGCCACAAATTGCAATGTTGGCATTATAGGTTGGCCATCTATGATGAATGATAAAATAAAAGTATAATATTTTGCTGTTTTGGACATATGAGCATCGATGCTGTGTGAATTATTTGGCTAGTAAACTTACCATTCAGTGTTAATGATAACTCTATTGTTTGTTTTCTTACAGATGATGGTTCCCAAGGCAACAGTGAAGATGATGAAGAGGATGTGGAAGGATTTATATTCTCAAAGTTAAAGTATGTTTTTTTGTACACAGAAGAAAACCTGTAAAGTGGTACACCTCTTCATAGAGGGATCACTTTTCAGTCCTGTTTGATCAGTTTCAGTCCTGTTGGATCTTTTTTCAGTTCTATTGGATCACTTAGTCCTGTTGGATCACTTTTCAGTCCTGTTTGATCACTTTTCAGTCCTGTTGGATCACTTTCCAGTCCTGTTTGATCACTTTTCAGCCCTGTTACCCATTGAAATGAAATGAGCCTCTGTAAGTGAACACCTCTTACATGGAATACTATTTTGGGCATTCTACTAACTCAGATTTAATTGTACTGTACTTTTTAAAATACTTTGGATAAATAAGGCAATACGACTCAAAGAATAGAATAAATGAATTTCTAAATTGTGAAAAAGGAAATATTGAATAAAATGATATTTGAAGATTGTCAATAAATCATGCATTTTGTTAAATGAGGAATTGTTAAAAGTGAAAATGACTGATACAACCATACAGAGAACAAGACTCAACAACAAAGACAATTCATTATTTTTTATTTTAATTAACCCGTTGTCATACATCTTTTACTGTATATCTAAATAGAACATGTATTCATATTCCAGAAAACTACATCCTGAAGATAAAGATAACCTCGTTGAGTTTAAGAAGTATTTACAAGAAAGTAAAGGAGAACTCGCCCCATTGAAAGCATGGCAGCTACAAGGTATACTACACCCCCAATTAGTATTATTAAAACAATGATGAAATGAGCCCTTGTCAGACTGAAAGTTTTGCCTGGAAATTTAATTAAGACAGCCCACATACTTTTAAATCAAAACACAGATGTAATTTATCTCATCTTCCGATGAATTGTATCTTGGTTTATGCTAATAAAATTGAAAAAAATATGTGTAGGACATATGAAATGAAAGCTTAACAGCTTGTATGAAAGCATGTGAAAATGTTGAATTGTAATTCCCCCAATCCAATGTTTATCCAGGTTAAATTGAATTTATTGCATTTTATGTTATTTTTTTATTTATAGATCTCAGTTTCCAAGCTGCCCAGAAAGTATTGTCCAGCCCATCTGCAGATGCGCTCAGAGTTCTGACTGATATCAGCCAGAATTTCCCAACTCAAGCCAGGTGAGTCCCATTGTTTCCCAACTCAAGCCAGGTGAGTCCCATAGTTTCCCAACTCAAGCCAGGTAAGGTCCATTGTTTCCCAACTCAAGCCAGTAGAGTCCCATTGTTTCCCAACTCAAGCCAGGTGAGTCCCATTGTTTCCCAACTCAAGCCAGTTGAGTCCCATTGTTTCCCAACTCAAGCCAGGCGAATCCCATTGTTTCCCAACTCAAGCCAGTTGAGTCCCATTGTTTCCCAACTCAAGCCAGGCGAGTCCCATTGTTTCCCAACTCAAGCCAGGTGAGTGCCATAGTTTCCCAACTCGAGCCAGGCGAGTCCCATTGTTTCCCAACTCAAGCCAGTTGAGTCCTATTGTTTCCCAACTCAAGCCAAGTGAGTCCCATAGTTTCCCAACTCGAGCCAGGCGAGTCCCATTGTTTCCCAACTCAAGCCAGTTGAGTCCTATTGTTTCTCCCAACTCAAGCCAGTTGAGTCCTATTGTTTCCCAACTCAAGCCAAGTGAGTCCCATAGTTTCCCAACTCAAGCCAGGTGATTCCCATAGTTTCCCAACTCAAGCCAGGTGATTCCCATTGTTTCCCAACTCAAGCCAGGTGATTCCCATTGTTTCCCAACTCAAGCCAGGTGATTCCCATTGTTTCCCAACTCAAGCCAGGTGATTCCCATTGTTTCCCAACTCAAGCCAGGTGATTCCCATTGTTTCCCAACTCAAGCCAGGTGATTCCCATTGTTTCCCAACTCAAGCCAGGTGATTCCCATTGTTTCCCAACTCAAGCCAGGTGATTCCCATTGTTTCCCAACTCAAGTCAGGTGATTCCCATTGTTTCCCAACTCAAGCCAGGTGATTCCCATTGTTTCCCAACTCAAGTCAGGTGATTCCCATTGTTTCCCAACTCAAGCCAGGTGAGTGCCATAGTTTCCCAACTCGAGCCAGGCGAGTCCCATTGTTTCCCAACTCAAGCCAGTTGAGTCCTATTGTTTCCCAACTCAAGCCAAGTGAGTCCCATAGTTTCCCAACTCGAGCCAGGCGAGTCCCATTGTTTCCCAACTCAAGCCAGTTGAGTCCTATTGTTTCTCCCAACTCAAGCCAGTTGAGTCCTATTGTTTCCCAACTCAAGCCAAGTGAGTCCCATAGTTTCCCAACTCAAGCCAGGTGATTCCCATTGTTTTCCAACTCAAGCCAGGTGATTCCCATTGTTTCCCAACTCAAGCCAGGTGATTCCCATTGTTTCCCAACTCAAGCCAGGTGATTCCCATTGTTTCCCAACTCAAGCCAGGTGATTCCCATTGTTTCCCAACTCAAGCCAGGTGATTCCCATTGTTTCCCAACTCAAGCCAGGTGATTCCCATTGTTTCCCAACTCAAGTCAGGTGATTCCCATTGTTTCCCAACTCAAGCCAGGTGATTCCCATTGTTTCCCAACTCAAGCCAGGTGATTCCCATTGTTTCCCAACTCAAGCCAGGTGATTCCCATTGTTTCCCAACTCAAGCCAGGTGATTCCCATTGTTTCCCAACTCAAGCCAGGTGATTCCCATTGTTTCCCAACTCAAGCCAGGTGATTCCCATTGTTTCCCAACTCAAGCCAGGTGATTCCCATTGTTTCCCAACTCAAGCCAGGTGATTCCCATTGTTTCCCAACTCAAGTCAGGTGATTCCCATTGTTTCCCAACTCAAGCCAAGTGAGTGCCTTAGTTTTCTGAAGATTACTGCTTGCTAAAGTATTTTTTTGGTCATGTATTTCAGTGATCTCCCCTGATATTTTGAAAATAGGCTTGCACCCACCTGAAAATCTATTTGCACCCACTTGAAAATGAGAAACATCATGAAAATTTGGCATATTTTGACCAATTTTGGTCTGAATTGTGAAAATAAGAATCCCACTTGAGAAAAAATCCTGTGGAGATCACTGTATTCATATACTAGTATTGCATATTTAATAGATGTTTTGTGATTTTTATTTCACTTGTAAAGTGTTATATATTTGGGTTGTCTTGTGCAGAAATCTTGTCATGCGGGCATATGATGGCACAAGAAACTTTGTATCAAAATAGCAAAAAAGAAGTGTAGAGCCATATATTGTGCACAATACAGATGTTCTTAGTATAACTGGAAATAACTGGAAATTTGAAATTTTGATTTCAGGTCACTGGTGTCTATTCCAGTGGATGGCAAAGTCAAGAAAGAAATCAAGAAAAATCAAGAGGTTGGTAAAAATGATCGGTCCCCAGAAAATATTAAGATCAAATGTAACATCTAATTTTTTGACAACATCTTATGTTTTCAAATGCTCAGTGAAATCACTGGTTGTGTATTGATAAGGTTTCATTTAGATTATTTTGTAAGTGAAAAGGGAAATATGACTTCACTGACATTTCTACATAAAATCTAGTTTGTGAGTGGGAGATGATGGAAGTTCCTTGTGTTAACTAGAAATCAGAAAAATCACTATCATTTTAGAAATAATGTTTAAAAATGTGGCTGGGTAGGTTGTCTATAGTCATTAATGAAGTAATGAGTAATGTTAATGTGAAAAGTCATGAGAGATGATGTCTGAGTGGACTGCACTCACTTTGATTACACATTTAATACACTCAATTTTACACATTGCTTCACATTTTCACATATTTTTTCACATTTCAACTGTTCCCAAGTGCATATGAAAAAGATCACAGTGAATCATGTTTAAATAGACTTCATCAATTCAACAGACCTGGATTATGTTTTTTACAAATTCCTTCACATTTTCACACATAATGAAACATTGCTTCACATTTTCAGCTGTTCTCAAGTGCATATGGAATAGTTTGAATAGACTTCATCAATTAAATAGACCTTTATTATGTTTTCACATATTCCTTCACATTTCCACACATAATGAAACATTGCTTCACATTTTCACATATTTCTTCACATTTTCAGCTGTTCTCAAGTGCACATGGGATAGACCAAGGTGAAAATGGCTTATATCTGAATGGATTACCAATTGACCTTGAGACCTATGACATCTTTAATCTCCTTGATACTATGAAATCAGAAGCGCGACTTATGGATGGATTATTTTCTCTTGGGTTAAAGGTACTGTATTGTATTGTATTGTATTGTATTCTTCATTTACCTCTTATATAAGAGAGCTTTTTATAATTTTAACACAATCTTTTATACAATCCAATATTTAAATTGTTGATTTCTTTTAATCCATTGTCATTCAAAACTAATGTTTCCATATTTTGTACATTCCTTTTTAATTGAGGTAATTCAAACATAGTTTTTACCATCGCTCTGGTAGAGTTTTTAAAGCAAGGTACTATAATAAACCAAATAAATACTCAAAAATATTGTTTTGAATTACATAATGAAGCATAACCTCTCACTAGTGAACACCTCCTTGTAGCAAATATTTTGCTTGTTACATTTCTCTCATTGAGTCCAATCTTTACTTACATGTTTTTTATAATAACTATTTTCCAGGGATCCTACTTATCTGATTTAATGAAGATTGACACGTCATCAAATACTGACAGTTTCGCTGTTGACACGAGGGACCCTGCAGTTCAGGTGTGTATAAGCAAAATCAGTCTTACCTGTATTGAAGAAACGTTTTATTTCTCTAAATATGAATAAATTGCTTCCTCTTGTCTTGCCATTGTTTTTATTCTGATATTCAAAACATCGAGTATTGAAATGATATAGATCAAATTTACATATGCTATATTTTTGGATAACTTTAATTGTATAATTTCTGTAGATAAATTGTTATTCAGTGATGATCAATGTCGAGAGACATTGCTATGAAGAGGAAAGAATATGGAATTTATTCCCATGGACAATATGATATCAGAACACCTTAAATTGAAATGTAAAATACTGTAAAACTGTATACTGTAAAACGGGTAATTTTGACACCGGGACATTTTAGCGATTTTTCAATTTTAGGGGGTTTTAGCGCGGGAAATTTTAGCGAAATGAAGATTAATCTTTAAAAAATCAAATTAGCGAAATGCATTAGAAATTTTATCATTTATGGTAGAAGAATGAATAACGGACATGACAGAGGAACTATCAAAATGTAAGACTTCTAACGCACATGGTATTGTTCCAAACTACTGTAATCTCATGATAGATGGCTATTTATCCTTCAGATATTGAAAGAAACATACGATTTAAAAATATTTACCTTTTTCAAATTACAAACCGGAAGTTGAGCACTGAACGAAAAGCTCCTTAAATACTAGTATTCATGTACACTGTAGTTTCCTGAGAATTTATTTTAACCCCGGTTTATTTTAGCGAATTGAATTTTTAGCGAAACTATAGTGATCGCTAACAATGGCTAACAATTACCCCTCGCTAACAATACCCGTTTTACAGAATCATATTGTCCTCAGGAATTCCTCTGTCTACATAGAATAAATAGAACAAAAAAATTGACACTTTTATAAGATTCAAAACAGTTCTAATTGATACTGGATTCCTTTTGAGAATTCACAATATTCATTCTTATTATTTCCCAGAGTAAATATATGTATTTTAGGGATAGTATGTGCTGATTATTTTCAGTTTCTCAACAATTTGGAAAAAGATTGTCGCTATATGCGCTCATTATTTTCAGTTCCTCAACAATTTGGAAAAAGATCGTCGCTATGCCAACTGGCCAGGACGCATAGATAGTTTCCTACAACCAACATTTCCAGGCATGTTACGTCATGTACGAAAGAACTGCTTTAATCTGGTGAGTCATGGCTTCTTTGTGGTGTGTCACATTTTCTTGACCTCATCACTTAAAGGTCAAGGTCAATATGTCCACAAATGTAAGTTGTTTCATTTATTTGGGCAATGGGGGTAAGGTAAAAGGTAAATCCTGAAGTATTTAGTCAGAAACTTTCATGAAAATATTTTGAGACAAATCACAACCTGGATAAATCATCAGAAGTGCACTTGTGTACTAGAGGCACTGTGTTTATGCTTGTCGAATTTTATCCAGTTTTATAGTTTTCTAATTTTTGATGTTATATACCTTATGCAGTTTGAATAATGACTTTAAATGATCATCCTGATATGTCCCTTGATGTTTACAAACGTTGAACAGGAAAATGTTGTGCCCAACAGTGCCCTTAGCTGAAGATCACTTCTAATGTTTTCATCCTGGCCATGAATTGATTAAATGCAATTCTTTCCAGGTCTTCATTGTCAACCCTGCAGAGCCCCAGAGTAAAGACCTTTTAAAGATGGCAGAGGCGTTTAATGTCCATAATGCACCTATAAGGTAAGAATGGACCTGCCCTGGTTCATATATTTGCCCTGGTTCATATATTTGCCCTGGTTCATTTATTCAATCATACACCGACATTTCTTAACTTTGATTTGTATCAAACAATATTTGGCGTGTCATTATTATTGCATTAGCGTACAGCCAATAAAAAACCTTTTGGAATTAACTGCTAGGTGACCAGTTTTATTAATTAGTTTGTTCTCTGAATGATATAGATAATAATATCTTAGCTAAGAATCCCACTGAGAAGCCATAATAAACTGCCATAATTATCAAGTAAATGATACAAGAGAACCTAAGTTGTAGAAAGTATATGAAACACCTTGATGGATTATGGCATTATTGCTGCAATTTTGAAATGAAAAGTGCAGATTATTACCAGCATAAATAATCACATTATCCATTTTATCCTCTAAAATCTGAGACTTAGGAGTTCATTTTTGGGAAAGATTTGACATTTTGACTGACAGCCACTTAAAGAGAGAATCAGAGATAGCGAGCAGGCTAAACAAAAAATTGTTTCGATTTTAGAATATTTTTGGCTCAGGCCATTCCTTGTCATGTCTATTTTCTAAAAATCACAAAAGTGCATACTTTATTCAAGGAAAACGAAAGATTTTTACAATAATGTATTATTTTTCTATAAGAATGGTTACCATTCTTATTATTTGGGAGAATTTAAACATTTTTCACCCATTTTTGCACTTTGAATCATTAAGAGGGCCTGCCTGTAAAAATCAGGCAAAATCAGGTAGGGGCTGCCACATGACATGTCAGGAATATCAGAAAAAACTATGGAATATGAAAGCATGATTAATTAGGACATTCCTGATGCACATCATTGTTCTTGAAATCAACTCATTGTTATTGGGGAGCGTTGCTAAGCAACATACCATACAACCCATAATAAGACAAATGAATTTGCAGAAAATATGGCAAATAATAGCATTTTTGCAATTACTCTTACTGATAAGTCTCTCATTGTTAATCCTTCATACTTTGCATATACATAGTACCAATAAAACTTAATTGTTCCGTAGTGTTATTATGACGTCACATTGGTTGCTATGGTAACCAGGCCTGCTCAGAGTGGTGATGTTGATTTTCAATGAAAATGGCACCCATATTTAAGTTGATATTATGCACGCTTACAAAGGGCTCTTAAAACGGGATTGGGTTCATATGAAAGCGGGTATATAGGTCTTCTAGGAACTGCAATAAAATATCTGGGAATTTGAAAAATGTTAGAACAGGAGGCGAGCAAACTTGTCCAAAATATTTGGAATAAATCAGCTTTTTGACACTTTTTGATGAATTAAAAAAACAAATTCCAAAATTCTTTTCAATTTTTAGAACATACTACTTTAATATTTTATTCATAAGATATGCAGCATAAACACTCAGCTAAGCTTCTGGAATACTAAGCTTACAAATATCATTGTAAAATGTTGCCATGGGCATTGTGGTTTAACAGTATTTCACCTAGTGATAGGCAAAAAGTTACCGAAATTAATAATTTTGGACATATCTACAAAGTTTAATCACACATTACATATCTCTAACATTGAATTAAGGTTAAGATATTGTCTTTTATAGTTGTTACTTATTCAATTATGAACAAGTGGCATTGAGGGCATTGTATTATTATATAATTTCCCTAGCAACAACATAGCAACGAAGAAATATAGCCAAAAATTAGCTATTCTAGCCAATATACTGTACATGTAATTCTTAGCATTTCGTACATCGTAGGCACTCACTTGAGCTACAGAAAAGTTATTTTATTAAAAGCAATATATTTCTGCCCAATGAGCATTGTGATGTCACATTATTTCCCTAGCAACCACCTAGAAATGGGCAAGTGGAACCAAAATTAGCCTTTTTTACTTCCCCAAATTATCACTGTAGGTTCAAAGGTATTCCTAACCAAAAAATTTAAATTTCATTGACAAAAATAAAAAACAAATTACAGCAAAAATGTGACATACCCCTTTTGTCTAAGAATACCAATATCTTTATAAAGAGTGAGCCAATTTGAATAAAATATGGGTATACAGTGTGTATACAAAGGGCTTCTCAAATAACACCCCCCCCCACCCTGATCCTATCGTTTAGGTTACCAATAGCTCATGGTTTAAAGTAAATATATTACTTTTAATACTGTAGTTGTTTCTGATCAATTCATTTGTGCAAACAAGGCATTTTATTATCATAAAATTCCCCTAGCAACCACATAGCAACAATCAAATATAGCTCAAAGTCAACTTTCCCAAACAATATAATTTCTATAACATTCTAAACTTCATGGGCACTCAGGTGAGGTTAATAAAAATGTGTGAATTGTGATGCCACATTATTTGCCTAGCAACAACCTAGCCAAAATTAACATTAAGTCTCTTGTTTGCTGAGAATGTCTTGAACGTCGGTCAGAAGCCTGTTGTTTCCCCGTACTGGTGTACTGCTTTAAGGTACTCTATAACCTGAAATAGTATACACAAAATGAATAATTCAAGAGCATTTTAAAGACTTCTAAAGTTCTGAATAGTAATTTTTCTGTATCATGGAGGATTTTTACTAAGTCCATGTAAACTCAACATGAAAAAATAAGAAGAAATACAGATCTATTAGTTTTGGGATTCAAGAGAAAGGAAAAACTTCTGAAAATAGACACTCAGTATTAAAACAGATATTCCAATTGTTTCAGGTTGATACATTAAACTTACATGTTGCGGATGTCGTGCAGATTTTCTTTGTTTTTTTAGTGCCCAGCCCATGTCTGCTGTTAAAGGGCCTCCAGATTCAACATTAGGAGCTGCAATGTAGATAAGAGATATTGAATATAAGGAAAGAGCGAAACAAAGATATACCAAATGAATGAATTAACAACACTGTGCTAGATTAGTTTTACAGACTCAATGTTAGTGGTATATATTTTAAAGTTATGCTGTACCTTCAATCTGCTGTCTAGTTTGAAATCCTTTAACCCTTGCTACCCAATGTTGCCTTACAATATCTAGACTTGAGTGGTGATGTTTGACATGGTTGCCTATTATGTTGTGACAATGAAGCCCTCTGAGACTCCTAGAAAAGTAACAAGAATTTCAGTCAAATTTTACCAACATTTAAAATAGGTAGTGTGCAAACTGCAACCAGGCTCCCAGTGACCCTGGTTCATATTTGTTACACTTGGCTATAAATGAAGCTAATTATTTGTAGCAACAAGGAGTTAGTTGCATTGACCTTTAAAATTATAGCATATTGGTCTGTTCACTATTTTCCTGAACCTGAAATTTACAACCTTTTCAAAATCTTTATTTACCTGTAGATCTTGGTACATTTTGGCTCCTCACACTCCCATAAGCCACTATTGTCACCCCGATGGCTGGCATCATTTTGATGACTCACATGTAGCTCAGGAATATCTTCTGATTTCACGGAAAATGCCTTGTCCTTTGGGTGAGCTGGGAAGTCAATGGCGACATTTTGGTCAACAGGGTGTGGTGGTGGTGTATTATTCAAAGCCTCTTGTATCTCTCCATGGCCAATGCCCCAGTGCCTCCATGTTCTGATCCCATGCCTACTGTATTGGAATTAATTAAGAAATCCTATACCAACCATTCCTAAAAACAACAAGTAACCAAATTTTTAAAGGACATATATTATGGCAAATGAATTTTAACAGATTTTATGATATATACTCAAGATATAATGCTACACTATTTTCGAGGCTAAACACACCTGTCACTTTGGGAAGAATTGCAGGAGAGGCAGTCTGATTTGGTATTTGCATGATGCAGCTTTAAACGCCTTCAACTCCACCATGGCTGTCGATCGCCATCTTCATTTCCAGTGGATCTTTTATGTTGCCTCCAGAATTGACATATCTACGCATATGCATTTTCACGACGGCGCACATTCTATCACATATATCTTTTCCACATTGTGCCTCGCTAAAATGCACATGTGATATCTTGATCCCAGTCAGGTCTGCAGTGTGCTGGTAGGCAGCTAACAATGGTGCATTGTGGTAGCATCCAGCATTATCAGATCTCACAAGCGCATATTTTATGACTGGATGTTGCCTCTTTATAGTTTGGAGAAGGTGTTGAGTTATGCAATACACTGCCTGTGAGTCCTGTTTGGCCTCCGCAATTAGATGGATGTAAACAGATATCCGATAGCTGTCAGTTTCTTCACGTCGTATGGCAACAGAAAAATGCCATGAAAGGCCCTTTTTTCCGAAGAACTGTTGTTGAGTTTCTCTATGTAACATTGGAAGGAATTTCATTGCGAAATCTTGGATAATGTAGACCTGCAAAAAGAACACAATATGTTATTCAAATACTGTACATTATTGAATACACATGTTTCATACAAGAAATTATTGTTGCAAAAAAGGGAGAGTTTTTTTTATTAGACAAAAACTGACAAAGCTCATAAGCAAGATTGGATTCTAATATATTGAAATATTTTTTCATGAATTAGATACCTCATCTTTTTGCAAGTTCTCCAGCATGAATTGCTTGCCACAAGCTTGGGCAACTCCCCTCATCTGGTGATTCTTCCAGCTCTTAATATCTGCAACAGCTCTAGCATAGTCAATACGTATTTCTTCAAGAACACGACCAGGGATTCCTTGGGCACTGTTTATTGCTTCTTCTATCATGTTCAATGTTTGCACCATGGACGAACAATCATCACACTTTTCATCATGTTGATGCCTGCAGGCTTCTCTGTATTTGTGATTGTTTGGATCCCCAAGGCCAAGCTAAAATAAAGTGTTAATGGGTTTCACGTTTTGATGCATACTGTAATATTTCTTATATAATATAAGGATATGAACTCGAGGTCACTGAAGTCAATGTCATATAACATACAGTCAGAGTAGTCAAGGTTACTTGTGGTTAAGGTCACAAGATGTCAGACTCACAGGTGCTCAGAGTCACACAAGGTCACAAGTAAACACTTTCCCCTGTGATTTCTTCTTCATCTTTTTCAATAGCAAATGATTTGATATTTGACAATGATATATACATGTAGGTCTAATAAATATGCAAATTTTCACACTAATTCAAAATACTGACATTGAGCTTGAAAATTCCACAATGATTGTTTCGAAATGAATTTCAAATTCATTAAGTTTGCATGACCTACCTGGACACAGTGGTCTTTGCATTGGTCATTGTATGTCAGTTTCTGTTTGTAAACAAACTGAAGGTATACTTTCATTTTGTTGATGGCAATTTTCTGGGTTGAAAACCAAGCTTAATCTACAGTTCTGTACTGCAGCAGTAGATCTGATACTGAAATGAGCTTTTCTGCAGCTGTGAGCCCATCAGCAGTTATGTTGTCCAAACCTAAAATAGCAAATATAAATCATATTCATTCCTCTGCATGTTGATGTTAGAGCCAATCTCTATAAAAATTGCCATAAAGCATTTTAGTGGAATATGAATAAATTCTGGAATGGAATGAAAGCAAAATCATTATAATTCAACCATTCTCTCTTGGGGATTTTATTCAGCTTTTCTGATAAAAATTGTTTGCTTCTATGATTCATAGTTTTATTCCTATGTTTCAATGTTTCCCCCTATTCATTGTTAAGAGGGTATGTCAAATTAAATTCAATATTTGTCAGCTTTATCTTCTGGCTTGTTCCATGACTTAAAATTCAATCTAAAGCTGACACAGTATATTGGTCAAATCTCTCATTCTTTTATAGTTTTCAATTTAAGACAATATATGCACCCCATCCCCCTTCCTGACCAACGTGCAAAAGTCAAAGTTTTTGCTATAAATCAAGCAACAATGGACTTCACGACCTGTAATAAATACTTGTAAGTGACGTTATCATAACTAATAAAGCAATAATTCTATAAAGTGAAACAACTTCACACGAATTCTTGTATTTGAAAAATGAACTCATTAACTTAGTAAGAAACTGGATGATATACCCCTGGAGACTTAAAAAATGGGGACATTTGGAGTAAAAGGACTAAAAGTCGCGAAACATCTCTAATCATGTCTTATATACATATTGCTCCCCCCCTCCGTCCCCTCCCCCCTCCGTCCCAAATTCATTATTTTCGATTATTTTTTATTTCACGTATGGAAACTTATTTTATAAATTCAGCAATGACATTAATTTAGTTATGAAAACATCACTTACAAGTATTTATTACAGGTCGTCCAGACCATCGTTGCTTGATTTATAGCAAAAACGTTGATTTGTGCCTGTTGATGGCCTTGCGCCTTTTTTAATAGATCTCATACCTTAGATGCGTATCGTTTCAGAAAAAATCCCAGAAAACCTAACATATTCTACCATACCGTGCGCCTATCCATTTAGCAATTCAATAGTAAACGTTTTCTTGAAAAAATAAATCTTCCAGATTTGTTGAATTTTCTAGCAGAAATTGCCTGCTCCCCCCCCCTCCGTCCCATATTCACGATCACCGGGCGTGTATATATATATATATGGATGTCTGAAATTCTGAGCGATTTCTAAACTGAAACCGGTTTCATTGACATTTTTAGGAATAATAGAGTGTCATGTAAGGAAGAACTAATCTAAGAGCAATATGTCCACTACTCAAAATGAAATATGGTTTAAGATATCCTCTGCTCTTAAGAAATATCATTTTTATATTACCAAGGATGATATTGACTATCTGCACGAGATATTGAGAGATATTGAATATTCAATATTCACATTAGGGAGCAGGCGACCAATATTCAATGTTTTATGAGAGATGTTATTTTTATCCACAAGAGGTTATTCGATATCCACCAGTGAGCATAGTGAGTTATACTGGATAAATATGATTGGATGAAATCATACCTGAATTTTGAATGGGATTTTATATAGTAATTACCTATGATTACCTGGTAGACAGAGTAACCGTTCATTGTCATTTTGTTACTTTCAATGAATAGTTTAAAATTGGAGATAAAACAATTTTCAGAGCAGAGGATACAAACCAATAGCCTCATTGCCTGGTTATTTTATTTAGATCTAATGATGTCCCAGGACTGATGATGAACCACATATATTTCTTTTTGTGGCCCTTGTCGACCAAACAGTAACACTCACATCAGGTACCTTAAACAAACAAGCAGAAATAATTGAAGTTACCTACCTCCACCAAACATGCCAGTTACTCCCCATGTCAAAAAAATATCCCTGGCAAATGACAAACTGATTGGGCGGTCTTCTGGCTTTCCTTTTCCAGTATGACAAGGGTGCTGACAGAGTCGAGATGGCCTGAAGTGTATACCAAATGTCATCCTATGTTTGTTACAAATGTAAAGTGTTGATTCTGGACCAGAAAAAATACCTCCTCTGTATAATAACAGTTTAACTTCATTGACATTATCATTTTTATGTTCTCTCCAAAGCTTTAAATTTTTTAGGTGATTCTCCGTTTGCCTTTTACAGTCCTCTAATGGTACAGTGTCTCTCTCCTGGCAATACTGTACAAGGCAATTCATGCTTTATGTTTTAAAATATACTAATCAAGCCATAACCATTAGATTTAATCAAAATAATGAAAATATATTGAAAACATATTGATTTTAAAATTTTGAAGTATGGCAGACAAAAGTGACCTTGAACTACACTGGAAGAAATGAATATAGGAACCCGTCAACACTGTGATGTTGATGCACTACCGGGATAATAGACATGAATACTAGAGAATAGTATATTGAGTTTGGAAAAGTAAATTTATATTGCATAAGCTTTTCTGCATTTTAATGGTATTGTAAAGTAATGGTATTTTCTATTCCTGACATGTCAGAAATTTAATTGATGTAATTAATTGAAAAGTTAGAAAATTTAAAGTCAATCGGATTACCAACAAAAAGTTGATTCCAAAAGTCCTTATGGGGGCATTTACAGGCCTGTCAACTTGGGAACATCTAACATGAGTGACTTGGAAATGTTCAACACCTCCCCTCAAAATGTGGACACCTTGGTCCAAAAATCTGAACACCTTGATCCAAATTTTGAACACCTTTGTTTAAATTTTATTACATCTTGCCAAATTTTGAACACCTCAAATTTTTCGCGCTCGCTACGCTCGCGTTTCAAACATCCATCAACGGGGGGGGGGGGGGGGGGGGGGGGGGGGGGGGGGGGGGGGAGTAGGTACGAAAAATTTCGAACGGAATGCATGCCATATACTTAATTCGCGTGAAAAGTCAGAACGAAATGCGTACTTTTTTTTCCGGCGTTCGTATTTTTGCTGTGTAGACGATCTTTTTTAGAAATTTTTCTGCAGAAATATTTTTGCTTGACAATTACCAGGTAAAATGCGTATTTGCGTGACATTTTCTGTCACGCAAAAATAACTGGCGTGACTTCAAATTCTTCAGCAAATGCGTGACAAATACGCAAATTGCGGGACAGTTGACAGGCCTGCATTTACATTTATGCCCAATTCCTATTAATTAAATGTCAATGATGTGCATTGTGTAATCAAAGATTGCAAATCTGCCAAAAATGGCTAATTTGGGTTACATATAGTCCATTTCTAGGTGGTTGCTAGGCAAATTATGTAATTCCACAATTCTCATTGTACATAAATAGATTGGTTTTAATTAGACTTTCTCTAAAGCTTAACTGAGTTCCCATAACATGATAGCATTGGCTAGCATAGCTCATTTTGGGCTATAGTTCCTCGTTGCTATGTGGTTGCTAGGGACATGTTTTAAATAATACAATGCCCACAATGCCTATTGCACATGATTGATGATTACAACTATAATTTGAAAGGATAGTATCTTAACATTGATTAAATATCAATGATGTGTAACATATGATGAAACTTTGTAAATCTGGCTAAAATGACTAATTTGAGTCTCTTTTTGCCCGTTGCTAGGTGGAATACTGTTAGGCAACAATGCTCATTGAAATATTTTACAATGGTATATGTAAGCTTAGTATTTCCTGAGTTAAGCTGAGTGTCAATGCTGCATATCTTATTAATAAAAAGCTGATTTTTGCCAAATATTTTTGACAAGTTTACTTGCCCCCTGTGCTCATATTTTTCAAATTCCCAGATATTTTATTGCATTTCCTAAAAGACCTATATACATGCTTTCATATGAACCTAATCCCATGTTAAGGGACCTTTGCATTTGTGCATACTATCCACTTAAAATGGGTGCCCATTTACATAGAAAATCAACATGGCCACTCTCAGCAGGCCTGGTTACCATAGCAACCAATGTGACGTCATAATGATGTCACAGAATAATAGATCAATATCAATATATTATATATACAAAGTATCAAGGGGAATCAATCATGCAATTATTTTCAAGACCTTGTGCAAAAAGTGCTATATTTGTCATATTTTAGATGAATCAACACCCCTCATTTTGAGTGTGGGGGTCAGTTGCTTAGCAACGCTCCAGCAAAACAATGGAACAATTATATGAAAAATAAAATATGCCATTAGAGTCTAAATTGAATAAACTTTGATATATAATGGTGTTTTTTTATATTCCCAACATGTCATGTGGCATGTTTTGCCTGATTTTTACAGGCAGGCCCTCTTAATAACTTCACCAATTTATAACATATTGTGAATCTTTTGGGAGATATTGTATTTGATATTGTAAGGAATAGATTGCTAGGTCAATTATGCACGTTGCTTGTAATTTTGTCATCCCCTATAGATCTGATTCTGCCTTTAAAAAGGACCTGTCATTTTGTATTTCAGAATTGGCATAGTGTTTGTTGTATCAGATGACCCAGAACTCGATGGCTTCAGTGATCTTGGCATTGCATTACTTCGTGCATTCAACTTCATCAAAAATGACAAAGACCTCAATAAGGCTCTTTCTTTTATCACTGATGTAAGTATAGTTTATCAATATCGAGAATTAGCGACATATTTGATTAATAATAAAATCCAAAATGAATAATGATTGTAGATTACTGAGACAGGTTTTATTGAACCTAGTCTCTTTCTGCTTTGTATTTACATATTTATTTGACTTTAACATGTAGAGGATATTTGTAACTTTGTTAGCAGTTTGTTTTGATGAAAAGGATAATCATGTTAGCACACATTGACTGTGGGAAACCCCTAAAAAGTATTGTAAACACAATGAGGATTGAATAAGTAAGTAGTATCAAAAACTACAACCAGTTTAAACATGACAAAACCAGAAAGTTGAAATTGATATTAAAATAATACTATTCACTTTTGGGTTATTGCAACAAGATTTGGGGATTTCTGTTAATTTGACTTTGCCAGCCATATAAGGGAAAGAAATGTATCACATCTGACCAATCAGGATTTACCATATGTCTGTTATAATTTGTAGGTTTATGAAAGAGATGGTGTTGAAACAATAGATTCTGAGAGTGTCATTGAAGAATTCAAAGATCTTTACTCTGATGAGGATGTCAAAGATGTCTTTGGGGACGATTCGGATTATGATGACCAGAGACAGGTACTGTATGACGTGAAATATATATGAACTTCTAATGCCTCAATTGCCGATAATGCTGTCCTGTCAACAATGGCAATTTGTCCAAATGTAACCGATTAATTTATAGAAATAAATGTGAAGTATGTAAAAAAACAACAACTTGTAATGCCTCAGTCACATTTAATCTACGGCAACAAGAGAAATATGCAGCAGGAAATATAGGGATAAGCAGTACGATGTAGATTTCTATATCGACTTTGTATTAAGCTATGGCCACTGTACAACTGTCGTGGAGCAGATGTGACTAGGGCTTTACTCTTAGCAATGGTCTATGTATAACAGAAGCTAATTAAGTCCATTACAATAATAAAAATATTGCCTACAACCTATGACATCATCAATAGTTGGCAGGATGACTTAAGTTAGTTTAAGATAATTATGTTCATTTTAAGATACGAGTACATTACCAAGATTTGATCTGAATTATGATGGTTGACCAAACATAAAATTAAACTTAAGGACACTTTAGAGATAAAATCCTAAGGAGATCACTGTAGTAAAATTAAAATCCTCTGCAAATTATATGAAAATATCAAATTGAAGACAAAACAAGAAATGTTGAAGAAACTTTCCACATTTTCTTTTATTTCAGGCTGCAAATTTATTTTACAAGAAAACTGGATTAGGAGCTCTTCCCCAAGTTTTGATGAATGGAGTACCACTATCCCAAGATTCTTTGACCTCAGATAGCTTTGAAGAGGCTGTGGTTGGTCAGATATTGCAGTTCACTCCTGTCATACAGCGTGCTGTGTATAATGTGAGTCTAATTTTGAATTAAGATGGTTCCGTAAGGTGAGAATACAATCATGATTTCAATTAATGATAATTAGTAAAATGAGTTATATTTTTCGAAACTTGATGTAGATGTTGACATAGTTCAAAATCAAAATATTTTAATGTATTGCCAAAATCATTCAAAATTAGTTCTTGATGCAAATGAATGGATAGGCCATAGTTTTGAGGAATATACGAAGACCTGGAACAGCACATGTAAATCAACTTATTTCGTTACCATGGTGAATGCATGTTTTTTCCTTGTGTTGCCTTAAGTATTTTCTGATGTCCAAAATAGGAAGTAAATATTTTATATTTTTAGGGAAAACTCACTGATTCAATGGATGTTTATGATTGGATAATGAACCAAGAGAATGTTCTCCCTCGACTTAACGACCGTGTCCTCGGAACTTCTAACACTTTTGTGGATTTTACAAAAAACACAGGTTTGTGTCTTTATATTTCGAGACGAGTTGTCAATCTTTTCAATATTTCTCAAATGCCTTAATACTTTAAATGCAATGTGTTATCAAATTCAACTAACATATTCTCATTAAATTATAGTTCAGGATGTATAATTTTATTTTATTTGCTTTCGTATAAGTCTGAGATGTGCTTCACTCAAATTAAAACAAACTGTTAAACCTATCCAAGTGGAACACTCTATGGATCACAAAAATGTTATCAACTTAGGACCTGTTCCGTTTATAAAGGATTAATCAACGTTGCAAAGAATCACAAAATCAAAAAGTGTTTCCAGTGATTTCCCAAGCATTAAAGCAAGTGGGTGCAGCATACACCTGAAAATAGGCCTGCACCCACCTAAAAATCTATTAGCACCCACTTGAAAATGAGAAAAATCATGAAAATTGGCATATTTTTGAACAATTGACCAATTTCGGTCTGAATTGTGAAAATGAGAATTTTACACCCACCTGAGAAAAAATCCCAAGGAGATCAATGGTTTCAATTGCAGAGGTTCTGATTCTACAATTGACATGTTTTTCTGTTCCTTATTTTGCAATTGTATTTAATTATAGATGCCAGTAGATTTGAAAGTCCTGATCAATTCTCGAAGCTATCCCCACAAGAGATGACCTCTGTCATGGCCCAAAATATGAAATATATAACAAGAAAAGGTAGGTTACTATTTGTTTGAGTTATCGTTTCATTACCTTTAGAGAAAAGATACATATCTGAATGTCATCATTTAGTTTTTATGTCTCCACCAAAAGTGGTGTCTCCAACTTTTTTGTGGATGGTGTTCAGCTGCTGGTGTTCAGTGGTTGGTGTTTTGTACTCTGTGTCTGTAACAGTGTATGGTGTTCGTAACAGCATTCGGCGGTACTCAGTTGGCAATGGCAGGTGGTGACATTTTGCATGTTATAATGTTTTACCTTGATTTGAATGGAAAACCATATCTTTTTATTGAGTGAATAAGCTTTTAATTTAAATGTTTTGAAATGGCATCGACCTTTCTATATCAATATACAAATTCTCTTTTTGGTTTTTGATCCTCGGTATGTCCCTTGGTATGTATTCAATATGTTTTGCTGATTCTGTTCTTTCTACTCTATTCTGTGCTTTAACCCTTAAATGATCAAAACCAATAAAAAGTTTCAGATTTTCTTTGAAAAATTTGACTGTCCTTGTGTTTATTGATATAGAATCATAGAGCATCAGAAAGCTCATGAAACTATATATTTTCTGAATGCTCAAGCCATTAACTATTCAGAAATGACATAAAAATGTACATTTGACAGCTGGTATGGGTATGGTAGCTCATCTAATTGAATTGAAAAGCGAAAAATATACCTGATTTTGCTGTGCCACAAAATAATCTGTAACACCTTGTGTAACCCCTTGTAATTGCATGTCAGCTACATAAATTGGTCTATAAATTTGTAAACTCACCCACTACTTGTTACTATTGAAGTCTGAATCATCATCACTTTTTCCCGGCACATCCCTTATTATAATATGCAATGCTTCTTCAACACACACTCGTCGACATCCATTAGACGCCATTTTGTTACTCAAAATCTGTCTTTGAGTGCAAAATTGTTGTAATAATTGATGAAAAACTATCTATTTTCGATATAAACTCAATTTTTATTTGCTAAATGTAAAGTTCAAGGTCACATCTCAGAAGGAGGCTCAGATAGGGGAACCCGCGACTTTTCAAATGTCTGCTTTTTACAAATGTAAACAATGTATGGAAAGCACACCTTGAAAGCGCGGTTGATCATTTACGGGTTAAAATGTGCTCACCTTGAATTTTCATGATGAATATACATGTTTTATATTAATTGTAGATGAAGAGAGTATAAGAAGTATGACCACTTGGGTTGTTTGCGATGTAGAAACACCAGAAGGAAGGGAACTCATGTACAGCGCCATCAAACAAATGGTGAGTTATTATCTATGTTTCTGAGTGGGGTATAAGAAACATGAGTATATGGGTGGTTTTTGATATCAAAGGTATTCACCTAAAATGAAATTAAATATAAGTTTTATTATACACTGTTTCCTCACTCACATTAATGAACATTAACAAACTATTGATATCTACTAAATAATAACAATTTATTCCCGGGCATAAATAAAATTAAGAATACACTGGACTAAGTCGTGACGGATGAATGACATTTGATATTCAACAGAAGTCACCTGAATATCGTTGAATATATCACTTGTTATTTTTGGTCACATGTAGAACGTAGACCAATCAGAGAGTGAGGAATATGACAGTGATATAATTATGTACAATATTCATATTTGACAATGTTTAATATTTTGTGTCTTTTAGAAAAACTCCAATGATGTACGTCTGGGTCTAGTATTCAACACAAAATCGCCAGGAGATGAAAATTTCTTGTCACGCGCAATTTATGTTGCCATGACAACCTTAGAACCAAATATGGCCAAAAGCTTTGTCACTAAGCTTGTTAAAGAGGAAAATGTGAAAGATTTAAAGAGTGAAGTGAAGGTTTTAGCTGACTTTGAAGTGCATGTGAGTAACGCTGTTAAAGGCCCTATGTAAAATTTAAATCATTTTGACTTATTATGTTCTTACCAAATGTCAAAATGTGTTGTGTAAAAATGTACAGAACTGTATAGGACTGAAAATTGATAAAATGATTATATTAACTAAATAATTTAATTTTAAAAACTATACATGTATAATTTAAATATTTAAAATATAATTTTTAATTTGCAAGATATTCCCCAATTATTACAAGTTAGTTATTACAACTGGAAAAAAACTTAAGCTTCATAGGATATGACATTTATCTATTATTTTAGGGGATGGATATGAACGGTTATACTCAAAATCTGAAACACCAGTCAGGAACATTCCTCAAGACGCATCAAATATTTTGTGAAACTGTTCTGAAAATGGAGCCTGGGAGTCGAGCTGTGATCGCTAATGGCAAGGTAGTGTATTTTTTATATACTGGAGTACCTGAAAAGTTGTACAAAAAGGATTTTTGATATCGAATTCATATTAGATGTAGTATCAGATACAATTGGATACCTTCACATATCAACGAAATCTGTTGTTAAGGCCAATGGTCATTGGCTAATTGGTTATTAGATCACTAACATTTTTTTTTCGTTTTTTTTTTCACCAGGTATAGAATTGTAGATATTTAGGACATTTTTGTCAATATATGCATGCCAAGAATGATGAGGGCTGCTCAAATTATGGTCCATTTATGGTCAAATTGCCCTTGATATATTTGCCAGCCACCAGTTCACCAGTTTAAAAGTTAAAAGAAACAAGATTTTTCTTGGCTTGAGACGCTACTTAGACCTGCTTAACAAACGCTGAACATAAAAATGACTCAATTAATATTTTTCACAATAGGCCTAATTTATTCTTCACCTGAAACATTCAAACAACTAAAATGAATGCATTTTGAAGGATTTCATTCCCTTTCATCCTTTACATATAATCTATTTATTATTTAGTGAATATATTCTATTCTCAACAGTCCATTATGCAACATCCATGATTTTCATTTCACTCTTGGACACTGGTTCCATGTGTATTCCATGGATTCTTATTCTCCTTGTAACTTATCTCAAAATATTTACTTTTTTTATTTAATGAATTTATTTTTTATTTAATTCCACAGTTAATTTTCAACATTCATTTTTTTAAACTTGGCATTCATTGTAACCTTTTTCAAAATATTTCTTTAATTTAATGAACATATTGTCATGTTTATTCTTCTTCTTCCTCTTCTTCTTCGTCTTCACAGTTCATTCTGCATCGTCCAAAATCTTTATTTGACCCAGGGACAGCGACACATCCCAGATCGGCAATAAGCATACTGGGGCACTCACATGTCTGTATACCATTGTAGACCAAACATTTTGATTGCCTATCACCAATATCAAATGGACACCTCAGCGTACATTCTTCCTCTGCAATAATCCATTGATTTTAGGAGTCTATAAAAACTATGTTTACTCATGGAAATAATAATAATGGAGAAACTGTTAAATGGAAAATTATGTATTCTCTCGTGGAAGTAGTTATGATGGAAAAACAATTTTAATGGAAATAATGATTTTTCATCGAAATAATAATGGAAAAACTATTTTTTGGAAATCATGTTTCTCATGGAAATAATGATATAAGAACAATTTTATTAGAAATTATGTTTTCTCATGGAAATAATAATAATGGTAATTATGTTTTCTCGTGGAAATAAAAATAACGGAAGAACAATTTTTGGGGAAATTGTGTTTTCTCATGGAAATAATGATGACGGAAAAAGATTTTTTTTTAGAAACTATGTTTTCTCATGGAAAAAATAATAATGAAGAAACAATTTCATGGGAAATTATGTTTTCTCATGGAAATAATGATAATGGAAAAACTGTTTATTCATGGAAATAATCAAAAAAACGGAAAAAAAACTATATTTGACCAGGAAAAAATCATTGTGGATCATAATTATTGGTATTGGGTCCTGGAAAAATTTCAGAAAGATTATCTACACAATTGACTGTTGTCTCACCTGTTCTTATCTCACAATATGTTCCTCTGTAGAATCCTGCACATTCACAATAAAAACCTACACCAAATGTACACTTGCCATTATCACCACATACCTAAAGGGTGAAATGAACAGTAGAGAATGTGCGAGTTCCTTATTGGCTCACAATGAACAGTGGAGAATATGTCAGTTCCTTATAGGCTCACAATGAATAGTGGAAAATGTGTGTGCCAATTCCATATAGGTTCACAATGAATAGTGGAAAATGTGTGTGCCAATTCCATATAGATTCACAATGAATAGTGGAAAATGTGTGTGTCAATTCCATATAGGCTCACTATATGAGACTAAGAGCTCCTAGATTCTTAATGTACTTGCAGAAATAATCTAATAATCACACACTCACAATCTCACATACCTTGTTGTTCAAAACACAGGGGTTACCTGGTCTAGGATCCCCTTCATTTGGAACAAGATAAACTAAAATAAACAATTATTACTTATTAATTGTTATTTATTTGACAGTTAGCATGTATGCATTTGCCAGTATTTTCATGCCATTTGGTTAATAATTCCTAAACTAAGATTAATAGTATGAAAATACATACCGCCTATAATTTCCTTTGCATCAACCACTGTGTCATTAGCTGTATTTAAAGTTGTCTTCATAGAATTTGTCTTTCTCTTAACAGAACCAGTTGTTCTCATGAATGATCTCACGCTTTTTTCAAATTTATTTAAAGCGATGTCTTGCTTTGTTAAAGCATCTAATATTTCCTTTGAATTTTTGATAGGGTACTCGGCTGAAGTTATTCGAAGTCTCAAAGCAGCATTATCTTCCTAAAAGATAAATATTATGAGATTGATGTGGGGTATTTTACAACATTTTAAGACACGTTATGGGGTTTTCTTAACGTTATTAAATTTATTGTTGGACTATTGTTTATCAATCAATTTGGAAGATAGGATACTGTAATAATGTGTCCAATTAGATCTTAAAATTGAGAGTCATAATGAAAGCTGAATATGAGCTGAATGTGTTATCATACAATCAAAAATAGTTCATTAAGTTCTAAACATAAAGTATAGAGGCTCAGCATTTATCTTCTTCTAAGGCCTTCACTGATGCAAACCATTAATTCCTCGATGTTGTATTTTGATAAAGTCATGTCGTGATCATAAAAGGTGAGTTGTTTGTAGAGTGAATTGGGGGAGTTTTTTCATGCATTTCGCTTGTGTTTTTCATCTTAAGAACATCAATACACTTTAAAACATTTTATTGACTATAAGATTGAACCATATAATCCCCAAAAATATTTCTCATTTTCATGGATTATCTATGGATTAACACCCAGGTATTTTTATTTTTCAAACTTCAGAGTCAAGTAATTATCTAGACACTTGAGTCACTCCACATGATTCTATGATTCTACCATGGAAACTATTTAAAGCTATCTTTTCAGATATTCGCTGTGAACAAAGACGTAGATGACCAATATGATATTTATGCCTTTCACTAACCTTTTGTTTCTTAATCTTTGCTCTAACAGCTTTGTACGATTTTTTGATTTCTTCTGCAGATGATGATAACATACTTTCATAGTTGAGGTAATTTCCAATAGACTCAATGACATTGTACATTTCTTTTATATTCAGGATTCGGTTAACAAGTTCTGGGTCTGCTTCGTATGGGTACATGTCATCTCCAGCAAAAGTATTATGTCCATAAATGGTCAATACCAAAATAGTGAAAAATAGTTTTCCATCTACATGAAAAAAATGTAAATTAGAATTTATACGAACTACAGCCATTCTAGGGTCATCCTGTAGCATCAAATTTTGTTTTTAAGGTGCTTATGCAATCATTGATAATTTCGTTAAAAAGGTTCTGGTTTATCATAATACTTTAAGTAAAGAATTGATCAATAATTTTTATTAATAAAAAACTTCTAGATCCAATGATAATATTTCAGTCAATTATTCTGTGTTTATTCTTGTTTGGAATCTAAACATATTTTTAAATAATAAACATTAGTAGTCTGACCACTTTTTGGATAGCGATTTATTGAAAATTATTAACTTACCCATTTTTATATTAGATGCTCTAATGTGTTTGTGAAGATAGTAATAAGTAATATAAAACATTAAATTAGACCACAAATCGTCAATATATTTGAACAATGATATTTGTACAAATAATTTTCCATGTTCTGGAAATATTACCACCTTGCAGAAATATTGTCTCTATTTTGCATTTATAATTGAGAAAGCATCGAGAAATATACATAAATTAATATTTATACAATCTCCATATTGCTTTCAATTTGCTATTTATTTTTAATATATAAATTATCATGCAGGACAAATTGGGAATTGATTGAATCTTCAAAGACAGTGTTTTATATTTGTAAGACTAATTTAATTTACTAATTTGATTTGATGTTGCACCTTCCTGAAATAATTCTAAGTATTTAAGTCATAGAATTCATCAATAATATAGGACATTGTTAAAGCATCATACAACATATAGCATCATATTTTATATAGCATCTTTTATCACTGGATTTGTCTTCATTAAGTTATATTTTATTCTAACGTCTGAATATGAGGAAAGGTAAGGGTAATGAAAATCAACTATTTGTAAGATGAATTTTATTGTTTTTGATAAAATATATCGCTCAATGACCTGTAACAGTTCCAACACATAGATAGCATGATGTGGGGTAAACTGCAGAATGTTATTAAATTGATCATAGTTCGATGATTTAAAAGTATTGCTTTTTAGTTTTAATTAAATTTATTCAATGTCAAATGCATTTCAGTATATTGACAATTATTTTGATGTGAGTAAAAGTCGGTGTATATATCTAAGCACAAGTGCCAAAGGGAAAAGGACCAAAAACTATAAAGTAACCTAACAAGAAAAGCAAACTCTAAGTGTCATAATTAAAATTAGACTCTATACATACCCAAAACTATGACCAAACATTAAGAGAAACAATGTCTAACACCCCCCTTCCCCCTCCAGTCGAGTCAATGTCACAATCCAGGACCAGAACCCAAGGGGATATTTCATTCATATTGAAGTCATTACAGTACATGTTGCAGAAAAATAACCAATTCTCCATAGCATCAAAAAATAGTTGAAGATACTATATCTAGTACTTATAAAAGAGCATTCAGTCTCAAATGATGTGGGATAGATTTAATTTAATTTAAGCCGTTGCCATAATCTATAATACACATTCAAACATGACCGTGCTCTATTTGAATTTGTAATCAAATCAGAATGCAGCATAGCCAGTAATGATCATTCATCATTTCTCCATACAGGCACTACCGTGCTCTATTCAATCTGCTTCCAGGAATTTATGTTCATGCATTGTGTTGTATTATGAAGCCACACCTGGGAATGGCGAAAAATAACAGCAAGTTTGATTATTTCATTGACCTAAATCTCCAATTCTCTGAACAAAGGTTTCTTTATTTATGTTTGAATCGAAATTTTGCACGAGATGGACAGAATGTCGTACAGAGCATGAACCGAAGGTGAGTGCATTTATACTGACATTCTGTCCAATGAGTGGCCTATCATTATTTATTCCTTATATAATTCAAAATGTTCATCAGGAGAAAACTATGGCTGCTATATTCTACGTACATTGAACATGGAATTGAGACATATTTATCTTGTTTATATTTACATCAGTTTGTTTCATCAGTCACAAAGAATTTATGGCACTTAGATTACCATTTTTTATGAATATTATTAATCATGCAAATAACTGAACTTTGTTTAATGATTCTTTTTAGTACCTTTAGTTTATTTTACTGTCAATGTGTTGAGGTAAATGCAACTTGAGAACAATCATCTCACTCATAATTCTAGTATACCAAAATGATTGTTTACAAATATTGAACCAATAGCTTTGTTTCATGATAGAGGAAGTAATCCAATCCCAACCAATCCCAAGTCTAAAGTTTCAAAGTGATATCTGTAATACATATTTGAGTATTTAAAAGAGGTATCATTCCTGTCCAAGTGCCAGGTTCCAAGAGATAAAGGATGAGAGATGGGACATTCCAGGGAAATTGTTATATCTGTTGATTAAAAAACACAGTTAGATACGTAAAGAAACACACAATTATGTACAAACAAAACAATATCCTATTACCCCTCCCACACCATTTAGGAACCGTTTAACTTCTACAATGTTGTAGTCTAAGAAAAACGAAGAACATAAATTTTGTTTTGTTTCATAAAATATTTGACACGATTTAATGAATGCATTATAACATTTCTTCATTTCATTCTTCTTCTTCTTCGTCTTCACAGTTCAATCTGCAATATCCATAATAATCATTTGACCCAGGGACAGCGATACATCCCAAGTCAGCATATATCACAGTGGGACACTCACACGTCTGAAAACCATTGTAGATCACACATCTTGATTTCCTATCCCCAATATCAAATGGACATTTCAGCGTACATCTTTCATCTACAATTAACACATTAATTTTAGCTGTAAAAATCATGTTTACTCTTGGAAATAAAAATATTGGAAAAACAATTTTATTGAATCCTACCACATGGGAAAAATGATTTGGGGTTGTATATATATATCTGGTTTTGTTACATGGAAAAATCATTTTGGGTCATATTTGTTGACTGATTTTGGATATCAGAGTAATCATTTTGGATCATATTTGGGACTTGGAAATTTGTGGAAGATTATCTATGGAATTGACAAGTTGCTTACCAGTTTTGTCCTCACAATATGTACCATTGTAGAACCCTGCACATAGGCACTGAAAAGCTTCGCCAAATGAACACAAACCATGTTTACCACACACCTAAAGGATGTAGTTTTAAAACAGTTAAGAAAGTGTGTTGATTCCATCATTAGAGACATTAACTACTAGATTTTCAATGCAACCGGAAAAATAGTCTCACATACTCACTTACCTTCTGGTTCAAAATACAGGGATTACCTGGTACAGGACTCTCTTTAGTTACATTCAGATAAACTAAAATAAAAGAAACAATTAAATATTTGACAGTAAACATGAAATAGCCAAAATAGCATATCATAAAGAATGACTAATTAGGTGGAAAAAGATCAGGAAAAGTAAACTTAAGGTATTTTGTCAAAAATGGCTTTAGTTCAGAGAATTTAGAACAAAATCTCAAAAGTTAAGTTGGTTCATGATTCATTTTTTTATATTGTCATCTATGGGTTGCATTTCATTTTTCCTTTATATAAATTACAGCACATTAATGAATAAGGCCACTACAAATTCATTGTATACTTAGAAGTGCCATCTGGACCACCATCCAAAAATACAATTAATTTCAACCAAACAAACAGTTAAAAATTTGGGAGCCTAAGGGGCTGGGTCAAAATATTGATGTCTGTCAAAATTTGTAATTAATTTAGGTTTTGATCCCCTCTCCCCCTTCTTACGAAAGTGAAAATGGTGATGAAATTTTTCTCAAAGAAATTCCCACTTATTATATGCTTCGTTTACAATTTTGCTTTATGAATCCAAATGTTGTTTTCTAGAACATTTCCAAACCGAATCAGTTGGACCTTTCACTTTTTAATGGGCAACACCATTGTGAAAATGCCAGGATGTATTTTATACAATGAACGAAAAGGGAATGCAGAAATTGCAGAAATTGCAAAAGATAAAACACAGGGAAACTTAATTAATTAAAATTAATGTCGGTCACCAATGTCTGTAATTAAATAGCATTTTACACCCTCTGCCCTAAAGTAATTAATTATGTTTTTTGGAGGACATTGATGTTTTGACTGGGCACCTAAACCAAAAATATCAAAACTATAGAAATACATGTACCTACCATTGATAATATCTTTTGTATCAGTCACTGTATCATTAGCTGCATTTAAAGCTGTCTTCATAGAATTTGTCTTTTTACTAATAGAATCAGTTATCTTCTTGAATGATCTTATGCTTTTTCCGAACTTGTTTAACGCAATGTCTTGCTTGTATAAGGCATATAAAATTTCTTCTGCATGTTGAATAGGGTACTCAATTGACTCTATTTTTTGGCTTAAAGCAGCATTGAATTCCTAAAAGATCAATGTTATGAGTTTATATCATACATTGTGTTGGGCATATACATTGTGTAAGGCATATAAAATTTCCCCTGCATGTTGAATAGGGTTCTCAAGTGACTCTATTTTTTGGCTTAAAGCAGCATTGAATTCCTAAAAGATCAATGTTATGAGTTTAAATATCATACATTTTGTTGGGCATATACATTGTGTAAGGCATATAAAATTTCTTCTGCATGTTGAATAGGATACTCATTTGACTCTATTTTTTTGTGTTAAAGCAGCGTTGAATTCCTAAAAGATCAATGTTCTGAGTTTAAATATCATACATTGTGTTAGGCATATACATTGTGTAAGGCATATAAATTTTCCTCTGAATGTTGAATAGGGTACTCAATTGACTCTATTTTTTTGTGTTAAAGCAGCATTGAATTCCTAAAAGATCAATGTTATGAGATTAAATATCATGCATTTCTCAGATATGCTGAGGGGCTTATGTTATGGGGTTTATTATTGGACTATGTGGAAGATGGAATACTATAATGATTAAAAGTGTGCCCAATTGGGTCTAAAAATTGGGAGTCATTGTTTCAACATCCTCTTTTAGGAAACTGTAGGGCCAAAAATCTTACCTTTTTTGGCAAAATTTGGCTTTTCTTGGCTCCTTGGCCAAATTATCAAATATGGACCTTAAATGTTAAAAATTTGGGCCCAATTTTTGGCTTTAGGGGTCTGGAAATTTAGGGGTCTGGAATTTTCACCTAACTAGAAATGTAGCCCCCCACCCCCTTGGTAGCTTCTGGATCCGCCAGTGAAGATCATTTGAAAGTCCATGGTATTAGTAGTAAGAGGACCAACAAGATTCATTTTCATGTCCTTCACTAACCTTTTGTTTTTTAATCTTTGATCTGACAGCTTTGTAAGATTTTTGGATAGCCTTTGCAGATGCTGACAACATACTTTCAGAGTTGAGGTAATTTCCAATAGAATCAATCATATCATTCACTTCTTTTATATCCAGGATTCGGTTTACAAGTTCTGGGTCTGCTTGGTATTGGTACTCCTCAGCAAATGTATGATGTCCATCAATGGTCAATACCAAAATAGTGAAAAATAGTTTTCCATCTACATGAAAATTTATATGAATTACAGCCATTCTAATTTTAATGAATAAAAAGTTTCTAGATCCAATGATAATATCTCAGTCAACATGGTCAATTACTCTGTGTTTATTCTTTTTTTGGAATTAAGATATGTTTTAAATAAAAAAAATTGCAGTAAATACACTTTTTGGATAGCTATTATAAAAAATATCAACTTACCCATTTTTGTTACAAGCTTTCAAATATGTCTGTGAAGATGGTGATATAGTAATGTTAGTAATGTAAAATATTAAATTATCTTATAGATGCTATGTTTATTTGAACAATGATATTTGCACAAATAATTATTGATGTTCTAGAAATACTACCACCTTGCAGAAATAATGTCTCTATTTTACATTAATAATTGACAAAGCATAGAAAAATATACATAAATTAATTTTCATACATATTCTGTATTGTTTTCATTTGTTATCAATTTTTAATACATAAATTTGTATACAGGACACCTTGAGAATTGATTGAATCTTCAAAGACAGTTGTTTATATCTGTAAGACGGTAATGTACTAATTGCATATGATGTTTAACCTTCCTAAAATAGTTTTAGTATTTAAGTTTTAGAATTCATAAATGATATAGTGAAATTATTAAAACATCATATTATGCTTTAATATTGGGTTTGTTTTCATTAAGTAATATTCCATTTTCAATGCCTGATTGTAAAGAAAGGTTAGAGCAATAGAATCAAATTATTTATAAGATGAATTTTATTGTTTTTGATGAAATGATATCGTTCAGTGACCTGTAGCAGTTCCAACACATAGATAGCATGTGGGAGTTAGCACTCTGGTACTAGTAGACTGTTGATTGTACAGAATGATATTAAATTAATCATTGTTTGGTAATTAAAACAAGTTGCTTGTGGGAGTTAACACTCTGGTAAACTGTTGATTGTACAGGATGTTATTAAATTAATCATTGTTTGGTAATTAAAACAAGTTGCTTGTGGGAGTTAACACTCTGGTAAACTGTTGATTGTACAGAATGTTATTAAATTAATCATTGTTTGGTAATTAAAACAAGTTGCTTGTGGGAGTTACCACTCTGGTAAACTGTTGATTGTACAGAATGTTATTAAATTAATCATTGTTTGGTAATTAAAACAAGTTGCTTGTGGGAGTTAACACTCTGGTAAACTGTTGATTGTACAGAATGTTATTAAATTCATCATTGTTTGATAATTAAAACAAGTTGCTTTGTAGTTTTGATTAAATTTATGCAATGTCAGCTGTATTTCAATACATTGGCAATTTTGTTTATATCTGTAGAAGTCAATATACATTATAAATATTGAGACGTATGTATCTTGTCGGTTTTTCATTATTTATAATAACATCTTCATAGTCCATTCTATATGAGCCTTACCATTCATTACTCCTGGATACTAACACATTAACCTTCATTTGTTATTTATATAATTATAACTTACATAGAACATATAATGATCAAAACTCCAGAAAGATTTTATTGAATATTAAATTTTATCACACCAGAAAGAAAAATGAAGAACACAAGTTTTGTAACACAAGAGAAACCCATATTTAAACACAACATTTTGACAGTAGAAAACAGTAGAAAAAGTATACAATGCAAACGTTTTGTAATAAATAGGCTATGAAACTGTTCTAACATCAGTTTTTGTAACATTGAAAATACCGTATTCTCTGTAATTACCGCCCACTCTCTAATAAGCGCCCACCCCGCTTCAGAAAGTTCAAGAAACATCGAGGAATCAACAAGAATTGAAGCATATATCAGGAAAAAAATATTTCTCAAAATCCAGGAGCGGGCGATAATAGAGTACTTACCCTAAAACTGCTGTAATCACGACGCATTTTGTAATTCTATGCATCCTCTCGATACATATCTATCGATGGGTGCTTCCCACACCATACCATGCTAATATTGTCTCCAAATAGTCCATAATGAATGAAGGAATTGTTCTTTATCGGCATTCAGAAATTTCAAAAGCTACTGCGCAGATGTTCTGCGCATGTCAAGGTCGTGAACTTTCTGGTTTCTTTTTAATGTTTCTCGACTTTTGCACGAATAATGATGATCTCTCATCAAATTAGAAATAATGTATAACTTTAGATCGATATCCAGCAGTCTCTAGTGGTAATATTGAAGGTAATCGGCGATAATGACAAAGTGGGCGTGCCGGAAATAAATTAGACATAGACGGGTCTTCAACCACTGTCAATATTGTCTAAGCGATCTTTACCGTATTCTCTCCAATAACAGCACTTGTCATATTATTATAAAAATATGTTGAAGAAAATGCATTCTTGTCAAGAAAAATTGCCATACATGAAATTCCTCAGGATTTCTGATTTCTTTCATACATGGGCGCTTATTAGAATGGTCTAAATAATGTATTTTCAATTTTCTAAACGCCCTGGGCGCTAATTACAGAGAATACGGTATTTAAATTAAACAGAACATAATGTCTTAGCTCCAAAAATTGAATTTTAAACTTTTTATGTCACCAACAGATTATTATAGTCTCTTTTGTGGACAGTATTTGGCATTTGATGGTACGTGTACAGCATCTGTAATAAATGGAAGGTGTTGTTATTTTGGATGTTAATGCCTTGTCTATATTGCTTCCCAGAGTGACGTATGTTGTGATAAAAAGCAAAAAATAGTTTAAGTGCTTTGGGAAAGTGATTTATACAGGCTAATTAGAAGAGGTGGTTTGATCATCCTTCTGAATGTGATAAGAGCAGGGAAGTGTTTCGTTTTATATTTCCAAGAACAGGGAAGTAGGCTAATTAGAAGCGGCAGTTTAATTACCGTTATCAATGTGAAAAGAACAAGGAAGTGTTTCATTTTATTATTCTAAGAGAAGTGGACAATTTGTAAATATCAGTAATTTGATAATGATGATTTTCAAATACATTATCCATGAGCTGAGCTTTACCCAAAAGACCAATCAACCAATCTAAAATATTCATCAGTAAAATAAAGGTACAATGGAACATGCTTCGCAAAGTTGTATTAATTACCAAGATGTAGCCTTAATTTCCATCATCAGCTAGCTACATTGCCCTTTGACCATTACATATGATTATACAATAGTTTTAAAACTGATAAGATTGTATTTGTAACTCAACTGTAATTTCTCAAAATTGGCCTTTTTGGCAATTATTTGGAGTGAGTGATTGTGGGGATGGCGACTGAGAAAATGTCCATAGACATCAGCTGAGCACCCATCAGAGTCAGGCAATCTGAACAAGTTGTGAGAGGCCTTGTTACGGGGAGGGGGGGATATGCTTTAGCTATGTCCTAGGATAAGTCTGGCTGCATGGTCACTGTTTGATCACCATGCAGTCCACCTGCTACCCTGCACGCAGAGTCTAGTTACAAACTACCCTCTGTCTAGTATAGACTATATTACAGTTTAGCAGCCCCCCTCCAAAAACTGGAGACAAACTCTGATTGGCTCGGTGAGATCAGAGATTTATTGTAAACTGAAAGAGTGAAGACGAAGCTCTCTTTTAACAAGTGAAGTTGAACGGATGCAAAGGGTATCCACCTGCCCTTGTGTCCTGTACTGTTGATAAGAGCCATAAGGTACCAAAGGGTCAACATGCATCTGCAAATCCAACACCATCGTCCATAAAACACAATAATTCCTCATGGTAATGGTATCAGGAAAAACCGATGGCTAGTTTGATCCCTATTTCTGAACCATTTATGTCATAGCCAGGATCCACCTTAAAGGTGCCAAGTGAAATCTTTTGATTTTATGCAAATGTTATCCTTGTGCTTGTCATGTGGTAAAACTTGACACTTCAAAACTAACAATTTGTATTTCTCAGCTAAGCTTAGAAAGTGATTCTTCAGATAAGACTACAAATATTACAGTATTGTAATGGTTACCTCACTATACAATTCCCAGAATAGAGGAAGATTGAATTCAATTCAACTCTAAAACCCACTTCTTCAAACAATACTTGTGATTTTGTACATGTCTAAAACAACCCGACCCTCATAATTACTGTGTCAAAAGATTTAAGTATATCCTGAAACTAATAATCGTATGACTGGCCCATTGTAACAGTCAACAAGTGTGACTCATATGACACACTGCATAATTTAAGTAATGATTATAGATAGCAAGACCACATAAGTGTTTGAAACTCATGATTCTTAGACATTTTTCAATCACATAAATTTACAACACACAATCTGCCAGCTGGAGAAAACCTTGTTAAAGATGGCTTCATGGATGTATGCATGTGTTGTTCTGTTGTCTGTTACATCTAGTCTACATGGAAAATATGGAAGAATGCTGTCTGAAATATGCAGTGATAAACATACATGTCAGAGTTGCACAAATACAAGTATTACATGTAACGGTAAGGACGGCAGTAAAAAACAGCCATTTTACTTCATCCCTGTAAATGACTTCTCACCAGAAATAAGGACATTAAACCTTGAGTTCAGAGATATTATTGGTCTAAAGCTTGTCGGATATAAAAATAAAAAGTTGCAGCGAGACAGGGTGCACAAAGTTACGAAGCGGAATTTAACATTTCAAGAATATTATCCGAACTTGGAATATCTGAATCTTGCTGGGAATGAATTAGAGGCTATTCCAAAAGATGTTTTTAAAGGACTTGCTCTTCGAGGACTCAATCTTGGCATTAACCCCCTGAATCCACGCATCATGATGAAAAGTGAGGATGAGGACTGGGGTATCTTTGAACAGTTGCCGAACATCAGGTTCCTTAATATATCCAGAATGAAACATCCGAATCATTACCAAATCACCAAGCACAATATTCTACAATACCTTATACCAGAATTAAAGTATCTGAACCATTCGAAAATCGAAGTTATAGATTTCAGTGAAACACATCGGAAAACAGCAAAACCCTATTCTTTGAACATGAGTCTAGTACTAACAGCACTAAAGGAAACACCTATTAGGGAGATATATCTTTCAAATAATTATATAGATAATGTATATTTTGGTTCAAACAAAGAATTCCCTGAACTTCCGTACAGTAGAATTGGTGTCGGAGAAATGTGGAACAATTTGAGTACGCATCTTAAACACCTCGAACATTTTGATATGTCAAATATTGGCTTAGACTTGTTTAACTCACCACTACTCATAATACATGAAGGAACCTTTGAAAAAATGATTGCAAGTAATCTTAAAACTTTTAAGATGTCATCGTCACAAACACCTGATCTACAAACTGACCAAATAGAATTCTCCCATTTATTAATAAACCTGGCCATTATTTCAAAATTAGAGGTCCTGAAATTGGTCAATGTTATGTTTTTACGGTCAAATTATATGTGTAGAGTGAGTTCCTTTCAAGATGGACTGTCTTTCCAAAATGGAAATAAACTACGTATTCTAGATATATCTGGACCAGGCAAATTCAGTGAAATAAATGGGGAGATTAAAGGTCTTACAAGTCTGGAAGAACTGTATTTTAATGATAATAACTGTATCATTGGTCAATCAGTATTATCTTGTTCTAATGGAAACTTTGAATCACTTAAGATTTTAAGGTTGAGTGGCAATTTGGTTCAACTGAATTCATCTAAAGAAGTGTTTGCTGATTGTGATAAACTGATTCATGTGGACCTGTCTTATAACAAGATAAAAGAGATCTCCTCTGACCTGTTAAAGAATGCCAAAAATCTAAAATCATTAGACTTAAGTGGCAATCTCCTGACACATATAGATCTTAATCTGGCCGAGCTGAAACAAATGAAGTTTCTAAACCTGTCACATAACAAATTAGACAAACTTGAATATTTCTTTATGGACAAACTTAAACGAATCGCAGCAAATGAAGGACTTGTCGACCTCCACGGAAACCCACTATCATGCAAGTGTGGTGAAATCGAGTTCATCAGTTGGATACAGGCGAACAAATTTACATTTCACAAACCGAATTGGATGCTGTGTACAGATATTTTCAGCACTCAAGTTAATATAACAAAACTTAATCTCGCAGAACTCAAGTTTTACTGTATAAAGCCAATTATCATATCAGTGACAGCGACCGCTGGAACAATAGGCGTGATACTCTTGAGTACCGTTCTAATTTATAAGTACCGTTTTCGAATTCAATACCTTGCATTACTAGCACGTGCTCAATTCCGGCGCAGGAATGTCCCGGATGATGGATATTACTTTGATGCTTTTTTGAGCTACAGCAGCCTGGATAAGGAATTCTCACATAACACTTTGACACATCGTTTGGAAGGCGATTTTGGTTATAAACTCTGTTTTGATGAACGCAACTTCTTGGGAGGACACGTTCTAGAAGAACTTGTTACAGTTGCTATGAACCATAGCAAGAAAATTATCCTCGTCATTTCTGAGCATTTCCTTCGCAGCAAATGGTGTACATTTGAAATGGACATTGCAAATGGGGTACTAGCCACTCGGGGCTGCAATTGTATCATCCTTATACTAAGAGTGCCTTTGAATATGATACCAGCTCAGTTGATCAAGCCTAGACTACGCTCTTTATTAGAGAACCGTCTTTATATAGAGTGGAGTGAGGAGAAGGACAGACAGCAATTGTTCTGGCAGAAGCTAAAGGACACTTTGGGCAGACCCTGCAATGCTGAACTAACGGATGAACATCGTAGAAATGGGTATCTTGTATTTAATCAATTTGATACAGGCATCTGTGATGATGTGCAAGATGAATTGCAACCATTGCTTGAAAACTCTGTGTAACAGCATAAGATAAACTATTACAGTGAAACCTGTAAAGTTGAACTTCTGATTTTCTAGGTACCTCTAGTGGAACACTTGACTTAATGACCAATTGACTTAATGTTAAGTGAACCTACCAAGTGGTACACTTTTTAGAGGAACCAAAGTTGCTCTACTAAGACAGTTTTACTGTAAATCACAACAAACAAACACATGATGTATATGTATGTATATTATCCAGGACTGTACTTTGATACCATTATGGCTACTTCTCATAAAACTTCAATATATTAGTTTGTGCCCCTAACTTGCCTCATTTTATGTTCCACCCCAAAAACACTGGTCAGTATCAAGATGTGGTAACGGCCATTACCTTCTCATCTAATATGGTGGACGGAAAGTGTCGATTTCGATATTTTTGGTTTTCGTCAAATTAAACTACTTTATAATTGACATAATGCTTAGATATTTGAACTTGATAAGCCTTACATATTATGGAAACTTTGGAGTATAACCATTTGTTGGTAAATCATATGTGGACGCCATAATTCAACTACATGTATATGTTACACCGCTTAAGGAAAAGTGACTGGAAATGCAGTTACTGTATGAAGTTAATAATCTAGATCTTTTTATTTCAGACCAAAATGATGCACTTCGCTATAATATGCAGTTTTTGTACATTACAGTTTGGAAAGTGTAGCATTTATCCTGGACCATACCATACGATGCCATGTAGACGTCCCAGATAGCAACTTTTTTATCAAGCATAGCAGGTTTTGCTATGTGAACTGGCCCTCCATTATAAACTCTCATAACGTTACTGCATCACCACAGATCAGTTATTGTATCATTTGCAAAATCAAAATCTCAGTTACCTTCCCTTAAGCGGTGTAACATATACTGTAGTTGAATCATGGTGCCCCCGTATGATTCAAGAACAAATTGTCATACTCCAAAGTTTCCATGATATATAAGGCTTATGAAGTTCAAATATCAAAGCATTACGTCAATTATAAAGTAAGCTTTTCTCCATCTAAAATGTCACTCGACTTTTTGGCAATTAAAAGTCCCTGCCTGCATTTAGTAGTCATATATTGTCATGTGCATAATTTTGAAACCATATCCTAATTATTTCACAAACCCTTTGTTGATTCTGCCATAGTTTCCAATTTGTAAACAGCATTTAGCCTTTTTAATTGGGAACATTTTTGAAATTTCCAAAATGGCTGCCATGCGATTCCAGAATTAACATGAGTGTGACGTGACATCACAGTTGCTCGTTCCTAGGTAACAACAAGATCACAATTGCTCGTTTCTAGATAGCAACAAGATTTTTTATAAAATGGCACAGAATTACCCTGATTAACACCCTTAAAATCCAATTTTCAAAGAAAATATTTGGAGAAACAATAAAAGGTAAGTGGAATAAATTAGAAGATGGTTTCAAGTTACCACAGAAGTCAATTTGAAACTCAAGAATGCTTTCTTTGACTCATAATCACAAAAAAGTCGAGTGACATTTTAGATGGAGAAAAGCTTAGTTTGATTCGAAGAAAACCAAAAATATAGAAATCGACACTTTCTGTCCACCATCTTAGATGAGAAGGTAACGGCTGTTACAGCATCTTGAAACTGACCAGTGAAAAACAAAGTGGATTGGCTCCAGGAATTCTTTTCCAATTTTCCAGTGAATGAGTGGTCGGCTCTGACACACCCTTCGACATGATCAGCCAAGAAATAGGGTTAGATTTATGTTCTGAATTTTATGTCATAACACGCACATTTAGCAATGTTTTGATTTTTATATGAGAATCAACTACTGGCATTTTGATTTTAAAACACATCTATAATTAGCTTTCTGTAATCAGTTGTATAGTTGACCAAATAGTGAAGAATATAACAATAATTAATAAAACAAATATTTCATTCTATTTTTCTATTTTGATTGAATACCTGTGTCACTTTCACAAATTAAATATTCCCGAAACTTGTTGGTTCCAAGGGAATATTATTTGTGAAGAATCCTGAGGCATATTCACCTCAAATGTCTCCTAAACACATTATGTATGACAAACTGTTACAAATACACTTATCAATATTGGATATAATTTTTTATTTATATATTCTGTTGATGGATGTTTCTTCAAAGTGTATGTCCATTAAAGTAATGCATTAATTACCTTTAATGCAAATTAAGAAACTTGTAACTGATATAAATATAGTAGCAATTGTTGGTTTTATTAATAAAATTTATTCAACTAATAAAAGTCGGTTAATGTTTCCTAATTAGAATAATTATTTTAGTTTATTGACACAATGTTTCATTAATTGAACTCTGATATTTTATTGATCTGTATGAAGTGGATTAAAAACAACATATACACTCCCCGTCATAAGTTTGGCAAGTTGACGTTTTAATTGGCCAGAATAAAATCATAAATTTTCCATAAATCACAGAATCGTGGTCTTTGTAAGAATTCTAATATGATAAATGAACCAGAAAAACAGCTTTTTAAATATGTGGTTATTTATGCCCCAATGTAGACCAATAAATCAATGTTCCAGTTATTCTGATGTCACAAATCATATTAAAATCCTTAATTGCAATGATTCAAAAATCTTGATTTGATTTGATTGAAATTTTTAAACTGCCAAAGATAAATGACATACAGACAAAGACTGGCCTTGAAAATTTATCCAGACTTATTGGGTGAAGTATAACTCATCAAACACATTGCATTACCTCGTAAAAGTGGCACCATTATATTTCATGGGTCAATAACACTCTTTTATTTCATGAAATACTGCCATGAAAATGGCAATTAAATACCAAGGTAATATCAATATATTATAATATCAAATCCCAACTAGATCTGTATACCTTTGTCGAAATGGTTCTTTTCTTGTAAAATATATATTGAATAATAATATTTATCCTATGGATGAATCATTTGATTGGGGATAACAGCACATGATAATTTTGCAATGTGCTGCTAAAATCTTAGCATGCTGATATGATGTGATATCCAATTGTATCTGATGGATAAGTTTTTGATTGCTTATAAATTATAAAGGCAGAATAAGATCTCTAGGGGATGACAAAATTGCAAAATTCCATTTTTAATTGTAAGAATAGGGGTTCTTAAACAAGACATTTGGCTTGCTTTTAGAACTTTTTGTTGGTACGACATGGCAAGGAATGATATGAGCCCAAAATATTCTAAAATTGCAACAATTTTTGTCAAGATGTGCCATCTTCCTGAATCTGATCCTGCCTTTAATTGATTTTATTGTGTTACTTTCTCACTGCACTCACGGAGATGGTCAATATCCACTCCTGGATGAAAATGATTTCCCTAAAAAATTGTTATTTCTTGATTTTGACTCCCTTTGATAATAGTAATATGAACCTTGTCATCGCATGTATGGTGATATACCTAGAACACAGTTCTATGGTATCATGAAAGAACTATTGCTTGAAATGTATTACTCAGAATGGTATCATGATACAAGTGTTGCTCAAAATGCATAAACAAGTATTGGTTATGACACTACTGTTGCTTATTTCTTGAAAATATGGTCATATATTTCAGGTTATTGGGCCACTTGATGATGGAGAAGCATTCAATCTTGAAGATTTTAACCTGCTAGAAAAATTCACAGTTTCTTCATCTGCTGGAAAAATAAAAGAGAAAATTGCTGATATGCCAGACTCACTAAAAATGTAAGTTTTGAAAATCTCTTCTCACTTTGAATTTGAAATTTTGGGAGAAACTGGCACAGTCTTTCATTCATGAAGGTAGGCCTATCTGCATTCAGGGAATGGAGTCAGATTGGCCAAGAAGAAACAGTGTTTTGGCTTAATTGTTAGTTGTGGGCCTTTTACATGCTGTTTGTTCTGACATTATGCACGGACACTGACCAATTCGAACCTTAGCTTTGTTTGGATGCATGGAAATTAAAAGACCTTGATATATGAACCGACTCACATAAATTCTTCAGACTCAACGTTTATTGTCCAATAATGTCCAGTAAGTATTGGGATTCATCTATTTAATATCAGATGATGAAAAATCAAGCATGACATCTATAAATGAGACATCTAAAATAAGAAAATGATGAAAATCATAAGGTATACCTTTGTACATACCAAATTGTAAAAGTTGGAATTACCATGAAAGACCAAGAAATCAACATGAGAGCCCACAGAATGTTGCTATTTTTGGCTCACATGGACAGGCTATGGTCTATGGAATAACCCACTATTCTTCCTTCCATCTGTCTATTCATCTGTCTATCTGTCAACAAGTTTTGTACAAATGAAAACTGCCATTCATCTGAACAAATTCACCATTCAAAGGTTTGTAAAGCCTTGTTTACACTGACCAGTCTTTTTCACTGGACTTTTTAAGTCCTCTTGAGGTCTTTGATGACCGAAAGTCTCTTTTCCCGATACCCCAATGTGTCATCCTTAGACCTGTGGAGTCGTTCAAGTCCGATGAAATCCCCTTGGATCCTGTGACATCATGCATGAAGGCCTCTTTTTCCATGGAAATATCACTCGATCAGACTTTGAACAGAAAAAGACCAACTAAGACCTTTGAAAGAATGGAACTTCTCCCCTTGGAAATATCATGATGCAGGGCATAAAAAAGTCAGTGTTAACGGGGCATTGGTGCACCCTATGTACAATCTTAGAGGAAGAGCAAGATAAATTTATATACATATTTTTTTATTTTCAGAGGGAGTGACCTCCTTATGAAAACAGCTGCCCTTCTGAGCTCAGTTCCCCAGAAAGAAGGACGAAAATCAATACAATATGACTCCGACCAATATAGGTAAATAAAGCTATTTGCTGGTTATATGCAATGTAGCTGATTTACACCCCAGTCACATTTCCTGCGGCCGCCGTGCGGTCTATCATTTCTGCGGCCAGTTGCTTTTCTACGCTCGCCGTAGAATTTCTGCGCTCTCATACTTTTGCAGTTACATTTCCCACGGCAGCCGCACGTTGAATTTTAAATTTCTGTTGATAAATAATACTTTTTTTCATTTTATTTACATCAGGACAACTTATAAATGTTATTCATAGTGCTAGGATGTAATATCAAATGAAAAGTGATCGTGAAACATTGACAAATAATGATTCAATCTTGTTGAGCCAGTTGATTTCTACGGGGACCTCAGAAATGAACAAATATTATAACTCCGAGTTATAATTTCTACGGCGACCCTGCGGCCTGTAAAAAACCGGATACGCCGTACAGAGGCCGCAAGGCGAGCGTAGTTTTTCTACGCTCACTGCAGAAATTCACCGATTTAATTGATCTGCGGCCGACTTGTGGCCGCCGTGCGACAAATGTGACTGGGGTGTTAGCAAGGATCCGATCATTAAGGAACTAGGCCTATTAAAAGTTCAGGGTTAGTGGTTGTTAAGTGACAATGATTATATCAAAATACAGTATAACATTTTGTTTTCACCAGAATAAATTTTTCCAATAAACCCTGTCACCTTTTGGAAGAAGCTATGATATATTGGCTAAATTGGTGATGTCATAGGTTGTAGGTAGCAATATGTCCTAGCAAAAATAGGATTAACGTATCGCTAATTTTGAAAAGGTGGAGCCAATGGCATCATCAATCAAGCCAAATAGACCTTTTCATAAACCCTGTCACCTTTTGGTACATCACTGAAGCTAGGATATATTGGCTAAATTGGTTGCAATGTAGTTTTCAAAAATACCAATGTGTAATGCAGTAGGTCTGTAAGTTTAGCCTATTTTTGATTGGACCAATTGCCACCTACAACCAATGACATCATCAATCTTGCCATAGATAGATATTTTGACATACCAAAATGTTGCGTTGATTTAAAGTTTATTAAAAAGGTCTATTGTCTGTTGTTTTTAGAAGTTTTGCATGTTGAATATAAATAAATAATTTATATATTGTGTCTTCCTTTATTTTGTCACTACCAGAAGTGGTGACATATTGTTATGGCTGTGTCTGGTGTTGATGTTCAGCATTTGGTGTCTGTAACAGCGGTTGGCATCTGTAACAAATGGCAGGTGGTGACATTTTGCATGTTAATGCTTTGTTTTGTCTGTTGTAAAAAACTGTTTTGATACCCCAGTTATTGTGTATTTATTTCACTGTTATAAAGATAGAGGGTGAAAAACTGTTTTGAAACCCCTGTTATTGTGCATTTATTTCAGTGTTATAAAGATAGAGGGGGACACTGAAACTCCTTCCTATGACCTAGTTGCTATAATTGATCCTGCTAGTCGAGGAGCACAAAAAATCACTCCACTTCTTATGGTAAGTCTTAATTCTTGTAATAAATTTTATTGTTTGCTTCTTGAATATCATGGTACTTTTTATTTTTGAAGAAGAATAATGTTACTAAAACAAGTGTCTTTAATAATATTGGACTTACATTTGACTTATATTTGATATGAAAAAGATTAATGTACATGAAGTTAGTGTGGAAAAGTTGGTTTTTCAACATGTATTTTCCTGCCATATCTTCAAGAATTAATACCGGTATATTAACAGCTATTAAATATTAAATAATAACAGTTATACAATAAAATGTGTGAGAAGGTTAATATATTATGATCATGTACATGTACGAGTATATATTATTACACAAAAAGAACACATACTGGTATCATTTATAAACAGCTATGAAATATTAAATAATAACGTGCCACAGTTTCACATTTTTATGTTGTACAGTTTAATATTACAATAATTTATTTATGTCTGCCAATATACAATAAAATTTGTGAGAAGGTTAATAACTTAATATATTATGACAATGTTTATTATTATACAAAAAGAACACATACCGGTATCATTCATTCAGCATAACATTTTTTCAATCTTGGCATATAGGGCTATATGTTTTATAGAAGTACATCTGTTCCACTCTCGTAAAGAAATAACCAGATCCTGATCTTTCATAAGGAACTGCACTGAATGTATACTGGTGTAATATTTTAGAAGCACATTAACTATACCATTAGGTTTTATAAAAAAAATCTCAAGTTTCAGACCACAAGTTTCAAGTTTTGTATAGTCTATTCTCTATACTTGTAGCATGTAGGTGAACTCCAGTGCCACTCTCTAAGAATTCTATCAAGATCTAGTGTTTTCAGTGCAACAAATATAAATTTTAATCAATCTTACTCTTCTCTATACTTATAAGTGAACACCTCTGCTGATCCAAAAAGGACTTGAGTACCACTCACTAATTCTCCTTGATTGTTCACTGCAACTGCATTTGGAGTTTGCAACCCTGGTAGACTCCTTTCTTTGAGAGATATACCATTTTGAGTCAGAACATAAATATTAGTGCCAGCAATGAATATATGTCCAAGGCTGTCAACACAAACACTGCTTATCATTTCCATATCACCTCCTTTATAGCAGAAAACCTCTTCACCCTGTTTGTCAATACATGTAACATTTTGTTCATGTGCAACAACAATGTTATTATTTGGAGCAACTGCAATGCTCTGGACCTCTTCAACACTTTCGTAGAATCTTTTATTTACAATCTCACCGGTTTGGATATCCAAGTAACATAGCTTACCAGGTTCACTATTGAATAGTATCTCATTTGGGTTAGTAAATGTCATTGATTTGGGTGATCCTGGTATTCGTATGTCTTTTGTGTGTTCCCCATTGATTTGAAACAATTTCACAGTCACATTGTTCTTTTCACCACACGCTACAGCGATGAGGTCATCTTTAGCTGCAACACTTAACACATCTTTTTCTACCAGTGTTTTCTTGGTCTTCCAGTTTGGATCACACAACAAGGCTATTTCTTTTGATGTAATCATCTTCGATTGTTTCTTCACCTCCAACAGAATGTCATCATTTTTAAGGAACTCAATTTTGTGAATTGTTTTTACATTCTGCAGTGTCTTTTCCTTTATTAACTTAATCTTTGCTAAGAGTTTAGCATCACCTTCTGGAAATTGGACAGCATTTTTATATGTGATTTTCTGTTTGGCTACAGTTGGGTTTGTTTCTTTTGGATCTGAGCGTGCAGCAACTACCGAGTTATAGCCAGGTGGTAGCTCAATACTTGCAGCTGCATTAGGGGGAACATGATAGGGAGAGGAATATGCTTGTGAAGAATTTGGTGGGGAATAAGGGGGAGGTTGGGAGGGAGAAGAGTATGCTTGGCTAGCACTTGGAAGGACATTAGGGGGAGGTTGGTAGGGAGAGGAATATGCTTGAGGAGCACTTGGCGGAGCACTAGGAGGCATTTGGTAAGGAGAGGAATATGACTGATAAGCACTTGGTGTGGTACCAGGGGGAGGTTGGTAGGGAGAGGAATATGCCTGAGGAGCACTTGTTGGGGCATTTGGGGGAAGTTTGTGGGGAGATGAATAACCTTGCGAACCTTGTGATGGGGAATAAGGAGATGTATTGATAGAGGAACACTCTTGAGCTTCCAATTCCTTTTGCTTTGCAGTTGATGTTTGTGTTTCATTTGGCTCATCAGTTGGACATTTTTGGAGGAGTGCTTCCACATTTCTTAAGATTTCTCTCAGTGTTTCCCCATCAGTCTGGGAAATTTCATAGGCTCGATTACCGTCTATGTTATTAGCCAATTGCATATAATACTTTGTTTGGTCTAAAATATTCCCCCATAACTCTTTCTCAATTTTCTTGACGAGAAACCCATAGTCTTCTCTGAGTAAATTAACAAATGCATTGAATGTATTAACTGATTGAGTTTCGAAACAATCTATGAATTCCTTACACTGCTTTCGTGCAGAGGACCTTGCTAGGATCTTATCCTTCATTGAGTTTGTAATAATGTTTTCTTGAGAGCACATGTCCATTAATTGCTGCATATCAAGTGTGTCTGTCATTATAGATTTACATGCTTTAAGTGCACTGATATGAGCACTTGTCAGAGGTGCTTCTTCTGTGTACCCTGTGGCCATTTTGGTTAGTTTCTAATGTTCCGAGAATATAAGGTTATTTACTGTTTCATCTATAATGGATCTTCCTTACCCAGCCAGTGAGTTTTGCCCAACAATGCTATGGACTAGACTTTTGATGGATTTAATTTGATTAAAGGCTTCCACAATATCAGTTATGGTTATGATTTACAGTACCTGAGAAACCAAACCTGAGATGGATAAGTGATTTAATTACCCCGCCTAACTGTCTATATTTCACAGCCCTCTTGATTTGGCTTAGTAATGTTTGTAAGATATAGGTTAATAGTTAAATTGATATATAGAATGTCATTACATAATCGATGTCCAAATCCTTCACTATTTTAGAGTAGCAGGCCTGTAGTCATCTGGTAGCAGAGTATCCTCTATCATACATCGCATGTCCTTTTTCTGTAAATACAACATCGAACACTTTCATTTTCATATTTTTATGGTCATTTATAAGTTTCCCTCCGTTTAATATGACTGCATACATGCAGAATTTCACATAACTGACCTTGACATAACTCTTACCTTCATAATTCATATTAACAGCATCCAGATTTTCATAAGATCAAGAAAGTTATTCATCTTATAATTTTCAAATACTTGAACTTCCCGCTATTTTAGAAACAACATTTAGATTTTCAGATCAACAGATATAACACCTAACACTGTTAACACAATTTTTGAATTGAAATGAATTCACAATTTGGTTTACACTTTAAACAGGGACCTTTAAATCTTATCTTACGATGTACTTATTGTATTATGACCACAAACACTGGATATAGTTTTAAAACAGTAATTTCAGGAATCAGGATTTATGGGACAACAATCATATAAAATAATATTCTACCTAAAAATATTGACTTAAATTAAAAAAGTGAGGACTTAACTAAAAGGATCAACAGTTACTGATATCTATTATCTCAGAGACATATAAAACATGTTTGTCTGATTATCTATACACTGTGACTAAGTTGAATTCTTCACTTACATTAAGCAAAGCTGTGGCAGAGTCACTGGATCAGCTACAGGTTCTCCTTTCTTAAACTGCGGTTCTGAAAAATGGAATGATAACAGTTATAACAGGGGGGAGGGGGGGGGGGGGGGGGGGTTCGATGGGGTCGGACCAAAATTGTCAAACTTGGCAAATCCTGGCTCAAGCCTGTCTTACATACCTTAGATATATCTTGAGACTAACTTATAGGTGGTGTCCCATTTAATAATTGCTTATATACTCGAGTATCTAGCCAATTCTTGGCTAGAAGTAATTTCATTTGGAACACCGTGAATAATTTGAAAAAAGCTGGCCATCGTGTTATAAATTTATTTAATATTTTAAAAATCGCCAGATAAATTTATCATGAATTAAAATGGAACTGGCTGGGCCCCTTGATGAGATATTGCATGATTTTTTAAGGATTTCGTCTAAAATTAAAATGAACGGCTCCAAAAAATGGCGATATTCGAAAAACTGGACAAAAAGTCGTTATTGTCTGACATTAGTAACCGGCTGTAAATTGTAAGTTGGCGATCCAGAAGATGTGAACTAATACATTGATCACTTCATGTGTGTTTTGGAATTTTTGTTGAGGTAATAAGACCAAAACTCGCAATTCAAATTGTGATGTGGAAAAATGGCGCACATTTGATTTCAAATTTTATGATTACGACATGACCAGTATATGTAGTAAAAAACATGCAGGGATTTATCTTTGGAAGAAGGCCACGATATAGAGGCCTTAGAAGAAGGTAGGCACAAAGAATCAGAAAACTCAGCGCACACCTTGACCTAGGCAACCAATCAGGTTCAAAACCAATTTCTTTTAGAATTTCCAGAACTGTACACAGCTAGTCTAGACAATATTGATTGACAAATTTAACAACAGTTTTATTAGAGACAATTCATTTCGTAAACAGAATGTATTTAATATTAGTATCCATGTATTGTGGTTGTAAATCGCAAAAACATCGGGAAATCATGAATTAGTAAGCCAGCCAGCCTTTGAAGGTAAGCCAGATCATTGGTAGTACAATGGCTGATTTTTCTGCTCAAAATATTTATTGAGCTACTACTGATATAAAAAGAAATAAAATGAACAATTTCAAAACTGAGTCCACGAAAGAAGCAAAATGTATTATCTAGACACAGAAAATAATGCATCTGGAAGCGGGAATCGAACTCGGTATCATGTGCATAGTAGCCTGGGACACTAACCACTATGTATCAGTAAACGATACAAACGACAGTGAAACCTTAGTTTATAAGTACAGTTCGGGACAAAAGTAAATGACAGGTCGATTTTCGATCACCATTTCCTAATTATGGTGGTCTGAAAGCCCATAATTTCCAATATTGTCTAGATACATATCCCTTAAAATTTGTATATTTTACATTTTGTATAATCTCATCCACTGATGTATGGCCTCTTGTAAATTCTCTTATTTTTAACATGGGAAATCCTCACTTCAGCAAATCCACCTGTCATTTATTTATGTCCCCAACTGTACTGTAATTTCCCGTCCTAGGCAGACATTGCCTGTATGACAGTACAGTGTGTCTATTTTTTAAAATGTTGGTCCTCTATCTTGCCCTACTAGGAGACAATAGAGTGACAACAATTGTCGGTACCCAAGCAAATACGAAATCAATGAAGTTACATCTAGCTGTAAGCTAGAGACTCGGGTAGGGTGAATGTGGTACTCAAAAATTATGCAAATAAGTTAGACTAGTCCAGTTTCAAACTGAGTTTGGATAATTTTCTGATTTGTTTTGTCAAACTAAAGTGTAATAAAATAAAGTATACCTTTCGATCGTGTGTGTCAACACTACTTTGAACAGCATCATGGTGTCGTCATCTTCTGATTTAATTTATTTTTGACTACAGGACTAAAATGTTGAAAAACGATAAAATCATAAATTTTTATTTTAGATAACATCCGGGAGCTACCCAGATTTGCAGCAGAATTACGAACGAGTGCTGAAATTCTGACTGTGTTATTGATTTTTAGTAAAACTCAGTTTATTGTCTTTTGTATTTGCAGGTTTTACAAGAGGTGGTAAATGCTGACATCAAAGTTATGTTTAACTGTAAAGATCAGCTGTCAGAAATGCCACTTAAAAGGTAATTTTTTGAGAACCCAGCAAATAAAAGTGTATCGAAATTGTTCGGTAATTCACCATTAGGCCTAGGTGGAAATAGTGATGAACCCGGAAGTAAGTTCTTAGCCAATATTTTGTGCCAATATCATTCGAAATACAAATCTATGCGTCCGGAAAAAATCATTAATAAATAGATATTATATTTTATCAATCAATACCTGTTAATAAGAATCACATCTGATCAATTTGTTTATAGTTTTAAAATTGTCAGTAGCATTCAGCAAGTCCATTATGGTCTAGTGGTTAGGATTCCTGGCTTTCACCCAGGCGGCCCGGGTTCGATTCCCGGTAATGGAATGCTCATTTTTTTCTTTTTTATTTTATTTATAATACTCTAATGTTTTTTTCTTTCATGTACTAAATATTTTTATCGCACTTTGAAAAAGTGCTATATTGTCGTCGTCTTGTGCTGCTGGGCGGGCGTACGGGCGTGCGGGCGGGCGGCACATAAAACCAAATCTTGTCATCAAATTTCCAGGATAACTGCTTACCTGTTCAACTTGAAATTTTTACAGATGCAAGAGCAGACTAGTACCAAGATCTGATTAGGTTCAGGGCATGCTGGGTAAACTACGTGGCGGCCATTTTGAATTTTTCAACAAATCTTGTCATCAAAATTCCAGGAAAACCACTTATCCGTTCAACTTGAAATTTTTACAGATGCAAGAGCAGACTATTGCCAAGATCTGATTAGGTTTTGGGTATGCTGGCTGAATTACATGGTGGCCATTTTGAATTTTTCAATTTGGCGGCCATTTTGAATTTTTCAACTTGCTCCAAATTGACCAAATTTTTTTTTTAAAAACATCTACAAGTTCTCAGAAGTTCAAATCTGACCTTAGATTTCAGATTTGACCTTTCATTCACCTTCAGTGACCTTGAAAAGGTCAAAAAAGTTGATTTTCTAAATTGATATTTTGGATTTAAATTTAGGTCAGCTTAATTACAAAACACCTACTGAGGTCTGAAAAAGTGAAATTTTCAAGGTCGAAGGTCAAGGTCATTAAACTAGGTCACAAATGATGTTATCCAAGTTTCTCAAAGTTTGAGACTACAAATCATTTCTTGTCATCAAAATTCCAAGAAAATCGCTAACCTGTTCAACTTGAAATTTTTACACATGCAATAGCAGACTAGTGCCAAGATCTGATTAGGTTTAGGGCATGCTGGGTAAACTACGTGGCGGCCATTTTGAATTTTTCAACAAATCTTGTCATCAAAATTCCAGGAAAACCACTTATCCGTTCAACTTGAAATTTTTACAGATGCAAGAGCAGACTATTGCCAAGATCTGATTAGGTTTTGGGTATGCTGGCTGAATTACATGGTGGCCATTTTGAATTTTTCAATTTGGCGGCCATTTTGAATTTTTCAACTTGCTCCAAATTGACCAAATTTTTTTTTTAAAAACATCTACAAGTTCTCAGAAGTTCAAATCTGACCTTAGATTTCAGATTTGACCTTTCGTTGACCTTCAGTGACCTTGAAAAGGTCAAAAATTTGATTTTCTAAATTGATATTTTGGATTTAAATTTAGGTCAGCTTAACTACAAAAGACCTACTGAGGTCTGAAAAAGTGAAATTTTCAAGGTCGAAGGTCATCAAATTAGGTCACAAACAATGTTATCTAAATTTTCCCAAAGTTCAAGACTACAAATAAATTCTTGTCATCAAAATTGCAGGAAAACTGCTAACCTTGTCAACTTGAAATGTTTACAGATGCAAGAGCAGACTAGTGCCAAGGTCTGATTAGGTTTTGGCCATGCTGGGTAAATTGCATGGTGGCCAGTTTGCTCTTCAAAGTGCGATATTTATCACTGTGTGTCTTGTTACTCTTATAAATCTTATGCTAGGATATATATTTTTCAGTTTTTACCGATTAGTCCTGGAGCCTGAGCTGGCCTTCGCATCTGATGGAGTATTATCTAGTGGTCCTGTAGCAAAATTCAACAAAATGCCATCCAGCCCAATTCTCACTTTGAATATGAACCCACCCGAGGGTTGGTTAGTGGAGGCGACTAGATCTCCATATGATTTAGATAATATTCATTTGGAGGAGGTGGAAAGTAATGGAATACATGGGGAGTTTGAATTGGAGTATCTCTTATTAGAAGGTAAACCCAAAATAATTACAGTAAAACCATCTAAGTGGAACACCTCGGGAGGTGTTCCACTTATAGAGGTGTATTTAACAAAAGTCAGTTAGTCTTGGGACTCTGAAAAGTGTTCTATAAAGATCTCACCACAGATTTAACTGTGCTACTCTTTGAAAATTTTATGATATCTAGTTTGATATTATATTTTGCAAACACACAGCTTCTAAATCTAAAAATTTAATCATGAAAATAGTTCACATTATCATTATCACATTACAATCACATTGATAATCAGTCTCATCATGATGAATATATCATATAAGTGCTGATATTGGAATTGTTCAAATTGAGGAGTATTTTCAATACAGAGATGTTCACATTTGAGAGCTAGGTGTTCATATTAAACAGTTGTTCACCTTTGAGATACATAGGAAAAGTTTGAGGTGTTTAGGGAATATAACTTAAGTGTTCGCTTTATTAAAGGAAGTGTTCACCTTGATTGAGAAGTGTTCCCAATAGAGAGGTGTTCACAATATAGTGAGGTGTATAGAATTACATAAACATTATCTTATTTATAGGATTTTCATGAGGAGTGGCAATGAAATGATGTGAGTGGAAATATTGAGAAACTTACTCATAAGCCATATCTGACCATTTTACGTCCTTGCTTTAATGCATATTATTTCTGTTTCAGGCCATTGCTTTGACTCTAGCTCAGGCCAGCCCCCAAGGGGACTACAATTCACACTGGGGACAAACAGTACTGCTTTGGTGCTTTAATGCACATTATTTCTGTTTCAGGCCATTGCTTTGACTCTAGCTCAGGCCAGCCCCCAAGGGGATTACAATTCACACTGGGGACAAACAGTACTTCTTTGGTGCTTTAATGCACATTATTTCTGTTTCAGGCCATTGCTTTGACTCTAGCTCAGGCCAGCCCCCGAGGGGATTACAATTCACACTGGGAACAAACACTACTGCTTTGGTGCTTTAATGCACATTATTTCTGTTTCAGGCCATTGCTTTGACTCTAGCTCAGGCCAGCCCCCGAGGGGATTACAATTCACACTGGGAACAAACACTACTGCTTTGGTGCTTTAATGCACATTATTTCTGTTTCAGGCCATTGCTTTGACTCTAGCTCAGGCCAGCCCCCGAGGGGATTACAATTCACACTGGGAACAAACACTACTGCTTTGGTGGACACTATAGTCATGGCTAATCTGGTAAGTTAACAGCATGGGATTGTGAGTAATGGACCCTGATATCCCCAAATGATGCTTGAAACAGCCTTGCCCAAGTCAGTCTCTTTTACTTATTTTGATTTCTATTATGACCGCCGGTAATAATTCAAGATCAGATAAGTAAAAAATACTGACTTGGGCAAGGCTATATTGAAACTACCAGATTGAATCTAGTCTATTTCAAATAGCTGTTTAAACCCAGCTAGATCAGACCAGATCCCACTTTTTCGGAACCACTCTTAGCTTATAGCACTGTTAACTTAATAGATAATTGAACCCAGAGTTAAGGGCTAAAGCACCAAATGAAGAATGTACAGGGTGTCCCGAAAGTATGGGCCCCCCCCCTAGGCAGACATACACCAATGTCCCCATAGTATGTGTCATATGTAATTTTAAAGCTTGTCCAAAGTTACATTGATTTGCCAAGTATCATGGTTCAACTCACAAATGGGAAAAAGTTACACACATTTCAAAATGTAGTGTTTTACCAAAATTAAAGTTTAGTTTTACACAAGATTAATAGTCGGCGTGTCTCCCATGGCCATGTTAACAGCAGCATTTCCTTCCAGATATGACCTTAAATGCACTTCAAATAAGGGTATGGCATTTTATAATCCTCATAAAACCTTTTTAAGGCATTTTCGAAGAGTTTCCTTGGAGCATCTGCCCTTACCAACCTCTTTTTACAACTCAATATCCATCCTCTCTTTGATGATAGCACCCATTTTTTGGTCACATTCAGGTTAGCGGTGTTTCCTGGATACTGATTTTAACTTTAATTTTGGCCATACACTAAGTTTTGAAATGCCTGTAACTTTTTCCCATTTGTAAGTTGAAGGATGATACTTGGCAAATCAATGTAACTTTGGATAAGCTTTAAAATGATATATGACACATACTATGGGGACATTGGTGTATGTCTGTCTAGGGGGGCCCCATACTTTCGGGACACCCTGTACATGTATTTGTACCCGATTTAGAATTTTGAAAATTGTTCAAAGTTTTGCAACAAGTTGTGAAAGAATTCTAGGAGAAATTAGAGAGAAAGTGTGATTATTATGTTATAATTGCACCATCTTTATTTACAGGGATATTTCCAACTCAAGGCAAATCCTGGTGCGTGGTATTTGAAACTTAGAGGGGGCCGATCGGCAGAAATATATGACATCACAAATCATGAATTTACGGACTCTCCATCCAATTCACCAGAAATAATTGTCGTTATGGACAGTTTTAAAAGTAAAATAGTTAAAGTTAAAGTAGCTAAGAAGCCAGAAATGGCGGGAGTGGATTTGTTGAGTGATGAAAAAGTCGGAAGTGGCGGAATCTGGGATTCCATCTCAAGGTAAATTATATTCATCAGAAATACGATTTTCTGGAAATCTAAGATGAAAATAGAGTCAGTATATTTGAAAAAGTTGGACACATGGCTGTGAATTGGTATGATCCCAGGATAGATCTAGATAAAGTTTGTCATAGTAATGATGCATTGTGGGATTAATTTTGGAATTTATCCCAACATCTTTGGTGAATTCAAATAATCGTGAAGAATGATTCTTATGCTAATTTCAATCCACCTACATAGGTGAATTAATTTTGGATAAAATTTATCCGAATTCCAATGTATCCCCCCCCCCCCGAATCCTAGGATCATACCAATGTAGCAAATATTTATCTTGATCACTAGAAAAAAAAATTTAACCTAAAAGATTGACAGAGTAGTATTAGAACGGAGTTATTAATATAGAAATGGTTAATTATAACACAGAATGAAATCCTGGGCTTGTGTGAAAAAGTCTCTCCACCCAGATCAAACCCAGGATGCCTTTATTTTTCGGGCGAATGCTCTTCTCTACTTGCATATCATTTGTTTGTATTACATTCTTTTGATTGCAGTCAATTCAGTGGAACTGAAGGAAGTGAGAGTAAAGATGAAGTTATAAATATTTTCTCTGTAGCATCAGGTCATCTTTATGAACGTTTATTAAGGTAAGTCATCTCTGTAAATATTTGTTAACCTTATAGCGCAGTCAGATGTCCCTTTGGTAGTTCGACTTTTTCAGGAAAGCAACAAACTTGGCACAGTTGTAGAAACATATGATCTGAATGAAAAATGATTTTGGGGCAAGTGATTCGGGATGGTCTTCATGGATTGTAAGCCTCTGACCCCCACCCCTATCAGGCGGGGAGGGGGTACATTATAATAAAATAAATAAAAATAGTTGTAATGTATATTTCTTTAAATGACTTCATTTGGTGATTGCTTTGAGCCTTGAAATTGAGAAAAATCTATTTTAGAAGTGGTGTTTAGGAAGGAAAATACATTTTAACCCAATTATCTAGCGTGAATTCATCTTTCAAAGGGTCAAATATGGGACATCAAGTACTGTATTTCAAGAATGTGATGTCTGATCATCCTGAAAAAATTCATACTAATAGAGATATAGGGGTTAATCACTCATATGATATATGGCTTGTGTAGCTCATGTAATTTTTGAGAAATAAATTATTGAAATATGGATATTTAAGCCCTTGCGGCCTAGGGGTGACCTTATTTTACCTTAATAATTTTTTAGATACGCAATGTTTGGGTCTCATATGAATTCCAAATGTTGCATTAAGTATTGTTTTGTCATATTATTCCTAATTAAATGTAAAAAATTATTGGAAATTAAAAAAAAAATCAAATTTTCATTTTCGGTTCTAAAGGGCCAGGGGTAACCATATTTTACCCTAATAATTTCCCAGATATGTAATATATGCATCTCAAATTAGCTCAAGATGTTGCATATAGTTCTGTTTTATCATACATCTTCCAATAAGATGTAGAAAATGATCGGATATATCTAAAAAATCAAAATTTTCACTTAAGCTCTTGATGGCCCTGGGGTTTACCTTATTTTACCTTAATAATTTTCTAAATATGAGACATAGTCACCTCAAATGAGCTTAAGATGGTATATTTAGTCCTGTTTTATCATATCATTCTCAAGGAGTGAAAAAATGATTGGAAATTATAAGAAAATGACATTTTCATATTACACCCCCAATCCGCAACATCTTCTTGCAGCGCTGTAAACAGTACTGAACAGTGCAGTCAGAGTACTGCACTATATAGCAATGTACAATGCTATTCTAACACCATCTGTTTTGGACAGCGTAGTACAGTACTGTTTTTACAGCTCAGTACTGTTTTAGAAAACAGCTGTGTTCAGTACTGTTTTTACAGCACTGTTTATGAAACCATGCTGTTTGATGCAGTTTGAGATTGGTAGTGTAGTTTATGATAGGTCAGGAATGACCCAATTTTACCTTAAAAATTTAAACAAAGATATATCATATTGTCTACTCAAATGAGCTCAAAATAGTGAATATAGTCTAGTTTTGTCATATTATTGCTACTGAGATATACAATAATGATTAACAATTATAATAAAAAATGAACCTCAACAGCCATTTATTCCTTTTAAGTACCATGGGCTCTGCGCTGATAGAGCCCACGTTAGTACCAATGGCAATACTATCTAGTTTTATAGAACATTTTCTAAGATATGAAAATGTTTGATAAGTCCAGTTCATACTCGCACGAGTAGTAGCATTGTTAAGATTCTGTATATTATCATTTGAGTATATAATCCAAATCTATAAAACCTAATCAAAGGAGTCACAATTTATGGATTCTGACAGTCTCTCCTACAGCTACATAGCAAATCAGATCTGCTTTCAAACATTTGCATCTGTTCTCTTGACACAGGTATCTACCCCATGACCTACATTTTATGTTGTGGCCTCAGTATCAGCAGTGGGAGTAGTCCAGCCACATTCATGTGGTGATAGAAACTGTGGGTAAGAATGCATCAGTATGAATAAGGACTCTAGTCTTCTAATTTTAGGGTATCAAAAAAGATTTAAAGCTTAAGAACACTTGCGTAACCTCTGGGTACACCTTCTATTCCTGCAAATCAGTTGACTAAGAGTAGTAGCAGAATGCATCTGGCGATTGTATGAAAAATGGTAAGGGCTAAACTTCGTTCATGGCCAAGTGGCCTTGAAATATCTAAGGCAGGTCGTACATACTGGAGGAATTTCCCCTCAACATAGGCCATATGCTATCCAAATTGACATTTTCAGCACAAGTTACTGCCAGTTTAAACCTCATCAAAATCGACTGTATTGACTATGATTCTTATTAGGTCATGACAGAAGCAGTCTTTGGCATGCTTCTTCATATGAGCGAATGGTGATGGCAGATACTTCACTATCGGGCTAAGATATTGCATTACTTCATTGTGAGGTCACCATCTTCTTGCCGTCTTCCTCCAGGGTTTCAGTTTTGATGCCTGGAAGGAAAACAGCTCCCTCTTGTTCCAACTATCTTAGGAAATCTTGCCAATTCCACAGAAGAAAATTAGTAGGATATACTTTCCTCACTGTTCCAGTTTTGTGCTGTTTGTATCTATGCTCATTAACATCAAAGTTGAATGACTAAGCTACATAGTAGATGCCAAAATAATAGACAGGGCATGTAAAGTTAAACATGCTAACAGTGAAATATAAAGAAAATTTGGTGATTATGCAAATATGATATTACCTACGTAAAAGTCTGCAAATAGTTCATTGCCTTGATGTCAGCTGGGATGTTTACAAGGACACTAGCTTAAAGGGGCAACAAGGTCTGTAGAAGATTCAATTTTTTACTTTTTCTGAGCTATAAGGGCAATATTTGGCTTTGACATACCTATTTTCTTAAAATGTATGGATAAACTATCAATTTCAGCATTAAGAAGTGTAAATTCAGTTCAAAGCTTCTATAAAGGGAGTCCCACTTATAGGTTTTTAAGATCCAAAACATTTCAAGAGGAATCAGCTGAAATAATGTTCATCCAGGGGATTTCTTTGGAAAAAAATAAACATATATGTTAGTCTTGATGAAATATCAAAACTTGAATATATTTTGACACTGGTCCATGATCGTTGAATGGCCCCTTTGCACTAATTGTTGCACCTTTAAAACAGCACTAGAGAGACTTGTGGAACTGGAACAAGGATAGTCTAAGGAGGAAACTGAAACCCTTGAAATGGATGGAAAGAAGATAGTGACCACATAAATTAAGGAGGCAATGGAATGTTTTAGCCCAACAGTGAGGTTCTGCCATCACCCTTGCTCTTATAAGAAGAAGCAGATTCAAGGATATTTCTCAATATTTTCAGTTAGACTGCTTCAATCATGGCCTTCAAGAGAAAGAATAATACTTCTTACATTTAATTCTGATGTGATTATCCTGGCATATATGTGATGTTAAAAAACTAAAAAAGTCAATTTGGATAGCATATGGTAAGGGAGAAAACATATCAATATCTACCTGCCCATGACCAAAGTTTAATCCTCCCCATTTCTCATACAATCATTGGATGTGATGTTACATCTGTATTCTACTGCTATGGAAAAATGGCATAAAAGGATTGAGATTTAAATGTGTCACTGAATTTTCTAATTGTTGTTAATCATTATCTCAGTAGGAATAAAGTGAAAAACAGACTATTTTCCCCATTTTGAGATCATTTTATCTTGAAAATTATTGTGATAACATTTGGCATTCTTGTGCCCAATCATTGACTGTCATTATTCACTGACAGAATCCTTGACAGAAGCAGCTCACATTTACCACTTGTGCACGCATTTACCACTTGTTCCTTCAAGCTCGCTGATTGGCTGAGAATAGGTCAGCATGGTTTATTGCAGCTTGGGTCATAAATGCTCTAAGACCCAAGCTGCCAATGGCATCGGTCATGGGGACGGGGCTGCTAAACTCACTCCATTCTTTGCTTCTATATTATGGTAATACATGTATATGATAAAATCACCCCTGACCTGTCAAAAGCTAAAAATGTAATTTTTCAAATTTCCATTATTTTTTACATCTCCTAAGGAATATTATGACAAAACAAGAGTATATGACACAATTCTAAGCTCATTTGAGATGCATACGTCTCATAATTAAGAAAAGTTCAAGGTTAAATAAGCCCCCCCCCAGGCCATCATAAGCTAAAATGAATATTTCAAATTTTAAGAAATGTCCAATCATTTTCTACATCTTATTGGAGGTATAATGATTAAACAGAACTATATGCACCATCTTGAGCTAATTTGGGATACATATATTACAAACCTTGAAAGTTATTAAGGTAAAATATGGTTACCCCTGGTCCTTCAGAAGCGATACTGAATTTTTATTTTTTTTTGAAAAGTTCCAATCATTTTTCAATCCAATTAGGAATAATATGACAAAATAAGACTCAATGCACCATTTTGAGCTCATATGAGACCCATACATTGCATATCTTAAAAATTATTAAGGTAGAATAAGGTTACCCCTAGGCCGCAAGTGCTTAAAAATTCAAATTTCGATTATTTTTATCTCAAAAAATACATGAGCTACCCAAGCCATATTCTATATTTGTGATGAACACTTATACCCCTATTAGAATGAATTTTTCCAAGATGATCAGACATCACATTCTTGAAATACAGTACTTGATGTCCCATATTTGACCCTTTAAAAGATGAATTCACGCTAGATAATTGGGTCAAAATGCATTTTCCACATTAAACACCACATCTACAATCCGTTTGTCTCAATTTCAAGGCTCAGAGCAATCACCAAATGGAGTCATTTAAAAAAATTTACTTCACAACCATTTTTATTTATTTTTTATAATGTACCCCCTCCCCGCCTGATAGGGGTTGGGGTCAGAGACTAAAAAATCCATGAAGACCACTTCGGATCACTTGCCCCGAAATCATTTTCCACTCAGATCAAGTGTTTCTACAACTGTGCCAAGTTTGTTGCTTTCCTGAAAAAGTCGAACTATGAAGGGCTCATTTCTGGACATCTGACTGCGCTATTAAGGTACCCCATGCCAATCAAATATCAAAGTATCTATTTTTGAATTATTAGGGTATCCAAAATTTAGTAGGTAGCTGTCTTGTATTTATTTAAAATTCGAACATGACTGTATTCACGCCTTCTATAAACTGTAAACAAAGTCAATGCTTCAGCTGGGTTATATTCAAGATCAATAACCCAGTTAATATGTGTAATGTGTGACGTCATAACTTAACAGTGGGTCGTAGTAATGGCGGACCATGATGAATATTTGAAACAATTTGGTGAGTTTTCATGTTCGAATCGTAATATAGACCTCAGAGCAGGGGTTATATCGTCGAATACACCCCTTGGGGCTAGGCACAAAAGCTTTCGAACCCCTCACTCCCTTCGGTCGTTTGGGGTACAGAAAACGTTTGTGCCTAGTCCTGCGGGGAGTATTCGACGATATAACAACTGCTTTTCGGTCTATATTTTTTAAATAATTAACTATTCATTTTTTGGCTGGCTTGCACTCATGATGTACATGTACTTATTGAGCTGTTTAGTATTCCAATGTATTATCGTCTTTTGTTCTATTTTATACATATGCTTCTTTAATGCATTTCCATTCACAAAACAGCTTTTCTGATCCACACACTAAATCACTTTCAGCCATAAGTTACTGGTTTTTCAGGCATTTTATTTTTTTAGCTAAAAATGAGATTTACTTTTTTCCAGAATTATGATGCTGAGTGTACTAAAACATACAAAATCTAAAGTGAAGTTTTGGTTTTTAAAGAATTATTTATCTCCAACATTTACAGTAAGTAACTTATATTATAATACTACATGTATGTGAATTATCCTCAATTCCCATTATTTTAGTTGTATCATAGCTGTATATATGATATACATGATATACATGTATATGTAGTATATGGATATAGGGAAATATTACATAAGATTACATTTTTATTTCAATAAAGACTTCAAAGTTCTGTAGTGCATCCTTGCATGCTAGATAATATTTTTTTTCTTAAGTTTATGTTTTTTATTTATAATACAATGTACTATCATTATACAATGTCCGACAATGGGCCAAGGCCATTGGCATAAGTGGCCCATAGTATGTTATTGTAATTTTATGTATTTTGGTTGCTCTGCAACGCAATTTGATAGTAGGCACTGATTGGCCCACTTACTGAGGGTGTCAACTACAAATGTTTTGTAATGTTCCAATATGTTGTACATGTATAATGAAATAAACTATAAATATAACATTCCAGGAAACCATACCATATATGGCTGAAGAATATGAATTTGAATATGAGTTAGTTCAATATAAATGGCCCAGATGGCTCCACCAGCAGACAGAAAAACAGAGAATAATATGGGGGTATAGATATTTTGTTATTTTACATCTTTTAAAGTCTGTATATTCACCCTATGCAGACAGAGCCTGTGGGAAATATCGGGTGCGGAGCAAATGAGCGGAGGGTGCGGAGCTAACGGTCATTTTTGAATTTAAATTTGGGATATTTCTGAAACTAAGCCATTTTGGGACTTCAAATATACCAAGATATGTGTATTTGACACCAAATATCAATACAATTGTGGAAATAGTAGCGCAATTCATTCTATAGCGACGCAGTGTGCCTTAAACCTTTCCCAGACCTATATATTTTGAAATTATCCTTTTAATACTGAGTCCCCAGCATTCATAAAAATTGGTGTTCAAGGTACACTATCTGTACAAATTATATTTGCATCTTGGAAGCCAGGCAGTATCTGTGTGATTTTATAAAAATTCGGAAATGTTCTTCAGATATGAGCCCCCTCTAAATATTGGGTGCGGAGGAGCTCCATAAACGTACCTCTGCACCCAATATTTAGAGGGGGCTAATATCTGAAGAACATTTCCGAATTTTTATAAAATCACACAGATACTGCCTGGCTTCCAAGATGCAAAAATAATTTGCATGGGTAGTGTATCTTGAACTCCATTTTTTATGAATGCTGGGGACGCAGTATTAAAAGGATAGTCTTAAAATATATAGGTCTGGGAAATGTTTAAGGCATACTGCGTCGCTATTAAATGAATTGCACTACTATTTTCACAATTTTATTGATATTCGGTGTCAAATACACATATCTTGGTATATTTGAAGTCCCAAAACGGCTTAGTTTCAGAAATATCCCAAATTTAAATTCAAAAATGACTGTTAGCTCCGCACCCTCCGCTCATTTGCGCCGCACCCAATATTTCCCACAGGCTCTGTCTGCATAGGGTGATATTATTTTATATGGTGGAATATTAACATTTATTCCACCCTAAGTGCTTTATATGATTGTATAATAGCATTGTATAACTGCAATATAAATCCAACACTCATCGTGTACAACTCTTGAGCACGATATACAACTCCTGGATAGCGTATACAACTCCTGGGCAGTGTATACAACTCTTCGACTTGATATACAACTGCTGAATTTAGATTAACCTTTTATTGATTACATATTAGGGTGGGATAATAAGATCATATAATGGTTGATTCTGTATATCGTTATACTCTCGTGAGTATATGATATATTCACTCGTTCCCTTCAGTCACTCGTGAATATATCACATACTCACTTGAGTATAAACACGATATACGGAATCAACCATTATATAACCTCATAGTATATTTTTGCTGAATTTATTTTAGAATGTAATAAGAAATATCACATCAACTTTCTTTTTCAAAAACCAATGCCATCATCAGGTTACCCAATATATCATAGCTTCTTTGACACTGGCGCGGAACTAGGGGGGGGGGCATGGCTTGGGTGGGCCCAGAAAAAAATCTTTGGGGTCAAAAAATGTTGGGCTCAACAATTTTTAGGGCCTCAATTAGTGGGGCTTTTGGGCATTATTACTTGACCTTTTTTGGGCCAAATATGAGCCTTAAATGTTCAAAATTTCTAGGGGTCCAACATTTTTCTTCTGATTTGAAATATGTGCCTCCCCTTGTTAGCTTCTGGATTTGCCAGTGTTTGATGTGCCAAAATGTGGCAAGGTTTATTGGAAAGGTCTATTTCTGTCTATTGAAACTTTTTTTTATTACTTTCAGGTATAAAATTTTATTCCTGGATGTATTGTTTCCACTAGGTGTCCAGAAGATTATCTTTGTAGATGCTGATCAGGTAAATTTATTAAATTTTACTTCTTTATTACCTGATTCCTGATTGGATAATATCTCAGAAGATGTATCCAAAGTAACCATTTTCAACTTGGTTTAGGCCCAATAAAATATTGATATTATAGTTCTTTCTACTTTTGAAGTGTTCTTTGTGCATAGCAATTTTAACTAGCCTGAATATGCATAGCAACTATCCTGTGCATGCATAGCAACTATCCTGTACATGCATAGCAACTATCCAGTATATGCAAAGCAACTATCCAGTATATGCATAGCAACTATCTCACACAATGCATAGTAACTAGCTTGCACTTTCTCACGTACAGGTGTGATATGAAGACATTAGCCTAGATGTTATTTCATGGAAATCTAAACATACACTTTCTTGGTTAGGGAAGGTGTTTCATGATCATATTAAAATGATCTACTGTCTAAAATTTTGTATTATATTTTTGTGTTAAACTAAATATCTGCTTCAACTTAGCTTATTCACCTTTTGTAGATCATTTACCATGAAATATTGATATCTTGAGAAAGTCCCTCACACCTGGCAATCAATGTTTCAGATTGTTAGAGCTGATATGCAAGAGTTGGTAGATTTTGACCTAGAGGGCGCTCCTTATGGTTATGTACCATTTTGCGATAGTCGTAAAGAAATGGATGGATTCCGGTTCTGGAAATCAGGATATTGGGCTAGTCATTTAGGTCACAGGAGATACCATATTAGGTAAGTGTCTTCCATATAATACCATATTAGGGTAAGTGTCTTTCAAGTAATACCATATTTGGTAAGTGTCTTCCATATAATACCATATAAGGTTAGTTTGGATATCAGTATATTCGGCTACTCAATTACACCACAGGAAATACCATTTTAGGTAACCATCGTGCATGAAATACCATATTAGGTTTATTGGGAAATCATGACAAAAATAATGAAATATAATAAATGTAAGTCTAAATAGTGAATTTATACAGTGATCTCCTCAGTATCAGAGCAACCGTTGCCACACTATTTGCACCCTGCCAATTCAGATATGGGTGAAATATATGGATATTTTGATTAAAGCAGATGAAATTACCATTCAGCACCCTGTTCAGAATACTCAATATTGTGACATACATGAACCTAAAACCCATGTGTTTCATATGGACAAATCGACATGAGCATTTTGGGCAAGCTTATAGCATTCTGAAGGGGTGTTAGGTGTCGTTTATTGTTCATAAAGAGTTTAATCAGAGATATTCAACTGTTTTAATGTTAGAGAGAACTTTTGTTTTACAAAATTGTATATCTCATAAGAATACTTCAGTTTCGATTTTACAAATTGAGTGACTTCATCAGTCAGTATTGGCCTAGAAATACCTTTATTTTTTATCATACCTACATTTGCTTGAGTGAAATTTTGAATACCTTTGAAATAATCCGGAAGTATTTCACCGAGTGCCTTCAATGTTAAATTCATATGTTCAGTCAGACCAATGAAGGTGTATTTGTCAATGTTTTTTAGTGCAATTTGAATGGCATTTGTTATATTCTTGCAATTATCATTATGTCCGCAGAACCATTCCGTGTAGAGTTTTGTGTAAAAGTGACATCTTTCCTGTAGGCTTTCTGAGTTATCCATGTGCTTTCGAAAACATTGCTCAAAAGTTTGGTTCCTTTCTTCTGCCGTTAACGTTTGTGTTCCTTGGCATTTATCAAAGTAGTACCTGGAAAGAGATCCAAATATTTGATAATTTAGTTACTTTTATTTGAAAAATGGCGGGAAATTTGAATATTTGAGAAAAAAAGTTGACAAATCTTGCATGATGGTTAAATGCAACCTCACCCCTCCGCAAAAAAAGTATACAGTACAACCTGTCTAATCTGAACCCAAATTGGACCACCTAAAAATGTTTAGATCGGCAGTTGTTTGCATTTTACAGTTTTTTGACATGGAAGTCTGTGGCAAATTAAAAAATGGAACCAAAATAAAGCATTCAGCTTGGTAGGTGTTCAGATTAGAGAGATGTTCTGATATACAAGTTTTACAGATTTTTGACATGTAATGGAAGTCCATGGCAAATTAAAAAATGGAACCAAAATAAAGCATTCAGCTTGGTAGGTGTTCAGATTAGAGAGGTGTTCTGATATACACGTTTTACAGATTTTTGACATGTAATGGAAGTCCATGGCAAATTAAAAAATGGAACCAAAATAAAGCATTCAGCTTGGAAGGTGTTCAGATTAGAGAGGTGTTCTGATATACAACTTTTACAGATTAATGACATGTAATGGAAGTCCATGGCAAATTAAAAAAATGGAACCAAAATAAAGCATTCAGCTTGGTAGGTGTTTAGATTAGAGAGGTGTTCTGATATACAAGTTTTACTGTACCTTGATTGCACCTGCTCTATCGGATCTCTGATCAGGTTGATATAAGCTGGTTGCTGGACGTCAAATGCTGTGAAATCCATGAAGTGAATATGGCGTTCAAATACAACTTTTTGTTGCTTGATTCCAAATGATTTTATGAAAGCATTCATAGCATAGCCACTATCCAAATGATGCTCATGGAATTCTCGCGACTGTAAAAAGGTATAATTGTTCGTTTTTGATAATATTTCAAAAATACTCCTGAGAGTTGTTGAGCCTGATTTTGGCAATCGATTATACAACACAAGCCATGGGTTTGTGTCTTTCGATAGTCCAAATGGTGAAACACCCACCATATTGTCATCATTCTTTGTAATTCCAGTTCTTGTGCTTTGAGATATGTGGTCGGCCATCTTGTTTTCTGGCAGCCATTTTGGAAATATGTTTTGATTTGATCCCTCTTGATGAGTGTTTCCAAGGTGATTTATGTCAACATTACTTAATCTTATTCGATTTGGTGTAATTATATTGTATCCTATAATCCTTACAGATCCGATTGTATGTATGGTAATACATGCAGCACACATGATTAAGATCAAAAACCAACATTTTCTGTTAGTGTTATGGCACATTTTGGGGAATGATTTTTTTTACTATTCTCGAGTACTAGTATACATGATCTCAAAAAATAAACTTAAGGTATTAAATATCTTATGTAATTCTGTATCTGTAGTATTTAAATATACATCATTTGAGATATTTTATCCATACATTTGTTGAACATATAAGTTTTGGCCTGCAGGCACTCTAAATGTATCTCTACTTGCAGTTATCCCTTTCCACTAGTTTGATCATTTATTGGGATGGTGTCAAAAACCTAATTTATTCCAGTAAGAGAAAAGAATATTTTTTTTTTTTTTTTGAAATCCAAATGAAACTTGAATCACCATTTTTGAGGGAGGTTAAAACTAGAGGTGTCACACCGACCCGAAGTTGTCCCAAACTTTGGTTTAAAGTCTCGTATCTGGTCACAAACTGCTACTTCCCAAGTTCGGGTCAGGTCAGTTTTCTCAGAATTGCAATTTATCATAAAATGCAGTTTGTTCAAACTTTCAGCCATTTCCTATTTGGGGGAGGTTAAAAATTATGAAATCAACTTCATTTTTTCCATGACTGTAGATGTAAGGACATGATCACTTTGTTATATGATATGTGCTATGGAGAGAATGATAGACTGTTTCTCTAGGCAGCCATAAATAACTCAAGTACTACAGGGCAGAATGGATATATATAGGGCACTTTTTAAAAGCAAAAACAAAATTTTCTGAACCTATGTGTTCATTAATGTTGAATGCTCATTTACCTGATGTTTAAAACTTTTGGAGTTCATTATAGGCCTACCTTATGACGTTGTAGGCTCTTTTACCTTATGTTTTTGAGATTCTTATATCTTATGCTTAGAGGCTCTTATACTTTATGAGTTTAGGGTCTTATAATGTATGTATTGGAGGTTCTTATATCTTATGTTTTGGAAGCTTCTATACTTATATGTTGTACTAATTTCTTGCCATATGTTGTACGCTCTTATACCCCATGTTTTAGAGGCTCATATATCTTCTGTGTTTTAGGCTTTTATACCTTATCTTTTAGAGCCTGTTTTGAGGCTCTTAAAGCTTACCTCAATATACCCCTTTAAATTCATAAATTATGATGTATAATCACTTTGTAGAAACTGCCCCCTGGTGTACATGTATATTTCTCATGTATTTTCAGCGCTCTATATGTAGTTGACTTAGTAAAGTTAGAAACTGCCCCCTGATGTACATGTATATTCCTCATGTATTTTCAGCGCTCTATATGTAGTTTACTTAGTAAAGTTAGAAACTGCCCCCTGGTGTTCATGTATATTTCTCATGTATTTTCAGCGCTCTATATGTAGTTAACTTAGTAAAATTAGAAACTGCCCCCTGATGTACATGTATATTCCTCATGTATTTTCAGCGCTCTATATGTAGTTGACTTAGTAAAGTTTAGGAAGATTGCAGCAGGTGATAGGCTCAGGGGTCAGTATCAAGGTCTGAGCCAGGATCCCAATAGTTTATCTAATTTAGATCAGGTATGTTCTAATGCATAAGGAAGATATATTTTTTTGCAATTTATAGCGACCACACAAATAAACAATTTTAAACTATAATGCTGTATTATATTAATTTACTATGATCTAAAAATATAAACTAAAAAGAGGTTGATGTCTCCCCCCTCATTGTATGTTTTGAACATATTTTACAATTTGAAATTTCAGGATCTGCCTAATAACATGATCCACCAAGTAGCCATAAAGTCCCTACCTCAGGAATGGCTCTACTGTGACACTTGGTGTAGCGAAGACACAAAAAAATATGCCAAAACTATAGATCTGGTAAGTTAGCTTTGATATTATATGAATTTTATTAATTTTTCTTTGTCAGTCTACTGCATCCTCCTAAGCAGGTGTCCAGAATCCGTACCTCCTTCTTCCCCCTGCTATAACCAATTTGGAAGCGCCCGATTAAACTGAATCACATGATCTAATATTATGCGCAATGACTTATACATGATTTCTGTCACAGTGTTGCGACAGCCAATCAGATTGTGAGTTCTTAATCGGGAAATGCTCACTGCTTATCGCAGGGGGTAAAAAGGAAGAATATACTCTGGATTTTGAAGCCCTGTGATCGGAGGATGGTCTACTGTTGAGTATCTTGACGTCTACTGAGGTGGTTTCTTTTACAGAACTCATGTCAGTGATCTCCCCCCCCCCTCATTAGCATGATTGGGTTTGGTTTTGAATAACAGGTAGCAATTTTTTCAACAAACCTGGGAGATTACTGACTTGTCATTGAAATAGGAAGACCATATGCTCAATTAATTTGAAAAGGTACTCTTGGAGAAAAATTAATACACATAGCATTTAACTAGTAACATTTTGGAAGGGCACAAATGGGCAATATGTGCACAGGTTTCGATTGATCAAAGTTTGCAGTAAATGCATGCTTAGATGAGGCCCTTAGCCAGCTTTTGTTAAGGGGATTCAGCTTTTAAAAATTCAAGCTTCACATGAATAGTGCTCAAAATAGTGAAAAACTGCATGATCTTGAAAGAATGTATGGCCAAGGAGGAAAAATTTGCCCTAACTCACCCTTGGTATTGGCCTGAAGTTATATTTCCTTATCATTTACTTTACTACAGTTATATCAAAAAATGTATTTTAAAATTAAAATCCATATGTAATTCTATTTTAGTGTAACAACCCCCGCACCAAAGAACCAAAGTTAGAGGCGGCAGTGAGAATCGCACCAGAATGGGCCGACTACGATAGCGAATTAAAAGAATTTTTAGAAGACTTAAAAATTAAAAATAAATCCATTACACATTCCAACAATGGTATAACAGGTGAGACTGGGTAATCCAGAAGAATTTCAGAAAATGAATTATCATCCTCCTAAGCAGGTGTCCAGAATCCGTACCTCCTTCTTCCCCCTGGTATAACCAAATTGGAAGCGCCCGATTAAACTGAATCACGTGCTCTTATTATGCGCTGATGATGTATACATGATTGCTGTCACAGTGTTGCGACAGCGAATTAAATTGCAAGTTCTTATCGGGGAAATCAAACTGCTTATCGCAGGGGGTAAAAAGAAAGAAGATATTCTGGATTTTGAAGCCCTGTGATCGGAGGATGATGAATTATGGACCAGTTATATTATTATTGCAATTTGAAAAAGTGCTATATGTTGTCATCTTGTGCTGCTGGGCCTGTGCCAGTGCAGGTCATATTGCTCTTCAAAGTTCGATAATCACCTCTGCATTTCCTTGTTATGAAATGTAGAAATGAAAAAGTGGGAGTTGTTTTGGCCCACTTTGTCCTGTATATGATACAGTAATCAGCTTGTTCATAGTGAAATTCACTGGACATTTTCCTATTGGTCAGTACTTTTTCAACCTTTGTATGAATGTTAATATTCATAGCGATGAAAACATGTAATACTCATTATCTTATTTTGTTTATTTTCAGAAACAACAGATAAACATGAGGAATTATAACAATGCTTAATCTTAGGATAATCCATCAACATTTTTTCATATACGAACTCAAAACTTTGACAAAAAGATATTAAACTTTATTCAAATCATTTGGAGACTATTTTCAATGCAGAAACCAATGGAGCATTTTGGAGTTAAGAATAACCATCATCGACATTCATTCATACATGGACTCAAAACTTTCAAGTCGAATTATGACATTTTAATTCAACATTTGGAGATGATTTTCAATTGAGAATCTGATGGAGCATTTTTGAATCAAGAACAATCGTCTGAACTCTCAATATGCAGGGGTATAACCAGACCTCATGAAACTTCCTTTACAGTATAATGACTAAGGCATGGGGCATATACAAGGCACAGGCATATAATGTATATGTATCAAGCTTGGCAATATGTTCAGCTCAACATGGATCCTCAAATGCTCACTGGATGTTGGGGTCTGGTTTGTACCCGTGAATATGGCTCTCATGCATGGATCCACCATAGGATACAACAAGGGATATTACCGTCAATAATTACTGGCATATTAATCCACTGTTTTTGTGACTAGCCTACAGTCACAGTGGTGGTATTGGAGGTCAATGACAGAAACTGTAGCAATTGTCTAACTTTTGTAACCATTTCCAGATTGTGACATTTTGTCTTCTTAATGGCTTGTTTAACATATGTAACATGTTAGAGATTAATGGATGGAAAAATGATCATAACCCTTAACTTGCTCAATTTCTGGAAATTCTGGCTTGCTCTTTGTATCAGTTGAACATCATTTGTTCCTTCAAATAATGAATTGAAATTTTTAGCTATCAAAATCAGTAATCAAGTAATAATGTTAAGTTAATGTTAAAGTAATCATGTACCCAATCTAGTTGGAAAATTGTATCACCATCAAAGAAAAAATATTTGTTAAAAATTTTATGATGGATTTCTCATTTTGTTTAAAATTCTCATTGTTTCATACTCATTCGAGAAATGAGAATATTTGCTCATTTTGTGAAAATATATGAAAAATATATTACATGTACATCACTTCTTGTTGTAAGCGTTTATGTAATGAGCTTAATGCACGACTTCACTATATACATATAATGTAATGTAGGTCATAATTTAAATTCAATGTAGGTTATGTACATTAAATGTTTGTGAAATATATATGAATGTATATTGTGTACATTGAATGTATGTTGAGTTCTCTACTTTTTATTCAGGCCCATAGCCAGGAGGGTTAGATGGGTTTGAGCGAACCCCCCCCCCCCCACTGGCCAAAAAAACTTTCAAAATCATGCTGTTTTACACCATTCATAGCACTTTTTAAGTGATTTTGGCCATTTTTGGACCAAAATTTTCAAAAGTGAACTCCCCTGGAATTTTTCAAAAAGTGAACCCCCCCTTGGCAAATCCTGTCTACGGGCCTGTTATTTATAAGTCAAGACTTTTTTTGTTAATCATTTATTTCACATATTTATATGATACATACAATAGTACAATAGTAAAGTTTGACTAGGTTAGAAGTAACATTATTGTCAAACTGAAAGACTGAAAGTCAAGAATATTTAAGGAATCACACTGCTAGTTTCTGTACATATCACTTGTAGTCCAGGTGCAGGTTACTAACCACTTACTCTTCCAATATTCATTTATTAGACAACTGTTTGGTTTAGTGTAAAATCAAATATGATGAAAATTTGAGCAATAAGTTTTTTTAAGTCCTACACGAAGGATACATGTTTGCAAACAAAAATTGGAATTACTTATTTAAAAAAAACAAATAAAAAAGTGAAGTGCATAAGCCACAGTTATGTGTTTTATATTAATTGAGTTCCACCATATGTCCTGTCCTTACTCCTTTGTGTCTGTTGTAAGATTTTTGGCTCTGATTGTTCTAAAGTTAGGCTCAAACTGTGTGTTTACCCATTCACGTCAATTATAATCAATACATATTTGCTGGAGGGTAAGTGGGTCATCTCAAGCTCAACATCTCAACCCTTTGTCAAATACTACATATGTACTACATAGGCATTTATTGTATGATCTGTAAAATGAAGCCCTCTGATTGGTCAGTTATTGTGCTGTACCAATCTGTATTGCCTCTGAGATTGTCCCCATTGTTCATCTCCGTAGCAATACAGAAAACATTGGTGCGGAGGGACAATCTCAGTAGCAACACAGAGAATACAAAGTATTTCTTCGGGATAAAATGTATTTGCGAAAGATAACATGATAAAAACGTTATTGAATGATTTGAAGTGCAATACAGGATATATTCTGTCTCGATATTCTGTATTTACACTAGACTCCATCTCATTCCAATAGTACAGAATTTCTCAAGCAGAATATATCCTTTATTACACTTCAAATCATTCAATAACTTATAGTATTATAGTTGGGGAGTTGCACAATGGTTTTATGTAAGACTATTATTCCTTTATTTATTTGCTGTACTGTATGACATTAGATCATGTACATTTACACGTAATAAAATTGTGAATATTATGTATCTGTCCATAAACAATAAAAGATAAATTACAAAAATTGATTTTTGTTAATTTTATGATTGTATATCAATGTATAGGTTAGTTATTCATTTGGGATCATATTTTGAACTTTTTAAACTTTCACTTGCTTCAATTTCCCCGAATTCTAAGATACCCATTGTGAAAATTTTTAAATTCTTTAGTTTTTCCTGATGTTTCACTGGCCATTGCAAACCTGAATTCGATACTATTTCACTAGAATGTTTAATATTAAATTGTGAGCTCAACTGGATCGGACTCATGAATTTTTGTAATAACTTTCAAAAAATAAGAGAAATCTTTTAGCTTCAAAATTATTTCTTTCGTAATGGTTATTGCCATCCAACTAATATTTCCAGTTTCACGGGAGTGCTATTGAAGCTTACTACGGCCAAGATAAAAAATGAAAAGAGGCAGGTCTTGCATCAAGCACTAAAAGTATCATTTAGAGAGGCAAAAGGGGAATAATGAGGCTTGATGCGAGACTTTTTCATATATTGCCCACATACCGGTAGCTGGAAAATGTCTTCTTAAAAAAATTAAAAAATCACTGATAAAAATATAATTAATGAACGCTTTATTAATATGTCCATCAAATGCATCTCAAAATAGTGTACATAAATATTGGAAGTACTAAATTATCAATTTGTGATGTAAAAGCTTCAAGTAATGATGTACTTATAATCGCTATGGTTACCACAAGATATCTATAAATCCATAATGCACCATTTGGTAACAATGGCATCAGTGTATCACCTAAAATTTGTGTTGTATTTCCAAATGAAATCCAACCACTATGAAGTAAAATTATCACAAAAATCCCTTGCAAAACTATAGCTGCTACTGTCCCCTCTACTGATTTTTTACTGTTTGGCCATTTTGTTTTTCCAAATTTTGTGCCAAATATTGAGGCAGTTGTGTCCCCTATTCCGATTGAGATAATTCCACTAAAAAGTGCAATAGGTGGCTCTGATTGTAGTTTTTGACTCAACCACAATGGGACAGCACAACCAATGAGAAGATAAATATGAGTCAGTATGACTATACCGCCATCTTTTTCATCCACAAATACTTGAAAAGCATTGTGAATTGCATCTCCAAATGGCCACACTCTTATAATACGTATACATTCCAGAACAATCACAACAACTAATACACATGAGGTCGCAACAGAAAGCATTTTTGAGTCAACCAAAATTCCTGGTGTGAAAACGATGATTGCTAATATATGGAAGTATTTGCGGATGATAGTTGAGCCTTTGTTTTTCGCAAAATTATAGCAGACAGTTGCAATAATGGCAGACACAGCTGAACACACAGCCCAATACAAGAATAAAAGTTGCCTGTGTGTCTCATCAGTTAAATATCTTAAAAGCCACATTAAAGGGTTTTGTTGCATCATATATCCTAGCAATATGGTTACTATAGCAATTAATGTAAACAACAAAGGGTAAAATGCAAGTGTGAATTTTTTCATCCATTTTCCCAGCAAGTAGGATGTTACAGCTACTATAGCACCCCCTATTACTGCCAAGTTTGTAAAGAAAAATATTTCTTGATCTTCGTCCAATTTTCTAGGAATTGTATATGTTGTTGGATCAAACTTGGATAATTTGTAGACGACTGAAATCAAATAGATGGCAGCACTTTGGGTGATGACTTCATTTTCACCAGATGTAAAACTTAATGGCAACAGTTGAGGAAGTTTCACACAGCTATATTGAAACACAACAAATATGATAAAAACCAGCAATGTTTCCATGGTATCCAATCCAAACAAAAAACCTTGTTGTTGTATCAATGTAAATAATCCAATTGATTTCAATGATAATGTCTCGACTTTAAGGTGTGATAGAATCTTGTACATTAATATATTGTTTATAAAGGATATATGTAAGGTGTTTAATACACTTTTGTCATACAACCCATCTGTGATCATTACAAATGGTAGAAGTAAGGTGCACCAATATCCTTGATCTCTTGATTTTCTCCATTGAAGATCATTAAGATTAATTGTCATACAAGTTGACAATTTGCTTGAGCATCCCATAGCTGGATCACTCTTTGGAATAGATTTTTCCATAGTTTTACTTCTGTTTGGATTTTCATTGTTTGACTCTTCATTTTCTTTTAAATTACTATCCTCTATGGATATTGAAGAGGCACATATCCAAATGTATAACATGCACAAGGCTAGTGTAATCCATTCTAGTTTGAAGAAGACAGGGACTTCACTATAGTATCCCACCAAGAGTTGTTGCAATGTGATAATTACTGGAACTGTAATTACTGTTAATAGTTCCATGGTTTGTATTGTTTGTGACATATTATTGCAAAGTGGTTTGGCGATCTAATAACAACGTAAATGTAAGATTGTTGAACTGCGAGCACAAATGATCACTTTGATTTTGGTTATAAATTTCAAATAGTTCAAGAGTTTGCATTATAGGATTCGTAATAACCTCTATTTCTGGAATATATAGTGTAACCCTAGTTGGAGCACAAACCATGTCCATTTGAAATATTGGTTTGTCGATCTGGAAGTGTATCCAAATGCCTCCTTTCTAAACAAAACCATACTCCTACTTCTGTTGTAGCTTATCTGAAATAACAAAAGGAATGAAATTATTTTGCAATAAATTGTTGAGATGATGAAATGTTCAATATCAAAGTCTAACATGACAATAACTTGTGACTGACTGCATGCACATTTCCAGTAAACAATTTGTAAATATCAGAAAAATATCTCCACTAAAACACCGAGTATTTTGAGAAGTGCACAAGCTAAAATCATGCAGTCTTTTCCAAAAGTAGCCTGAAGTATTCATACTCACCAAAATGTTTTCCGAATTATGATGCTTTCTCATTAATAGGGTGAATTAACGTTTTTAAATCGAGCTTATTTTGATCATTTTGAAGACTTTCTACTTCCGGTGTTGATTCCAGAGGGATTCCCCAAAACGTCACAAGTCACGTGGTGTTTTTGAAGAGTTCAAGCTGAAGGTCATAACAAGGTGCTCTTCGCAAGATCATTCGCTTGAAGGCAGTTATTGACGAAACGCTCGACTAGCTCATCTTGAATTGGTAAGTAACATTTACCTTAATGTTTCTAACACAAATTAACGGCAAAATCAGCACATTTAAGAACACACTGTTTGCAAATCGGCATGAAAAACAATGCCGCAAATTCTGTAAACAACTCCCGAAACAAATAAAAATGTCACGTTTATCCCAGACAAATAAATCAGAAATTTTAGACCGGTTTTATACACCATGAACTCTATTTTAACCGGTAAAAGTGGGGTACATTGACGTTATATTATATTTGCCTAGTTTGAGATATTTAGCTGTCACTGTCAGTTTTGAAATCAGAAGAATTTGACATTCAGTTTCAAATATTTGACCTTGATTGACTTCAAAGTTTCAGCTGTTGACAAAGGAATATTTCTTGGTTGAATATTTTTATTTTATTGAATTTTGGTTCACTGCAAAAGTGTCAATCACTACTAATACTTCTTGGAATCCTTTACTTCCCTAGCAGTTTGATATTATGGCATGAACGATTGCCAGGCATATTCCAGATCAATATACTGTATTCCAGTGGCCTCCAGTTCAGTCTCGTTCCAATTTGTTGATCTGTATGTTCTTGTCTTGCGTGCATAGAATAGAATAGAACAACACTTTATTTTTCAAAAGTAAAAAGATTATTGGCACTAGCTGTACGTATTCCTCAAAAATGATTTCTTAAGTTCATTGATGGGGGACATTTTGAAACTTGTTTTTTCAGAAGATGACCATAACTGTCCATGGCATTTCTTAAATCCTTTTCAAAAATTATGTATTTTTTTCGTCGTTCATTGACCTTACATTTAATATGTATGTATTCTGTAGTTCTCTTATGACCTTATATCAACTCAGTCAGTACTGTTGAGTACTTGAAAACATGATTGTGTACATATGATAACTATTGACACGATAAAGACCAATACCATAAAGAGTATTAACGTTGGAGATATATATTCTGAATGTCAGGTTCTACAACTACCGTTCACAGAACTATGACTTCAACTATATATGCACTGCAGGTTAAATTAGATGAAAAATTAAACATTTATCCTTCTATCCTTCTTATATTCGAATGTTGTTTCTGTCTCATTGAAAACATTCAATTCATATTCTCCTATTAAAGGCTATGAATGATCCATTTAAGGTTATAAGGACCTTTTAGCTTCAGTGCAAAGCTAGAGTCAGAGTGTTTGTAACCAATCAGATTTCAGGGTAACTACATAGCTACAATATCGGAGAGCTATAATTTATGAATTTTTTAACTACCACTATCAGGAACTCTACAAACTAAATAGTGTTTCATTTACACTATGCTAACAAAAAGCGAGAAATGTTTTCATTTTAAGAGCAAGAAATTTCTCGTATGCTATTTCTATGATAGGGGAAAAATGGAGCTCTCTAGAATTTATGTCTGCTTAAATTAGAACAGGAACAAAACACTTTAATTGTAGAACTCATTTGTTATCTGGCTTTGCATTCATAAATAACCACAACATTGAGCTACCCTTTTAAATGAATCTTGAGATTTTGAAACATTTTTAGACAATTACAAAGGGCAGTTCTGGAAATTGATAAGGGTGTGAGTTTATGTTAGTAACCACAATTGTTTTTCTTATTTTAACATGAGTATACCAAACGGGGGGAGGGGGTGTTGGGGGGAGGTGCATGGGGTCTTTTTGAGCTAAGTTTACTCTCATGGATTTTGTTCATGGAATTTAAGGAAAATGAGATCAGAGGAAAAAAGAATTATGTGGAGAAGATCTTTTTAGATTTAGGAAAAAATTCTGGGTAATCATTAAGTTTAGAGTTATGTTAAAACATCCTAAATTTCAATTCAAATGAATCTTAGTAACTTCTAGATTTGGTCAGATACTCAATTTACTTTCAGGATATAAGTAAGTAGTGTAAAGAGAACATTTGCATGAATTTACATGTATACTCTTTCCTGCCTGTTAAAGTTTTGTAAATGATTAAACATTGTTGGCATTTTAATCGAAAACAATACCATTAAAACATGTATCTGATTTGACCTAAACTCTTCATTTTGATAAAACAAAAAACTGTGCTGCTAAGTAAACACAACTAAGTATACAATCTTAGTAAAGTTTTCTGTTAATGATTCACCTTGTTCAGTTATAAGTGAATAATTTCAAGATTTTTTTTAAGAAATAGTCCTTTTGGGGGTCCATGTATTCATTTTCAAAGGAGAATTGGTTCCCAGACCTCCAACTTGATATTCAACCTTGACCTTGATCGACGACAACCTTGAAAATGTCATCATTTCAATTTTGACATTGTAACCGATAAATTCATATTCAGCGATCCAAAAGATTTGAACTAATATTTTGATCACATCTTCTGTGTTGATTTTTTTGTTTGGAAATAAGACCAAAACTCGCGATTGAATTTCTAAATTGGAAAATGGCGGTTGCTTGATTTCTAAATTTGTGATCACGACATGACTCCATATATGGCAGAATATTAAGATGGAACCCTGGGAGCCAACCCTCCTTGACTCTTCTAGATTTTGAATTTTGTGTTCATATACTTTTAAAATCTATTTCAAAGTATAAAAGGTCTACCTAAATGCAATAATAAAAATGAACCTATATACATTTTATAAGAATATACTACATGTATATATAATTTCCCTCATCCAAAATTAAACAGTAACGTTGATTATTTGGCCTTATGTTAGACTTTACGCAATATGACAAATCCTAATTCATAAATTCTTGTGAAGTGACAGTTAAATGTTTCAAACTCCTTTAAAATAACATGAGATTTATTGACTACAGATAGATATGAAGAAATGTGGACCCTTTAGGGGACCATGTCAACAGCAAATGTTTGTGGGTCTAAAGTAAAATTTGTTTGGAACTACATTTTTGTACTTTGAATCAAGAAAATAAGCAATTAAAGGACCTAATTGAAACAGAATTTGTAAAAATTGAAACATTTATATACATGTCCTTTTTATGTCCCCACCACATAGTGTGGGGCCATATTGTCGGCCTAGGCGCGTCCGTCTGTCCGTCTGTCCGTCTGTCTGTCCGTCTGTCTGTCCGTACGTCCGGCAGTTTTCTCCAAAACCGCTACAGATATCACCTTCAAATTTTCAGGGATAACTTATGAGTGCATACAGATGTGGATGAAAAAAAATTAACTCGATACCTACTTCCTGTCGGCCATTTTGAAGTCAAATGCTAAAATCCTTGTCTGCAAACTTTAAGAAAAACTGCTTCACAGTTGCTTTTAAAACTTTAACATCTTGTTCAGCTCACTTCATTCTAGATCTGATTAGGTTTTGGACCTGCTAGCTCAGTCATGTCAGCCATTTTGAATGTCTTAAGAAAAGTTAGCGCGCGATAATACTTTGTATCATATTGAATGGTGTTTTTGAGTTTTCATACTTTAACTATTTAGTAGCTTTATAAATAATTTCAGATGTACTTTGCTGTAAAAGCCTACTTTATTGTTAACAGTAGTTATATGTGATAATTTTGTAAAAAGAAATCAGCAAAAACTCATAAGGACTTTTTTATTGTCGGCCATTTTGGATTTTTCGGTCCCAGAATGTCAAATTGAAGATTTTTCGGTCCTAAAATCTTGTCTGTGAAGTCTTGTCTGCGCGTTTTCAGGTGAACCGTTTGGTGGATTAATTTCAAATTTTCAGGGATGATTCTTAGTATAAAAATCTAGATCTCATTAGTTTTTTGGCATTCTGGGTAAATGTCAAGGCAGCCATTTTGGATTTTCCGTCCTAAAATCTTGTCTGTAAAGTCTTGTCTACTCGTTTTCAGGTGAACCGTTTCGTAGATCAATTTCAAATTTTCAGGAATGATTCTTAGTATGAAAATCTAGAACTGATTAGTTTTTTTGCATTCTGGGTAAATGTCAAGGCAGCCATTTTGGATTTTCCGTCTTAAAATCTTGCCTGTAAAGTCTTGTCTACGCGTTTTTAGGAGAACGGTTTGATAGATCAATTTCAAATTTTCAGGGATGATTCTTTGTATGAAAATCTACATCTGATTACTTTTTTTGCATTCTGCGTAAATGTTAAGGCAGCCATTTTGGATTTTCTGTCCTAAAATCTTGTCTGTAAAGTCTTGTCTACCCGTTTTCAGGTGAACCGTTTGGTAGATCAATTTCATATTTTCAGGGATGATTCTTAGTATAAAAATCTACAAACAGATTAGTTTTTTGACATTCTGGGTAAATGTCAAGGCAGCCATTTTGGATTTTCCATCCTGAAATCTTGTCTGTAAAGTCTTGTTTACATGTTTTCTGGTTAACTGTGTGACGGATCAATTTCAAATTTTCAGGGGTGGTTCTTAGTATGAAAATCTAGAACTGACTAAATTTTTGGCATTCTGGGTAAATTTTAAGGTGGCCACTTTGGATTTTCCGTCCTCAAATTGTGTTGGTAAAGTCTTGTCTACTCATTTTCAGGATAACCATTTCACGGGATCACCACTTGGTGGGGACATTTTGTACACATTTGTGTTCTTGTTGTATATTTTAGTTTGTTTTGTAGTTTAGCTATCATATCTGTGGCCTCTTATATTTTGATGCTTCTCTGCCATGTTATTTTCGGAAAAATTAACATGGCTGAAACTCCTTAAATTACAAAAGGCCACATTTATTCCTGCACATTATACATAACTATCTGAAATATACAAAAGTTAGGACTTATACATATGTTTCCATTTTTATGTCACCACCAAAAGTGGTGACATATTGTTATGGTCTCCGTTTTTTTTGCGACGGCGTCCGGCGGTTGGCGTCCGGCGGTTGGCGTCCGGCGTCTGTAACAATTTCTTACAACTTCCTATAACTTAACAAATACTGTTTAGACTGACTTCAATTTTTTTCTAAATCATCTACATGTTCTCAGAAGTTCAAATCTGACTTTAGATTTGACATTTGACCTTCAATGACCTTCTCAAGGTCAAAAAGGTCTTTTTTTTCAACTTGCTTCACATTGACTAAATTTTTTTTCAAAATCATCTACATGTTCTCAGAAATTCAAATCTGACTTTAGATTTGACATTTGACCTTCAAATCTGACTTTAGATTTGACATTTGACCTTCAATGACCTTCTCAAGGTCAAAAAAGGTAAAAAAGGTCGGTTTTCAACTTGCTTCAAATTGACTAAATTTTTTTTTCAAAATCATCTACGTGTTCTCAGAAATTCAAATCTGACTTTAGATTTGACTTAAAATTTGACATTTGACCTTCAGTGACCTTCTCAAAGTCAAAAAAGGTCAAAAAGGTCTTTTTTTAACTTGCTTCAAATTGACTAAATTTTTTTTTCAAAATCATCTACATGTTCTCAGAAATTCAAATCTGACTTTAGATTTGACATTTGACCTTCAATGACCTTCTCAAGGTCAAAAAAGGTCAAAAAGGTCTGTTTTCAACTTGCTTCAAATTGACTAAAAAAAATTTTCAAAATCATCTACGTGTTCTCAGAAATTCAAATCTGACTTTAGATTTGACTTAAGATTTGACATTTGACCTTCAATGACCTTCTCAATGTCAAAAAAGGTCAAAAAGGTCTTTTTTCAACTTGCTTCAAATTGACTAAATTTTTTTTTCAAAATCATCTACATGTTCTCAGAAATTCAAATCTGACTTTAGATTTGACATTTGACCTTCAATGACCTTCTCAAGGTCAAAAAAGGTCAAAAAGGTATTTTTTCATCTTGCTTCAAATTGACTAAATTTTTTTTCAAAATCATCTACATGTTCTCAGAAATTCAAATATGACTTTAGATTTGACATTTGACCTTCAATGACCTTCTCAAGGTCAAAAAAAGGTCAAAAAGGTCTTTTTTCAACTTGCTTCAAATTGACTAATTTTTTTTTTCAAAATCAACTACATGTTCTCAGAAATTCAAATCTGACTTTAGATTTGACATTTGACCTTTAATGACCTTCTCAAGGTCAAAAAAGGTCAAAAAGGTCTGTTTTCAACTTGCTTCGAATTGACTAAAAAAAAATTTCAAAATCATCTACGTGTTCTCAGAAATTCAAATCTGACTTTAGATTTGACTTAAGATTTGACATTTGACCTTCAATGACCTTCTCAATGTCAAAAAAGGTCAAAAAGGTCTTTTTTCAACTTGCTTCAAATTGACTAAATTTTTTTTTCAAAATCATCTACATGTTCTCAGAAATTCAAATCTGACTTTAGATTTGACATTTGACCTTCAATGACCTTCTCAAGGTCAAAAAAGGTCAAAAAGGTATTTTTTCATCTTGCTTCAAATTGACTAAATTTTTTTTCAAAATCATCTACATGTTCTCAGAAATTCAAATATGACTTTAGATTTGACATTTGACCTTCAATGACCTTCTCAAGGTCAAAAAAGGTCAAAAAGGTCTTTTTTCAAATTGACTAATTTTTTTTTTCAAAATCAACTACATGTTCTCAGAAATTCAAATCTGACTTTAGATTTGACATTTGACCTTTAATGACCTTCTCAAGGTCAAAAAAGGTCAAAAAGGTCTGTTTTCAACTTGCTTCGAATTGACTAAAAAAATTTTCAAAATCATCTACGTGTTCTCAGAAATTCAAATCTGACTTTAGATTTGACTTGAGATTTGACATTTGACCTGCAATAACCTTCTCAAAGTCAAAGAAGGTCAAAAAGGTCTTTTTTCAACTTGCTTCAAATTGACTAAATTTTTTTTTAAAATCATCTACGTGTTCTCAGAAATTCAAATCTGACTCTAGATTTGACATTTGACCTTCAATGACCTTCTCAATGTCAAAAAAGGTCAAAAAGGTATTTTTTCATCTTGCTTCAAATTGACTAAATTTTTTTTCATAATCATCTACATGTTCTCAGAAATTCAAATATGACTTTAGATTTGACTTTTGATTTGACATTTGACCTTCAATGACCTTCTCAAGGTCAAAAAAGTTCAAAAAGGTCTTTTTTCAACTTGCTTCAAATTGACTAATTTTTTTTTCAAAATCATCTACATGTTCTCAGAAATTCAAATCTGACTTTAGATTTGACATTTGACCTTTAATGACCTTCTCAAGGTCAAAAAAGGTCAAAAAGGTCTGTTTTCAACTTGCTTCAAATTGACCAAATTTTTTTTTTCAAAATCATCTACATCTTTTCAGAAGTTCAAATTTGACTTTACAAGTTTTCAGAAATTCAAATCTGACTAGAGTTTGAACTCATAATATTGTGAGCAACTAGGTGGTGACATTTTGTCATGTTAATGCCTTGTTTCATATACTGTTGCAATATGGTCATTTGATTGCTTATTTTTTAAATTCAAAGTGGTTCCAAACATATACAATTTTACTGTACATTATATATAACATTGACATTGCAGCCTATACTTTGCCCATATTGCATGTACATATGTTTGAATAAAACTTGTATTTCAGCATAAAAATGGAACTTGGGATAGGAGATGACAAAAGTGTAGAGCAGGTATTGTATACTATAGTTACCATGGCAACCTTTGCAACTGGCACTGTTACCATGGCAACCCTAGCACATTGCATCTAAATGAACACCCTTGTTTAATCACCCTGGTTACTATCTTTGCCTTTTAATTAGATGTATATTGACTGTAAAAGGCGAGAAAAAATCTTGTTTTTGGTCAACAGGCTTTAAAAATGGATCTGCCAGCAAGGCCAATTTTTTAAAATTATTTTTTGTTCAAAAATATAATGTCTCAAAATAATAAAAACCACCAAAATTATAACAAAATTGGTGTTTTTGTTTTGAAAATTAAAATGGACTAATATGGAAAAGAGATTTGAAGGGAACAGTTTTGTAAGTTTATGAACTGAGTTAAACATCTTCAAAATTTTTCACAAATGTACACTTTTTCAGGTCAACTCTTCACCTTTACATTTTTGCAACCCTCTAAATGACCAGAAACAACGCTTTATTCTTGGCCTTACATCATTTAAACTAAAACATCTTTGAAAACTCGCTTATTATACATCTACATTCTACAAAGCTTTGTCTCATTGACCCACATTAAATTCTACGTAATACCGACATCGTTATCAGATTTTCATTTCATAATAAGGTGATAGTCACTTTGTTAATAAATAATTCCTGAAATCATTTTAACACTAGAGGCTATTAAAAAGCCCTCTCAAAGAGAATACACTATTTATAAGGGTGGATGGGTGAAGCAGTAAATGAAATAGTTTATATGAACAATTTAGTATGAGACTTTTGAGATGATCCCTAATGCCTCAATGGAACACATATTTACATTGTGGCATACACAACCAATCTGCAACATTACTGTATGATACCGTTTTAGAAATGGTACTGTACGGTACCGTGAAATATGGTATTGTATGGATCATAGACTAAAACGGTACCATACGGTACCGTGAACACTGAATGGCACTATACTCTAAGGGTACTGTACAGTACCATACTCTTAATGTACCATACGTTACCGTGACTCTAAAGTGCCGATTGGGGGTGTGAAAATGGAAAGAACTAAGAAATAATTTATATAACAGGAATTTAATAATAAGACTAAATACTTTCTAGATGCAGAAGTAGAAATGGTAAAATTAATATAAATCAAAAACCAGGATGTCGTCTGAATTCTAACATTAGAAAATAAAGATGGCCTAAATTCTTGCTTGGGATTGGAAGCTAACTATTATTAGTTTATATTAGTCTTAGAAGTATAAGATATATAACAAACTAGTACTACACAACATTTCGATCAGCCAGAGTAATGGCTTCGAGAGTGAACAGCCGCACACAATTTGACACTGGCTTCAAAGGGTTAATCGGGAAATCAGTGCATCAATTCTATAATAAACTAATAGTTTTAATGATTTTATTTTACATTTTAACTTTTAAGTAAACTATATGTAAGATGAGACAATAAATCATGATAATCCATATTATTATTCATTTCAAATTATTCATAATTTCAAGCAGACTTTAACCATACACCCATAGACTGTAGGTATAACGACCACACATTTCTGTAAATGATTTTTGTATTGTTTTTACAAAAAGTAAAAATTTCTCAACTAGAAAATTAATTGTATATTTCTTATAATGGCAAAAACTAGACAAAATTATATGTCTCTGGCTAGCTAGACTATGCTATCGATATACATGTACCCTGTATGTATTTTGCAATTTCAATGTTGTCAATCATTTGTGCTCTTATGCTCTTAATCATGAAGCTTTTGAGAAATATGAGGCATTTTGTTGTGGTCCGCAATATTGTCTTCCACCATGGGCTTTCCTAAGAACGGATTGCTTGTTTTGTTGACATTTATAATGATAATGACCATGCCTTCCATATTCATGATTCAGTATTTGAGATGCATCACATTAAAGAGTGAATCTAGAATCAGTTCAAATTAAAATGAACCCATAGTAAAAATGAATAAGTTGAACTAAGGAGTCCCATAGCCCATGGTTGTTCTTTAGTATGCAATGGGAACATCTTAATGAATGCATGGTTGATTTCCATATGTTTCAATGGGTGTATGAACCTAGGATAGCCAGTGATTCAAAATTTCAAAAAATTCTGGCTGACATTGATGCCATTATAATATACCGCTTCTATTCACATATTGCTTTACATGCATTTATTAAGAGTTTATATTTTAGTATATATTCACAAGACTTGATTGTTTTTAGCTCATATTGAGCTATTTTTATGGAGCACAGATATAATACATGCATTCTGTTGATTCGTCTCTCCGTCTGTCCATCTGTCCGTGAATGATATTGAACACATTTTTGAATGTGAATTGGCTACCCTTTTTTAAAAGTTTACTTTCACATCTAGGCTTAGTAATTTGTACTTCTAACCTCCTGATTGCAGGGAAGGAATCACTTTAAATGAAATCTTATTCAAATTAATGTGATATGTAATCATTTTTTTAAGCATTTGACATTTTCCAAATGTGACCATATTGTGAGCCTTTTTTTTAAAAGCAATAGTTATATTTATTTATGAAATGACAATCACTCAGTTTGTCTTGTAAAAATTATCAATATTTATCAACAACTCCTTGGCTGATAATTTCAGGTAACCACATATCAGAGCATATTGCATTTCCAATTAATCAGAATCATTTAGGGAAACTACCATTTTAGCCAACTACCCCCCCCCCTCCCCCCATGTTAAAGTCACATGTGTGTGTTAAATATGTGACTGAGTGAACATTGTTATTATCTGATTGTATTTAAATATCCAGAGTGTTTCAGTAGTATTGCATGTATAAAAAGTGTAATTTGGATCTTTCTCTTTTTCAGTTTTTGTAACCTCGACATTTTACATTTTCAGTTTTTACAAGAAGTCATCCGTAGTATTTGACTAGTAGGGATTGGGTCAAAACATGAATGTCCGTCAAAATGTATAAACAATTTTTTTTATGAGAGCAATAAAAGGCAATTTTATTTTATTTTCACGTGTCACTAATTCTAGAGATTTGTTCGCAAACAAATTCTTTCAAATTTTGTGGTTTGAAAATATGAGGAAGGGTCAAAATATTGTTTTGTTTTTACTGGACAGAAATGTTAACCCAATCCATTGTTAGTAGAAACATGGGCATTCTATTGAAAGCCCATGGTAGAAATTTATTAATCATATAGCATCCGGTTCCATTATCCTTTTTATTCCTCTATGACCATCAGAACTTTATACACAATTGATTATTTATCAGTAAACAGTCATAATGAACTATTCTTTTCTCCAAAAAATGTCATTTACTTTTTTCTATCCACATGTTTTATAGTAGTCTTCATCGAGTTATGTTTTATCTTTAGGAGCTACATTGATTAAGTTAATATGCTTTTTTGAACCCATGTTCCAGTTCTCTCCAATGTTGTTGTTTCAATTGACATTAAAATGCCTGTTCCTATAGTTACATGAAGGCCTGAGATTGTGATTTCTGTACTCTTTTGGATACATAATATCATGATGGTATTATTGAGAACATTTTTTTAACTATGACAAAGAAAACATTTCCTTTTCATGAATTTTTCAAAAGGATTTTATTCAACATATCACAACCTGATATTATGAAAAAAGATTGTACAAAAATTCAAAATCGACTCTCGAGCACTCATATCCATTCATATCCATATCCATACCAATCACACACGTTTATGGATCTCTTTTGTAGTATCCATACCAACAAGGAGAAACACCAGGCATGGCTCAAGTCGAAGAAGAAACAGAAATTCCCTTCTATGAAGTTCACGAGATTGTAGTTCCTCATCTAGGGCATGTACCCATTGCAAAAGGTGACTTCCATCGCCTTCCTAAGAAGGTGCAGAAGTTCATCGCATATTACGTAAGTATATTCGTAATTTTGATAAATTTAACAATTTTAAAGTTTAGAGACCTGGAGGAAATATATGTATTTGTTAGTAAATAAGGGTTATGTACTGGGAGGTTTTGGATATGGGGTTTATCCAGAGGGAGATATGCATATCTACCTGAGGGACCGTAGGGACCGAAGTTAGATGTGCATATCTCACGAGGGATGAACCCAATATCCAAACCGACCGTACATAACTGCTTTATCCTATACCAAGTAGAGTTTTCAGGGGCAGATGGCCATTTCAATAGTACAAGGTGTAAAAATAAACAAATCATTCATATGCAAAGTCATTTTATTGCATTTCCACTACTTACCGGAAGCGGGAAGATATGCACTGAAGCGGGAAGATATGCACCGAAGCGGGATATATGGCGGGAGATATGGAGGTTCTGGATATGGAAACCTCAAAATCAGGATGTGGCATATATCTTACCAACTTATCTCCCTAAAACTCTACTTGGCATAGGATAAATCTGGTTATTTAAACAGTGGATATTCTCTCTAAAAGAACACATTAATTTAGAAAATTACATTTCATATTCTCCAATCAAAAACTTTTAATGAGATACTTTCTATGAATATATAAAACTTTGAAAGGTTTTTGTGAAAACTCTACATGAATATGAAGGTTTTGCACATTGGCCTATGAATAAAAATTCAATTACTGAGGAATGTGTATTTCCTAGTAGATGAGCCTTAAATACAAAGGCTCATCCAGTTGTATAATATCTTTTATAGTGTGATTTGCTGACACCAAGGGGTCTCTATATATGTGATGGTACTGTGAAGGAAGCTGATGAAGTTGTACACAAACTTCTAGAAAGAGGAACCCTTGAACCATTAGAGAAACTAGACAACTGGTAACATTTTTAGTTCATTACAATTTATGAATGAATTATGAATGCTTTGATATATCATTTTCAGAATTCTTTTCATCTTTGTTTTGATTTTTTAATTGTATGGCCGCATTTTATCTTTTTCAATTCAGTTTATGTCACAATTATTTCAATGTCTCGGTTTATGTTACCATTATTTCAATGTCTCAGTTTATGTTACCATTATTTCCATGTCTCAATTTAACTCACCACCAAAAAGTGGTGACATATTGTTATGATCTTTGTTGTTTGTGATGGCTGATGGTGAACAGTAGTTGGCGATCGTCATCTGTAACAATATTGTGAGCAACTAGGTGGTGACATTTTGTAAATGACTTGTACTTCAGTGCTTCAGTGAATTCACTTGTCAACAAAATGGATGGTATTCAAAAACTTTTGAGAAAATAAACTTGATTTGTTTGAGGAAGTAAATGATGATTTTGTCAGAGGAAATGTAAACCTGCACATCGCTCCAAAACGAAATATTTTGACATATATTGTTTTTACATTTTCAAGCTCTAAAATGAAGTTTCTGTAAATAAAAATTGTTTTTTCTGTGTAATATCAAAGAACAATCACTTAGTAAAAAAAGAAAAAAAGTACATGCGGGATTCGAACCCGGGCCGCCTGCGTGCTTAGCGAGCATTCTACCGCTGGGCTACCAATTCATTATGAATGGCGAGCGTAATTAAACGCTACTTATTTTGAATGCTATAATTCGGAAGTGACGTCACGTTCTTAATTTAGAAACCTTCCAAAAATCATATTGTCGTCGACAATCGAAGCAATTCAATGAATAATCGTTGTAATGACACATTTATCGTGAGTATTTATACACAAGATTTGCCCCATTTGTTCATCATTCTATAATCTTTCATTAAGCTCAAAATGATAAAGTTCACCCCCGAAACAACCCAAGATTGCGTTTTGGAGCAATGTGCAGGTTTAATTTTCAAGTGTAATTTAGTCAGCATGTTGTTACATTAGGAGAGGAGGTTGGGGGTTAAAAAAATATTTAAATAAATATTGCTTTTCTACAACCTTCAACATTTGGACACATTGGTTCCAGTTACACAAGAGGATCAATGTTTGGTTACAAAGCTTCATGACAAAGGTGTTACTCAGGGGTCTTTTTTTATTTATCAAAAAGAAGTCTTGGTTTTCTTGGAATCACAAGCTTCAACCATACTAAAAATGAACTCTAGGTACATATTCCTTTGTAAGGAAGCTTTCTTGGTTAAAATTCTTTGTAATGAAGCAATTTATACCCACTGTGTTACATGTACCAACATTTCTACCATCAATCCTATTATCACATTTCAGTTTTATCTGTCGTACCGATCCCGCTGATGTTGCGAGAGTAGAGTCTAAAACCTGGATTTCTACCAAACAAAAGCATGATACTGAACCCGACTGCAAAGAAGGAGTCAACACTATAATGGCTCACTGGAGGTCACCTGAGGAGGCCAAGAAGGAGACCAGTGAACGCTTCCCAGGATGCATGGCAGGTAGGTCTTTCTTCATACAATTTTGTTCCCCTCTAGCTAAGGGAGTACAGCTGACTAGAGGTGTCCCTGTCCCTTTCTGATTGGGACGTGAAATGTCGGGCCGGGTCAGAAGAAAATGGAAAAATGAATCTGACTTAATTGTTAAGTACTAGCAACTGAAATGACCGGGTCATAATACATGGCACATTATAAGGCTGTTTAAGCCTGCATTGCTGCGTATTATTCTTTGATAAAATGAAAAATGATAGAAACTTAACATTAAATTGTTCCGGAACAACCATGAATTATTTTCCATTCACAATTTATACAAGAAATAGGCCAGCTAGAAGTCTGAAATTTCTGTTGGGAATATAAAGCATTTTACAATTGTTTTTGATATTCCTGCTAAGTAGTTGTTTGTGACACAATTGAGCCTTCTGATCAAAGATTCCTGTCAACTTGATGTGGGTGTGACAAGTTTACAGTTAACTGACTCTAACTATATACTTATTGATCACCCTTTGTATTTTGTGTTGTAGGACGTATGATGTATGTTATACCATTCAGTATGGGACCTATTGGTTCCCCTCTAGCTAAGGTTGGAGTACAGCTTACAGACTCTAACTATATACTTATTGATCACCCTTTGTATACTTTTGTGTTGTAGGACGTATGATGTATGTTATACCATTCAGTATGGGTCCCATTGGTTCCCCTCTAGCTAAGGTTGGAGTACAGCTTACAGACTCCAATTACGTACTGCTCTGCATGAGGGTGATGGCCCGTGTCAGTGAGAAGGTGATTTATTTATTAATCCACCAAACGATTTGAAGGGTTATAGGGAAGCCATTAATTTGTTTGTTCATCCATCCATTCGTATGTTCATAATGAAAATGATGCCATCAAACACTATTTTTCAAAGATAAACATACATTCTTTACAAATCTATTTTCAAACAGTTTTTGATTTTTATAAAAGGCTAATATATGGTTCCAGTTTTGTTTTGGTTAAGTGACTGGATTTGCTTCTTGCCTATTGAAACATCCTATGCCCAATTTGTATTAAATTTCTTTCAACCGTGTAGGTAATACCATCTATCAATTCAATTCAATTCAAATCCTGTCACCTTTTGATATATCAGAAAAATATGGGCTATCTAGATGAAAATGTCATTGAAAACTTGAGAATTAGAAAAAGTATGAAAAATGGGCATATTTTGACCAATTTTGGTCTGTATCATGAAAATTAAAATCCTGTGGAGAATGCTGAAAGATGTGACCAAATAAACTATTTGGAAATGAACAAATTTTGTTATTTTTTCAGGTATGGGATGCTCTAGGTGACAATGACTTTGTAAAATGTGTTCATTCTATGGGATGCCCCCGACCATGGAGAAGTAAGTACACTCATTACCTTAAATACACCCCCCAAAAGGCAATCTGATTTTCGACGCCGTTTCGGTGCCAAATTTCGCTGTGGTTTCGGCACCAAATGGACTGACTAGTCTGGTGCCAAATTTTGGTATCGATAGGTTTCAGTGCCGGAACGGTGCCGGAACAAATGGAATTTTTTCGATGCTGAAAAGGCGCCGAATTATATTGCTGGCTGTTTAAATAGAACTCTGAATAGATTTATCCAGTTCAGAAGTCCCTAAAACCATGATACAAACTTGTGTCAGTGTTAAAATTGTTTTAAGAAAAAATGTGTTTTATTATTACTTTTTACGAACATGCCAGATTTCAGATGCTTGGATTTTGCCAAGTTTCACATGCTTGTTTAACATGTTTAGTGAGCTCATTTCACATAAATGCCCATTTCACATGTATGCCAAGTTCCACATGCCTGTTAAACATATCCTTTGAGCCCATTTCACAAGTCTAATCACTTGTACTTACAGAGAAGGTGGTGAACCATTGGCCATGCAACCCTGAGAAAATTCTCATTGCCCATTTCCCTGAAGAAAGAAAGGTAAGCAGATATGATTATATGTTTGAAGCATGTGCTCCAGAAGCCCCTGTATCAGTTGTCACAAAACAAAACCCCTTCATTTTATTATGTAAGAAAAAGAAGTTGCCAAATAATAATTGTGCTTAAACAGTCTTTTTGTTGTACATTTAGTATATGCAGCTAGCCCCTCATTGTATTGTCACAAAACCCCTTTATATTGTTATGTAGGAAAATGAAGTTGCCAAAAAAAAGTTGTGATGACACTGTCTGGGTAGTGCCATATTGAATTTGGTGTTATGGATCTATTTTGCATACTACTTCTCATTATAGGTGAAGTCATATGGCAGTGGCTACGGTGGTAACTCGTTGTTAGGAAAGAAGTGTTTCGCTTTGAGAATCGCCAGTGTGATCGCTAGAGATGAAGGATGGATGGCTGAACATATGTTGGTAGGTGAAAATGTGTAGGAAAAATGTTAAATGTTAAAGTGGAATTTTGCTAGTAAAATTGTTTGTCGAAAGCAAAACCCAAGTGACTGCTTAGTTATGAGAATCTTTGTTTCAAAGCAATGTGATATGCCACATGATTATCAATGTCACATGAATATGAATGTCACATGATAATGAATGTCACATGATTATGAATGTCCCATGATTATGAATGTGACATGATTATGAATGTCACATGATTATCAATGTCACATGATTAGGAATGTCACATGATTATGAATGTCACATGATTATGAATGTGACATGATTATGAATGTCACATGATTATCAATGTCACATGATTAGGAATGTCAGATGATTATCAATGTCACATGATTATCAGTGTCACATGATCATCAATGGCACCATCGTTTTTAAATTGTTTATAAATTGCTAGCACATTGCTCAAATCTGTCAGTGTTCGTGATTAATTGGGTATTGAGTGTGTGTCTCACAGGCTAATTCAACCAATTTCTACCACGATATATAACCTCTTTCCTCAATTTAATTTTCATTTCTGATATACTAGAAGGGTAATGTTTTATTCTAAGGTTGATGTAATTACGTCACCACCAAAAAGTGGTGACATATTATTTGTTATGGTGTCTGTTTTTTGTGACGGCAGTTAGCGATCGGCGGTTTGCGTCTGTAACAAATGGTGGTGACATTTTGCATTTTAATGCCTTGTTTTGTCTTGTTTTCAGATCATGGGGCTGACTGACCCCCAAGGACGTGAACATTACCTAGCTGCAGCTTTCCCCAGTGCTTGCGGAAAAACCAATTTGGCTATGATCAAGCCAGGACTCCCAGGATGGAAGGTTCTTTGTGTTGGTATGTTATTTGGACAAATGAGTGGTTGCTATGGTGTCTTAATGTTGAAAGTTTCATAAAAATGAATGACATATAACTTCATTATTGTTGACTCCCACTTCCCCTATATATTATAATAAAAACTGTATTATGTCATTTAACAAAAGATATCATGAATCTGAACATATTAAGTGTTTTTTTTTGCAATTTGCCACTCTTTATCTGCGATAGATAGATAATAATATAATAGGGCATGATAATAACCAGTGTAATAATAGGGCATGATTTACTGAAATATTATTTCACTTGTAGGTGATGATATTGCATGGATGAAGTTCGATGAAACTGGCCAATTATTTGGTATTAACCCAGAGGCTGGATTTTTCGGAGTCGCTCCTGGAACTAACTGGAAGACGAACCCTAACGCCATGCACTCCTTCCAAGCGAACACTGTCTTCACAAACATAGCAAAGACAGAAGATGGTGGCTACTATTGGGAAGGTCTAGAAGATGAACTGCCAAAGGTTTGGAAAATCTTTTTCTTAATGGAGAAGCCCCATAGCTTTTGTCAAGGGAGTTAACTTTTCAAAAAATTTCAGAGGTGTTCACATTTGACAACTTTGACTCAAAATCATTTAAAAAGTGCTCAGAATGGTGAATAACTGCATGATTTCGAGAGGCTTTGGCAAGGGGGATTACAGGCCTGAGCCTGGACGAAAAACATTGTTTCTCTGAATTTTTTCTCTAAATTGCAGTCATTGTTGCTGCACACATACTATAGCTCCATGTTTCTGTAGTTTCACACATCAGAGCACCTATCAACAGTCAAATCTTCGCAAACTTTACACTGAAGTTTCCAACTAAATTGAAAATGAGAAGTTATTTTAAAATTAGAGAGTTCAGTTTTTGTCACTGTATGTGTAATACTGAGGGACCAAAAAATGGCAACTTTGTATTTTCCTCACATTTGACCACCCTGTAGGTGCTTCGAAACAGAGTCAAATGTATAACTTCAACATGACAAGTTCATTCAAACCATTCAACATTCAAACCATTCAACCATCAAATTAAAACAAATTAAGAAAAGTTGTGTTTTTTTTCATTTTATCCCATGTTAATGCTTTAAAAACATCCAACTTTAAAACCAACTCATGGTTTTCACTTTATCCCATGTTAAATCTTTAAAAAACATCCAACTTTAAAACTCTGTTATATTACAGGACACCAAGATAACTACATGGCGAGGTGAACCATTCAAGATAGGCGATCCAATTAAGGCGGCCCATCCTAACTCACGATTCTGTTGTCCTGCTGCACAATGTCCCATAATTCATCCCAAGTGGGAGGACCCCAAGGGAGTACCCATTGACGCACTTATCTTCGGTGGAAGGAGACCTGAGGGTATTACTATATTATTGATTTTAATGAATTCTAGCATTCAGAATTCTAAATGGGTCTTCTGACAATATTATACATTTTACTCTAAACTTAACTTTTGTAATACTGAAGAGTAATGAGTTTTTACTCAGAGAGTTGAAATAAGATTAACTTGAAATTCACGCAGTTATGACATGAAGCTGCTCAGATTTTAGGCAATATCAGTTACCATGACAATGAATTACATCCATTTTCTCCATTTCTTTATTTCATTTCATATTAATACATGCATATATATCAAATCTGCAGATTATATTTTTTTATTTGCATTGTTAATTTAACGGAATGATCTCGACACATTCAGGTGTACCATTGGTGTATGAGTCTTTCGACTGGAACCATGGTGTCATGGTTGGCGCACAATTGAAGTCTGAGACAACCGCAGCTGCAGAGTTCAAAGGTCAGATATTAAGAAATCCTACGTACCTGGAATACTTTTTTTATGACTCTAATTGTCAATTCCAACTGGACTTAAATGCATATCATGTGGTTTTAGATTTAAAAAGAAATTGATTGCAGTCAAGACTATACATCTCTGAATCAGTTACATGTTCTGAGTAACTTTTTTATTGAAATTTATTTATTTTAAAACATTTATACATTACAAATTCTGAGTAACCAGTGGTTTTGTCTTTTCTCAGTAACATGTATTTAGGGTGAGGAATTTTTCAGCTGCTTTCGGAGATTTTTTTTTTCAAAATAATACTGGCTTGCAAACACAGTCCAACTTAACAGAAAATAACAGTCAGAATATTGTTCAATATTGAAAAAATAGGTCTATTCTTGAAGATCTTAATAGAAAAATAGACCTCATTTTGAAAAATAGCACTATATACAGTATTCAACAGTAGACTGCTGAGAGTTTATAACAATATTTCCATTTACAGGCAAGAATATCATGCATGACCCAATGGCTATGAGACCTTTCATGGGCTACAACTTTGGGCATTACCTACAGCATTGGCTCAACCTAAACAAGGCCCCAAATAAAGTAAGTACAGAAAAATCTGCCCAAGTGGAACACCTTCGGTACCTCTTAAAAGTGCTCCACTTGGGAGGTTTTCTACCTATTATGGGCTACAACTTTGGCCATTACCTACAACATTGGCTCAACCTCAACAAGGCCCCAAATAAAGTATGTATAGAAAAATCTGCCCAAGTGGAACACCTTCGGTACCTCTTTAAACTGTGCTCCACTTGGGAGGTATTCTTCTTATAGAGGTTCAATTAATATAAGTCAGTTGATCTTGGGACTCTGAAAAGTGTTCCACTAACGAAGGTGTTTGACCTTCCACTTTTCACTGTAATGTTAACAATTTTCTAGATGCCAGTAGGTAGTTGACAGTTTTAGCTAATTTAGGTCAGATTACAAGGCAAACAATTGCAGAAGAGGAAAATGTTTTCCTCAACTTGAATTTGCAATTGCAAGATTTAGTGGATCAAATAGTCAGCCATCTTGGATGAAGAGTGTGTATGTTGGAGAGTCCAATTTATTTTTAAAAAAAATTTCTATGAGGTGACCATAGGCTATATGACATTAAAAACAGGAAAACCCTATAAATTAATTATTAGTCTATGTACATGGCATACTTTTAGGTGCCCAAGATCTTCCACGTAAATTGGTTCCGTGTTGACAAAGAGGGCAAATTCTTGTGGCCAGGATTCGGAGAGAATGTCCGTGTACTCGACTGGATTTGCAAGAGAGTTCGCGGAGAAGATGTTGCTTTCAAATCACCTATTGGATATATGCCAAAGAAAGGTATAAAAACAAAAATAACATTTAACTAATATAAAGATGCTGTTAACGCCGTTTTTGACATTTTTGAAGATTCAATGGGATGAGACTTGGGACTGATGTGTTACTTTATGGGTGCATGTGTGTTAAAGATAAATAATAATACATCTTTTATTTGTTTCAGGCACAATTAACCTTGAGGGTTTGGGGCCCATAGATTGGGACGCACTATTTGATTTGCCCAGAGAGTACTGGCAACAGGATTGTAAGGAGACCCAAAAGTTCCTGGAGGACCAGGTGAGTTATCGGCATAAATTGAGTTGAATTTTTTTATGAATGGATCAGAATTTTTTACTTCAAAATGTATTGTTTGGATTTCGGAATAGTTCAATTAGAGTCTGCGTGTGGCCTGGGCAAATTCTATATAAGCTGAAAAGGTCTGACCTTGCCTACAGTACATACGTGTGAAATAAACAGTTAATTGGCTCATTAGGATATGGTGTTACATTTTTGTTAAAATCTGATTTTTATTTGACGTGAATTTTATATTCTTGTCCTGTTTAATAAAAAAGTACATATTGCAGTTCATAATCACCATTACTTTGGGGACAAACTTAATCTCATATGATTTTAAATCTTTTTTAATTTACCATTTTTCAGCTTGGAAAAGACCTTCCCAAAGAAATTTTGGAAGAGTGCAAAAAACAAACGGAGCGCATTTCCAAGATGTAAACGATATAAACATTACATATTTCGGCATTCTTGGCAGTTAGAACCATTTGCCCTCACATTGAATGGTGGATTGGAATTTGACCGCACATTGAATGCTGTTCTGACATTTATGTTACATGAATTATACAATGTATAGGAGGCCTCTAGTTTAGATTTGAACAATGTTTGATGTATATGTATGTGAATAAGAATTGTGGCTGTTTAAATAGATTCATGTTAAGCGAGGGCCATTTTTGAATTTTGTGAATTTTGATTTATGAAACTCATTTTGTATCATGATTATAACATGTGTAAGAATCTCTTGGATCAAAATTCACAATTTTTGATTGAATTGTTGTCTCTAAATCTATGGGAAAAGAAGAAGAATGACAAATTTTAGTGTATCTATAGTTGCAATGGTTGCATAGAAATGATTTGGATTTAGATATGACTTAAAAAAGAATGATAAATTTTAGTGACAATTTTATCGACATTGCAATGTTGCCTGATTATTTTGCCTAATCCAGAAGAGTGAATGTCACATTGATAGTGTGTATGGCAGCTAAAATACAGGCTAGGCAATTAATTGTAAATCTCATTTATTATTTAGTTTGTAATTGTATAGTCTAGCTATAAGCCCCTATGCCCCCCCCCCCTCCTCGACATGACTACACACCTTCTCAAACTTGTTGGGATTTGTAGTGTGGGGGGGGGGGGGTCACTAGGGTCTGTAGCTACACTAGTAAGTGTATGTGTCTCAATATCACCTTCATTACGCCATTCAGAATATGCAAATTAATTAAGAGGACCAATCCGTGTTTGGGCTCATTAAAGTTAACTATGACATCATAATCACAATATTTCACAGTCCAAAGAAGATTGTATGGTGTATTACTGGATGGCCCAAAAGAAGGCTCACTGTTATTCAGCAATCTCTTTCTGTAAACTGTAAACCTGCTTTTGGGCCAACCTGTATTGTGATACATGGTCCATATTCATTTTCTGCCTGTCAAACCTTACAATCAAATTTTCTTTTGGATTTGACAGGTTATTATTCCATGAAAAGGTTGTGTGTGTATTGGCTAAATTAATATGTACAAAACCCACCATTGTAACCATAGTACTATAGCTGAATAATGAGATGGAAATTCATGATAAAACCCTTTATTGTCTCAAGCTCTGTGTTGTACAATGACTAACTTCTACGGACTCACAAATTTGTAAAAATGAGTAGATAAATTAATGTGAGATTCTGCAGTACACTGGACACCCTGTATGTGCATTTATTAAATCATGATCAAATATCACTGCCAGCACTTACATATATGTACGTACAGTAGTTATATAGGGTAAGTATTATGATTCGCTGTTAAAGATTTTTTCTTTATTAATTAGAATTCTTTTGGTTATTGAAATCAGGTTCAAGGTTTGAATTTATCAAAGTGGACTCTGAACTGAATTAATGCATTCATTGTATCATTTGTGAAGAATTAAAAAAATATTTGTGCCATTTGTAAACTGTATTCTAAATGCATTTTCACCTCTTGATAAGAAACTTTGAAGGTTGTTACTGTATCGTGAACTGTGTTCTAAATGCATTTCCACTACCTATAAGAACCTTTTATGGTTGTATTTGTGGCATTTTGAAATGTATTCTAAATGCATTTCAGCACTTGAAAAGACCAAACCTTAAAAGGATATATTTGTGCCATTTTAAATTGTATTCTAAATGCATTTTCACCATTTGATAAGACCAAACCTTAAAAGGTTGTATTTGTGGCATTTTGAAATGTATTCTAAATGCATTTCAGCACTTGAAAAGACCAAACCTTAAAAGGATATATTTGTGCCATTTTAAATTGTATTCTAAATGCATTTTCACCATTTGATAAGACCAAACCTTAAAAGGTTGTATTTGTGCCATTCTGAACTGTATTCTAAATGCATTTCACCATTTGATAAGACCAAACCTTAAAAGGTTGTATTTGTGCCATTTTAAATTGTATTCTAAATGCATTTTCACCATTTGATAAGACCAAACCTTAAAAGGTTGTATTTGTGCCATTCTGAACTGTATTCTAAATGCATTTCACCACTTGATAAGACCAAACCTTAAAAGGTTGTATTTGTGCCATTTTGAACTGTATTCTAAATGCATTTCACCACTTGATAATATCAAACCTAAAGAACTGAATTTAAAGTATATTATCTCCACATTCTAAATTTATTGTTAATCAAGCCCTTAAATTGTATTTTTGCTTAATTGGGCTGTATTTTGAATAAATGTTTACTAGTTGATTAAATAGTACAGCTTTGCAAAATTATTGGATTATTTGACCTCAATCTTATAGAATTACTATTTAAACCAACTTCATGTATATGTACATTGTATATGTAAACATCAAGGAATCATTAAAGTTGACTTTCTTATTACTAAATACATTACAGTGTACTTTAACATAAATGTTAAGATTCTTTTTTCGTTTTTTTAACAAGAATATTGTAGTTATCATTTAGATGAATGTGTTTCTCAGATGTTTGAATTCATGTCTGCTTGGATGAAAGCGTATAATCAATTATATATTAGAAAAATAAACAAGTATTATACAATACCGAAAATAAAGTAATTTGTTGTTTACCTACATGTACTTACGGTATGTTACTTGTATAAGTACATGTATATATTTTGCTGAAAATAACTTTTTACTTCTACTAAGGCCCATTACTTCTACTAAGGCCCATATGAAGTTTAAACCACTTTGGCTTATATTGAAGTCTTGACCAATGCTATATCAGAATTTGATATGTGAAGCTTTTTTTATTTCAAAAGTGATATTTGAAGGACTTTTTACTAAAAAAATTGTGGATTTATTTACAACACATATCTTTTAATACTAAGAGATAATTCACACCAATGTATCTAACATCCCCACATGAAAAATGGTGACACTGTATGCAATGCTTTTGATGAAATCATTCAATGTAATGCTTCCTATGAAACCATTGAACCACAGAAGCCAAATTCCATTACTGGAATTCAGAAGGGAATATAATGGTTACATTCAAGGTGTATTGATTGCACTGCATAGGCACTTTGTGGACAAGAGAGGCAGGATTTCTCCCCGATTTTTCGCATGGAGTTTAATAAAGTGGTATTTAGCTGAGTACACATATGCACTTAACTCTTTCCCAATGTGAATATATTAAGAGGAAAGTGATAGCCTGTTGAGTGTTGACGGATAAGTGAGAGTTGTTTTTAGGGGAAAGCTGCAAATTACAGTACCTATACCCTAAGACCCATACCTTATATTTTATCACTTTGGTGTATAAATACTGAATAGAACTGGAGATATTGGCATTTCATTAATGTATGTAAATGAAATAATGGTGCCAAAATGCCAAACAGAGCCTATCGTCCTGAAAGGTATTACGTAATAGGGCTCCATAAGGAGCCCATAGTCGTAAAAGGGTTAATAGGTGCAAATACATGTTACAACATATGCCAGGGGAAAAGTACTACTGAGTTCATGAACTAAACAGTACTTTTCCCTTGGCCTCTGTGTAATAGTACATGATCATGAATTTCCCGGGAATCGGGATCAGTTTAATTTTGTTTCGTCTAGTGTAAAATCTAGCGTATATTCTCGCAAAATCTCGCGAGATCAAGTAGTACTTACGAGACCTGGGATTTTAAGCGTCGTCAAGGTAAATTCTGATATTATTTCGAAGATTTCGGCAACCATTTGGTTTATTTCTGAATAAAAAATGAATGGAATAAAACGGGAAATGTATGTTGCGTTCATGGTAGAACACTGAGACGTTTTAAAGGAACAATGATGATGAAATATTACGTTCATCGGTTGCCATATAATTTTTTTCAAATTTTTCATTTTTGCAGGTGCTTGCAATTTTGCAATTTTTTCAATGTATTATTTCTTTGCTCTGTTATTCTTCATTGATTATTTGCTTCATTTAAGAGCCTCAACTGTCGTTCATAGCTAGCCAATAATTCAGATCGGAAATATTTGTGTAAGCAAGCGCAGTGTTTGAAAATCAAGGATCACTCTCACGTCACTGCTCTCTGCACCATTTTTCATCAACCTTGTTCCGTTACTTCGGCCTAGGCCTGAGACTAAAATAAAAATTTAGAGTATTTTATTATTAGTCTCAGATTAGGCCTAAAAGCTAAACGAAAATGCCGTTCTGTCTGCCTGTGCATTGCTTTAGTGGCTTTAGGGCTTCGAGTTGGTTCTATTTCCTCATTCTCGCCCATAATTTCCTAATTACAAAATTAAAACCTCCATTACATCTACATTTTTGGGCATTTAAAGCTGCAGTTTTGTAAACACCCTCACATCTATTAAAAATTGATCAATACGTGCCATCGTTGGGAAACAATGAGATATATTATCAATTTGAATAAATGTGTGGATGATTTCGAAACTGCTGCGTGTAATGGCAAAAATGTGATGTCTCAGTGATAGAGAACAAAGCTTTGAAAAGAACTAATAAAAGAATGGTCATGGGCTTGCCTCGTACTACATGACTGTAACGACCCTTGATAGCAAATTGCTACTACGGCCCAGCTGTAGTGGCTTAAGCCTCTTTAGCTCAGTCGGTAGAGCATCAGACCTCGGATCCAAGGGTCCTAGGTTCGATTCCCACACGGGGCATTGAATTTAGCACACTTTCTTTCAATTTCTTTATCTGGCTTGTTACACTATGCTCGTTAGTTAATTAGTTAGTCATTCCCCTGGGGCGCCCTCGGGTCATTACATTGGTGTCAGAAGTGGGATCAGAGCATTGGTTGTATCCTTTGCGCCCGTGTGTGTGTGGTAGTCACTGCTAGGGAAGCAGGGCTGACCACTGGGGCGTGGTCCTTTCAAAGGGGGAGATAGTGTAACGACCCTTGATAGCAAGTTGCTACTACGGCCCAGCTGTAGTGGCTTAAGCCTTTATAGCTCAGTAAGTAGAGCATCAGTCTTTGGATCCAAGGGTCCTAGGTTCGATTCCCACACGGGGCATTGAATTTAGCACACTTTCTTTCAATTTCTTAATGTGGCTTGTTACACTATGCTCGTTAGTTAATTAGTTAGTCATTCCCCTGGGGCGCCCTCGGGTCATTACATGACTACCTACACGATGTGCCACCTGGCCTCAGAGAAAGATTCAATAAACATACATTAGTTTTACTTTCATTTATAGATCTATGCTTTTTATTTCAGATTATATTATTAGCACAATCCTGGAGAAACTATTATCAATGAAAACCAGACGCTAACCAAACAAATATAAATATGTCTGATAGACCAAAGAGTAAGAATTCGGGCAAAGGGAGCCCAAGAAAAGGAAGCCCAAGCAGATCAGCTTCAAGGTCAGGGTCAAGAACGGGGTCAAGGGCACAGAGTCGCAATAGCAACAAATCAAAAACACCAAGGCAAGAGCCAGAAATATCAGAGACTCCAGGTAAGTACATACAATTTGATACCATGTTAACTCACAACTATATTTCTTTAAAGGACGATTCTCGGTTTGGAGAACGAAGTTCATCAATCTAAATGAGCATTATCCCTGCTTCGGACAAATTTGATTTTTTTACATAACATAGATTTGAATGTCTTCTTTTGAATAGTCATAATTAATTTGGGTAATATTTCTAGATTTTTCGCAAAAAAATATTAGCGCAGTACACTGATGAACTTCTTTCCCCAAATAGAGACTTGTATTTTATTGAATCGGTCAAATTGAGCGTTATCCCTGCTTCAGACCAATTTGTTATTTTTACATCTTGTAGAATTAAATGTCCTCTTTTGAATATTCATAGTTTAATTTGGGTAATATTTCTATATTTTTCATGAAAAAAATTATTAGCCCAGGAGACTGTTCTCCAAACCGAGAATCGTCCTTTGAGAAAATCTTTGATCTTGGAGAAAAGAAAGGAATATTCCCTATCAGAGCAAATCCTGAGTGTCCTACTATACGGCTCTAAATAAGAGAAATTATTAGGTCAGGGTGCACTTGGATGTAATTTCATGTGTGTGACCATGTGCTATTTTCAGATAAACATAACTCATTCCACACATCATCTACATCTTTCATTCTTGCACAAAAGATGCATTAGTGTACTTAGACTATTAATTGAGGGTTGATATTTCATCAGAATGTTTGAATAACTAGAATATTCAGTGGTTTACTTTTCAAAATTGCAAAAAATTCCAACATGCACCCATCTTTTATCACCAGGAATATCTAAATTGGCCATATTCAGATTGGCCTTATTCTCAGTTTTCTGAATCTGACTAGACTAGAATGAAGGGTTATCACTAACTCATACAATTAACATGTAGATAAAGCTCTCATTTGTTTCTATAAAAAGTAAATTATTTAGTCATGAGTTATGTCCATACAGTTGTTTAATTGTATGTTTCTTTTCAGTTGAAAATGGTGAAGGTGATATCAACTCCAATGTGGAAGAAAAACTTCCCACCCCAGAACCTGAGACACCTCCCCCTCCTGAGAGGACAGTGGTAAGTTCATACTTCCTTTTTCTCCCCCTCTCCCTCCCTTTTCTGAATTAGAGCTATCATTGAAAAAAATCTTCAGATTTGAAAAATAAGCAATTAAGTGTTACTTGTTAAAACTTTTTCACTTAGTACTGACGGAAATTTTAAAATCTGTGATTAACAACCCTATTACAACTCCCTGTAACCACAAAATTCATCAATATTATTATTTATTTATTTCTTCCAGATTGATCTTATAAAAGAGAGAACCCTAGTCTGTAAAATGAACCCTGACGCTTGGAAGCCGCAACATGAAGGAATTATGGAACAATTCATCAACAGCTCACAACGCCTTCTGGTGGCATACATGGACACTATCAATGGGCTAACAATGGAATTTTCAATGCCAGCAAATCCAGTAGCAGAGCTGACCTATTTCATTAAGAAAAACGCAGTCCCTGAGTTGACTATGGAGAACTTCAAAGGTTGTGTACAATATGGAACGGTATCTGGAATGCATATTGAGAGTTTACTGAGGTTGATGACGGGAATCTACGCGCCCATATTCTTTGAGAACACATCATGGCCAGACAGTATCCTTTACTAAATATATTTTGTGTGATAAGAGTGAAATACTACAAACTCCAGGCAGAATTGTCAGAAGAAAATTTTAATCCCTATTATGGTTAATGCAGATCTCCTAAAATCTCATTAAAAAGAGTCTTTAACAAGATGTAAGAGGGATCCTGGGGTGCACTGACTCTCAGCCCATAGTACATGATTTCAATTTTTGTTTTCATTAACCAATATAATAGCAAAGCTCCTATAGATATACTGAGACAACTTTCCTCAAAAACACTTTTTTAGCTTTAAAGATTCTCGCAATCTTTATCCAATCAGCGTTTGCGAGTGTGTCGGCTCACGTATAAAAGGCGAATCCAACTCAAATCCATGCAGGGGTGTATGAGGTACTCGAATATGAAAGAGCTCGTGAAATCTGAATTTATATGCACATGGTCAATGTTTACACATGTTTGGAGTTATTGAAGAAAATGTGATATGGGTGTGGTTCCGGATTTGAAGTCATTGCTGGAAAATATGATTTTAATACGTGAAATTATATCTATAAATACAGCACTAAAAATAACAGTACACTATATACATGTATGATTGTGTCCAGAAATGTTTGAAACCCTTACGGAAAATTCTGTCTACATTTTGTCACCATTGCTCTTTCTTCCCGCATTCTAGTGCTGTTTGAATGAATATATTAATTAATGTATTTCTAACTAAAATATATCACTTTTTTTATAAACCAAAAACATTTAGATCATAAAAAATTATTCAATACTTGAGTGAGCACGATATGCAAGGGTTACTAAGTTGACACAGTAAATGACCACTGATATTGTGTTAGTCCATGCACACAGCGTATTCTGCTAAGGCCATAAGAAGTAGATCCTCTGTTTTGCGTCCCCTTGCTTGTACGATTTTGAGTAAATCAGAAAAAACACATCCAAATAGCAATCACAAGGGTCTGAAGGTACCATCGCATTTCAGAATCAGATGAAATGGCGGATAATTTGATAATTTATGGTCAAAATTGACAGTGTTATAATTATTTGACATACATTGTGTTTTTTCTTATTTTTTACCCTTGAATAATAGCTATATTTTTATGTATTACATACCTAGCGAAGCATTTGTATGGAAGTCAATGGGAAAGTTAGCGAGCTATATCCACCGATATTGCCCGATTACCCCGATATAGCCCGCTTACCTCGTTTTGATATTAGATTTCTTTAATAACCATGATAATATCATGACGTCACGTCATTGATACAAAGTAACCATGGGAACAAAGGCATGTAATACATCAGTTATGTCACTATGACGTGAAATATGCCTTCGTTCTTGCCCAAATATAGAGCCTCCCAAGGTCGGCCTATATTGGGAGAACTCAGGCATATTTCACGTCATAGTGACATAACCTCTAAATATTGTATAAAATGTATAGATATGTGTTTGTAATCACTGCAAATTGGGATGTCATCCTTTTTTATGCCCCTAAAATGTATATATTTCTCAGCAAACAAGTTTGTGTTTTTTTCTTGAGTTTGTGTTTGTTTTCCTTGTACCCTTGCATGATTTGGATTTTGCAAGGACGCAAAACAAAGAATCTACTTCTTATGGCCTAATATACATTTGCTAACACCCCCACTTTCATAGTGAAGTGACTAATTGGTTTATGTTTACGTTTTAATGTGTTTTGGGTTCCTTGTTACAGCAAAGGGGGCCAGTAAAGTAGACTAACATGTTTGCATGGCAAATTTTGATCGAATATGTGAGACACTTTAATGAAGTTTTCTTAACACCCTCTCAGGTATTAAAAATGATTTCTCAGCTCAGCTTCACAAGTTCCTGGCCAGTTTAACAGACACCCGTTGGAAGCTTGAGGGGAAAACAGTCCTCTATATTCCCAATGAGGGGCAGAAAATGGACTCTGAGGAAGCCTCAAAGAATAAAGAACTTGTACAGAGACTTGAGAGTAAGGAAAAAACTTTTGACTCATTTCTGATTTTATTTTGATGTTTTTTTCATTCTTGAATTAAGCATTTTGAATTGTAGCATGTCACGACCAAGAAGTGGTAAAGTAAAAAGAGCCAAAAATGAATTCAAAGGTTGTTATTTTAACACACCTGTTTTCTACATTTTTTTATTTTCAGCTGCGATGATACATTGGTCCAGACAAATAAAAGAGGTATTGAGCTCCCAAGATGCATTTGAAACTGCTGAGAATGCTGGGCCTTTGGAAGAAATACAGTTCTGGAAAGACAGGTAGATGTATTGATAATTTTTCATTCATCATTATTTTTTGAGTTTCGCCTTAACAGGATAATTCTCAAAGCACAAAAAATTATCTACTTAAAAGTAGGAGGTATATGCATTTTTGGGGATGGTACATTTTTAAAAAATGTAGCCCTGTTTTTCAAGTATGATTTAGGTGTTTTAGTCAGTTCTCCAAAATAACCAGGGTTTGAACAAAGGGCTGGTTCACTGGTCATTTGCCAATTGGTCTGCAATGACCAGCTGCTTTCCTATTTCAGTTCCTGAAAATAACCTATAACTATTTAAGTTCCTGAAAGTAACCTATAACTATTTCAGTTCCTGAAAGTAACCTTTAACTATTTCAGTTCCTTAAAATAACCTATAGCTATTTCAGTTCCTGAAAATAACCTATAACTATTTCTTTGTTTTTCAGATGTGCTGACCTCTCTGGTATAAGTCAACAGTTGGACAAACCTGGTGTTAAGAAAATCACCAACATCCTAGCTTTGGCAAAATCTTCATATGTTGCTCCATTCTCTAAGCTTGCTGGACAAATTAAGGTAAACTTTAGTTGGAAGTCATGATTATTATTGATTCGGTGAAAAAAGTTCTTGTCAGCTTGTACTTTGTTATTCATAGTATAAAGTATGAATATTTTTTTTAAATTGTAGTAGGCCTTAAAGGGTGACGCATATCGTTTAGTAAATCGAACGCTCGTTTCTGGTGTTGCTCACCGTTTAGTATAAAAGGCCCGATCCCGGAATAATACTCAAGGGTTCACAGGTTCGAGGTCGTTGTGTCAACACCTCTAACTGTTATATAGCATAAGTATATTATAGATGGTCACACATTTATAAAAGGGTGATTTTTATTTGTATTTTGACAAATCAATTCCACATTTATGGGTGAAGTTTCAGGATCTTCTATTTGTGTATAATAAGGAAAAATTGGCATCTAAATTTCCCCATAACGTAATAGCACACAGCTTGGCATATGAAATATCCTACGAATGAAACAAAGCAAGACAAACCGGTTTCTAATACAAGGATTTATATTGGCTGTTGTACATGTATTCTTTGAACGTAATCACTCTTTGGATAACGTTTTCAAAATCAATATAAACGGATTACTTTATCTCAAAGACAATTTCAATAAACTGGATTTTACAGAACTCCCCTTATTTCTTAAAATGGACTGATCCAGTTGATTCGCCTGGAGCCGCCATATTGTTTTTATACGGGATGCTAATCGGAACCCTTTAATATGCAAAGTTTAATTTAAATTGTTTTATAAATGTCCTGTTTTTACCTTTCAACATTGTTTTTAATCACTTGAATGATATAAAATCTGCAACTTAAATGCTATAAAATCTGCACCATATTTTAGATAAAATCCCCCGAAATCATTAAGGTAACACTTTAACATATCTTTATATTTTTTTCCCAACTGCAGGATGGTTCCAAACAAGCCGAGAGCAACTTGAAATTCCTTACTGTGTTGAAAGACCCCTGTGTGGAACTATCAGATGCTCATCCAAAAGACATACCAGCCATGCTACCCAAGATCCTCAATCTAATTAGGATGATCTGGGTCAACTCAGACTTCTACAAATCAAGGGAAAGATTAACAGGCATTTTGAGAAAGGTAATATAAGAATTATGGTTGATATTTTTGAAATGTCTTACCACAGTCTTACCTGTTGCAGCACAGGTGTTTCTTTACTACTTTTTATCTCACCACAAGTAGTTGTGACTGTAGTCTCCAACTTTTTGTGAACAGTGTTCAGGGATTGGCATGTGATGTCTGTAACAAATGGCATGTTGTTATTAATTTGCGTGTTAATGCCTTTTTGAAGACTATTTGTAAAGTGAATTAACCATAGAAAAATTATGTATGATTTTAATATGGAAACCATTGCAAAATAATGGGATTTTGGTAAAAAAAAAGATCAGGAAAAGTGCATGTTTACTCCAAAGGCTCATGAAACATATGTTGTTTTCATTAATTTGAAGTAAAATTAAGCATAAGTTTTGATCTGAGGGTTGGGTGAAAATATTAATGTTTGACATTCATTCCTCTGATCTCATTTGCCCCCTTTGTTTCAAAACTATAATTGTTGATTTTCAAAACAAAACTTAAGGACCTACTTTGCGAGAGCAACAATATAGTCATGTAACACAATTAAAACTCTCTGTATAAAAATATCAATTAAATTTTTCTCATTTTTATATTTCAGCTAAGCAATGAGGTGATTCGCAGATGCTGTAAACTGATTGATTTGGACAAAATATTTGACGGCTATGTGCAGAGTAGTATGAAAATCCTGAATGACAGTATTACATGCTGCGAAACCTGGAAAGAGATATACGACAAGGTAAGATTTGGAGAAATCACATTGAGAAGTGTTCGTGTAAGAGAGGTGTTTGTATATATAGGTTTCACTGTATACTTATGTTTAGCATATACATTTTCTGAACAACCATGCATTACTCTGACTCGCAATTATTTTTCTGCATTTTGAAATTGATATAAAAGTATCTCTTTCAACATAGAACTCCTATATTTAATTTCACACAGCTAAATTCTGCATTTTGAAATATTTTGAAATTGGTGTAAAACATAATCAACATAGAAATCCTACATTTAATTCATACTAAATTTTGCAGTTTAAATCGGTGCATTTTGAAATTGATGTAAATTTATCCAGCTCAACATAGAATTCCTACAATTCATTTTCAGGCTGCTAGATTACATCACAAATTCTCCCAAGCTGGCTGGGTACTGGACAAGAGCAGTATATTTGCACAAGTCGATGCCTTTGTACAAAGATGTAAAGATTTGTTAGAGGTAAAAGAGCAATTACATCTTTTTGTGTAAACTCCTTACTATTTTTAGCCTTTTATATTTTATGTTAATATGGAATTATGTAGATACAGCTATTATAGGTTTCAATTTTTTTGTTAATTTTTTCATATTGATTTTTTGTAAGAATATCCTAAGATTGTTAGGATAAAAAAGTATACTCATTCTAAACTTGTGTTTTTATCTCTTTTTGTTCATGAAATAAAGTTTTGAAAAGTAGTTAGTTTTTTAGTAGAGATGCTAAGACATTTTTGGTTTGATATTATTCAAATAACTGTTAAAATCTGTTATCTACGAGTATAGGGACCCTATATAACCACGGGGTACCATCGAATAATGTTGGCAACGTACCGGAGAACGACATTTTACTAAGAAATGGCAATAATTTAGCACAATATATTTTTTAACTAGAGGTTTATTTTGATTTTGACAAAAGTAAGTATTCCATGCAATAACTATTTCATTCATGAGTTTGTAGGAATTCTGTTGGAACCCAGTTCTGATCAAGTACGAAGTTATTGAAATCGGCGCAGACGGACTTTACTCCGAAAGATGGTTTTTCGATTATAACTTTTCACAACATTTAAGTATAGACTTTTGAAAAAAGTACAGAATAGTCCTTATACTTTTGAATAATTCTGTTATTTCTGATTCACACGACTCTGATTTGTTTAATTAAAAAAAAGTTTTAAAAATATTACTTAGGAACGTAACCGGAGCTGGGAACGTAACCGGAGCAGATCAGTTGAATTTATTTAATCAAAAATAAATAAATATATGATTTAAAGCACATATACTAATTTAAAAACATACGGGATTGTTCGAATGCGTATTTATTAATATATATGCTTTAAATCATATATTTTATTTTTTTAAATTATATAATTCAACTGATCTGCTCCGGTTACGTTCCCAGCTCCGGTTACGTTCCTAAGTAATATTTTTAAAACTTTTTTTTTAATTAAACAAATCAGAGTCGTGTGAATCAGAAATAACAGAATTATTCAATAGTATAAGGACTATTCTGTACTTTTTTCAAAAGTCTATACTTAAATGTTGTAAAAAGTTATAATCGAAAAACCATCTTTCGGAGTAAAGTCCGACTGCGTCGATTTCAATAACTTCGTACTTGTTCAGAACTGGGTTCCAACAGAATTCCTACAAACTCATGAATGAAATAGCCATTGCATGGAATACTTTCCTTTGTCAAAATCAAAGTAGAACTCTAGTTAAAAAATATATTGTGCTAAATTATTGCCATTTCTTAGTAAAATGTCGTTCTCCGGTACGTTGCCAAAATTATTCGATGGTACCCCGTGATAACAAGTTGGCTGAAGCTTTTTTAGCTTTATGGGTCCTGGGTTCAATTCCCACCTGGGGCATTGAACTTAGGCTTTTACATAGGTGCTTACTTAGCTAGGTGTAAAAATTTTGTAAAATTTGCAGGTGTGTGACAGTCAGATTCATTTTGCAAGGAAAGAAAGTGTAAAAGTTTTGTAAAATTTGCAGGTGTGTGACAGTCAGATTCACTTCGCAAGGAAGGAAGAAGGCAACCAGACTGAAATCCCTCACTTTGCTGGCCAGAGGAGTCCAGAAATTGTCAGAGGACTATTGGAAATCGAGCAGACATTTGCAAGAAATTTGAATATTTTAAAGAATGTCAAAAGCACAATCTTGGATGTGAAGGCCACGTCATGGCACGATGACTATAACAGGTAAGCATGTTTATGACTATAACACGTAAGCATGTTAATGACTATAACAGGTAAGCATGTTAATAACTAGGTAAGCATGTTAATGACCATAACATGTAAGCATGTTAATGACTATAACAGGTAAGCATGTAAATGACTATAACAGGTTAGCATATTAATGACTATAACAGGTAAGCATGTAAATGACTATAGCAGGTAAGCATGTTAATGACCATAACAGGTAAGCATATTAATGACTATAACAGGTAAGCATATTAATGACTATAACAGGTAAGCATGTAAATGACTATAACAGGTAAGCATGTTAATGACCATAACATGTAAGCATGTTAATGACTATAACAGGTAAGCATGTTAATGACCATAACACGTAAGCATGTTAATGACTATAACAGGTAAGCATGTTAATGACTATAACACGTAAGCATATAATGACTATAACAGGTAAGCATGTTAGTGACCATAACATGTAAGCATGTTAATGACTATAACAGGTAAGCATGTAAATGACTATAACAGGTAAGCATATTAATGACTATAACAGGTAAGCATATTAATGACTATAACAGGTAAGCATGTAAATGACTATAACAGGTAAGCATGTTAATGACCATAACATGTAAGCATGTTAATGACTATAACAGGTAAGCATGTTAATGACCATAACATGTAAGCATGTTAATGACTATAACAGGTAAGCATGTAAATGACTATAACAGGTAAGCATATTAATGACTATAACAGGTAAGCATGTAAATGACTATAACAGGTAAGCATGTTAATGACCATAACATGTAAGCATGTTAATGACTATAACAGGTAAGCATGTTAATGACCATAACATGTAAACATGTTAATGACTATAACAGGTAAGCATGTTAATGACCATAACATGTAAGCATGTTAATGACTATAACAGGTAAGCATGTTAATGACCATAACATGTAAGCATGTTAATGTTTATAACAGGTAAGCATGTAAATGACTATAACAGGTAAGCATGTTAATGACCATAACATGTAAGCATGTTAATGACTATAACAGGTAAGCATGTTAATGACCATAACAGGTAAGCATGTAAATGACTATAACAGGTTAGCATGTTAATGACTATAACAGGTAAGCATGTTAATGACTATAACTAACAGGTAAGCCTGTTGATTTTATTGTACCTTTAATATTGTTGTCAGTTTGATGGATGGTTTGGTGTTGTCTCAATCAAAATGTATCTTTTTGTAATATGACAATCTGACTATACCACAATTTGTAATTTTCTCCCAGAGTTTTCTTCACTTATGCCATAGAGTTATGCGAAAAATGTTAATATCTATGTAGCACGTATTACCTTTTTCAAAATTCTGAATCCCACAATTGCAAAAGTACTTCTTATGTGAACAGCTCCTAATCTGGTTAGTTTTACCCAGCAATGTTCAATCTAGCTGAATGTGTGTGTGTGTATGGATGTTACCTCTGGTGTGTTTGAGCATTAACACCCATGGCCCATTCCCTCTAGTCAGATTGGCTGATGAAACAACCTTTATTTGCACATTGTTACAGAATTGACATGTTTCACGATGTACATTGTTACAGAATTGACATGTTTGATGATGCACATTGTTACAGAATTGACATGTTTCACGATGCACATTGTTACAGAAATGACATGTTTCACGATGTACATTGTTACAGAATTGACATGTTTTACGATGCACATTGTTACAGAATTGACATGTTTCATGATGCACATTGTTACAGAATTGACATGTTTTACAATGCACATTGTTACAGAATTGACATGCTTCATGATGTACATTGTTACAGAATTGACATGTTTTACGATGCACATTGTTACAGGTTCCGAGCTGGAATGAAGGACCTTGAAGTTATGATGCAGAATACGATCAATTCAGCGTTTGAGACGGTCACTACTGTAGAGGGAGGGGTGGAAGTACTTGATGTCTTCATGCATCTCTCATCAAGAGAGGTAATGAGTCATTTAGAGATAAATACAGGGGTTTCACTAGAATTGCTCACAGCAGGCTAAATAAATGGAAACAACAGGCAAAATTAATGGAAATCATTCATTTGACATGGAAAAGTTGAAGTCCCTAAAAACAACAGGCGATTATGTGAAAACAACCATTGAAAATTGCCTGCAGCTAATGAAACCCCTGAAATATGTAAACCCAATAGTAATATTATATAAGAGAAGATATGAACACCATAATTTTGTTTGCATGCTACTTCTGGTACTGCACTGGAAGACCAGTTTAATTTAGGGTTTGAAAGTAAATCAAAAATTGTTACTTTAATAGCAAATATAATATATCAGATCTTAGTCTATTAAACTATTAATAAACGAAAAAAAATATTTACATGCATGCACTTTAAATGATTATATACATATTATGATATATATAATTTAAATAAGGCCAAGAGAAGAATTTTTAAAACTTTTTTTTATTTTATTTTTAGGCCATAAGAAGAATGATTGACAAAAAGACAGTGGAGGTGTTTGCCTTGTTCAACGATGAGCTAAATGCTGTCAAGAGAGAACTTACCCAGAAGGCCGTGCCACTTCCACAGGCTCACCCCAAGTTTGCTGGATCTGCACATTGGGCAAGAATGCTAAAGAACAGGATTATTAGATCTATGGGGGTAGGTTGTTTAACTAATAATTTACTGGAAAACTGACTGATCAGTAGAGTTGCTGCAATGTGACATTATCGTACATGATTTTCTTCTGGAGATGTTCATCGCAGTCTATCAGTTATTTGCGACAACACAACTGATCTTTGTTTGAAACTCCCAGCTGACTGGCTGCGAGTGGCAATAACTTTTCACTATTGGCAATTGACAAGGAAAATTTAGTTGCCTATTGGGCAATGGACTGGATGCCAATATGTCAATTGTGGCAATCGTCAATAGAAAATAAGATTACATTATTAAAAAATTCACTGATGTAAAAGAAATTCCAATTTTCCTTGAAAATCAAATTATATTTATATATTGGACCTTTATTAATTGCACAACTTTAAATATTAATACATACATAAGCACAATATTGAATTCATTTCAATTTTTCACATTCTTTATTTTTTAGATGCTGGACAGAGCATATTTCTTGCCTCACATTGGCACTGGAGATGAAACTCGAACGCAGTATCAACAACTCTGTCAGGCCTTAGATGAGTACACAAGGAAAACATTCAATGAATGGACGCTGACAGTTGATAAGGTATTTAAATACATATTATTGATTTGTTTTTAATGCTTCAGTCAAATTTGATCACATCGGGCATATGGCGGCTGTAGCTTCCCAAAATGGAGTGAAATGAGCACCATAGAATATAGGGATAAGCAGTATGATGTTGATTTTCTATATCGATTTTGTGAGGTTACGGCCGCCGTATGCTTGCCATTGAGGAAATGTGACTGAGGATTTAATCATTGCGTGATTTTTCAGCATTGTTGCATATATCAAAGCTGTATGTATTAAGGTGGATATGGTGCGATGAGTTGTGAATGGCTTTGACCAAGTTGTCGAGATAACTTGGCACATTTCTCATTTTATATGACTCACCTTAATGATTTAAATAATTAAACATTATCGCCACGGTCACTGACATTTTGCATAATTGCATATAATACAACTAATTAAAAAACTGCATGTTTTGTACGAATATGCTCGGGAAACTAATAATTACAGTGTTCTCCCAAAAAAAATTGGGTGCAATTTTTCAAGTCTGAAAAAATCGGCGCTTGCTGGGCTCACAATATCTCCAGGGGGGTGCTTACTTCACTCATTTCTCAAATCAGAAGTTGAAGTGCAGGGTGCCAACTGGGGGACCTTTGGTTTCAAGTAGGGGCCCCCTGATAATAGTGACATGAGGAGATCACTGAATTAATTTCAGCATTTTTTCGCATCAATAATTTGCACAATTTATTTGAGTGATATTTTTGATAATTTGAATAATACATTAAATTCATGTTTAACCTAACAGACTGTTTCGTTTAATTAAATTAAACAATTTGCACAATTCAGCTATTAATTGCACATTGGAATGCTGTAAAATAACTGATTATTTTTATTCTAAAAGGCTGTGAAAAGGGTAACGTTATTATAGAAATGATTTTTAAAATTTATTTTTAGCTTTGTATGCATTATGAATGAAATGATTTATTTGTGTAAGAAATTACACAGCACATTGGCCCAGGAACATGTTTAACTAATGCAGAATCGAAGTTTTTTTTTTTATTTTTTTATTAATTTATTGCAATCACTTTTAAATCAGTGGCACATAGTTTAACTAGTGCAGCAGTTAAAACATACAATACATGTGTGCAAGTACAATTCTAAAGCAGAGCTAAAAACATTTGCGCAATAAGACATAAAAACAAAACTAAAACATTTGCACTACATTAACTTGTTGGTGCTACATATATGTTTTTGATAAAATACTTTGAGCATGCATCAAAAATATAACCTTGTTCTTGACCCAAGATAGCATAGGCCGCATCCCCAAGCACCCATTCTAAACCATTATTGGGAATGCATGTCTTAAAATAATTATAAATGTGTGGAAGTCTATTCTCAATGCTATTATAAAATATAAACCTTTCCTCTTTAAACTTTGGGCAGGTAAAAAATCGATGTTCAGGAGTTTCTTTACAGCTCATATTACAAAAAGAACACGTTCCATCACTTATACCCCATCTCTCAAGATCAATGGCGAGACCAAAGCATCCTGATCTTGCCTTGAATTTAAGTTTTTGAGCATAGAAGTCAAAGTCAGTTTTAAGGTATTTTTCCATAAGTGTGTTTTTTTTAATATTACTATATACTGTAAGTGACTTTTTCTGGTTTATCGAGTCAAAAAATGTATTGCGTAACAAATCATTAGATATTTCTAAATATGACGAGTACCAATCTGTGTCCTCTCTGTATATTACATCGTCTAAACCATGGTTGGTCAAAATATCTTTAATGCTAGAAAAATAAGACCAGGTGGCTGTATTTCCCCTTTTAAAATCCTCAAACATATAATTGAAAATATTCTTATGGAGCCCTGCTTTAAGAGAGCTCTTTAAGTAGATAAAATAGTCAATTTTTCTTTTTTCTATGACATTACATATAGGCCTCCATCCCAAGTCACCGAACAGGGCCTCCTTAGCAGGATTACACTTGAGTTGTAATAGCGATTTTCCTATCTTATATTGAAAGGTAGCTAGTGTTTTGCAATTTGATTTGTTCAATACGAAGGTACTACAACCATGCAAAATTGCAGGTACAAACATTGAATTATATATAGTATCACCAAAGCTTATGCGCTTTGCATTACAGTGTTTACTCAGAGTTGAACACAACATGCCTTGCATGCGTTTAGCTTTTGGCTTAAGGAAGGCATCTATGTGATAGGTGTCCTTTAATGTCCTATCAAAGTAGACCCCCAGATATTTATAGTTTTGAACTTCAGTTAGTTGAAGATCACCAAGATGCCAAATTTTTTCTTTATTGATGCGCTTACCTATCACCATTACTTTTGACTTTTTTGGGCTATATTTAACGCCCCATTTTTGTGAAAATTTATTTGCAATTTGCAACATTTTGTTCAATTCCCCTTCAGATTCGGCCAAAAGGACGATATCATCTGCAAAAAGCAGAGCAGGGACATTTTCGTTATTAAAAGGTATTCCTGTGTTTTCTGAATGTAGCATCTCAATTAATTCTGTCATTATGAAGGAAAAAAGCATAGGGGATAAGCAGCAGCCCTGTTTCAGGCCTGTGGGAGCACTATACCAGTCACTCTCAGGGTTGTTACCTGTGATTGGAGTGTCATTTTCAAAATTCAGATTTTTCATAAGTTCATTATCAAAATTATCACCATTTGACTTACCAAATAAGACCTTATTTTTGACATCTTTATAGGATTCACGGAGCAGTCTCCAAGTTTTACCCTGGATACCTTTTTCCCAGAGTTTCATGAAAAGAAGATCTCTATCGATAACATCAAAAGCTTTAGTCATATCAAGAAAAGCCAAAAAGGTCTTTTTGCGTTTATTTTTACGAATACTACAGAGACCTTTTAGGGCAAATATGTGATTCTCTAAACGTAGATTACTGCGAAACGCACCCTGGAGATCACCAAATAAGTTCTTTTCTTCACAGAAAAACATTATTTTGCGCTCAAGAAGGGCAGTAAACAACTTATAAACATTCGAGTTTATAGTAATTCCGCGATAGTTATTCAGGTCCTCCGTATCGCCATTCTTATGCAATGGTTTCAAGAGCCCATATTTCCATTCATCTGGCATAGTTTCAAGCAACCTCACTTTTGTAAAAATGTCATTGAGCGTGTGAATCAACAACATTCCTCCATTTTTCAGAAATTCATTAGGGATTTGGTCTGTACCACAGGCCTTACCATTACTTAAGGTTTTAATTGAGTTTTGAATATCATCCTGGTCAAATATAAAGTCGGTCATTGCATCATTAGAGAAAACAGTTTCCTTTTCCAGTTTCTCAATGATGTGTTCATTAGAATTTTCTTTAAAAAGGGGGTTTCTATTTTTCAAACCGACAGAGCCCCAGTAGTCTCTTAGGGCCTTTGACACTAATTTTGGGTCAGTTATAATATTACTATTATCCTCTGGATCCTTTATTTGAATGGGGTAGTCACATTTGGCATTGAACATCTTAAGTGTTTTCCAAAACGACTTCGAGCTTTTTGACTTTTTGGACGCGTTTTTCACAATTGTCTTGATATGGGATTGAACATGTAATTCTTTAATTTTTTCCTGAACTTGCTGTTTTCGACATATATAAAGATCCCACATTTCAGATACAATATTTGGATCGCTAGTTTTGGCGCGGGCCCAATATCTATAAAAGCGGCATGCCGTTTTGCGGTTCTGAATCAATTCTTTAATTTCGTCATTCCAAAACGATCTTTGATCGGAAGAGACCTTTTTTCGCCCAATAGACGTTAATGCAGCTTTAGTAATTTTGTCTTTCCAAGTTTCCCACACATCATTGATTCCTTGAGATTTCGATATATCCCAGTCAGAAAACTGGTCAGAGAGGCTTTTTTGAAAAGAGCTCCAATCAGTATTATCAGTTATATCCCATTTTGTAAAAGTAACATGATTGTCATAACATTTGCGGTTATTCCGTTGCCTCCTATTAATCAAGAATTCAATGATAAAGAATGAATGGTCGCTTCCCAGTGAGACCCTATCATGATTTTCATCAATAAGCATACTTTTAAAATTATCAAGGAAATTACCATTGGCTAAAGCATAGTCTATGCAAGAGAACATTTGATTTTTTGCCCAAGTTATTTGACCTGTGCATTTTGGGCTAAGGTTTAGGAATTCCATGCCAGTACTTTCAGCAAGAATTTCCACAAAATCACCATTTGGACTTGGTACATTATTCCTAAGCCTTTCAATGCGACCATTAAAATCCCCTAGTAAAAGAGTAGGAATACCATCATTTGTCCAATCGGAGTGTCAGAGTCCCAAGTAGAAAAGAAATTCATTTTTTATTTTTATACATGTTCCTTGGCCTATGACAAAGCTTCTTATGCAATAGATTATGGAAAATTCTGGATTATATAAATCCAGAAAAAGCCACTATAGAAGTTTTGACCAATAGCAGACTTGTTATATTTTGTAAAAAAATGCCAATTTTTTCCATGATCTATTGCTTATAATTGAACCAGTGCAATCAAAAACTAATTCTTCAAAAAAGGAACTTGAAATATTTTTAGTTTAATATTTTTTAGTTTTTGACTGGACTGTTTGATTTGCCTCTGAAGGAATCACAAATTAAGTCTGGGTTAAATACAGAAATATTTTCCATCATATCAAAGAAAAAATCACTGGTTAATGACATTTATATATTTTTGATTTTACTAAATTCTGGAAAATCAAACTGAGTGGAACTGCCACTCAAAATGGGTAAAATCTGAACAAAGTGTCAAGACTCAAATGTCTGTAAAAATCTTCTTTGACAAAATTCAATGATGAAGAGAGTCGGTGATGAAAACAAGTTTATAACCCAGGCTTAAGGCCACATTTTTGCTTTATGCTTTTTGAATCACAGTGAAGAATTGTCTTTAATATTACTGATTGATATTGCATTGTAGGCTTTAACCAAATCACATCTGGTCAAACAGGTATTATAAATACCCCACCTCCTACCTGTTTTAAATCTTGGGCCTCTCTCCCTCTTTAGCCTTCAAATAGTTAAATAACACATTGGGCATTTTAACCTTGCCAATCTCTCCCTTTTGAGACTTTAAAGTGTTAAATAACGCCTCTAATATTATAAGGCTGTCCCTCTCAGCTCTCTGTTCATAGTCTAGTCTTTAAAGGATTAGATACCATTTCACCTTTTGAAAAGGAAATGGTTAAATAAGGAATCTTTTTTATTATGGGAGGGGCTCCATTGGGTACTTTTAATATGGATATATCAGGAACTACATATCTAAACAGAAACAAAATAATATATGTGTTGTACTTTATATTGTTTGTGGCTTTTACCCTCATCCGATTTTTTGTAACTTAGCTTTTATCCATTTTGTGAAATTTTGAGCCTCCTCCCATTTTGTGTAACTCTTAGCCACATCCCATTTTTGTGTAATGTTTAGACTTTTTCCATTTGTGTAATTTCTCGCCTCTGTTTAGTCAATTCTAAGTGTGAAACCTATATCTATGTAGCTATATGTACGCATCCATATGTACATATCTATATGTATGCATCCATATGTATGTAGCTATATGTGCGCATCCATATGTATGTATCTATATGTACGCATCCATATGTATGTAGCTATATGTACGCATCCATATGTAGGTATCTATAGTCCTATGTATTGTATTGTAATGTGTGATCCTCTTAAATTAAAAACACACTTTGACTCTGTAGATATTTAGAAACTAGTAGCTGGAAACCAGTCTTCATATTTTCATCAAAATTCATCACATTGTAATTACCTTTCATCTTTTGGAATTACATACTGTCTGACATTATCTTCTGATATTTGAAAATCTGACCAATATTCTGTAGTTATATTGAATATACTGTAAATTAAGTTCACTTATTGAGACGATTGTCTATGTTTATGCCTAGAAAGCAGATTTAAAACTGATCTAATATATTTGATAAATATTAATGGACCTAAAGTAGGTGCCAGTTGTATATTTCCTTGTTTAACTACTAAGTTGCTGCAAATTCATTATGTAGACATGAAAACGTCCCTTTAACTTGAATAAAATAGATTCAAATCAATTTTAATCTGACCTTTTTGAATATTTGATTGTAAAGGTCAAGATTATTTCTATAGGCATTTAGTCTTCTGAATACAATGTATCTTTTGGAATAAAGTTTAACATTGCGTTATTCTGTTTATTATAGGAACCAGTAAAGCTTCTTGAAGTGCCACTTATGAAACGAAGTAGTCAGAAAGCACCAATGATTGACATCAACTTTGACAGGTATGACATTGATGTCAGTTTTTCAATATATGACGTCAAATATGTCAAGTTTATCCTGAAATATATCAAATCTTAATGATAAAATGTTCTTGAATATACTAATAAATCCTGTGAACACCTATTGAGCCACAAAAAATGTTCATTGGAGGTAGGTGCTCATTACAGAGAGGCAATTTTATACTTAAGTCATTGAAGTGCTGAGAAAGGCTGTTCACTGTACTAGATACCGGTGTTCAGCTGCCGGTGTTCACTAGAGAGAGGTGTTCACTAAGACAGCTTTAAATTTATTCCAAACCAAAATTGTAGACTTGTATGATTACAGTTTCTTACATTGAAGCATAGATGGATAAATATTTTTTATATCAATTTCAGGAATTTGCTGAAATTGTTCCAAGAAATCCACTACTGGGAGAGACTGATGTTTGAAATACCTCATTACGCAGCCGATGCCTACACCAAGAAAGAAGACCTGAGAACTTTACGAGAACATGTCCTTTTGGTCGTGAGAGATTACAATCGTATTATAGCAGCTTTATCGCAAGAAGAACGAGGACTTTTCAGAGAACGAATCAAATTCTTAGATAAGAAAATACACCCAGGATTGACAAAGTTGACTTGGGCGTCAAAAGGAATCTCAGATTTTTTTGTAGCTGATTGCAGGCTACACTCAAGCAAGGTGTGTTTCCTCATGTGATTATGTTAAAATGATATGATTGGCTAGATATTGTCACTAGATATTGTCACATGACCCTTACTATTAAGCCTTATAAGGCTAAACTGGAATTATGTAGACGAAAAGGGTCATGTGACCATATTCAAATGAGTTGATTGGCTAGATATTGTCACTTGACCTATTAATCCTCATAAGGCTAAACTGGAATTACATGCACTATCATTATGTAGACGAAAAGGGTCATGTGACCATATTCAAATGAGTTGATTGGCTAGATATGGTCACATGATCCTTACTATTAAGCCTCATAAAATATCATCAATTTTTGCTCATCTCTAATTCCATGTTAATTGTTGTATATTTGTGTATTTCAGTGCCAAGAAATCGTAGATGACTACAAACGTGCCAATATGACAATATCCCTCAACTGTAAAAAGATCAGTGAGATGTTATCCGTACATATTGACAACAAAAAAGTTTATGAAAATATGGAGTTTGATGAAGACCAGGTACCTTCAACTATTATATTATTATATATTGTCCAACATACTGTAAAAGCCTAAATTTTCGCTGACGAAAAGTTTCACTATTTTGTTAATCTGAAATATTTCATGGCCCATAAAGAAGAAGAAATATCCAAATAAATTATGTTAAATCAAATATTAACTTTGCCTTTCATTTCATCATCTAGCCTCTTCAGTGAAAATAATGAAAATTAGGGCACCTATAAAATGTGGGCTTTTACAGTATTTACATAATTCATTAAATTGATTCACTTGCTTCCAATAGCCAGTTTACATATATAAGCATGCACTCTGGACTCAAGTGTGTGACATGTTTTTATGGTATAAAATTTTGAGTATCTCGCAGTCTCTCAATCCAAATGTTACAAAACATTCCAACTTCCTGTGTACTTTGATTTTCATAAGAAAGCTATATGTTCTCGTGGTTAATTTAGAAAGTTATTTGCCATAACATATATCCATGCTTGTATTTTGTTTTAGTCGCGACATCGAGGCAACATCCAAAAACGCCTACAAGACACACATGATGATATTGTACGAATCATGAGAGGCACATATGAGGTCTTCAAAGGGGATCCAGCAGAGGTATGTAATTCCTATTAATGTATTGTTTTAACTTGGATCTTGACTTTGCTATGCTTGACTTGACTTGGATCTTGACTTGGCTATGTATGACTTTACTTGGAGTTTGACTTGGCTATGTTTGACTTGACTTGGAGCTTGACTTGGCTATGTTTGATTTGACTTGGCTAGGTATGACTTATCACTGGGCTATGTATCACTTGACTTTATCTTGACTAGGCCTGCTATGTATGACTTGACTATTTATGACTTGACTTGGATCTTGACTTCACTTTGTATGGCATGTTTCGGGTTTGCCTAAAATTCACTTTATCACAAATCATGATAAGAAACATTCTGATACCCAGACCATCTCTGTCATGCAAAGAATAAAATTGAAAGGAGGCTGTCATATCACACGATGGATAAGAACTGACATGATCTAATTTGATCAAGATCTAACTAAACCTATAAAACAAAAACCAAGATGTTTTACAAATGTATATTCCAGGTACAACAACATTGGCACAGATACACAGAGAAGATGGACAGAATGGTTGAAGAAGCATTCAGATTGAATGTCAAGTGGTCATTACAAGAACTCTCAAAAGCTATTAATGGAGATGGGAAAACAGCACCAAACCCTCTTTTCAGGTTTGTACAAGTGTTGGAAATAGGCAATGTCAATGCAAATAAGTTTGGTAATCTAAACTATAGGAAACAATTAGATTACTTACATACATGTATATCTCTGATTTCCTCCTTTGACAATTAAATACCAAGAAAAGAAATATTAGTCAAAAAAATGTTCACTTCAATTTATGGCCCTAACTTTAACTTTTTTTACACACAATTTGTATTGAAATGTCTATAATAATTAATATGCTCATCAAAATTAAATGAAATATCATATAAAAAATAAATACTGAAATTGGTAAAAAATATAAATGCTTTGATGTACACGTTTTGGTATTCATGTATTTTCAGGGTTAAGGTGGTCCTAGAAGGAGACAAAGTAGAGTTTGCCCCCACCTTAAAACAACTAGCAACCTCTGTGGGGAGTATAGGGCAACATCTTACAGACACAATAAAGGGAATACGCAGACTCCCTGATCTCCTGACAAGAAAAAAATCCACAAAAGAGGTATGGGTTTTGGATTCATCAAAAGTTACCCTGTAACTTTTTCATTAGCTAATTAAGGAATAAAGACAGAGATTCTATGATTTATGGTGCAATATATGACTGAAAATTTTATTCTGTCCATTAGCTTTGGCAATGGCCAGAATAAAATCTGAGGTCATATATTTGCAATAATCAAGGTCTTTGTTTCGATTCTAATATGATAAACAGATCAGAAAAGCAACTTTTTAAATAAGTGGTCATATATGCCCAAATGTAGACCAATATATGAATTGCTCTTTGTGACGTCACATACCATATTAAAATTAACAAATGTAGACCAAAGAGCAGGTGTTATATCGACGAATACATACTATAGGGCTAGGCACAAATGATTTTGGTACCAAAGCTTTTATGCCTAGCCCTTGTTTATTCTAGACAGCAGAAATTGTATACGCTGTTACCTTGAATAATACAACATTTACATTACAGCCAATAAATGAAGTCATATCAAAAGATGAAGAAACCAAAAAAATCTCCAATACGATTAACACAGGCATGCAGGGAAATGCTCAAAACTTACAGAATTATCTTGGCACCTGGGACAACTATAGGGAAATCTGGGAAATTAACAAGGACTCATTTATAAGGAGATACCAGAAACTGAACCCCCAAGTGTCATCGTTTGATGCTGATATAGCCAGGTATGCTGCATTGAATTTATTATTTGATGCAATGTTTTTCAATTCTCTTTTAATTTCTACCTTTTTTGTCTTGAAGGATAAACCTCATATCCAATGGACATAAGATTAACCAAATATTGTAGATTTATAGAGGTTATGTTATGGGAGATTTTGGATATGGGAAATATCTCATGAGAAACTTATCTATATGATTGAGTCAATTTTTTTAAGATATTTATAATTGTTCATTCAAGAAATACTCCATATCCAAAACCTCCAAGAACATAACACTTATTCATAACTTTCTTTTTTTGGGATATAAAAGAAGATTGACACAATCATGCAATTTTTATGTTAGGAACTATTTTTTTGATGCAGTGTTCATTTTTCAATTCTTTTCCATCAAAATGTGTTCATCTACCTTTCAATTATATTTTTAAGTGAATAAACCTCATATCCAATGAACATAACATAACCATATATTGTAATACTCCTCTCTAGGTACACAGAGGTGGCTAACAATGTTCAAACCCAGGAGACTATACTAAACATACAGTTTGTCCTTCTGGACTGCTCTCCTCTCAAGTTTTCCATACTTGGACATTGTCAAGAGTGGCAGAATAAATTCACGACGTTATTGAAGAATATCGCGACTGAAAAACTTCAAGATATAACCAACTTCTTGAAGACACAAGGAGAGAAGTAAGTTAGTTTTTATAATGAGGTTAACCCATTGCCTGTGCCTGTCTAGTAGTGTATACCCATTTTTTAACGACAAAAAAGTATTTTTTGAAATTTTAGGAAAACTGAAAATTATTCGATATCTTTGGCTTACGAGCTGCTGGCAACTTAATCCCTTGTCTATTTCTGTATAATGTCATTAATTATAACCAGAACGGAATTATTAATTGCAGGAATCTTCATCCATTCTTTTAAGACCCAGTCACTCCTTAAATAACAATTTCTGTAGATGAATTAGTTAATTCTGTAAGGGAAAAATCTGTGTGAATTCAAGATTATATTTCAACTTACTAATTTTTGTCTTACAGGGTGAGCAAACCACCACAGACCTTAGATGAACTTGGTGAAAGTCTCACACTTCATGAGAAACTTGACAAAGACCAACCCACAATAGAGGCCAAGTTTACACCCCTCTATGACCAGTTTGGTATCATGGAAAAATATGAGGTGCCAGTTTCTGAAGAGGTATGGTGCATTTGTATTAGATAGCTTTTTAGTGGTTTGAATTTCCTTTGAAAACATATACAGTACAACCTGTATCTGAACACCTCTCTAATCGGAACATGTCTCAATGTACTCACTTTTCTCAATGCCCATTATGTCTCATCTCTTATTGACTCGCTTAAATGAAGAGGCCTCAAAATGTGAACACCTGCTAATCAGGACACTTGGTTTGTCCTAGTGTTCGGATTAGACAGGTTTTACTATACAGCATAAAATCTGTCTGTGAAATTATCACCACTGAAAGTTAACATTGTGTCTTACAACAATGGCATTATGGGAATGATCTTTTCCTATAAAATTCCTCACAATTCCCATAATGCATCATTATAAGCAGACGCCAATCGCCCTCTCTGAAACTTGTGTCTAATATGATTAACATGAATAACGATAAATGGGAGACTTTCCCATGGATATCATCTCATTCCCATAATGCATCATGATAAGCAGACAACATACATTGCTGTTTCAGGTGACCAACATGTTGAACAACCTCAACAATGAATGGGTGGCTTTCCAGCAAATCCTCATCGATTCTGATGTCATGTTGAAAAAACATAAGGTATGATAATGACTCAAAAAGTTACTCTCTGACCTCTGTTTTAAAAATGAGTGTAAAGAAATTATGAAAATCAAATCAAATCAATAGAACTAGTATGATATCTTCATATAGAATGTATAAACAAGTCAAATATGAAAGTTCCAACTTCGATTTAAGTTACTGTCCTTGTACCACTATTTTTTAAAAATCAGCTTAAATAAAATTATACTTTTACATTTTAAAACTCCATATACACCCTATGCAGACAGAGCCTGTGGGAAATATTGGGTGCGGAGCAAATGAGCGGAGGGTGCGGAGCTAACGGTCATTTTTGAATTTAAATTTGGGATATTTCTGAAACTAAGCCGTTTTGGGACTTCAAATATACCAAGATATGTGTATTTGACACCAAATATCAATACAATTGTGAAAATAGTAGCGCAATTCATTCTATAGCGACGCAGTGTGCCTTAAACCTTTCCCAGACCTATATATTTTGAAATTATCCTTTTAATACTGAGTCCCCAGCATTCATAAAAAATGGTGTTCAAGGTACACTATCTATACAAATATATTGCATCTTGGAAGCCAGGCAGTATCTGTGTGATTTTTTAAAAATTCGGAATGTTTTTCAGATATGAGCCCCCTCTAAATATTGGGTGCGGAGCAGCTCCATAAACGTAGCTCCGCACCCAATATTTAGAGGGGGCTCATATCTGAAGAACATTTCCGAATTTTTATAAAATCACACAGATACTGCCTGGCTTCCAAGATGCCAAAATAATTTGCATGGGTAGTGTATCTTGAACACCATTTTTTATGAATGCTGGGGACGCAGTATTAAAAGGATAGTCTCAAAATATATAGGTCTGGGAAATGTTTAAGGCATACTGCGTCGCTATTAAATGAATTGCACTACTATTTTCACAATTTTATTGGTATTTGGTGTCAAATACACATATCTTGGTATATTTGAAGTCCCAAAACGGCTTAGTTTCAGAAATATCCCAAATTTAAATTCAAAAATGACCGTTAGCTCCGCACCCTCCGCTCATTTGCTCCGCACCCAATATTTCCCACAGGCTCTGTCTGCATAGGGTGATATAGGAACTTGAAAAATGTAAAATGCTCTAGGAGATTCAAGTGTAAATATTTTAATCTAATAACACCAAATTATCTGTTTATGATATTTTTGTAATAATGTACTGATTTAAATCAATCTGCATACAGATAATACATCTTCAAACAATTCACTTTGCAGGAAAAATTCAAGACTGGTCTCCTTGCTCAGTCTGAAGAATTCAAAAAACAAGTTGGTAGTCTTGTGTCAGACTTCCATTCCAATGGTCCATTTAGTAGCAATCTGAATAGTGCCGAGGCCTTGGAGAATGTGAAGAATATAAGAGAACATTTGAATCAGTTGAAAGAACAAGAACAGACCCTGCGAAGAGGGTTGGGTATTTTCAAGATTGACCAGCCACCTAGTAAAGAGGTCGCCACTCTAGAAAAGGTTTTTAGGTTTTTATGTCTTTATAAAGAGATCGTTATTTTAGAAGATAAGTTCCATACCTGTATATGTTTTAACTTTGCTTTTAAAACATGATAATAACATAATCAGTTGCAGCTGATTTGCTTATAGCATCAAAGGTCACTTGTATGAAAGTTGTCAATGTCTTAAAATAGAAGTATTAAAAAATTACTCTGATGTATGTGCATTACATGTGCTAGAATGATTCATATTTTCAGAATTTCTGATTCACAATCAAAAAGTATATTCAGTGACTTTTGTTTTATGATCCACATTTTTAAATCTTATTAGCTGTAGGAGGCTAAGAGATCAATTGAAAGAAGCTCTGGAGAAATCATCTTTACATTTCTGTGTCAAAGGTTTATATTTTATTCATATCAGTGTCTATTTTTGGTTCACAATTTCACATTTTTGATTCACATTTTCACATTTCAGGAGCTTGAATACATTGAGACTGTGTGGATGTTAACCCAGGAATGGGAAGGAAATTGGGAATCCTGGAAAACTGGCAAGTTTGCTGAGCTTCAAACAAAAGAGATGGATGAAAAAGCTACTACATCTTTTAAGAAACTCAACAAATTGTCCAAAGAACTCAAGGTTTGTGGAATATATATTTTTAAATGCAATATTGATATGCTATGTGTTAAATGCAATATTGATATGCTCTGTTTGAGACCTATTAATCTGAAATATAGGTAAAATTAATGTAAATCTGAAAAATATGATGTCAATAAAAATCACATCTGAAAAAAATAGCTTTGAGTTTGATTTTTCATGAATCGTTTTAAAATGGCTGTTCATGGGCCAGATGTATTTTATTCTGATTCTAACAGTTTGCCATCAGGGAGCCTAATTAGTACAATTAAATGATAATTTAATTAGCCCAATTAAAGGGATATGTTTCATAACTTACTTAGAAACATCCCTTAATTAGCTTAATTAGGCCAATCATCTATTGATTCTTATCAAATTAAGGTGGGACATACATCCTAAAGATATTTTATTGTTTGGCTTACCTTAATATGTTCAATTGTTATCTATTTTACCCTAAATTTCTTGGTTCAAGGGTGGGTTGTGGGTTGTTTTCAGTAGTCATACTTCTTTGAAGTTCAGTGGAATAATGAAGTCCCAGTTACCTCGTGACCTTGACATCAGTCATGTGATCTTTGTCCAGGGGATGGATCATTCTTACATGTACTTCATTTTTATATACTTGCATATGTACTACTCCCCTCAACAAACTGTTCATAATTTCATAAATCTAATTATTGCATAATTATTATTTATAATAAAACTTATTTTTGATTTCAGGACAAGAACTGGGATATTGTTGAGACTAGTCGCAACAAAGTGGACCAGTTCAGACGTACAATGCCATTAATCACGAATCTCAAAAATAAGGCTATGAGGGATCGCCATTGGGGAACAATCAGGGTAATATTTTAAATTATCAGACACTATAGTGTTCTTCCCAGCTTTCCTAGCTAGGGGGTGTTAAATTTGAATTTTGACTGTTTTGGTCAAGATAATTAATAATTCATTCTTTCGACATGGTGAAAACATATTTTCAACAGGGTGGCCTGTAATATTTGAACTTTCAGCAGGGTGGGGCACCCATTGGCTTAAATTGCTACTCAGGAGATCACTGCACATGGTCATTAGGCGTCTGAAGGGAAAATGAATATTATTGCTCTCCTTATGAGTTTGTATAGGTTTTAACAAGTTCTTTTTTTTTGAATTGATCCAATGTCCATTTATTGTCTTACCTTACATAGCTTTCAAACGGTACTTCAGTATTAAAGCTTGAACAGTAAATCTTCTGATAGCAATATTATTTATCCTTCCAAAGTTTACTTGCTTCGTTGACCCGTACTACAGTCACTTGTCTTGCCATTCTCTTCCTCTATTCAATCGGCAATTTGACTTCTAAGCATCAATTCAAATTGTAATATATAAATTTTTTCAACAAATGAATTGATCATAATTATTACAAAAACAGATTTTTTAAATTTTCACATTTTTTCAGACGGAGATGCAGAAACCATTTGACGAAAATAGCGACGAGTTCACGCTCGAAAAGATCATAGAATTTGGCTTTGATCAGTACGCAGACAAGATTAATGAAGTTTCAGAAGCAGCCTCTAAAGAACTTGCGATAGAACAGGTAATTTATGTGGCAAAATAAGTCAATTAAACTAAATTGGGGATAGAGGGCAAGATATCATAAAAGACCAATTTATAAAATTATATGTTACATAATACAGTAAAACTTGTTAAGTGGAACATTGAATACCTTCGTCAGTCAAACACTTTTCTGAGTCCCATGGCCAATCAACTTATGTTAAGTGAACCTTCTAAGTGGAACACTTTTTTAAGTACTCAAATGTCTTCCAATACAGGTTTTACTGTATAGCCAATAAGGACCAATATATCCCAGTTCGATAAATTAATTCAGGATTCATGAGAAAGTTTAACTGTGAGTCCAAACACCTGGATACGTCTTCAAACGTTAAAATAATATTAATTTGAAGTAGAAGGAAATAATTAAAGACATATATTTAGAAATATTTAAATGTTATTTAAAATGTTTTATATAAAAAAATCTAATTAAAAGGAAGTACCCGTAAATATTTTTATAATTCAATTTTATTATAAACTGTACAATTATTTCTAAACTAGACAATATTAAGAATGGAGACAGACTGGAGTGCAACCTATATGGTTGTCGTTGTATACAGAGATAAGGGCTTTATGATCAAGTAAGAAGGCCCCAAACATGGATAGTAACCCATATAGTACTTTATCCTTAAATAAAATGCCTTGAATCATGACACTAAATTGCAATACTGAAAAAGAGAAGACAAAAACTAAATTACAAAAATTGAAAATAGAAGGCAAAGAATTTTGTCTTATCTAGGGAAACTTTATTGACAGTTAAGTTAGTAAATCCAGGAAGAAGATTCATTGGCATTTTATACAGAGGAGTAAATATGTTTCATGTTGAATGTTCATAGCTTTTATTTGTTTTTTCATTTTCACTTTTTGTTACATTCATCTCCCTCCCCTGTTACATCTGGATTTTAATACCCCAGACCCCCGGACTATTTTTTTCAGAACTATGGGTGGGTGATGATGAATAGATGATCTAAAATCCCCAAGCCCCCTCCCTTGATATTTTAGCCCCCATTTCAAAACAGGACACCCCCTCCCTCCCAGATATTTTAGCCCCCATTTCAATACAGGACATCCCCCTTCCCATTCGATATCTCCTTTCATCTCATTAAAAGGAGTAGAAGGGAAAGAGAAGACATGTTCAGTATCTACCCATTCTGATTCCTTTAAGTTACATTACCACCCCCCCCCCCCTTATTGTTACATCCAGGTTTTTGATTTGTTGCAGTTAACTGTAATACATGTTATCAGATGCATTATTTTTAACCCCATTTCAAAGCATGACCCCCTTCCTCATCAGGCCCATAGCCAGGATTTGCCAAGGGGGGTTCACTTTTTGAAAAACTCCAGGGGGGGTTCACTTTAGACAGTTTTGGTCCACAAATGTGCAAAATCACTTACAAAGTGCTCAAAATGGTTTAACTGCATGATTTTGAAAGAATTTTTGACCAGGGGGGTTCCCTCGAACCCATCGAACCCCCCCCCCTGGCTATGGGCCTCCCCATCCACATATTATTTCATCCTCATAAGTTATCTTACCCATTTTCATTTCTGTATTATTTATGTAGAGTTTAGAGAAAATATCTGAAGGTTGGGGAGCAACAGAGCTAGATATGGGTCCTTATAAGGACAAAGGGCACTTCAAACTTAGGTAAGTTTTCATTTCAGACTACCCTTTACAATCAAGACCTTTTTAAAGAGAGCTTTATCTATGTACAGTATTAACTTCTAGCCTCTTTGCACCAGGGTATTTTCAGATGTATACTTCAAAGGGGACTTTTGGATTTGATAAGTAATTAAGAAGCCAAATTGATTTTATTATTACGATATGTATATATTATTAGTTTTTGTTTATTGGTTATGCTTTTAAGTGTAAGGTTCTGTATTGAATACAAAATGTATGTTTTTTGATAATAAAAGAAAAATATGTATGCAACTTTTAATATCATGTCTTGATTGACTTTGATTATAAAGTTGAATATTAAGTAATCGTAAATAATATTATTCATTTGATATAGAACATATTTGGCGTAATAATTGTTGTGTCTTTGTTTGATTCGCTTTTTAAGATGTACAGACAAATCTTTAATATTCTCACAAGATTAGCTTTCATATTTAGTTTCACATATTCTTCACATTTTAAAAGTACAGACAATGTATACCTCAAAATATAGAAAATGTTCACATTTTGTTTCACATATTCTTCACATTTTAGGAATACAGATGATTTCTTCTTTGCCCCATAGAGATAGAAGATATGTGTGACTTAGCTTTTACATTTTGTTTCACATATTCTTCACATTTTAGGAGTACATATGATGTCTTCTTAGCCCTCAAAAGAAGATATGGGTAACTTAGCTTTCACATTTTGTTTCACATATTTTTCACTTTTTAGGAGTTCAGATGATGTCTTAGCCCTCAAAAGAGAAGATATGGGTAACTTAGCTTTCACATTTTGTTTCACATATTCTTCACGTTTTAGGAGTACAGGTGATATCTTCTTAGCCCTCAGAAGATATGGGTAAACTAGCTTTCACCTTTTTGTTTCACATATTCTTCACATTTTAGGAGTACAGACAGTACCCTCAAAAGATAGAAGGGAAAATTAGCTTTCACATTTTGTGTCACATATTCTTCACATTTTAGGAGTACAGATGATGTCTTCTTAGCCCTCAAAAGAAGATATGGGTAATTAGCTTTCACATTTTGTTTCACATATTCTTCACATTTTAGGAGTACAGATGATGTCTTCACAGTCCTGGAAGATCACCAGGTTCAGCTGTCAACCATGAAAGCATCAAGGTTTGTCAAAGCATTTGACCAAGATGTTGATAAATGGGAAAGGACACTTTCACATATTTTGGAAGTAACTGAGATGTTGCTGACTGTACAGAGGCAATGGATGTATTTGGAGGTACATTTCTTAAGTTTTCACATATTAATGTAATTACTTAACATGCATGATAATGATATTGGTATAATATTTATATATGCATTTACATAGTGAAAAGAGTCAAATCAATCACAAATGAATGGCACAATAATGTTTCACATTTAATGAAAATTTTTCTCTTACAATGGGGACTTTTAATAGCAAATTGGCTTCAGAATTGGCCTCAGATAAATTTTTAAGCATGAATTGCATTTCGCATTTTCAACCAATATTCTGGGGAACAGAAATCATAGGTGAAAATATATTTATGTTTTCTCATTTAGCTGAGTTTCTTTCACATTTTGTTTCACATTTATTTTCACATTTTCTTTCACACTTTTAGAATATATTCCTTGGAGAGGACATTAGGAAGCAGCTGCCTAATGAATCCAGGGACTTTGAGGACATTAATGTGAAATGGAAAACCATCATGACTCGACTGAATAAAGACAAGAATGCACTCAGAGGAACACATCATGAAGGTGGGTTTTCTACAGGGTGTCCACTATATCAGCACCCTTTCTCTTTATAGACACTTCTACTGGGTGTTCACTATAGGTACACACACACCTATCTAGACACTACACAGGGTGATCACTATATAAATAAATTATGAATACTTTATACAAATTGTTAACTTCTACTACATAATATTTTTAAAAAGGTACAAATAGAGTAATACAGTCAGATTATAAAATAAGAAAAATCAGACACCATTTTTTGCAATATCTGTTTATCACGTTTATCACATTATTATTCTTAATTTCAGGACTGCTGGACAACTTGAATGAGATGAATGGAAAACTTGAGGAGATTCAGAAATCCCTCGACATGTACCTGGAAACTAAACGTCAGATATTTCCAAGATTTTACTTCCTGTCCAACGATGATCTTTTGGAGATTCTTGGTCAGTCGAGGAATCCTGAAGCAGTTCAGCCTCATCTGAAAAAATGTTTTGACAACATTGTCAAATTAAAGATGGGGAAGGTGAGTGATTCACATTTAACGAGCCTTGATTCACATTTCCAGGGGAAATGATTCACATTTCCAGGGGAATGGATTCACATTTCCAGGGGAAATGATTCGCATTTCAAGGGGAATTATTCACATTTCGAGGGGAAATATTCATATTTTCAGGGGAAATGATTAGATTCACATGTTGGATTAAAATTATTCACATTTTAGGAGAAACAATTCACATTTTTAGGGAAATAATTTTTGCAACATAACCATCTGTTCATTAGTTTTCACATTTTCACATATTTATTCACATTTTAGTCAACACTCGGATCTGTAAGTAAAACAAGGGATTGCTTTGAGTTTAAAGATGAAAAGAATCTTAAAACTATCAATCACATACATGATATTTATGTGAATTGATTTGGTTTTATGAATTCTCTGGATTTACATTTTATATTTTTGAAAAGAACTAAAAAAATTCTTTTGTGTTTTTCTATTTATACAATTTTATCTAGAGTCCCATTTTTGATTGATATTTTCAATAAGTTTTATTAGGATCAGGTTTTACATAGAGATTTTTCTATAATTATAAAGATCTCTATGAGCTGATTCTGAGCTTACTGCAGAACAATGCTTATTTACATTATTTACATTTTATGCTTTAATATTTTATTAATACCCCAAACCATTTGATTTTTTATCACAATGTACATATTGCAGTGCATACTAAATATTTGCGTATTAATCATTTCCTAATCACCATCCAATACATTTATGCTTCTTGTTTTCTATCACCTATATTCACCTGTTTCCCTTCCCAGTGTTATTTCATTAGGTCTAAATTTATTTTAGGATAATATGTCATAGTCAAGTCCCCTATATAGTCCCTATGGTTCTTCAGATTCACTTGACTAGTTATCATAAACTTACATGTACGAGTAGTACTATTTCAACTTTTATTTTTGTCAATTTATGCACTGAAATATGCCTTAGATGCATGAGTAAAATTTGCTCACCCTGTATTTTAGAATGTCAAGCTAGTTTTGGCATGGGTTTCTGTCATATTGACCCACCCTGTAGCCTTAGTACATATATACTTGTTTCTTTATCTGTCAACTATTTCAGATTGCCTTAACCAAAATGGGTGGCAGCTGATATGTCTCCCACTGAGTTTGGTCACCAAGTATAACTAGAAGACCATTTTTTGTGTGACTGTGAATTTGACCCAACCTTTATCCTTCGCTGTCATTTATTTCAGACTGCGATTACCCAGAAATGGGAAGCAGCTGGAATGTCTGCGGCTGATGGGGAATACGTAGAGTTTGGTCACCCTGTATTACTCGAAGGGCCTGTTGAGGCATGGTTATGTGATATTGAAAGGACAATGAGGTGGACTCTTAGGGATAGCTTAAAGAGTACACGTTTGAGTCTCAAGAAAATGCTTAGTAAGAGAGACAAGTGGATCAAGGAATGGCCAGGACAAGTAAGTATATATTTACTTTTGAAATCTTTGTGGAACCTGTCTGAGGTATCATATTGAATATACGTTAAGATGAGTTCGTTACGCATATTTTTAAGTTAAACAATCATTTTGTAAAAATGTGAAGTTTGACTGTAATTCTACCTGTTACATTGATTCAATGAGGTCAAGTGCCCTTCCCATGGGATTTCATGGCCCACCCTTTCCAGTGTGTTTGCTTGCAAAATGCATATTTATCATCATCTGGAGTAGAATATAAATATAATTTTTTATTCATCTGGACACATTAGTGGTTAAAGACTGATATTTCAAACGTCTGTTGCGTGCGCAATGCTTTCTCACGTGACCTCATTGAATATGTAACATGGTAGATCCACTTAAGACATAAATGGTACCTGTTACATAGCAGGGCTAAATTGCTTCATTACAAAGCAATGTGTTTTTTTGTCAAAATGCTTCGTAAAGAAGCGATTAAACCTTCTGTGTTACTTTAACTATTGATATATTATGGAAGGTTTTGGATATAGGAAATATCCTGAGGGAAATATATAACCTCTACATAAGGAACTAATGGATATTTCCTTTGTCCAACACCAGCCAAGACATTTATTTATCCCATACATAAGCAAATATTGTATTAACAAATATTGAAAACATTTGTCAATACAAGTTGTACATTTTTATGTCCCCACCACATAGTGTGGGGCCATATTGTCGGCCTAGGCACGTCCGTCCGTCCGTCTGTCTGTCTGTCCGTCCGTTTTCTCCAAAACCGCTACAGATATCCCCTTCAAATTTTCAGGGATAACTTATGAGTGCATACAGATGTGGATGAAGAATTTTTAACTCGATATCTACTTCCTGTCGGCCATTTTGAAGTCAAATGCTAAAATCCTTGTCTGCAAACTTCTAGAAAAACGGCTTCACAGTTGCTTTTAAAACTTTAACATCTTGTTCAGCTCACTTCATTCTAGATCTGATTAGGTTTTGGACCTGTTAGCTCAGTCATGGCAGCCATTTTAAATGTCTGAAGAAAAGTTAGCGCGCGATAATACTTTGTATCATATTGAATACTTTAACTATTTAGTAGCATTATAAATAATTTCAGGTGTACCTTCTTGTAAAAGCCTATGTTATTGTTAACAGTAGGTATATTTGATAATTTTGTAAAATGAAATCAGCAAAAACTCATGTTCACTTTTTTATTGTCAGCCATTTTGGATTTTTCCATCCTAAAATCTTGTCTGTAAGTCTTGTCTACACGTTTTTAGGTGAACTGTTTGGTAGATCAATTACAAATTTTCAGGGATGATTCTTAGTATGAAAATCTAGATCTGATTAGTTTATGGGCATTCTGGGTAAATGTCAAGGCAGCCATTTTGGATTTTCTGTCCTCAAATCTTGTCTGTAAAATCTTGTTTACATGTTTTCTGGTTAACTGTGTGACGGATCAACTTCAAATTTTTAAGGGTGGTTCTTAGTATGAAAATCTAGAACTGACTAATTTTTCGGCATTCTGGGTAAATTTTAAGGTGGCCATTTTGGATTTTCCGTCCTCAAATTGTGTCAGTGAGTCTTGTCTACTCATTTTTAGGATAACCATTTGACGGGATGACCCATATAGGTGTGGACATTTTGTACACATTTGTGTTCTTGTATATTTATATGTTTTTCTTGAAGGAAATCATCGAAGTAATGGTTTGCAAATATTAAAAATTTGATTTCAATTAATTTATTTTTCTTGTAGATGTGTATCACCTCTAGTCAAATGCAGTGGACAGCTGATGTCACCAAGGCCCTAGCAACCACAAAAGAACGCGGCGACAAAAAGGCGCTAAAATCCATGAAGAAAAAACAGATTGCTATGCTCAATAAGTTCTCTGAAGCAGTCAGAACAAACCTCACAAAAATTCAACGATTAAAAATTGTTGGGCTCGTCACAATTGAGGTGCATGCCAGAGACATTATTGAAAAATTGATCAAAACAGGAACAAATGACGTCACTTCATTTGAATGGCTTAGTCAGCTTAGAGTCTACTGGGATAGGGTGAGTATAAAATTGTAATCATTTCAATTTCAAATATTTCGGTTTTGTAACGAATGATCCCAATGCATTCAAATGAAACATCACTGTTTGCTTTGCAAAAATAATAAATAAAGAGGGATGAAAAATAAAACCAAATTTTTGTTGTTCATTTTATTTTTAAAGCAAGTGAATAAATTAAATGATTAAAATGTCACTTATTTACTTATAGGACTATGATGACTGTGTAGTGAGACAGACCAACACACAGTTCCAGTATGGCTATGAATACTTGGGCAACAGTGGACGTCTTGTCATCACACCATTGACTGATAGGTGAGTTAGGGATTGGTCATATTTCAATTAACAGTTCCAGCATGGCTATGAATACATTGACCACAGCCCTTTACTTACATATAGGTCATGGATTTGAATCTAGCATTTACTCCATGTTTTTATATTCATTAATATTAAGTAATTAAACTATGTTTCACATTTACTATTTCAGATGTTACATGACCTTAACCACAGCCCTCCACTTGCACAGAGGAGGCAGTCCAAAGGGACCCGCAGGTACGGGGAAAACAGAAACCACAAAGGATCTTGGGAAGGCTCTTGGCAATTATGTGATCGTAGTGAATTGTTCAGAAGGTCTTGATTATAAATCTATGGGACGTATGTTCTCTGGTTTGTCTCAGGTATGTAGAAAAATAACAATGATGATTTAGAAGTGGATTTAAAAGTGGATTCAGTAAGGAATGATATAAAATGCAGGTGCAAAGTTGAGACACTTAATTGTGTAGGATTCCTAGAAAATGAGAAATTTCGTTAAGTTTATCCAATAGGTGTAATAGGCATAAAAATCTGAACAAGATGTTTTAAACATGCAATCTTCAATACACAGATCAACCAGTTTCGAATTTTGACAATAATTCTTAATCCATCTTGAGACTTAATACGCTGCACAGGACATGTTTGGAGTGATAATGCACATTTGCCTCACATAGAAAGAGAGAGTACTCAATATTTCTCACTTTGACCACCCACTTCTGATAACAGACTGGGGCAGTTGCTTTTTGAAATTTGAAAATAGAGATTTAATAAACACACACATGTTCGGAATGATAATGCACATATACCTGTATACCTTCACATAGAGAGTACTCAATATTTCATCTACTTCTTATTCCAGACTGGGGCTTGGGGCTGTTTCGATGAATTCAACCGTATCAACATTGAGGTGTTGTCTGTGGTTGCCCAACAGATCCTTTCCATCCTCTCTGCTCTTGCTGCAAGCCTACAGAGGTTTGTGTTTGAAGGAAGGGAGATCAACCTTGTCTGGTCGTGTGGTATTTTCATCACTATGAACCCAGGTGAGTGGACTTTATTTTTCATTAACATGTATTTTAATTGGTAAATGTTTATCATGAAGTGAACTTTATTCTTCATGCACAGTAAAACCTCTGTGAGTGGAAAAGTCAGTGGTGAGGTGATCAACTTTCAGGGGTTTATGTGTCATTAAGGCAGTTAGTCCTGGGACTCTGAAATGTGCAACTTAAATACATACGAGGCTATATCATAAAGTTCTCATAATATCTCTCTAAATTTTTTTATTTTTCTATGTTATATACATGTATTATTAAACAAAAAAGGAAAACACTATGCTATTAACATTGTATTCCTATGACTTATTTAGGGTATGCTGGTCGTACTGAGCTCCCAGACAACTTGAAGTCCATGTTCAGACCAATCTCTATGGTTGTACCAGACTCCAACCTTATTGCTGAGATCATCCTGTTTGGTGAAGGCTTTAATAACACAAAGGTGGGTTGGCCAATCAGAATCCAAAGAATATTTAGATCTTAAATATTGACCAATCAGAACATGAAGAATATTTTGTCCTAGATTTGAAATTAACACTTTTGGTTTTCATATAATTAATATAATTGTTTCTCAGCTATCATTGACCTTTGCCTACAGTTTACATATTTATACACCTTTGAGATTATTCTATGATCAATTTTAATTCTATCCTATGATCAATTTTAGTGAATACTTATGCATTTATTCATTTAATAATATTGATCAATCATATGATCTATTCCCCAACTGTCAACTCTTTGCAAAGAAAACAACAAAGAAGACCATAACAAATATATTTTATTTCATAATGGTGACCAATCAGCAATCACATGATTTTATTTATTCACTTCCTTCTTTTAGCTCTTAGCTAAGAAAGTCTTCACACTATACTCACTGGCAGTACAACAACTCTCTAAACAAGACCATTATGATTTCGGTCTTCGTGCGCTGGTGTCCGTGTTGCGTTATGCCGGAAAAAAGAAGCGTGCCAATCCCACAATGCCTGATGAAGAAATCTTGCTTCTCTCCATGAAAGATATGAACATTGCAAAGTTGACATCGACAGATACGCCATTGTTTAACGGTATTGTTCAGGACTTGTTCCCTGGTGTTGAGGTGCCAACGATAGATTACAGCACGGTAAATCTTCTTTATTTTTATTGCTTAACATTACATTACAGTAAAACCTGTGTAGTAAAGTGTAGAGCTACAAAAACTGTTTACTGTAAGTCACTCAGAGGATATTTTGTACAGAATAAATGTCAATGTAGCATGTTTTGAGGAATGGTCTTCATTAGAGACAGGTGTTCACAAAGACAGGTTATTGTATTTTAAACATTTCATTTTAGAATGCTTATTTGATGTTTTGTTATATTTTTGTCAGAGGAAACAACATATACTCCAGTTATTCAGAAAATTCATTAAAACAGATAATTATGTCGTGATTTCAAGTGTAGGATTCATGAATATTTTTTGTCTATTTATTTTGTCTCATTTTGTTAAATTTTTGATTGATGAATTGAAAATTCATAAACTCTATAAACTAAACATATACAATAAACATGTACAATAATTTCAGCTCAAAAATGCAATTGAGGCTGAACTTAAGGAGGCCAAGCTCCAGTGCATCAACCACACTGTAACAAAGATCATCCAGTTGTATGAGACAAAAACATCACGTCACAGCGTTATGATCGTTGGTCAAACACAATCAGGGAAAACTGTCTCGTGGCGGGTCCTTCAATCCGCGATGAGTCGTCTGGCCAAAGATGGGAATGATCCTACCTACCAAACTGTTAAGGTAAAACTTGGGCAAAATGATATTTAGTAGTTTTTTATTGTGCTTTATTTTTTGTCTAGTGCTTTTACGCCACGTTAATCTTGTCATCACAATTACATGGAAACTGCTTATTCGTTCAACTTGAAATTTTTACAAATGCAAGAGACAATTTTTTCATTGAATATTAGCTGAAGGTTTTCATGCTGAAAAAAAACAAACTGAGACTGAACAGTTAAGGGGTTGGGGGTTAATAACCTTAGAAGTTAGCTTACTGACATTGAATAATTATAATTATAATATATAGTGTGACCAACCAAATCTGCAACATTTTTCAAACACAGTTATTATGGGGAGGGAGGGGGTCACAGATTAACTGTTCAAATACAGTTCATAATCCAACATTTAACTTTTGAGATGCTCCCTTAGCAGGAGAAAATGCCAATGGCCATCTCCAATAACATTGACCATATGAGTTTTTTTTCAGATAATTCTGATGTATTAATAGTTAATACAGCGTAGATAACCCCTGAAATGATTCCCTATTGAACCAAAGCTCAGTTTCACTTTGAGAGCTATAGAGTGAATTTGAATGTCTGAATATGATATTTGAATTATTTATTTTCCTTTACAGGATTTCCCATTGAACCCTAAGGCAGTTTCACTAGGGGAATTGTATGGAGAATTTGACCTGGCAACCAATGAATGGACAGATGGTGTACTTTCCACAGTGATGAGGCAGACATGTGCAGGTACGTCAACAAGTTTTTTCCCTGGCTTTTTTCTCAAGAGGGTGCTCAGTTCTGTTCAGTTCTGATTTTAACAATTTAGACCTTTTTTTCATATTGCCTATTACACATTGTCATTGTTCTCATTTACAAGTAGGTGCAAATAAATTCTCAGGTGGGAGCAAGCCTATTATTTATACCTCAATTAAGTTGGTGTAGCAGCAATTTTGATCGATTTCCACAGAATTTCTTAAATTAGACATGTTTTGGCCTTTTTCACTTGCAGAATCCACAAGCTTGTATTGCATAAATCATAATTTTGCTTGCAGTAAACTAAGACAATAAAATGATGTTTGTGTTCTTCCAGAACAATAAGTTCCCACCTTGACCATTTGAATTCTGTCATAATTTTCCATATATTTATCTTTTAGATGAGAAACTAGATGAAAAGTGGATAATGTTTGATGGTCCAGTTGATACACTTTGGATTGAGAGTATGAACTCTGTCATGGACGACAACAAAGTTCTCACATTGATCAATGGTGAACGTATAGCCATGCCTGACCAGGTTGGTACTCTTTGTAAGAGGGTTGACATTGTCTTACTCTTAATACTGTTAATGACCCTCGCTGATCCAATCACAGATTGTTAACCCTCAAAGTGGCTTTTATAAATGTACAATGTTATTGCCAAACCTGGTGGGTACTCTTTGTAAGAGGGTTGACATTGTCTCACTCTTAATACTTTTAATGACCTTTGCTGAGCCAATCACAGGTTGTTACCCTTAAGGAGAGTATTCTAGAATATTAAGGCTCTACAATTAACTCTGATTACTTAAACATTGAGATGTTACATCATTTTGGTATGAAGGTGTTTTGCAATATTTATCATTATAGAATATTGTCAACTTAACAAATCCAATATTTTATGGTTTTATTTCTCCACCAGGTATCTCTGCTGTTTGAAGTTGAAGATCTTGCCGTTGCATCCCCTGCCACCGTGTCACGTTGTGGTATGGTTTACAATGATTATGTAGACCTCAGCTGGCAACCGTATGTCGACTCTTGGCTAGAGAAGAGATCGGAAAAGAAGGTAATTTGCTATATTAGATCACATAGTCTAGGTGGTAAAATATGCAGTAGTCCCATTTTATATTTTAGACTCATTTTAACATCCTACAATTTTGCCTAGAAAGTTTTACCCAATTGTTAAGTGTAATGTGTTTAAATTTCATAGATAATTTGCTGTTTATGTAGAATGCAGCAAAGAAATAGAGCTTGCATAGATTCGATCATTTTCTTTACAAATACATAGAAATAACAGACAGTTACAATTTATATCACAACAACTTAACACCAGTATGTATTACATATCCAAAGTGATTGGCCTACTCTGTGTTTCAGCAACTCTGTGAAGAACTGAGGCGCCTATTTGACAAGTACCTGATCAAAATACTTGAGTTCAAACGACTGAACTGCTCAGAGCTGGTCTCCATCGCAGAATTGAATGGAGTCGCCTCTCTCTGCAAGTTATTTGATGCACTAGGCACAAAAGAAAATGGCGTAAGAATTTATTTTTGATATTTCAAGTGATTTAACTGTACTGCAGTATAAACATATTAAATAGTAGGCTAACCATGGGTATTTATCTTCAAAAACTGCAATACTCATGAAAAAAAATATATCATACACTTTACCTGTTTATTGATCAGGCACAGAAAATTTCCAGAACAATGATGTCTGATGATGATCTCTATGATGATTGAACTTTGGTTCCAATTCTGCATGATACAATCACGTCTGCTTAATGAATGTTGCATTATGGGATACATCTGTTTTTAGGTTGACCCGGCAGACACAGAGAACTTTGTCCGCATGATTGAACTTTGGTTCCAATTCTGCATGATACAATCACGTCTGCTTAATGAATGTTGTATTATGGGATACATCTGTTTCTAGGTTGACCCAGCAGACACAGAGAACTTTGTCCGCATGATTGAACTCTGGTTCCAATTTTGCATGATCTGGTCAATCTGTTGCTCCGTAGATGAAGATGGGCGGAAAAAGATTGATGCCTACTTCCGTGAAATGGAGGGAACATTCCCAAATAAGGATACGATTTATGAATATTTCGTTGATCCAAAAACAAAGACATGGGTCCACTGGGAAGAGAAATTGAGAAGTGGATGGAAGTATAACCCAAAGTGAGGCTGTGTTCATTTAGCATAAAGATATCATTGCTTCTACATGTACATGTACCTTTTAGAAATTGTGAATGATTGAAAATGGTCTTGAGAAAGAAAATTGGATGTATTTTCATTATTCCTTTATATACAGGTTGACAGAATTTTATGTGACCAGGTTTACAGAAATTTAACCCATAACGTCCCTTCATAAATAAGATGTTCTTCTTTTCAGTCTTCCCTTCTACAAATTGATCGTCCCCACTGTTGATACAGTGCGTTACAACTTCCTGGTGAACAATCTTGTTGCGTCACACAACCCTGTCCTATTGGTAGGACCTGTGGGAACAGGGAAGACATCTGTTGCTGTGACAGCACTTGGAGAACTGGATCCATCTCGATACAGCGTTCTTAGCATTAATCTATCTGCTCAGGTAAGGTCATTGAAATACCTTTTCTGACCACATGTTAGTGTGATTTATTAGCTAAGTTGCATTTAGATGAATGTCACACTTCATAGGCTTACTTCTAGGTCTCTATATTTCTTGTAAATATCAAGGAAAAATTAATTGAAAATTTGATTTCAAACAAAATTTAAATTGTTAAATGAGGACCTAAATACTTTATTTGCACGTATGTGCTTTCTTTCTTTTTAAATCACAATTCTGGGAATTATACATCATGTACATTAGATCATATTCTTGAATGTTTTCCGTTGTTTTCCTTATTACTGGTTGTTCTAGATGTTTCATTTTGTTGGTTTGTCTTGGGTATTCTTACTTATGGCACATGTCATCATGGTGCGTCACAAGATATGTTAACCATGGTATTTCACATGATATGCTTTTCAGTGTATTTTGTAAGATATGTTCGTCACAGTATTCCCCATGAAATGTTTTTCATGAGATTATTGCTCATGGTTTTCATTATTTCAGACATCTTCAAACAATGTTCAAGACATCATTGAAAGTCGTGTTGAGAAGCGTACCAAAGGAGTCTACGTCCCAGTGGGTGGAAAGAAACTTCTTACCTTTATGGACGATTTCAACATGCCAGCAAAGGATACATTTGGCTCCCAGCCTCCTTTGGAGCTTATCAAACTCTGGTTGGATTATGGGTTCTGGTATGACAGACAGAAGCAGATTGTCAAGTACATCAAGGTATGTTCATTTTCAAACTTTGTAAAAAGTTTCAAAAAAACTTATTGAAATCTTTCAAAATAATTTTTGTTCAATTATAAAACATGATTAACACTGTGGTTACATTAAGAGCTTCGAAGCATTTCTTACTCAAAACTGGACATTTTCTGAAAGTATGTCATTTTTGTGGAAAAGTAAATTAAATTAATGAACAATTCTACGTCAGAACTCTAACAGCATCTACCTTAAGAATTAAAAAGGGATCAATAGACACTCCTTCATCACTTTGAATAATATATGGGTGTAATGTTAATCTCGCTTTTCCCGTTACTGCAGGACATGTTCCTACTTGGAGCTATGGGGCCACCTGGCGGAGGACGTATGGTTATCTCACGACGTCTCCAGAGCAGGTTCAACCTGATTAATATGACATTCCCTCAGGTACATTAGTAGTTTTAACCAGTTTATTACACTGTCAAAGCTAGAAATGTTACACTTTTTGAAAAGCATTACTTATTTGTTGTATTTCAAAACATTTGTATTTTAAAAAGCACATTTCTTCATTTTTAGTATTTCAAAAACATTTCTATTTTGAAAACCATTACTCATTTTGTGATATTTCAAAAAAAAATTGTCAAGAGCAAGAAAACAAATATTACAATTCCTAACTTCCACATTTCATTTTGCAGGACTCTCAAATCAAGAGAATCTTCGGTAACATGATCAATCAAAAGTTTCCACATTTCATTTTGCAGGACTCTCAAATCAAGAGAATCTTTGGTAGCATGATTAACCAAAAGCTTCAAGACTTTGAGGAAGAAGTGAAGCCCATAGGAGACATAATGACGGAGGCCACTATTGAGATGTACCAGGCCATTGTTGCAAAGTTCTTGCCAACACCCACCAAGATACATTACCTGTTTAATCTTAGGGATATTTCAAAGGTATGTCTAGTTGTACTGAAATACAATATAGTACCTCAAACGAGATATGTGTAGTTGTACTGAAATACAATATAGTAACTCAAACAAGGTATGTGTAGTTGTACTGAAATACAATAAAGTTCCTCAAACAAGGTATGTGTAGTTGTACTGAAATACAATATAGTACCTCAAACAAGGTATGTGTACTGAAATACAATATAGTACCTCAAACAAGGTATGTGTAGTTGTACTGAAATACAATATAGTACCTCAAACAAGGTATGTGTAGTTGTACTGAAATACAATATAGTACCTCAAACAAGGTATGTGTAGTTGTACTGAAATACAATATAGTACCTCAAACAAGGTATGTGTAGTTGTACTGAAATACAATATAGTACCTCAAACAAGGTATGTGTAGTTGTACTGAAATACAATATAGTACCTCAAACAAGGTATGTGTAGTTGTACTGAAATACAATAAAGTTCCTCAAACAAGGTATCTGTAGTTGCACTGAAATACAATATAGTACCTCAAACAAGGTATGTGTAGTTGTACTGAAATACAATATAGTACCTGAAACAAGGAACATTTTAGGAGCCAAATCCTCACAGATTTTTCTCTACAGTACATTTAACAAAAACTTGTGTGGGTATAATGTGAAGGGTATTTGAATAGAGTCACTAATTTGAAATTACTGTAATTGTAAAAGTGATATGCTCATTAAATCTTGTGACATTTTGAAGGTATGTTTTTAATATTTTTTTATGTATTATGCAAAGTATTATGTCCATTAGAATACAGGGGTTCAATGTTGTCCATGTAGGTCATTGTCAAACATATGTCTACACCAAGCAACTGGAAATACCGTGCCTCCCTGTCATCTAAAACATAATATATAAATGTAAAGGGTATTATATTGTAATAAGCCCCTGGCTGTAGCCATGAAACAATGAACCCTTGCTTATTTACACACTGCCTGTATTAAATGCATGTTTTTAGCTTTCAATTTTGATTGTTGTATATAATGAACTTAATTTTGTTTTTGTCAGCTTACAATTGTATCATGTAGTTTATGAATTTGTTAAATGTAAGAATATTTTTGACAGATTTTCCAAGGTCTGCTGAGAGCCAATAAGAAATTTCACGATTCAAGACTGCAAATGTCAAAACTTTGGATTCATGAAAACTATAGGTAGAAAGACGTGATATTAATATATATCATTGATTGTGGGGTTATTAACCCGGGGGATTCACTGTATATAAAACTCGACGGGGGTCCTAGGCTGAAGCCTCAAATATCAATATGTTCCCATACCAATCTGTCAAATTTCAATATGTTCCCATACCAACCAAAATAATGCCCAAAGGCCATACCAAATGTCCAAATATAGGACCAATGCCATACCAAATGTCCAAATATAGGACCAATGCCATACCAAATGCCCAATTATGGGACCAATACCATACCAAATGTCAAAATGTAGGACCAATTCCATACCAAATGTCCAAATATGGGACCAAGGGCTAAAATTTGTTTAGGGCAAAAGTTGAAGAAGGCCCTGGAAAAGAAGATACTTCGGGAAACGATCCAAAACAACTTCAAATTTGCAACTATGCCATACCACGAATGTTAGGTAACGTATCTACAACGACCATTCTCATACCAGAAGAGCAAAAGTCCGACCATTGCCATAACTCAGAAGTCAGAAATTTCCGGGCATTCCCATACCAAATCCTAAAATATGGGTCCATCGCCATACCAAACGTTGAAAAAGGTACCCCACATGCGCCGAGGATCCCCGTCAAGGTTTATATATAGTGAACCCCCCGGGGTTATTAATGCACGACTATAACAAAAGCCAATCTCAAATGAAGCCTTGTAATGTTAGACACATTGTGGTACTATTGTAGGAACATTAAATTTGGTCACACTCTCAGAATTTAATACTTTGACAAAAATATTTGTTCAATTTCAAAGTTTACATTAGAAAATAATTATTAATTTATTTATCTATTATTTAAGTTTCATTTGAGATTGGAGTTTTCATACAACTTGCCTATGTGATGTTTCTAGATTTTGCAATTCTGCAATCGGTTGCAGTTTCATTGCAGTGACTTGAGCACTTTTGGTGAAAACATGTTGCGTGGCACTGTGGAATGCATTTGAATTTTAGGTGCATTTTTGGAATGTTCAAAGTTTTGGATATTGGCTGAAGAAAAATGAATGTTTATACATATGCAACTAGTGGTTTAGTCATTATGATTAATGCCATCAAAATCAAAAATACGAATTTATTTCATACAATATTGACATCATGGATAATACCCATCAAGGATTAGAATTTATTTTTTCATATAATGTTGATCTCATGATAAACCACCAATAAGCTTCTATTGTGTCAAAAATGAAAATGGCCATTGTCTGAGAGACACATTCCTCAAAATTATTTGTATTCTTTCCAATTTTTATTATTACATAGATTGATGGCATTAGATATATTGATCTAACCACTTAATGTATGTTACACAACAGCACTGAATTTCAAATCATTGTTGTACAATGTAAAGGTTGCCCATAATGTGGTCTTTGATTAAACTAAATTGAACAACAATGGTTCGGTAGACTTGGTTTTTATTTTCAACATCTGTTTCTTCTTTCCTATATTTTGCCTTTATTTATTTTTTTTTTTTTTGCACTCTTATTATTTTGATTTTATGATTTTTTTATTTGATTTCGATATTGCAGGTTTTTCAAAGCCTATTAAGATCGGAGAAGGGATACCATGATACAAAACCTTGTATGACCCGGCTATGGGTTCATGAATGTTATAGGTAGAATAGACAAACATGTATTTACATGGTCAAATCTGAATGTTGAAGAGAGAACCCCATAATATTGGAATATTTAATTGGATTTAATCCCCAGTAGTAGCACGTACATGTACAATATAGTAGACTTGTTTCTTTACTTTATGATTTTCCTCTTTACCTAATTTGTACTCTAATGTGTTGAGTTCGGGGGCAATACATGAGCCATAGATAATCATACATTAATTTATTGGCCATTTTATGTCCCATATTCTGCATAAATCGTGATTTTTATTTAAAAATTGTTATAGGCTTTGATTACCCAGAAAAAAAGTTGAAAAATTGAATTGAAAAATAATTGAAATCAAAATTCCTCTTCCTGGTGGTTCAAAACTCACTTTGTCACAATACCAAGATTCTCTATTCATGTCACATGTCTTAATTGATTTGTTAAAGGCAAATCGGCTCGATGAAAATTGTCATACATGTATTAACATCATTACACCTATGGATATGTCAACAAGTTATGGTAGAATACATAATTCATAGTTAAATTATTTTGTAAAAATTATGTTGAAGTGACACCATTTTTGAAAAGTGTTGAATTACTTTTAACAAGTTGACGTGGAGAAAATACCACATGTGTTTTGCAGATTGCAGATTTGAGTTTTGAGTGGAATTAATTTCCGCATGTTAACTTTCAGGTGTTTGGTGATTTGAAGTGACAATTGATGATGTGTGATCTAACAAATGAATATTTGATGCACATATGTTACATGTATATTAACAACCATAATGGCCATGTTCATTCTTTGAAGAATATTTTCAATGGAAAACACTGCCAAATAGATTTGCATCAAGTTTATGTTCTCCACCCCTGGTCCCTTACCCTGAAATCCATTGGATAATAGTTAAATACAGCCCTCTGAGTTGTTAATGTTGTTAAATTCAAACACAGTATATATTTTCCCTGCCTGAGAAATAATGGAGAAATGGTCAACAGATTGGGGGTGGATTAAAACATAGGTCTGCTGCAAGGAGGATTGCCTCCCAGGATCAAAACTCGACATTTTCCAATATTGGAACCGTCAAAATGTCGTCATTTTCTGAAATTTAAACCGACTATAAATTCAAAATAAACAGTCCAAAAGAACCAATATCTGGATCATTTTTTGAGTTTTGGAATTTTTTGTTAGGAAATAAGACCAAAATTCACGATTCAAACGTTGAAGTGAACAAAATGGCTGCTGTTTGAATTCAAAATTTGTATCACGACATGCCCATATATGGGACAGAATATCGATGTTGCACTCTGGGAGCCAATCCTCCTTGGGTCTGCTGCAAGGCTTTGGATAAGAGTGAACATGACTATTGTTTATATGTTTTTTTTATTTGTTCCCCATTGTTTGGCTAATTTGTAATTGCTTTATTTGACGTTGGCTTGCAGATTTTTTGTGGCTTGTTGCGTGCGAATAAAGAGTTGTATGACACCAAGCATATATTCATGCGACTGTGGATTCACGAATGTTTCAGGTTCGCTGATCACAATCACTAATTAACATAGTTTTATTGCAGCTAATCACATTTTAATCACTTTATAATCTCTCTATAATCTTCTTGGAGCTAATGACTGAAGGAAATTTTAACTCTTGACATTTTCTTGTTTTTAGGTTTAATCTAAGTATCTGTTCTAACAGCTTCTTATGTTCTTATGTCATATGGAAGACCTAATCCAGAAAATAACTTTTTACACATGGGTTAATGTCTGAGTCGCGAGTAACATTTTCATATCTTTAAGGTATTTCAAGGGCTTTTGAGGGCCCATAAGCACTTCCATGACACTAGACGGGCCATGTCAAAACTATGGGCCCATGAGTGCTACAGGTATAAGCCATGAAGAAAATTGTGTTGATGCTTTTGATGGAACCCCTTAAACTAGAAAGTTGCCCAATGATAATTAATACCCTTTTTGTTGTCTGCAATTTATACACGCTTTTGATGGGAATGTTAGAATCGCCAGCATTGTGTTAAAATTATTGCATTTGTTTTCAATTAAGGACAGAATCAAAGCATTAATGTACATATAACCAAACATGGGGGGGGGGGGGTTAAAGACTTTTCAGTTTTTCTGCTTTAAAAACAAGTTATATAGGAAATCATAGAGAATAAGGTCAAAACAAAATTCATTATTTGATTTGAAATTGATGCTTTGGTTCAATTTTAGTCACTGGCAGTGTACCCAGCAGAAGAATTATTTTGTTTTGTTTGCAATATGAAACACCCCGTAGCTTTATCTTTTCAAATTAAGATCCATTTTCCCATATGCTTCTCCAAGTAGTTGTCCCTGAACAGTTACAAAGGATTAATACATAATCCATTCTATGGGAGATCTTCTCCAAAATTGTTCTCCAGATTATCATTACAGAAAACCCAACATTGATTGAAACTTTTATTACAAATACTGGACCATTTATCAGCGCCCTCTATTGGCAACATTTATAACATTGACAAAAAAGTAGTTATGGTACATTCATTTTAAACTTCAGTTACATGTTCTATGAAGTAGTTTCAAAAGTTATACCCTCAACTTAACTCCTGTACACATTTGTTTTTCTACTCAGTTTCTTTTTTCCGAGCACATTAACCATTTAGAAACTGATTTTATACACAAAGAATGTATTGCTGCTAAAAGGTTAACTCCAAAATCATTATATTTCAGTTGATTTGTTTGATAAAAACTAATATTCTCATATAACCACAATAATTATGATTTTAGATTCTAGAGGTTCTGCTAACATGTTATAATAATAACATCCCTTTAAAGAACCATGTCAAAATATATTAATGTAAGCTCTCCTATGATCTCCCCAGCCACTTTTCAAATCGCGAATGCCGATTTTTCAGACCAAAAAAATGCACCTGGTTTGAAAAAAACCTGGGGAGATCACTGCTCTAAAAACATAATTTCAATATGATGAGACTTATTGCAACTGTAATAATATGCTTAACCCAATCCCCTTTTATGTTTAACAGTCTAACCCTAAGTTAACCCCCTCCCTCCTAGATGTGTTTTATGTGTGTTGTGATTACACTGTGTTCTAGGTGTTCCAAGGGTTAACACGTGCACATAAAGATTATCATGATACGAAACATAGCATGACAAGACTCTGGATCCATGAGTCATTCAGGTAGAGTAAGGCCCCTACATGTTAAATCCCTGTTAAGTGGTATTCAGAGATTACAGTAGATACACTGCTAAACAGACATTTACTTTAGGGGCCTAACTGTTTGTGTTAATGCACAATTTCATCATTTTTGTAATTTTAACACATGTAAAGATGAATATATGTAAATACAGCATATAATTGTACTACATGAGCTGTAAATGTAGTGAGCTGTTAATCTACAACATATTTGTAAAAAACATTTAAATTACTGTAACATCATTATAAGGCTTCAGAATTCAATCATTTGCTGATTATTATATTATGAGTAACAAATTTCATAAAAAAATACAACTTGTATTTGTAATTTAAAAAATAATGTAGAACTAAATAAAAAATCCAAAAGTTGGTAAAATGGTTACTGAAAAAATTCTCAATACAACTGTTGCAACCTGTATTTTGAAATATAACCCCAAAATCTGCATGTTTATGTCACACCCTGTATTTATACATAGACATCTGAAATTACAGGGTGTTCTCTGATCGTTTGGTGGATGATAAAGATATGGAAAGTTTTGTGAACATACTCAGTGAAAAACTTGGTTCTTTATTCGATCAGACCTTCCATAACATCTGTCCCAACAAACAACCTCCAATATTTGGTAAGTAATTCACGGCAGATTTTTTATTCATCAATATGTTTTAACTTTACTTCATACTAAATACAATGAACATTGAATATTCAGGATTTGGGAAAAGTGCCTTCCCGCAAATCATTCACCCATATATTTCCACAATTATGATCTAACACAGAGAGAAACCATTTGAAACCCTCACCAAACCATTGACGAGCAATATTATCAGTTAAAGTGTGGTGAGATGAGACATTATCCAATAATGTTCTAAATAACATTAAAACAAATGTTATTAAAGTCTGAGAGACATCATTTAATGTTCTTAATTTCCCAAACTGAGGAATGTCATTAAGAGACCAATATGTATAAACATTTGATTGAAAATGTTACAGGTGACTACATGAATGTTGACAATGTGTATGAAGACATACAAGACATTGCACAGTTGAAGAAACACATGGTTGATTTGTTGACAGAATATAATATTTATAATGTATTACAGGTGACTACATGAATGTTGACAATGTGTATGAAGACATACAAGACATTGCACAGTTGAAGAAACACATGGTTGATTTGTTGACGGAATATAACTCAACACCAGGCAACATTAACATGGATCTTGTCCTCTTCAGAGATGCAATCGAGCACAGTAAGTTTTGTATTTCTAGTGAAACCTGTAAAGTGGAGGTTCTAGAATTCTGGTACTTTCATATTTGGTAATGTTAAGATTATTTCTCATCTTGTATTTATAGTTTCTGTATACCTATAACTTAGGTATTTTGATTGATCAGTAGCCTATTATGAACAAATTATAATTTTCTAATTTGTATCTTATTTTATTTTCTGTCTAATACTTATCTACTTCTATTGCATCTATTTTACCTATTCTATTCATCAAAAATTTATAATTTAAAACATGGTTTCCTTTATGTTTTAGTCTCTAAGATAGTGCGAGTCATCAGACAACCAAGGGGCAATATGCTGTTGATTGGTATAGGTGGCAGTGGAAGACAATCTCTGACACGCCTAGCATCTCATATCTGCGACTATACCACCTTCCAGATAGAGGTATCAAAACACTACAGAAGACAGGAATTCAGAGATGGTATGTAAACTTTGAATCTAAAAAATAAAATCAAAAGAAAATATTAGTTTTTTGTTGTTAACTTGAGAGTTTTATAATTGTAGTATGAAATGTATTGTAGAAAAGCTTTTTTCATAGATTTTTGTCAGAAGCCATAAAAAAAATATTTCATGTGAAAATCAATCAAAGAGGTTGAATTCATTTCAGTTTCTATCTACACTCGCCAGTGGTAATCTTTAAATTAATGTTTAAATTAGTGTTTTTTTAATTTGAGTTTTTGAAGTGAACTTACAACAGTACATCATATTTTCATGTGCTTTTATTTTAATTTTCAGATCTTAAGAGACTTTACTTCACAGCTGGTGTTGAGAACAAACAGACAGTGTTCTTGTTCAATGATACCCAAGTAGTTGAGGAGATATTCCTAGAGGATCTTAATAATATTCTCAGTAGTGGAGAAGTCCCTAATCTTTACAAACCTGATGAGTTTGAAGAGGTACAGTACTTTTTGTCCACATTTTCCGTGTCTTCTTGGTTTTCAAGAGATTGTCAATTTTGGCATCAAAAGTAGTATTTTGTGAACAGTTCACTTTGAGAGGGCACGTGCCATTGGTTCTTTATATTAATATTTGAAATCAATTTAATCCTTAATTATCACATTTCAGTGTTGCTTTTGGGAGCTCAATTTTAAAGTTTCATACTCAGCTCTTTAATTTGAAATAATTATTTTATCTAGCCTTATCATATCAGTACATGTAGTCAGAAATCAAGACAGAATTTTTTCCAAAATTTGGGATGTTTGGTTTTTTTCCATCTGATCAGTTTTTTCAGTGTTTCATTTTTTCTATTTGGCCATATGTGCTTACAAAGTTCCTATTCTGTATTGTGTGTTATATACAATATTTGTTTGTGTTTTAGGTAAGGTCTGCACTGGCTGATGATGCAAAGAAAGAAGGTATTGAAGATTCACCACAGGCAATGTTTGCATTCTTGGTAGACAGGGTACAAGCCAATCTACATGTTGTTTTGTGCATGAGTCCTGTAGGAGAGCCCTTTAGGTAAGTTATATTGTGATATCATATTGGCACCACAGGCAATGTTTGCATTCTTGGTAGACAGGGTACAAGCCAATCTACATGTTGTTTTGTGCATGAGTCCTGTAGGAGAGCCCTTTAGGTAAGTTATATTGTGATATCATATTGGCACCACAGGCAATGTTTGCATTCTTGGTAGACAGGGTACAAGCCAATCTACATGTTGTTTTGTGCATGAGTCCTGTAGGAGAGCCCTTTAGGTAAGTTATATTGTGATGTCATATTGGCACCACAAGCAATGTTTGCATTCTTGGTAGACAGGGTACAAGCCAATCTACATGTTGTTTTGTGCATGAGTCCTGTAGGAGAGCCCTTTAGGTAAGTTATATTGTGATATCATATTGGCATCACAAGCAATGTTTGCATTCTTGGTAGACAGGGTACAAGCCAATCTTCATGTTGTTTTGTGCATGAGTCCTGTAGGAGAGCCCTTTAGGTAAGTTATATTGTGATAACATATTGGCACCACAAGCAATGTTTGCATTCTTGGTAGACAGGGTACAAGCCAATCTACATGTTGTTTTGTGCATGAGTCCTGTAGGAGAGCCCTTTAGGTAAGTTATATTGTGATATCATATTGGCACCACAAGCAATGTTTGCATTCTTGGTAGACAGGGTACAAGCCAATCTACATGTTGTTTTGTGCATGAGTCCTGTAGGAGAGCCCTTTAGGTAAGTTATATTGTGATAACATATTGGCACCACAAGCAATGTTTGCATTCTTGATAGACAGGGTACACACCAATCTACATGTTGTTTTGTGCATGAGTCCTGTAGGAGAGCCCTTTAGGTAAGTTATATTGTGATATCATATTGGCACCACAAGCAATGTTTGCATTCTTGGTAGACAGGGTACAAGCCAATCTACATGTTGTTTTGTGCATGAGTCCTGTAGGAGAGCCCTTTAGGTAAGTTATATTGTGATAACATATTGGCACCACAAGCAATGTTTGCATTCTTGATAGACAGGGTACACACCAATCTACATGTTGTTTTGTGCATGAGTCCTGTAGGAGAGCCCTTTAGGTAAGTTATATTGTGATATCATATTGGCACCACAAGCAATGTTTGCATTCTTGGTAGACAGGGTACACACCAATCTACATGTTGTTTTGTGCATGAGTCCTGTAGGAGAGCCCTTTAGGTAAGTTATATTGTGATATCATATTGGCACCACAGGCAATGTTTGCATTCTTGGTAGACAGGGTACACACCAATCTACATGTTGTTTTGTGCATGAGTCCTGTAGGAGAGCCCTTTAGGTAAGTTATATTGTGATATCATATTGGCACCACAAGCAATGTTTGCATTCTTGGTAGACAGGGTACAATATCTACATGTTGTTTTGTGCATGAGTCCTGTAGGAGAGCCCTTTAGGTAAGTTATATTGTGATATCATATTGGCACCACAAGCAATGTTTGCATTCTTGGTAGACAGGGTACAAGCCAATCTACATGTTGTTTTGTGCATGAGTCCTGTAGGAGAGCCCTTTAGGTAAGTTATATTGTGATATCATATTGGCACCACAAGCAATGTTTGCATTCTTGGTAGACAGGGTACAAGCCAATCTACATGTTGTTTTGTGCATGAGTCCTGTAGGAGAGCCCTTTAGGTAAGTTATATTGTGATATCATATTGGCACCACAAGCAATGTTTGCATTCTTGGTAGACAGGGTACAAGCCAATCTACATGTTGTTTTGTGCATGAGTCCTGTAGGAGAGCCCTTTAGGTAAGTTATATTGTGATAACATATTGGCACCACAAGCAATGTTTGCATTCTTGATAGACAGGGTACAAGCCAATCTACATGTTGTTTGGTGCATGAGTCCTGTAGGAGAGCCCTTTAGGTAAGTTATATTGTGATGTCATATTGACACCACATGTAATGTTTGCATTCTTGGTAGACAGGGTACAAGCCAATCTACATGTTGTTTGGTGCATGAGTCCTGTAGGAGAGCCCTTTAGGTAAGTTATATTGTGATGTCAAATTGGCCTAAATATTTGTGTTTTACTTTTTTTGGTAAACAGATGAGTGTTACCAATGAATTTATACGGCTGAATTCTGTCAAAAATGAAGATTTTTTTGACAGGAATTCATATTTTCTTAAATAGGTTAATATTCACATTGAAATATAGTGTAAACCAAACTTTTGATTTATGTTTTTAGAAATCGCATGCGTATGTACCCCGGGTTTGTCAACTGTACAACCATTGATTGGTTCAGTGAATGGCCAATGGATGCATTGCTAGAGGTCGCTGAGAAATACACACAAGATATTAAAATGGCTACTGACGAAGAGGTAACGATATGTTTACAAAATCTGCCCAAAAAATAATTCAGCCCATTTAGCATGAGATGTTTAATACATTTAATGCAGCAGTGAATATATGATAAATTGAAATTGTTTAATTTGATTTGCATCTAATGAATAGGTCTTAAAAAGAAAAACTGCAGCATATTTCAAATCCACTTATAATACCTCCCTAGTTTAATTTACTTATTTTTCACTAAAATATGAGGGAAAGGTCGTTCCAATTTTCTCTTGTATCCATTTTTCTAATATGTTTATGGAAAATTTGAAACCTTAAACCCCAAAAATTGTTTTTTCCAGGAAAATCTGAAGCCAGCAATAGCAAAGATATTTTCAAGTATGCATTTGTCTGTTGCTGATGTCAGCAAGAAAATGCTGGCAGAAATAAGACGTCATAACTATACAACCCCAACAAACTATCTAGAATTGGTGTCAGGTTATAAAAAGTAGGGATGACTTTTTCACATTTCCACTTTCTAATTTTACTTTAAGCATTTAATGCTGTTGATTGTTTATAAACCCAATGGACAAAAATGATGGTATGACATTGGTGAAATTTTAAAGAAATTAGTTGTTCTTTATTTGATAATACATCCTGCCATAAAAAACATTACATTACCCATGTGCATTTTTATAATTCATTCTCATTATTCTATAATATGCCAATTCTTACAATTCCCTATTTTGAAGTATTTCTTCTTGAAGTATTTTTCCTTTGGTTTATTTTCCCTTTGAAACTTACACTCTCCATTTCTTTTAGGCTGCTGTATGAGAAACGTAAAGAACTGGGAGACTCTCGCAACAAACTTAAGAATGGTCTGAGCAAGATTGACGAGACTAGAACCAAAGTGGAGGCCATGTCCATTGAACTTGAGGATGCCAAACTGAAGGTTGCTCAGTTCCAGAAGCAGTGTGAGGAATACCTTGTTGTTATCGTCCAGCAGAAACGTGAAGCTGATGAGCAACAGAAGGTATGTGCTACCCATAATGCATTTTCAGAAGGAAATTGTATGTTCTACCCATAATGCATTTTCAGGAGGAAATTGTTTGTTTTACCCATAATTCATTTATATTAGCGACAGATGGTTTGGTGTAACCATAATACATTATTAGGGGAAAATAGTATGTTGTCCCCATAATGCAATTTTTATGACCTTCCTCTTATAGGGGTTTCTCTGCCTCATGTTACCATTGTATTACTTTGCAGTCTTTTTCCACTTTAAATCACAATATATTCCATATCACAATATCAGCCTTTCTTTTTTGATAACTGAAAATTACATTACTTTACTTTGAGAAGTTTCTTGTCATTAGGAACATTTAAATTAGGAATATTATTTTCAATGCATGTTAGATATTTACAGTATATATGTGCTTTTGGTTTCCTATTGATGTAAATATGAAATGATGAATACAAAAGGACTCAAAGTTTCTAATTTATTTTACTCCATAGCATATTGATTGTAATCTATAATATTGAATTGTCATTTGCTTTTTGCTTTGAATGTCCCCTTTCTTTAAAAATGTCTGCTTTTCAATATTAATATTCTTGCTTACAGAAGACAGAGGTGAAAGAGTGCAACCCTGTTTTACCCCATGTTAATTCCAATATTGTTACTCACGCAAAGTTATATGTCACCATATGTGTTTCAGTAATCCAAATTCTCCAAACATCCCTTAACCCAGCACTACACCAAGTACAAGAGACCTGGAATTCAATCCTGATCACTATAATGTTATCATGTCCTTTTCCCTAAACCATTGCACAACAGCCCTAACTATAGGATAGACTTTTCATGGATATACCTAGTTCCCAATCCAAGATTTTTTAAGCATTATTTTTTTATTATCTATTTTGTATCAGTGTCAGTAAACATGGACCACTGTCAAACTTTATCATATTTAGAAGTCTTAGAAATCTACCCCTAGGCTTACACCTTTAACATCTGCTTAATAGGTCTCTATTTAACCATGTCACATATAGGCAAACATGGACCACTATTAAATAATACTATTATATTTAGCGTGTTATTAAGTCGGCTTTAGAAATATGCCCCATACCTTTAACATGTGCTTAACCACAACCGTTATATCATACTAGGAAAGTTATTAAGTGTTTATTTCTTGAAATAGGCTGTGTCTCAAAAGAGTGAAAAGATAGCTGAAGATGCTGCCAGGTGTAATCACATGGCTGAATTGGCTCAGGCTGATTTAGATGAGGCTATACCAGCCCTTGATGAGGCTCAGAAGGCACTGGAAGCCCTCAACAAAAAGGATATGTATGTTATTTCTATATTTTTTGCATATAATAAAGGAATTTTTAAGGTTTTTCCCCATTTGACATTTTGAGTAATGCCTGGGTCACATTTGCTCCGATCCATCGGCCGGCTCTTGTTCCTAATTGTATTCAATTTTGAACAAAATACTCAATCAGCCGGGCACCGTAGTAAAAATCGGAGCAAATGTGACCACGGCATAAAACTCAGTTGTAAATATTTTGTAAATATGATATGTTTAAATATAAATGCTCTCTATTTACGCGTTGTCTTTGTTCTATTCCAGCACTGAAATTAAGTCATATGGTAGGCCCCCAGCACTTGTTGAAACTGTCATGCAGGCTGTCATGATCTTGAAGGGATGTGACCCTAACTGGGCTGAGGCTAAAAGACAATTGGGTATGTGGCATAAAACTTTTCTTACAATGGTTAAAACATGCTCCATTTACAAAACATCAAAAGTAGTAAATGCTTAAATAACCTATGGGACAAATTCAACCGAGACTGCTTTGGATTGCGAGCTTTGAATTGTTTTTAATTTGGGATAAGTCTAGCTTAATAAAGGCATCTGTACCATCTGTGCCTTTTTTATTTTTTTTTTAATTGTTCTCACCCCTCTAACTCTCTCCATATATGGCATCAAATCAAGCTTTTGTATTTTTTATGTAGGCCCTGATATTATTGACTTTTTTTACAATTTTGCTGTTACTTGAGAAAACGGAATCAACCTGGCTTTTCAAACTATCCTTTTATTTTCAAGGTGGCGGTGATTTTATCAAAACTTTGATAAACTTTGACAAGGATAACATCTCCGATAGAACATTGAAGAAGATTGGACAATATGTCGCCCAACCTGATTTCCAACCGGATATTATTGGACGTGTATCATCTGCCGCAAAGTCATTGTGTATGTGGGTGCGAGCCATTGAATTATATGGAAGAATCTTCAGGTAGGAATTGATAATATAAAGTTTTCTATTTCTTTTCAACTTAACATAATACAATTTGAATGTTACCCTGTTGCCTATCAACTTGATATTTACTTTTGTTACCGGCTGAACTTGGCCAAAAATTCCTTCAAAAATCATGCAGTTTTTCACCATTCTGAGCACTTTTCAATTGATTCTGGGCTTAAGTATACAATTTTTAATGAACAAATCCTCACACCCATATCTCTCTGTATTTAGAGTTGTAGAACCTAAGAGAGCTCGTCTCAACCAAGCTATGGCTACATTGAAAGAATACACATCTTAGTGTATTTTTTCATGTCTGTGTATTTAGAGTTGTAGAACCTAAGAGAGCTCGTCTTAACCAAGCCATGGCCACATTGAAAGAATATACATCTTAATGTATTTTTTCATGTCTGTGTATTTAGAGTTGTTGAACCTAAGAGAGCTCGTCTCAACCAAGCCATGGCTACATTGAAAGAAAAGGAAGACCAACTTGCTGAAGCTCGGGCAAAACTTCGAGAGGTTGAAGAAAAAATGGCTAAACTCAAACAAGAATATGATGAAAAATTAGCCCAGAAGGAAGAGCTTCGTCGGAAGGCTGAACAAACCGAAATGATGTTAGAGAGAGCTGCCAAGCTGGTATCTGGTCTGGCTGGAGAAAAAGAACGTTGGGAAGAGACTGTGAAGGACTTGGAAGAAAGAATGGGTTATCTTATTGGTGATTGTCTGGTGTCTTCAGCGTTTTTGTCATACATGGGACCCTTCTTGTCTGAGTACAGAGACACTTTGGTGAATGAAATGTGGCTGAAAAATGTAAGTTTATTTAATTTGATCATTGTTTAGGATGTTGGGCTTTGTTTTCTGAAAAGATTGTTGGCACAGGATGTTTTTATTGTGCTTCGTAATATTTTCTCCTTTTGATATTTGTGCTGATATGTTTACAAAGATTAAGAAATATAACCAATGGCAATGTTTGGTAATCAATGTTACAGAGAATTGAATAAAAATGGTCCATACGGATTTTGCTCACATATTTATAAGGATTAAGAGATATTACAAATTTCTTTGTTGGCTGTTCAGAGTAAGAGAGAATAAATATTGTAACAGTGTTTGAGCAACATTTTGGAAAAAATGGTTCGAACTGAATCGGTGAGGTATTTAGATGTAATAAGATAAGCTAATTAGGCCATAAGAAGTAGATTCTTTGTTTTGCGTCCTGGCAAAATCCAAATCATGCAAGGGTACAAGGAAAACAAACACAAACTCAAGAACTCAAGAAACACAAACTTGTTTGCTGAGAAATATATACATTTTAGGGGCATAAAAAAGGATGACATCCCAATTTGCAGTGATTACAAACACATATCTATACATTTTATACAATATATAAAAATATAGCTATTATTCAAGGGTAAAAAATAAGAAAAAACACAATGTATGTCAAATAATTATAACACTGTCAATTTTGACGCACATCAAATTATCCGCCATTTCATCTGATTCTGAAATGCGATGGTACTTTCAGACCCTTGTGATTGCTATTTGGATGTGTTTTTTTCTGATTTACTCAAAATCGTGCAAGCAAGGGGACACAAAACAGAGGATCTACTTCTTATGGCCTTAGGAACATGGTGAGAATCAAATGTGACATTTGAGTAAATGTTTAATTTTTCATTTTCATTCCAGTTAAGGAAGCTTGGTGTGCCATGTAGTCCAAGCTTCAACTTCTGTGACTTTATGGTGAAACCTACACAGGTTCGTGACTGGAATATTCAGGGTCTCCCAAGTGATGCCTTCTCCACAGAGAATGGTGTCATTGTCACAAGAGGTTCAAGATGGCCGTTGATGATTGACCCTCAAGGTCAAGCTCTGAAATGGATTAAGAATATGGAGGGCAGTAAAGGATTAAAGGTAGGTTCTCGTCTGCATTCTTTGGCTTAAAGGGTTAAAATGAGTTTTGTTTTTCAATTTTTGGATTCAAAGGGTTGAAGGTGGGTTTCACTCTCATTCTTTGAATTAAAGGGTTAAAGCCAGGAGCCATGTTTATGTTTAATTCTTTGTAAAGGTCGAACGAGGGTTTTATTTTTTAATCATTTTGGGACTTAAAGGGTTAAATGGGGCTTAATTTTTCATTTCTTCAGGGACTTTTACCATAGAAATCTCTTGGTATATTGATAGTTACCACTTTATACTTATGACTCATTCTAGAAGTTTGGATGTTTATTTCTGGTTGTTTGAAGTCACCTCTTGGTTTTTCCTCTTTAGCCATTGACCTTAAACTATATCTAGTACGTGTTTACTCTTTATGTCTTTTAGGTGATAGATCTACAACAGCCTGACTACATGAGGACCTTGGAAGTCGCAATCCAATATGGCCTCCCAGTGGTTCTACAAAACGTTCAAGAAAAACTTGACCCCTCATTAGATCCTATCCTCAACAAATCAATTATGAAGTTAGGGGGCGCTGACATAATCCGACTTGGAGACAAAGAAATCGAGTATAATTTCGATTTCCGGTTTTATATTACAACAAAGCTATCCAATCCTCATTACACTCCAGAGATTTCTGCCAAGGCCTGTATTTGTAACTTTGCAGTGAAAGAACAAGGTCAGTAGAATTTTAAGGTAGTCGTAGACATCCTCTTCTAGTGGTGACATTGTTATAGTTTCCAACTTTTTTGTGGAATGTGTTCGTTGGTTGGCAGTCGGTGTTTGTAACAAATGGCATGTGGTGACATTTTGCGTTTGATAACCTTGTCATAATCTGTCTTATATATTTTTACAATCCATCAGCTTCTTGATTCATCAACCATCAACCACCTGCCACTTGTTACAGATGCCAACTGCCAACCACCAAACACCTTCCACATACCTTGATATATATAACTAGTTCTCGTTTGACCTTTGTCAACAGATCATTTTCTCTATTACCAGCTCCTATGGACAACAAACTCATTTACTTTCCACTTAAATTGAAGGCAGTGAATTTCAATATATTTCTTATTTCTGATGTCTCTAATGACACACCACATATTGTTTGGCATTTATTTTTTTGACTAAAAATGTCAAATTATTGTCTTTTTGTTGGAAAATTATACGAATTCAAGTATTTCATTGAAAAAATATGTAAATCTGTATACTTTATCTCATTGTGAAATATAATTCCAATGAGATTTCAAAGGAATTAATTACAGAAAAATGCAGTTCTCAGGCAATGTCTATAAAAACATGTAAAGTTTATTACCAGTTTAACACATGTTGTAAGGGTTTTTAGATAAATGTAACTCAATGAATAGTATAAATAATCTCTTAATGTCAATAAATTAATTAACCTTTCTGTATGTTTAACACCTCATATCTGAAAAATTGGAATTCTAATTAAGATGCATTTTTCAAATAAGCTACACTCAATTCCATATTTGACATTGATACTGTCACTTTTAATGATCACGATTATATATTTGACTGGAAATCTTAATAAAATTACACCACAAACATTTATGCGATCTGGATTTTTGGAAAATGAAGATCGTAGTAAGACAAAAGTGAAAAAATTGCCTGGTTTACTCATAGTTGGAGTGCAAAAGTGTGGGACACAGGCTGTTGCATCTTTTCTCGCGTTTCACCCGAATTTAACAAGAGCTGGAAATTTCGAAATTCATTTCTTTGATCAAATTCATCCAGAGAAGCCGAAGAGTATTGAAGATTACTTAAAATTATTACCTGAAACATCAGAATGGGAGATAGCTTTCGAGAAAACTCCTGCATATTTTGGACTAGCTGACCCGATGTACATACATAACATGCTACCAAATGTGAAGATTTTGATACAAATGTGCGACCCAGTGGAAAGATCAATGTCTGCTTTTATTCATAATCAGCATACGGAACACTCGATAAGACATATTCCACGGGATGCTACATTTGAAAGTGTAATTCTCGATAAAACTGGGAACGTAAATATCTCACATGAGATCCTTCAGCGTGGAATTTATATAAGATACCTACGCGATTATTTAAAACACTTCTCTATGAATCAGATATTGATAATCGAGACTCAGAATTTGAAATCTAGACCAGCTGAAACATTGAAAAAAGTCGAAGAATTTCTAAAAATTCCACCTTTTTTCACGGAAGACCAATTCTATATAAACCCAAAAACCAACACAAGTTGTGTTCATATAGAGCATTTAGGCACAGAGAGGATGTCACCGAAAGAATGCCTTGCAGGAAATAAACATCGTGTTCATCCAGCCATGAATCAGGACACTCGCAGAAAGTTGGAGGATTTTTTTGCACCTTATAACAAAGAACTCAGTATTGTTGCTGATATGAACTTCTCTTGGATTATTAAATAATAGATTTTTATACCATTGTGACAAAATCTATTAGTGATGTAACTGATTTAATTCGCTTGGATTAAGTAATAAAAGATATCCTTTGATTTATCAGTTATATGATTTTTTTATTATGTCACCACCAAAAGTGGTGACATATTGTTATGGTCTCCGTTTTTTTGCGACGGCGTCCGGCGGTTGGTGGTTGGCGTCCGGCGGTTGGCGTCCGGCGGTTGGCGTCCGGCGTCTGTAACAATTTCTTACAACTTCCTATAACATAACAAATACTGTTTAGATTGACTTCAATTTTTTTCTAAATCATCTACATGTTCTCAGAAGTTCAAATCTGACTTTAGATTTGACATTTGACCTTCAATGACCTTCTCAAGGTCAAAAAGGTCTTTTTTCAACTTGCTTCACATTGACTAAATTTTTTTTCAAAATCATCTACATGTTCTCAGAAATTCAAATCTCACTTTAGATTTGACTTTAGATTTGACATTTGACCTTCAAATCTGACTTTAGATTTGACATTTGACCTTCAATGACCTTCTCAAGGTCAAAAAGGTCTGTTTTCAACTTGCTTCAAATTGACTAAATTTTTTTTTCAAAATCATCTACGTGTTCTCAGAAATTCAAATCTGACTTAAGATTTGACTTAAGATTTGACATTTGACCTTCAATGACCTTCTCAAGGTCAAAAAGGTCTGTTTTCAACTTGCTTCAAATTGACTAGAATTTTTTTTCAAAATCATCTACGTGTTCTCAGAAATTCAAATCTGACTTTAGATTTGACTTAAGATTTGACATTTGACCTTCAATGACCTTCTCAAAGTCAAAAAATGTCAAAAAGGTCTTTTTTCAACTTGCTTCAAATTGACTAAATTTTTTTTTCAAAATCATCTACATGTTATCAGAAATTCAAATCTGACTTTAGATTTGACATTTGACCTTCAATGACCTTCTCAATGTCAAAAAAGGTCAAAAAGGTCTGTTTTCAACTTGCTTCAAATTGACTAATATTTTCAAAATCATCTACATGTTCTCAGAAATTCAAATATGACTTAAGATTTTCTCAAGGTCAAAAAAGGTCAAAAAGGTCTTTTTTCAACTTGCTTCAAATTGACTAAATTTTTTTTTCAAAATCATCTACATGTTATCAGAAATTCAAATCTGACTTTAGATTTGACATTTGACCTTCAATGACCTTCTCAATGTCAAAAAAGGTCAAAAAGGTCTGTTTTCAACTTGCTTCAAATTGACTAAATTTTTTTTTCAAAATCATCTACATGTTCTCAGAAATTCAAATATGACTTAAGATTTGACTTTAGATTTGACATTTGACCTTCAATGACCTTCTCAAGGTCAAAAAAGGTCAAAAAGGTCTGTTTTCAACTTGCTTCAAATTGACCAAATTTTTTTTTCAAAATCATCTACATCTTTTCAGAAGTTCAAATTTGACTTAACAAGTTCTCAGAAGTTCAAATCTGACTTTAGATTTGACCTTTGACCTTCAAGGTCAAAAAGGTCTTTTTTCAACTTGCTTCAAATTTACTTAATTTTTTTTTCAAAATCATCTACATGTTCTCAGAAGTTCAAATCTGACTTTAGATTTGACATTTGACCTTCAATGACCTTTTCAAGGTCAAAAAGGTCTTTTTTCAACTTGCTTCAAATTTACTTAATTTTTTTTTCAAAATCATCTACATGTTCTCAGAAGTTCAAATCTGACTTTACATTTGACATTTGACCTTCAATGACCTTCTCAATGTCAAAAAAAGTCAAAGAGGTATTTTTTCAACTTGCTTTAAATTGACCAAATTGTTTTAGGTGGTGACATTTTGTCATGTCAATGCCTTGTTCATAAATTGATATCTACATGAACAAGGGTAGCAAATTTCACAGTAACTATGGACTTAAATGATTTATTAAAGCCTGTTCTTGTACGAGAATCAATAGATACATGTAACAGTAATTTGAGTTGATTTATTGAACCCTTTTTTCCAGACATTTATTTTTACGTTAAACATATAGTCTTACAATTGTGTACAATTATTTAGTGTTTTTCACACTATCACCATTCATTCAGTATTCGCAAATTATGATGCACTTTTGGTGTCATTGTTATTTGCCGAATATGTTTTAGAGATAAGAAATATACCACTTAGAATACCAAAATTTATTCTGAATTGAAAGATTAATCTAAACTATAATTTAATTGAAAAGGATCAATGTTAACCAATATATTCATGGAGTTACCTTCTAGCATCTAAAATTCACTTTTCAAATGTTTATACTCATTATTAATACAGAATTTAGCAATATTAATTTTGCATTTAGACAAATTATTTTGAATTGACCTTTTATTTGATTAATTGTAGTTATCATCATTCATTTTGCTTTATTAGGACTAATTGCCATTCATTGATTTTATGTGCAAATGTCAAAATCCTGCATTTTATTTCAAAGGACACAGGGTCGTTATAAAAACTCACGGTTCAATCCCTTGAAGAAGCGAATTATTTGTTCCCCAGAAATATTTTATTCATGCTTGCTTAATGACAATCAGGTCATATATCTAGGACATATATTATTCATCAAAGAAAACCTTGTTTGACAGTTTCCAAGAATGACAATTAGGTCATATGTTATACATCAAATAAAACCTTGTTTGAAAGTCTTCAAAAAGTTTTTTTGTAAATCAGCCTGTCACCCTTCTGAGATTGGAATAGAGCCATTTTCTTGCACTTATATTAAAGGTATATAATAAAAGATAGATAATTTTACTTCCAAATGTACAAAGGCTGGTTGGTATATCCTTTGTTTCAAACTTATTGGATTAATATCGGCTCAGAGGCAAAATTGAATAGATGCGTATTGTGAAAAAGATTTTCACAATATAAAAGACCAATGAAACAAAGTACTCTAATAATATGAAGTTTTCAATTTATAACTGATATGATGAAAATGATATTGATTTATTTACAACATTCAGTGTTTTATATTAGTTATCTCAATATAATTTATAGGGGTTTGATTGTATATAATTCAGGTATTGAGGCCCAGTTGCTTCGTATAGTGGTATTAATTGATGATTTATAGGGGTTTGATTGTATATATTTCAGGTTTTGAGGCCCAGTTGCTTGGTATAGTGGTATTTATTGATGATTTATAGGGGTTTGATCATATATATTTTAGGTCTTGAGGCCCAGTTGCTTGGTATAGTTGTGCGCAAAGAAAGACCAGAATTGGAGGAACAAAAAGACAATCTCGTAATAAACATCGCCAAGGGAAAGAAAAAACTTGTTGAACTTGAAGATGAAATTTTGAGGTAAAAAAATCATCTCAAATATCATTAAAATATAATTCAATTAATTAATTTGCTATTACCATGTATTAAATATACATAGAGTGTATAATTTGGGTAAAAATATAATGGAACTAATGTTTTATTTGAATTATTGATTCTTGAAAACATTTTGAACATAAGTTTTGGTTTTGGTTTTGCTATTTTGTACATACCATATTTTGCATCAAAGTTTGTGAAAATGTTAAAACTAATTATGGACCGTCTTGATTTCAAGGTTACTAAATGAGGCCAAGGGGTCTTTACTTGATGACGAACAGCTAATCAACACACTTCAAACATCAAAGACGACATCACAAGAAGTTGGAGAACAACTTCAGATTTCTGAACAGACTGAAATCAAGATCGATGCAGCAAGAGAGGTATTTTTATGAAAAACAGACATATCCTAATTATCCTAGTTTTCCAAATCCCAATAGGTGTAACCAACAATTGCTTTGTATATAGCCTGATGCTTTCTTATTTAAAGGCAGAATCAGATATATGGGAGTGACAAAGTTACAAGCAACATGTACATCTGACCTACCATTCTATTCTTTCCAATCTCAAATACAATATCTCCCAAAAGATTCATGATATGTTTTAAATTGGTGAAGTTATTATGGATTCAAAGTGCAAAAAAAAAATTCTCCCAAAAAATAAGAATGGTAACCATTCTTATAGTAAAATAATATACATTATTGTAAAAATCTTTAGTTTTCATGAAATAAAGTGTGCACTTTGGGGATTTTTAGAAAATAGACATGAAATGGAATGACATAAGCCAAAAAAATTCTAAAATTGAAACAATTTTTTGTTAGACTGCTCGCTATATCTGTTTCTCTCTTTATTAACTTTTTTATGAGATTTTGGAAGATTTGTATACTCATCTCAAAAAACAAAGTTATTTTTTCATTTTTAATTTCCGAGGATTTCCAAGAAACTGTATTAGGTCTATTTGGTTTTTGGAATCATCTGGCTTTTGTGGAACACCTCAAACTTTAATCAACTTAGTGAAATGTATTATTGATATTAACTCTTCAAATTATTGGTGTAACATGGAGTTCACTGTACAGAAAAACATGTCTGATTAAATTGTTTTTGTTATCAGATAGAAGGTTTGGGTAAGCAGTTGTTCTCAACATGTTTTAAATAAAAGTCTATGATAGATTAAAAATTGGACTGCTAACATTAGAAAGGTAAGAGTGATATACAATCAGGTTTTGGTGTACATCTTTTTCTATTTTTACAGGGATACAGACCATGTGCCCAGAGGGCTTCGATCCTCTTCTTTGTCTTAAATGACATGGGTAGGATAGACCCTATGTACCAGTTCTCATTAGATGCCTACATAGAGCTTTTTAATATCTCCATTGACAAAAGTCAAAGGAGTGGCAAGCTTGAAGAAAGAATACAAAATCTTAATGATTACCATACATTTGCTGTTTATAGGTAAGATTTTTATTTTTATTTATCATTACATAGTAATTGATTTCAAAGTTGACCCTTTGAACTTTGTCAGTCAATTTGTTTAAAATATATTTCTGGAATTTATATTTTTTATCACTCGAAGACTTTCATTTAATCTATAATACATGTATGTCAGTATGTAAAATCTGTGTCAGCATCCAGTCATCATCTGTTCATTTACAATTTTCCTATTAAGTGCTCATATTCATTGCCTTGTTTTGAAAAATTGGTTCTCAAAATGAGAACTGATTCTGATTAAGTGCTGCCATTTTCAGTATATACCTCCTTTCCTTCTCCATATATATTTAATAGTCATTTATACTTCAATTTTTCAGGTTTACATGTAGAGGATTGTTTGAGAAACACAAGTTGTTATTCTCATTCCAAATGTGTGCCAAGATCTTAGAGGCTTCTGGTAAACTCAACATGGATGAATACAGCTTTTTCCTCAGAGGCGGAGTGGTTAGTACAATTATATCCCTCATTGACCATTTATTCTAAAACCTAATAGAGCTTCTTTCATATAAGAGATGGAGGGTTTAGTAGATTTATATCTCCCATTGACCATTTATTATGAAAATTGATACAGCTTTTTCCTCAGAGGCAGAGTGGTTAGTACAATTATATCCCTCATTGACCATTTATTCTAAGACTTAATAGAGCTTCTTTCATATAAGAGATGGAGGGTTTAGTAGATTTATAGCTCCCATTGACCATTTATTATGAAAATTGATACAGCTTTTTCCTACTCATAGACAGAGTGGCTAGTACAATTATAACCCTCATTGACCATTTATTCAAAAACTTCTTTGTACATTTGTAAAGCTCAAATTTCAAGAAGTTGTGTTTTTATTTATGTCTAACACTCATTAATGCTATCAAAACTATCTTCAGTGAGTAGAATAAATCAAATTATTATTTTTCCAGGTATTGGACAAAGACAATCAAATGGACAACCCTTGTAGTAATTGGCTAAACGATTCTGCCTGGGACAATGTAACAGAGTTAGATAAACTCACAAACTTTCATGGTATTATGACATCATTTGAACAATACCCACGTGACTGGAACATTTGGTACGTGTCGTCAGAACCAGAAACTGCCGGCTTACCAGGTAAAATCAGGCTTCTCTCATTCATTGTTTTGTATTGAAATCATTGGTGACCAGTTTATGTATTTAAAAACAATTTTTTTAATGAAATCGAAAACTGCCATTTTAATTTTTGTTGCAAACGTCAATTCTGAAAACATTAAGCTCTGAAATTCTGTTCTAGAGTCTTTTTTTATAAATCTTTATTAATACATATACAGGGTGTCCCGAAAGTATGGGGCCCCCCTTAGGCAGGTATACACCAATGTCCCCATAGTATGTTTCATATATCATTTTAAAGCTTGTCCAAAGTTACATTGATTCGCCAAGTATCATGGTTCAACTCACAAACGGGAAAAAGTTACACACATTTCAAAATGTATTGTTTTACCAAAATTAAAGTTTAGTTTTACACTAAATTAATAGTCGCCGTGTCTCCCTTGGCCATGTTTACAGCAGCAATTCTTTCCAGATATGACCTTAAATACACTGCAAAAGGGGTATGGCATTTAATAATCCTCATAAAACCTTTTTAAGGCATTTTAGAAGAGTTTCCTTGGAGTGTCTGCCTTTACCGACCTCTTTTTACAACTCAATATCCATCCTCTCTTTAACGATATCACCCACATTTTTGGTCACATTCAGGTAAGCGGTGTTTCCAGGATACTGATTTTAACTTTAATTTTGGCCAAACACTAAGTTTTGAAATGTCTGTAACTTTTTCCCATTTGTAAGTTGAACGATGATACTTGGCAAATCAATGTAACTTTGGACAAGCTTTAAAATGATATATGACACATACTATGGGAACATTGGTGTATGTCTGCCTAGGGGGGGGATACTTTCGGGACACCCTGTATACACATATTAATACCCAATACATTTTTTACGAAATAGGTGAATGGGACAATGCATGCAATGAGCTACAGAGAATGTTGATTGTAAGATCAATGCGCCCCGATCGTGTCTCATTCTGCGCTACATCATTTATCATTAACAACCTTGGCTCCAAGTTTGTAGAACCTCCTGTACTGGATATGAAACAAGTGGTGAGTGCAATATTATTGATTGATTTGAAGTGCAATACAGGATATATTGTGCTCGAGAAATTCTGTATTGGCATGACACAAAGTCGAGTGAATGATGAAGTGAATTCTACATTCTCCACATTGCTACTGAGATTGTCCACTTCGTACCAATATTTTCTACCCTGCTTGCAGAGTCTAGTTAAACTACACTCTGCCTAGTAGAAACCATATTACAGTTTAGTAGCCCCGCCCCCACGACGGATGCCGGTGACAGTTCGGGTAATAAATCACTTCTGACCTACTCGCTGACCTTTCTTCCACCAGTCAGCGAGCTTGAAGAAACACGCGCCAAAATAAATTCTGAATTGTCATTGGTCAATTCCGGGCTTAACGATGACGTCAGAACGAATGACCATATATAGAACGTCGGTCAAATTTGGCCGACGAGCACTGATTGGCGCGGTGAGTTCACAGGTCTATTTTAGTTTGAAAGAGTGAAGACGAAGCTCTCTTTTTAAGAAGTGAAGTCGAACGAATGCAAAGGGTAAATATTTTCTGTATTGCTACAGAGATGGTCAATTGGGACAATCGAAAGTAGCAATACAGATTGGTGCAGCACAAGAACTGACCAATCAGAGGGCTTCATTTTACAGATCATACAATAAAAAAACATTGCTATTCATTTAAAAGTTCTCATAAATAATTTATCATAGGTATGTTCAGTTGCTTAAGTAGAGTTGTTCGGTGAATATTAATTGAAGCAAAATAGTCCATAGTAATTACAGACACTTGTATTGTAATGAAAAGAAAATGATCAGATTTTTCTAGCAAGCATAAAGCATGTGATCCCAAAGTTAAGTAGATGCATTAGCTAATCTCTCACAATATTTACACCAAGCTTTGATTTACAAAAAAAATCATAAGTAAACTAAAAGGTATATGTAAATGTATGATTCCAGGTGGAGGACTCCACTACTAGGACACCATTGATATTTGTATTGTCTCCTGGTGTGGACCCCACTAGTATGTTTCTACAGCTCAATCATAAGTAAACTAAAAATTATATTTAAATGAATGTTTCCAGGTGGAGGACTCCACTACTAGGACACCATTGATATTTGTGTTGTCCCCTGGTGTGGACCCCACTAGTATGTTGCTACAGCTCGCTGAACACAGTGGCATGGCTACAAGGTTCCATGCTCTTTCCCTGGGTCAAGGTCAGGCTCCCATAGCAACACGCATGATTCATGAAGGTGTCAAAGAGGTGAGACAGTTACATATTTTATTCTTCAAGTACATTCACACCTCTTGGGGTCAAGTACAAACAAAAAATTATAACAATTATAAAGGAAGGAAAAAGATGACATTTACATGTAAAAAAACTACATAACTATTAGTATTACTATTAATACATATACTTATCCTATGCCAAGTAGAGTTTTAGGGAGATAAGTTGGTAAGATATATCCCGTATCCTGATTTTGAGGTTTCCATATCCAGAACCTCCATATCTCCCGCCATATCTCCTGCTTTGGTGCATATCTTCCCACTTCCGATGCATATCTTACCGCTTCCGGTAATGCAATAAAATAACTTTGCATATGAATGATTTGTTTATTTTTACACCTTGCAATATTGAAATGGCCATATGCCCCTGAAAACTCTACTTGGTATAGGATAAAGCAGTCATATATGGTCGGTTTGAATATTGGGTTCATCCCTCGTGAGATATGCACATCTACCTTCGGTCCCCACGGTCCCTCAGGTAGATATGCATATCTCCCTCTGGATAAACCCCATATCCAAAACCTCCCAGTACATAACCCTTATATATACTGTATGGTATATTGATGCTGTTTACATTTGGAATACCTGACTGTATTGATGTATAAAATGTTGATAGAACCTTTTCTCTAAATACCATTAAAAACACAACTGAAAGTTCAAAAAATGTTCTTACTCTTTAGTCAATTATATTATAAATATAATGGATTCTGTGTTAGATGATTATTACAAATTTAGTTGCTCCAAAGCTTGGAGTTGGTCATAAATCATGCAGTAATTGCACTTATGTTTCATGTTTTTTTGTTTTTTCTACCTTTAAGGGCAACTGGGTATTCTTGGCTAACTGTCACTTGTCTCTCAGCTGGATGCCACAGCTGGATAAACTTGTAGAGCAGTTACAAGTTGAACAGCCGCATCCAGAATTCAGACTGTGGTTAAGTAGTTCTCCTCATCCTGAGTTTCCCATCTCCATACTCCAAGCTGGAATCAAAATGACAACAGAACCCCCCAAGGTATGTTGGATTGTGCCCTTGTAGTTTTTAGAATTTTTTAGAATCGTCAGAGGGGTAATAAAGTACTCAAGGAACAAAATGAATTTTGAGAATGATATCCTCAGGCATAAAATTGAATGATATGAATTTGAATGATGTAAAGAATACTAGAGAGTAAATTTCATTGATACATATTGATTATTTCAAAGTACTTAGTGTATTATTGTATGTGAATCAAACACACTTATTCAATACACTTCTGTTATGGATTTAACTGCCAATTGGATATCACGTTTCTTTGTACATAAACATTTGATTTGTTTGAATATTGGAATTTGTTTCATTTAGATTGTACTTATTTATGGGTCTCTTTATGATTTCAAAAGTTTCAAAAGATTAAGTAAAAATTGTGAATATATTCATTTCTGTAAGATGATGGTCCATGACATTGTGCTTATGAATTTGAATTATTTCAGGGTCTGAAAGCAAACATGAAGCGTCTATACACATTGCTGACTGATCAACAATTCACAAGATGCAAGAAACAAGACAAGTACAAGAAACTGTTGTTTTGCTTGTGTTTCTTCCACAGTGTGTTATTAGAGAGAAGAAAGTTCTTAATGTTGGGTTGGAACATTGCCTATGAGTTCAACGACTCTGATTTTGAGGTATGTAGTGTACTTTTACCTAAAGAAAACATATAGATTTGTAAATGTGTTGGAAGTTTTACTTACCCAACTGGAAATCCCTCCAGAAATTTGATTCATTTAATTTTCATAAGAATATTATTATATTATTCTTATATTTCTAATTATTATATGTTTGCCATTATATTTGATTTTTAATAAATCAATGTTTAAAATCCTTTCTCTTGTGTAGGTATCAGAGAACCTCCTCAGTATTTATCTTGACGAGTATGATGAAATCCCATGGGATGCTCTCAAATATCTCATTGCTGGTATCAACTATGGAGGCCATGTTACCGATGACAGTGACAGGCGTCTACTGTTGACATACATCAATGATTTCTTCCAAGAGAATAGTGTTAGCACACCATTTCATAAGTAAGTCTACAAATTTTTCCTTTCATTTAATGGACAGCCCTTTCCAGACAAGCAAATTCACAACCTTTGATGTAAAATTCGGTTTTATCAACTCTGATGTCTTTGCTTGTGATTAAGGAATCTGAGGTATTTTGGTATTCTAGATCGTTAATTTAATGATAGAAATTAGCTGAATGTTTACGTTTAAAAATAATTTCCATTAAATTCTCACATTGTCAAATAGAAAGTTATATCTAGAAAATTGAATTGATCAAAACGATGTACATCAATTACACAATTTCAGAGTTATATCAACATAGTTGAAAATAGAACACCAAAAAAGCATGAACAGTTATTTTGAAACATTTTACAATTTTCAAACAAATTCAAATGAATAAGGAAATTAAGGAATATTAAGGTCTATAAAGAATATTTTACTTTTAGATTGTCAATTCTTCCAACATACTACGTTCCTAAAGATGGTCCTCTATCTGCTTATATCGAATACATCACCATGCTGCCAAACATTGATCACCCAGAGGCCTTTGGGCAACATCCAAATGCTGATATTACATCCCAGATCCAAGAGACCAGGATGTTGTTTGAGACATTATTGTCTCTTCAACCCCAGGTTTCATCCTCAGGAGGGGAGAGCAGAGAAGATAAGGTATTGCAGACTTAGAAATGCTTATAATTGATTATCCTAATCTTGAAAATAGTTCACAAAAATCACTTATACATACCATTTTGAGTTTATATACATATCTTTTCACAAAATATGAAGACTCGTTTTTAACCCATTTTGATTCATTTTGATGTTTTCTTTCAGGTGTTAGAGTTGGCTAGTAACATTTACAAAACATTACCAGAAAATATTGACTATGAGAACACTGTTAAAATACTCTCAGTAGACCCATCTCCCTTAAATGTGGTCCTCTTACAAGAGATCCAACGTTATAATGCGCTCCTTAATGAGATCCGCAACCAGTTGACAGACTTAGAGCGTGGTATTCAAGGTTTGGTTGTGATGTCACAAGAATTGGAAGATATATTCTCCTGTATATATGATGCCAGAGTTCCACCTGCCTGGGAAAAGGTAATTTTGAAATTACTGGTACATCATTTTAAAGGGTGCCAAAGAATCATTCAGAAATTAAAACAAAATAATTGATTTTTTTTGTTTACTCAATATGTGACTTTTCTTATATTTCAGGCTTACCCCTCTATGAAGCCCCTTGGTAACTGGACTCGTGATTTAGTGGACCGCGTAGCACAGTTTGAGAAATGGGCCACCACAGCTCACCCTCCTAACATATTCTGGATGTCTGCATTCACCTTCCCTACAGGGTTCCTAACTGCTGTTTTGCAGACTTCAGCCAGGCAGAATAATGTAAGACCAATTACAACAAACATAATGTGCCATATTGTTTTATTTGTGAATTCATAAATCTACTTTTACCCAAGAGATCACCATGGCTAGATCAGAAATTTTGTTATATATTTTTGATTTAACCAAACTTTAAAGTACTTCTCCTTTAGGTATTAATAACCATACATGCCATCTTTTATTTGTAAATTCATACTCACATTTACTTTTACTCCTGAGATAATCATGGCTTGATCAGAAATTTCATATAACAGAACATAATGTGCCATATTATTTTACTTGTGAATTCATAATTATTAAATTTACTTTTTTAAATAATGGTTTTAAATTTTTTTATTTTTTGATTTAACATAATTTAAAAGTACTTCTCCTTTAGGTATTAATACCTATAGACGCATTTTCTTTGTACTGAATATCTAAATCATAAAGTGAATTATATTACATGTATGCATTTTTCAGGTGTCTGTTGATCTACTCTCATGGGAGTTCACTGTCCTTACTGTAGATGATAACAACATAATGAGTGCTCCTAAGGTAAAGTAGCATTTTAGTAGTTTTCTGGATATTTTGTTGAAATCAATCTCATAAGATTATGGGGGTGTATTTATTAAGACTCACCAAATTATATTAATGTGCATAACATAACAATATAACTCACATTGCATGGTATCATATTATTCATTTAAAATTTACTTTTAGGATGGAGTATACATTAAGGGCCTGTACCTACAAGGTGCTGGTTGGGATAAGAAGAATGCGTGTCTAGTTGAGGCAGAACCCATGCAACTTGTTTGTCCCATTCCATCAATCCATTTCAAACCAGTTGAAAACAAGAAGAAAAGTGGAAAGGGTGAGTTACTGTTATAAATTATTTGTTATTCGCTGTGTATGTGATTTGTACTAAAATGCAACACAAAAGCTATGGTTTTGTTGATTTGTGTTTAAATGTCAACTTTTGTTTTTATTTTTAAAATAATTGATTGTAGTTGTTTTGCTAACATCACATTTTCAGTTAAAGCACATTTTCAATTTTAAATGAGTAAAACTCAGCAATGATATGTTGAGTTTTCTTCATTTGTTTTTACCATTACTATATTGTTTTGAACACCTATTTTTGTCTGTGTTTCCTTAAAGGATTGTTTTGATATATTTTGCACATTAATTTTGCTTTTGTCAATTTGTTTAATTATTTATTTACACAATTAAATTTTTATTGTTTCACGTTACTAACAGCAACCTTGTTTTGTAAATCTCTCTCAGCAGTGACTGTTTGAATACATTACTGCGAAACTGTATAATGCACAACCCCTAAAGATTCATAAATTCTGGCATTGCGTCAATCAACTAATTTTGACCATGTATCTTAGAGGCTATGCATTATACTGAGTTGTTTATTTAAATGTTTGATGTCTTACAGCCATTTACCACTGTCCGGTATATTATATGCCATTGCGAGCAGGGACTATGAATCGTCCTGGTTACCAACTGAGTGTTGAATTAAAAAGTGGGGAAAAGCCACCTGAACATTGGATTCGTCGTGCTACTGCACTTTTGCTAAGCTTGGATGTTTGATCCTACATAATTGTGTAATTAACATACTTTTTATTTTGATTTGCTTGTGTGTAGTACTAAGTTAGGTGTAGTTTGTAGTGTATATAGTAGCTAATCTTCTTCGATTTGGTCTTGAACTTGATTTGTAGATCTTGGATTGTTAAGACCACTTGCTTATTCCCAATATACCATTGAACATTTGCATGTTTGTATAAATATATGTATATGCACCTACCCCCATTTTTAGCCACTACCAATCATCTATATTGATGGTGAAGGGACTTATATTGAAAGAACTGTGATAGCCTAGAACTATCTAGGCAGTCACCAGACTATTAACTTGTGTATACTATACACATATAACCAATTCCCAGACTTATTTGTTTCCTAGTCCCTACCAAACCATTTCAATGTCAAAGGGCTGCTATAGATAGCTTCTAGAACGATCTAGGCAGCCCTCAGACTGTTTAGCTATTAACATGTGTAAACACATATACCCAGCTCCTAGACTTATTTATGTTTTCTATAACCAGCTCCCAGACTTACTTGTGTTTCCTAGTCCCTGCCAAAAATATGTAACTGTCAAAGGACTGCTATAAATAGCCTCTAGAACTAGTTGGGCAGCCCTCAGACTGTTTAGCTATTAACATGTGTATACACATATACCCAGCTCCTAGACTTATTTATGTTTTCTATAACCAGCTCCCAGACTTACTTGTGTTTCCTAGTCCCTGCCAAAAATATGTAACTGTCAAAGGACTGCTATAAATAGCCTCTAGAACTAGCTAGGCAGCCCCAGACTGTTTAAACTATGTAAACTGTCATTATACTTTCACAGCACACCCAGCTATTTGTTGATTTATGAACCGTAGAAAATCTATTTTCAGAAATTATAGCTTAATTCTGGTTTTATCTTCTGTTTTTGCAAATATAGAATTTATTATTTTCTACCAATATATTTCCCTCTGATTTTTCATTCAATTTATCACTGTTGTCCATAGAACTTCCACCTTAGGGCTCACTTTAACCATTCATTGTATTTTCCAGGCATGTACCAGTGTCCGGTCTACTATTATCCTAACAGGGCAGGTGGGAATGGACGTGCATCGTTCGTCGTATCTGTTGATTTGAAGTCAGGGGAGAAAACTGCTGATCATTGGGCCAAGAGGGGAACTGCATTACTTATGAGTCTTGATAATTAGATTATTCTAGAGGAGAGCATCAGTGATATTGGACTATTTGGAGGAACTGAATTACTTATGAGTCTTGATAATTAGACTATTCTAGAGGAGAGCAGTTGTGATATCGGACTATTTTGAGGAAATGCATTACTTAAGAGTTGATAATTAGACTTTTTTGAGGAGAGCATTGATGATTTGGTTAAGATGAGAAACACTAAATCTAACATGATATATATATGTTGACAGAAATATATCAGTAGGGTTTATGCCTTCTTTTTATGACAGAAAGATGATGACAATGGGCTGTCTGTTTAAACTATGTAAACTGTCATTATACTTTCACAGCACACCCAGATATTCGTGGATTTAAGAACCTTTTTAGAAAATCGATTGTCAGAAATTATAGCTTAATTCTAGTTTTATCTTCTGTTTTTGCAAATCTTCTCTACTGTCATATTTATGTTGATCTAACCAATTTAGATCTAGCCAATTTTTTGTATCACCACCATGTGTGATGACATATTTCTATGATCTCCAACTTTTTGGGTCTGTAACAAATGGCAGTTGGTGACATTTTGAATGGTAATGCCTTACAAGCTGCCAAGTATTTGTCTAATAGAGGAATATGTTTCCTTCATTTGTGGCCAAATTGTAGTGAATATGAAATTATTTTTGTAATAAAGATCTACAGAGTATATGATAAGAGTGCTTATGAGTAATAGAAATACTCATAGGAATGTAATAAATGATTCATGATATGAATTCCGTCCAATAATAATTCAGACTACATTTCCGTCCAATCTGTTAAAGGTGGATCAATTTGACAACTTTTGTACATGTTTTGAGCTTCAGTGTCCAAGTTGCTAAGTAAGAATGGTTATGATATCCAGGTCACCTTAAAAAGCTAGCATTGTGATATTTTCTATATTGACTTTTCTGTTATATGATGTTCATGAATCTTGAATTTAAAAATGCATATTGAAATCAAAACCTATTTTATTTTGGAATTTACTATGAAATCCATCCACAATTGTTATTGACTGCCAGTTGATTTTTTATCAAATAAAGAAATATTGTAACATATTAAATGATTTGTGTTAATTTCCACATGATATTCTGTATTTAAGATTAGCTATGAGTGTGTCATAAGGGAGATGTCCATTAAATAAATAATGCATTCAATCATATAGAGTAATCATCTATTTATATTTGTAAGCAATACATTTGACAACATATAACATGTATAAGCGGGTACAATGGTGTTTCAATTATTTACAAATGAAATAAAGAAACGATCATTTGGCATGTATCCTTACATTAGAAAGAAAAGCTACAATTAACAGTACAGTGTACATGCTTTATATTTACCAGATATCATCTCAATAAAATAAGTACAGTAAATCCTGTATATAGTGAACACCTGTTGAATCACTTAAAATGTTCACTGTAGGTAGGTGTTCACTACAGAGAGGGGATTGATACACAAGTCAATGTAAAATGTGTCTTGAAGTGGTGTTCACAACACACACGTGTTCATTAGAAAGGTGTTTACTCATACAGGTTCTATTGTATTCATCATTACAAAACTATGGAGCATTTGCTTCAAAAATACAATATCATTTATCTTCGAAAAATTGAAAGTTTTACATCCAGGGTGACACAAAAAATGCCAACCACATAATTAGTTGCATAATGTTTGTATGTATGATATCAGAATCCTTCCTTTTTAGCACATTAAAAATAGGCTCCATGAAGCAACTCCACAAGAAGTTACAGATGAATATCTCATGCAGATGTACGTTTATAAGCCTTGCAAGATTCCACACTGTGTGAGCACAGTACCGTGGGTCCTTTATTTTTTAGCACATTTGAACTAGGCTCCATGAAGCAACTCCACAAGAAGTTACAGATGAATATCTCATGCAGATGTACGTTTATAAGCGTTGCAAGATTTGCTCTAAATTTCGATTCCTCTTCAGGCACACCTGGATTTTGCCAACATGCCACTTACTTTTTGCCACACAACTTTGTAAATACTAATGAATTTCAGACCATAAATCGCAAAATTATATAGTTTTCACTGATAAATTCATTATAAATTATTTACAAAATCATATGTTACAAAAAGCGGTTGGCATTTTTTGTGCAGAATTTAGGTGTGCCTGCAAAGGAATAGACAACATATCTTGTAATGCTCATAGATAAATAATGTGCATCTAGATGAGCTAGTCGTCTGAATCATCTTGTGGAGTTGCTCCGTGGAAGCTAGTTTTAATGTGTCAAAGGACAAGTCAGAATTTATGCTTACAAAATGTTATGCAACATTATGTAGGTGGGTGGCATTTTTGTGTCACGCATAATGATTTTATATCATAATAAATTTATTGCTTCTGGGCAATACACTTTTTCTGAAAGAAGATATATACAGGGTGGTCCAAAAAAAGTGAACCCCTGCAACGGGCCATATTTCCCTTATTACTTGCAGGAATTCTTTTATATTTTCACATGTTGTAGAGGAAGGTCTAAAATTTGTGTTGGCACCATACATTTTTCTTAGTCTTGAAATTTGCAGAAATTATAAGCCCTTACCAAATATTACTGAAAGTGAATAAAGTGTGATTTTCAATATTCGCGATTCTTCAACCCTTCAACACCCTTCCCCTGACATTTTTCAAGCTGCAGTCTTAAAGAACTAGTATTTTCTCACTTTGTTCAATCTTGAATCCTGCACATTATGGCTTAAAACTAGCATCCTACCTTTGTTAGTTGCAAAGTTCTTTTGATCCAAAGAAATGTTCTAAGCTTCCATAGACGATGACATTTTCCAGTGAAATCGCGAAACATACACCTATTTGATCTTGAAATGTCAATATCTTCATAAATCATGGACCGATTCTAATGAAATATGGCTCAAAACATTGAATATTAGATTTTTTTTTGATTTTTCAAAGATATTTGATGAAGGGCTTCTCAGATTCCTGGTCACAGGGGGCAACTTCCTTCCACAAGAGGCCCTCATCCAACTGTTGGTGTAGGTAACATACCCCTGAACTGTTGAACGGTTAAAACTGCTTCAAATTGATCAATGAAAGCGTGAAATGTGTTTTCTGCTTGAATAGTGTCCCTTTTGTCATTTGGTAGGGTTTTAATCTTGTATCTCTAACTGAAAGCTGTTTAAGATCATCCAATGTGTTTCAACAATTTCTGTGAATCACATTGGTAAAATTTTGCACAATATCTAATTTTCAGGCATGTTTGCCAAACTCTTGTAATTTCTTCAAAATTAATTAAGACTGAGATTAAATTATGGCCTTTATCTACAACATGTGATAATATGAGTCTATTTGTGCAAGTATTAATAAGGAAAATGTAGCCTGTTGCAGCGGTTCACCTTTTTTGGACCACCCTATAAAAGAAAATACATTTACAATACACACATCTGCGGCAATCAATTCTTATAGATTAAGGTAGTGAGCGCCATCCTCTCTTTAGTACAGTAGTATATTACACAGGATAGATATGGCTGACTGTGTATCACGCCTGGTAATCGGAAAACGAGACGGAGGGGGATACGGCATTTCTGCTAGGGAATTCAACAAATCTTGAAGATTTAATTTTTGAAGAGAATGTTTACAATTAAATTGCTGAATGGATAGTTGCACGGTATGGTAAAATATGTTAGGTCTTCTATGATTTTTTAACAGAAACACCCGTCCCGTCTCGTCCACCTCCATTCCGTTTTAATCATTATCGAATTTTTATATGGAAACTTATTGTATTAAGTCAGCAATGACATTAATTTTGGGATGATAACGTCACTTACAAATATTAATTACAGGTCGTGCAGACCATTGTTGCTTGATGTATAGCAAAAAAACATTGACTTGAGTACATAGTTGCCGTTGCGCCTTTTTGATAGATCTCATATTGTGATATTCTGTGATCTACTGTTGTATTACATTTTAACAAACTATATAATTTTGAGCCAAATATATTTTATTCATTTTATTTATCTAAGTTTTATGGTTCTACGACCTTCTATCTTGAATTTCGAATCTAAACTGAGATCCATGTGCCTTGCGCTTTACATCCGTCGCGCATCGCCACGTGGTATCTCAAACCAAAGCAGATGCTAGGCAAATGTAGGAGGGAACAACGCTCCATAACAATATCTAACACCCCAGTCACATTTGTCGTACGGCGGCCGTACGTCGACCGCAGATCAATTAAATCAGTGTATTTCTGAGGCGAGCGTAGGAAAACTACGCTCGCCTTGCGGCCTCCGTACGGCGTATCCAGTTTTTTACAGGCCGCAGGGTCGCCGTAGAAATAATAACTCGGAGTTATAATATTTGTTCATTTCTGAGGTCCCGGTAGAAATCAACTGGCTCAACAAGATTGAATCATTATTTGTCAATGTTTCACATTCACTTTTCATTTGATATTACATCCTAGCACTATGAATAACATTTATAAATTGTCCCGATGTAAATAAAATGGAAAAAGTAGTATTTATCAACAAAAATTTAAAATTCACCGTGCGGCTGCCGTGGGAAATGTGACTGCAAAAGTATGAGAGCGCAGAAATTCTACGGCGAGCGTGGGAAATGTGACTGGGGTGTTAGAAGCGTATCGGTTCAAAAACAAATGCTCATTTTCTGAATACATGGAAACACGATTGGAATATGAAGAAACATATTTATACACAGTTATACTCCTTCATTTGACTACTGTGATATTTTTTTTATGACTTACAATAGCCGGCGTATAATAAGATATAAATACAAACGTATACGTTTTACACCAAAAGAAAACAATCTCCTTGTTGAATGAGAAGAATAAGAAGAAACACCATCCCTCTACATTTGTTTTTGATGTTACTTGATTATTAACATTTAGTACATTTAGAATAAAAAGAATACGTGTTATTGAATATCTTCAGAAACACCGTCAAGAATTTGGACAAAAAAATTCCAAAACGAAACAGTCTCCCTGGCGACGACCATCTTCAATAACAATGCTGAATCTGACAAACCATGGGCTACCAAATCAAGCCCATAGAGATATGGATGCTAACGTGAGTTTAAATAAATTCAAAAGTATTTACCTTTTTTGTTTTGTGAATGAAAATATTTGATCCACATGGTCATTTATTCATGTTTTTCTCATTCTCTACCAATGGTGTGTTCGGATTATATTATTCCTATTTTCACTGCGTATTCGTTTGTTTATTACGTCTCTGTCAAAATTCACTATCACAAATCTAAAAACAACATATTCTGAATACATTATATATATGTTTTACATCAAGGTATCTTTATTTCCTGGTAATGGTATTCTACTTGAGTTTTTCCTTCATCTCCCTACTTTCCTTGAAATATTTTCTACAGTTGACGATGTCGCCTTGTTTGAAATACACATTCGCGATTTCGTCCAATGTTAAAGTGATATCATTATGAGGCTTGTTATTGTACAATAACCTCTCCATTTTAAGACATTCGGTGAAGTATTGCAAGGCATTGTTAAAGTCACCTTTCTTTGAATACACAACACCAATCTCGTACAATGATGTGGCAATATCAGCATGAGGCTTGTCTCCATATACCTGTCTTCTCATTGTAAGAGCATCATTATGGTAAGACATGGCATTGGTGAGATCACCTTGCTTAGAATACACAACAGCAATCTCGTTCATTGATTTGGCAATATCAGCATGAGGCTTGTCTTCATATACCTGTCTTCTCATTGTAAGAGCATCAGTATGGTAAGACATGGCATTGGTGAGATCACCTTGCTGATAATACACATGACCAATGTTATTCAGGGATGTGGCAATATGAGCATGAGGCTTGTCTCCAAAGACCTGTCTTCTCATTGCAAGAGTATCAGTAGCGTAAGACATGGCATTGGTGAGGTCACCTTGCTCATAATACACATTACCAATGTTATCCATTGATGTGGCAATATTAGCATGAGGCTTGTCTCCATAGACCTGTCTCCACATTGCAAGAGCATCATTGTAGTAAGACAGGGCATTGGTGAGATCACCTTGCTGAGAATACACAACACCAATGTTGTTCATTGATGTGGCAATATCAGCATGAGGCTTGTCCCCATATACCTGTCTTCTCATTGCAAGAGCATCATTATGGTAAGACATGGCATTGGAGAGATCACCTTGATGAGAATACACAACACCAATCTCGTTCATTGATGTGGCAATATGAGCATGAGGCTTGTCTCCATATACCCGTCTTCTCATTACAAGAGCATCATTGTAGTAAGACATGGCATTGGTGAGATCACCTTGATGAGAATACACACTACCAATGTTATTCATTGATGTGGCAATATCAGCATGAGGTTTGTCTCCATATACCTGTCTTCTCATTGCAAGAGCATCATTATGGTAAGACATGGCATTGGAGAGATCACCTTGCCTATAATACACACTACCAATGTTACTCAGTGATGTGGCAATATCAGCATGAGGCTTATCTCCATAGACCTGTCCATACATTGCAAGATCATCAATAGCGTAAGACATGGCATTGGTGAGGTCACCTTGCTGATAATACACACTACCAATGTTACTCATTGATGCGGCAATATCAGCATGAGGTTTGTCTCCATAGACCTGTCTCCTCATTGCAAGAGCATCATTATGGTAAGACATGGCATTGGAGAGATCACCTTGCTGAGAATACACATCAGCAATGTTACTCAGTGATGTGGCAATATCAGCATGTGGAACATGAATCCAGATTTTTCTCCTCATAGAATAACTTGCAAAATAATATGACGATGCCAGTTTTAAGTCATTTTGTGCGCTGAATACAATTCCAATATCCTCTAATAACTCCGCATAATCTCGATTAGCTTTCGCACCAAATACATTTTCGTAAATAAGCTTACTTTCTTCGAAAATTGATAGAGCAACTGTGTCGTGACCAAGTCGAATATGTGCCAAACCTAAATTCAATAGTGACTTTGCAACATTACAGTCAAATAGATCAGACTCACACAATGTTTTAAATATTTTTAGAGCGACCTGGTGATATTTGATTGCGTTTTCGTAATTTCCTATTGACCAGTATATTTCGCCTATGTTGTCCAGTACTGTTGCAACGTGCAGGTGGTATTGGTCATTATGTATACACATCTCCAAATCCAATGCTTTAGTATAGTACGTTAGAGCATCTTGATACATTGAGTTTGTTTTATAAAGCGATCCTATGCTTGCCTGAATTTCAGCAAGTGGCTCTTGGTCGACCTCGTGATCGGAATTCATTATTTGCGCCTCTTCTTTTTTGAAAGCCAATAAAGCATTTTCAAAAAAGTTCATTTCTTTATGCAGCATTCCCTTTGTCCGTTCACTACTTTCTATATACCTGGGTAAAAACTTCCAATCTCCGGTTTTGCTGTTTATTGCCGATTTTAAGAACTCTGCCCAGGGTATGAATGTCATGAAAAAGCGGTATATTGCACTATAATCCCGAACAGATAGCGATTCCTTTGAGTCCGTTGAACTTTCCTGCTCGGGAGGTCTCGATATGAACGAAACGAACTCCTTTTGTCTCGTATATTTATTGTAAGTTAAGTGACGTAGATTAATACACGAACAGACCATTACCTGAAGGTCCATCTTGGCACGCTCCTTCAATATTTTCCGATCGCATAACTCATCCAGAACATCAAGAGGGGACTGGGCGACACAGTCATACTTTAGCTTTAGTGAATTAACAGAAATCGTGGCAAATCTGTATATGTCTTTCTTAACATGTACTTGCTTACTGAATGTTTCTGGCGTAAGAGGATTCTCTGCATATTTTTTCAAATCGTCTTTAAGTGTTTCGGTTGCCCTGGCGACACCTACGCTTTCATCTGGGAATTGTCCTGAAGGCGATTTCAGGATGTCTCCAAGTTTCGATTTATATCTATCGTGTACATCTCTGTCTCCATATATCAGGATAGTTGTCATGAGAACATCGCTCAAGTGATAGCCTTCTTTTAAACAAACGTCTTCTTTTTGGTATTCAGACATCTCGTCTGGGGTCATAATCAACTCTCTTGCAGGTTTATTTTGTGTAGTGCTACGGCCAATCGGAGTTTTACTCGCCCATGGCATGTTTCCGTCAAAACACAATCCTTGGGGAGAAATTGAATCAAAGAATTTGTTTTCCGATAATTCTCCCGCCAGTTCCTTGTTAAAGTCGTTCAACACTGGAATGCTTAAACTTGGAATGACAGTCTCGCCCAGGTTGAGTATCTTAAAGTGCAAATAATGCACGATGAGCCTAAATTCAGTCTTTAGCTGGTTTATTTCGAGTGATTTATCAGTGTCGTCGAATATTATTGCAGATTCGAGATCTGAATATGCTGTTGCCTCTTGTCTTGCCAACGATCCTAGACCTACAAAACAGAACCTACAATTCGGTGTACCCAAAACATTAAGACAGTCATCTATGAGTAACTTATAAAAACTCACAAGTTTGTTGGTAAGTTCGTTATAAAATGCTCTGCTGTTTTTTATTGTTCGCTCCTCGTCTTCTACTGTCATTTCAACTGTTTCTAAATTGACTATCATGTCATCTTTGACGATAGAATTGATCGTGTAATCAGAGTATTGTCTCAACTGCTTCAATTCCTCTTGATACTTTAATGTCGCTTTTGCGGTTGGGATATCAGTCTGCTTCTTAACCCTCTTCAAAAACGTCGTTTCTAATTCCTGCAATATTTCATTACAGTCCTTCTCGATCTCAGTCAAGGGGTCTTCTTTGAGTTTCTTTAGTCTCTCAATACAATTCAGAGCTGCATTTAGAAGACCTGCAGATCGAGCGAAATACCAGCCTTCAATATGTGTCGTTTCTTTAAATAACCTTTTGTACTCAACAGCTAATTCAAGAAATAAATCGATTTGTTTCTCCAGTTCTGTTTCGTCCATATCTGCAGTTTTCCAATCTTTTCTACATAGTTCTTGTCCAATTTTGTACATCCTTTGTGTGCACTCTGAAACAGGTTTGGTACGTACATGATACAATACTATTTGTCATTTAATCGTTGAGAAAATGTGCAACTGATTGATGCATGGTACAATATACATATAGATCGAGCAAAATATATAGAGCTCAAGCAGTATAATCATTGGTACTCACCTAGTTACGCTGACGATACGTCAGCGTAACAAGATGGAAGAACTTCCGGGTTTCGTCTTCGTTAAGATATTTTTATTTCTTGATTTTAAACCACTTATAAGTCCAGTTGTAGACAATAATTTGGCTCAAAGTTGAGGAAGATAGTCTAGTTTGAGAATATACATGCGGTTTTATGTTTGGTATATTAACGAAGACGCAATTCACATATTTAGTCCCTCGCTTTTGTAACTTTGATGATCTGCATGAGTATTGCTTATGTGACGTTGTCGAAGACACTTTGTCACGCTGACGAAAGAAATTGTTGATTTTTGGAATGGCATGGGGTATCGAAAGCTCCAGATCCAGGCTCGTAGATTTGTGGCATGTGCGCGGGGCATTTGCAAAGCTGAATCTGAGATTATGATTCAATATCATGTAATAATTCTCATATTTATTCTTATAATATGTGCATTCCATTCCCTTCCAATATTGATACAAAACTGACATCCTATTCACAATTTAATTCATTAGAGGCTCAAATAACTTTGGATGATCTGATAGCGTTATTGGTAGAGCATTGTCTTGGCCTGATGACCTCCTGTTATGCACGGGTGGAAACGTGGGGAAACATTTTAATTTTTCAAGAGATCCAATCATCGACAGTTGTGGAAATGCGAAAAGTATTTTCTTAATGGTCCAATTTCTTCCCTCTCTCACATAAGTTAGCAAGTGTTGATTTGCTCTGTGTAATTTATTGTTGACAACAAACAGAAAGATTCGCCCCCCTTTCACGCTTATGAAATTAACTAATTGACTAAAAATAATTCACGCATAGCTAGTCAAATCAGAACATTCACTCATACTAGATAACATTGAACCTAATGAATGTTGCCTTTTTCGAAGTGATAAACGGATATTTGAGTTAACTTTCAATATCATTCAGGGAATATTAACAAGCTTAGTGCTATTGAACGAACATCAATTTTTAAGTGTTGTATTGTTGTAGGGATGACAATCCATCTTACCGACTGTCACAAACAGAAGTGACCCTTGCAAAGGGTTCCAATGAAAATATATTATTTTGGGCCATTTCATATATTTTAAGTGATATTGTATAAAACATTTTTCAATGTTTGAAAATTATAATCTTATAAATAACATTCTATGTAATAAAACTGTAACTGAAATGGTCAATACGGAATATGATGCAATACAATGCAGTGCAATATGATGCTATACAATGCAGTGCAATATGATGCAATACAATGCGGTGCAATATGATGCAATACAATGCGGTGCAATACAATACAATGCTGTGCAATACAATACAATGCAGTGCAATACAATACAATGCAGTGCAATATAATACAATAAAATACAATGCAGTGCAACATAATATAATGCGGTGCAATACAGTACAATATAGTGCAACAAAATACAATGCAGTGCAATACAATACAATTTAGTGTAATTCAATACAATGCGACACAATACAGTGCAATACAATACAATGCAGTGCAATACAATGCGGTACAATACAACGTGGTGCAGTGCAATATAATACAATGCAGTGTAATACAATACAATCCAGTGTAATACAATACAATGCAGTGCAATACAATACAATACAATGCAGTGCAATACAATGTAGTGCACTGTAGCACAATGCAATGCAGTGCAATACAATATAATACTGTGCAATACAGTACAATATAGTGCAACAAATTGCAATGCAGTGCAATACAATACGATGCAGTGCAATACAATACAATGCAGTGCAATACAATACATTGCAGTGCGATACAATACAATACAATACAATACAATTCAATGCTATGCTATGCTATTCAGTGCAGTACAATGCTATATATGCTATGCCCTGCTGCTATGCTATCCTGTGCTGTGCTGTGCTGTGCTATGCTATGCTATGTTATGCTATGCTATGCTATGCTATGCTATGAAAAACAGACATGTGCTGACTTTATATATCCAATATCATGTTAAAATGAACTTTTGGAATTGCTGATGGTTCACTATTATAAAGATGGCATAACTAAACCGAGTAAAATGGTTTGAGTACAAGTTAAATTTCGAATCAATTTGTATCCGATGTCCCTCATCTTGCCAAATTTTAACCTTACTGCATTTCACACCAAAATGATGGGATCTGTAAATATAGGTTCCTCATTTCTCGTCGAGTACCTGTCTCTGAACGCTCAGTGCATCACCTTCGTGATTTTAGGACTTTCAGGACTCTCTGAAATAGTTAAACTATGTATTCATTATTGTTGCCCAACATACGCCGATGTTAATATGGTTCGTCAACGTTACAACAGCTCCAAGTCACACCTTCGTCGGCATAACATTGATCTTACGTCAGCGTAACGAAAGCGAGGGACTAAATATGTGAATTGCGTCTTCGTCAATGTACCAAACATAGAACCGCCTGCATATTCTCTAACTTAACTATATTCCTCAACTTTGACCCAAATTATTGTCCACAACTTGACTTACAAATGGTGTCAAATCGAGGAATAAAAATATCTTACCGAAAACGAATCCCGGAAGTTCTTCCATCTTGTTATGCTGACGTATCGTCAGCGTAACCAGGTGAGTACCAGTGATAATACACACAGTATTTAAATCAAACAACAATACGATTTAAAGTAACTTAAGTTTTTTACATTTCAACTTCTCAACCAAAAGAAATTGAAATTCCGGGCTGATTTTTAAAAAAAATCTGGGTTATCCGGATATAGTATAAAAACATTCTGGGTTTAATCCAAGCTCATTTTTTATTACAATTTCTTGTTTTTCTCTGGGCTGAATTTGAATAGAAAATCCGTATTTTCCGGGTTGGTATGATCTGAATTAATTTGAGCTATATTATACTAGGTATAGCACATTATCTCCATTATACCAGAACTGAATCAACCTTTCAAGGAGTGAGCATTCAAATGAAACGGACTTGTAACTTTAAATGACGAGATTTGTTCGCACACTGCATCTTGGATTTCCAAGGTATGATGTGTTCAAACTGGGAAACGAGTATGCGAACACTGACTACATACAGTAAGTAGGCCTCTAACATGAGCTCGATGCTCGCGATGTCAGCGGGGCCTGGATAGACACCTTGGTTAAGTGTGTTAGAAACAGATTATTCTAAACAAATTAATTCAAAGATGACAGTAAGCTTAAAGTAATAATTATTGAAGTCAAATAAAATGAAAGTTGAATTTAAATGAATTTGAGCAAGTTGATTGTTTCAATATGAAACAGCTAGCAACAGAAAACAGCGCATTATCGGAGAGCTTACATCGTCTTATTTAATCATAGTTGTATAAGGATTAAAATTAAACGTTCTAGGAGTGTAAAATTGAATGTAATGCATTGAACTTACTGTACGTAATAGATGAAAAAATAATTTGTCGGACTGTTAACGTTACGTACGTTTTTTATGATTTAAAATAGTTAGTCACATATACATATCATTGGAAAGATTATCTTGTCTTCTTCAATCCCCTTTCTAGCAGAATTTAATTAAACATTCAGGTAGTAATAACATTGAAATATAAACGTTTCTATGGAACTTTAGTAAGTGAAACTCCGAACAACTTTATTTCATAGTACAATGGCTATTCTAATTGCAAGGCGACGATCTTCAACTATACAACTATAACTATATTTTATCATATCTCTCAAGGCCCCGCCTCTAGTATGAGCTCATTGCTCGCGATGTAAGCGGGAACTTGCTTGCGATATACGGGGCCTGGATAGTCACCGTGTTAACAATCAAAGATGCTAAACATACTTTTACGTACACAGGCTATTGTGTAGAACTTTAAAAATGGGTTTCTGTTTTTCCCGGTCTCCCCTATACAAGTACATGGATTTTAAACTGGAAACATGAAGAAAGACTTACCAACTGAAGGGAATTTGTTGGATTTCACAGCATTTTCAAAAGGATTATCTTCTTCGACCTTGAGCTTACTATCCTCAGTTTCTGGGATCTCTCCTATAAAAATCAATGTTAGATTGATGTGCATGTTTTAATGAGAAATATAGTCCGTCTACTGGGTACATATCATAATTAGTAAAACATTGAATTAAGTTAGAAGTATAATTATCACATTGTCTTTCTATTGGAGTACATAGCACACACACGATGGCAGGAAATGTCTTTCTACTGGGGAACATAAGATCACTTGAAGACAGAAAATGTGACAAATAAGACATTTAGTTCTACTACTGCAGTAGATAGCACAATCTAAAGTTCAAAAATATGTCAGAATTTTTTTCAATTTCGATAGCACCATCCTACGGCAGAAAATATTTTGGCACAGAAAGTAAAGATCAATTGCCTAGAGGTGATTTTGTTCTATACTATGTATACTGCTATAGGCAAGTTTGCAAAGCGTAAGTGTCGATGACATCACTTTATGTATAAAAGGATAGGTGTCGATATGGTAAACTGAATTCAACAATGTTTTTCTCTTAAACCATTTATTGAAAACATTCTGGAAAAACACGGTATTTTATGTAATTTTGACTGATTGACAACTATTTAATGCGAAAATTACTTATATATATTTTATATAACTGTTTTTGTTAACATTTTCTGGTTTTTAGTGCAATTGGTTTTCGTTCCTTTTTTACCAATTCTTGAGAATGAAATAAAATATCTTTCCGAAGCTTGTTGCAACAAAATAGCATATACAACATTTTCTTAGACCCCTCAATATTATAGTTATACAAAAGAAGTTTTGGTTGATTTAACAAAAAGTATTCAAAAAATTTAAAAAATAGATAAAAATCAACCTTTTATTTCATTAACAAGACACTTTTTTTAAATCAACCAAACTTTCCTTTGTACAATTACAATATTGAGAGACCTAAACACGTTTTTTGTCATTTTGTACCAATGAGGTCCGGATAGATTTTTCATTTCATTCCGAACATATGATACCAAGAACAAAAGAGGTGTCTGATGTGTTTTCTAAAACAATATAGAGGAAAGTATATATATTTATTTCAATTCATATTATTACCACCCAATAGATGACCATTAAATTGACAATGAGTAAAAATTTCAGAATTTTTTGATGACTGGTTTAAGAGAAACGTGTGTTCAAAAAGTTCACCATATCGATGCCCATCCTTTGAAAAGATGGCAGTCTCCAGTAATTGACCATACCAAAACATGTTCCTATATTTCCACCTTGCCGGGCCAGTTCTAGGGGTTTTAGGGCTAGTTTAGAAGGCATTCATTCTACTATATCGACCTGACGTCCAATATTTCACTATATTGCCCTTCGAAATGACGTTATTGTACTATTTTTGCTAAATATGAATAGTATACAAATAGTGACTGCCATTGAGGGCAATAGTGTAAATTATTTCCCCGAGGGAATATCCTCTACAATGTACTATTCCCGAAGCCGCAGGCTGAGGGAATAGTACATTGTGGAGGATATTCCCAAGGGGAAATCATTTACACTATTGCTCGAAATTAGGCAGTCACTATTTATTTTATTATATACCCTATACTGACTCTTGTCCCGTGTCCTCTGCGAAGGCCAAAAAGGCTTAGAAAGCCCCCTCCCCGGGTCCATTGTTAGCATTATAAGCTGTGCCGTCATCAGATGCTCAACAGAAATTTTTGCCTCTGAGACTCTCACTTGACAAATTCAATCGCGTTTAACACGCGGAATAGATTATCATAACACTTGAAATTACACAGACGTATTGAGCTTAGGGAACTTTATACACGTTGCTTATATTGTATCGTTCACGCACGTCTGTCATGGTGAACTGAGTTGATTTGTGTTTGTGCTCATCCTCCATTTTTCTGTTTTTCGTCTGCGCAGTGATGATGCGCAGACGTTTCCAAGGGTAATAGAACTTGCAATTGTGACGTCAGCGGGCAATAGTTCAAATGTATATTCCCGCTGACGTCACATTTGAGGGAATATAACTTTCCGAGGGAAATAGTAAATCTATTTCGGAACACGTGACTAGGTATTGACCAATCAGGATTAGTGTTACATATTGGGTATATAATAATATAAAATGGTTATCGCTTCCATATCAAGTGAGAAATTGACTCACAGAGAATATCCCTTTACAAGGATCGGATGTTCAATTGATAAGTGTAAATTATATTATTACCACCTTGCCGGGCCAGTTCTAGGGATTTTAGTGCTAGTTGAGAAGGCATTTAAATTGCTATATTGACGTGAGCAATATTGTGTCAGGCGTTAATGACTCTAGTCGGGCAATAACGACATTATCCGCCCGGGTATGTTTTCCGGGAAAAGTGATATCGTTCAGTGCGTAAGATTTTCTATTTCAAATTTGCTATTTCAGCCCTGGGCATTAACGGTGGTAATAATAGTAATAACGTCATTTCTGCGGGCAAAATAGTGAAATATTGGACATTGGGCCTGCGGCCCTTGATCCAATATTTCACTATATTGCCCTTTGAAATGACGTTATTGTACTATTGATCAAAATAATGGCTCACAGTACAGCCCAGTATCTTTCTAACATACATAACATTGACATGATCATGTGATTCTTTTTATCTGAGTTTAGATATGTTTTCGAATTCTCCAGTAGCAGATGATTTATTTGAGCATCTGTAGCACGATAAAAGTAAGTTATTAAAAGAACTTTTTTAAATCGACAAAATGATTGTGATTGCTTAATTTTACTGAACTCGGGTTAACTCAAAGTTCCTGGGGAAATAAAATGGAGTGTTGCACATTTCTATCCAGGGAAGCTTCTCATTCTTTAGCTCCTCAAACACAACTAGGCAATCAATATTGATCCTACTATAAAATCGATAATCAATACTGATTATCTAGTGTGATCACTGTTGAAGGACATTTTGAAACGATTTCATAAGATGTTCACGAGCAGCATGTACGGCTTATAACTTATGAATATATTCAGTAGTTTTCTCACATGTTATAGATTATTATATGTTTATTGTGTGTTTGTTACTTTCAAAAATAAAAAATTAAAACAGACCAATAACGTAGCTTTGTAGTCTATAGCTCAACATGTTCGACAAACTCGTCGCCGTTACCACGGGCCGTAAATAAGATATAACGTGTTTAAAATGTCCCGTATTGAGTTTAAATATTAAGTAAGAATTTTATGGAAAGGGCTTAAGTGGAACAATATCCTGTTAAATGGACCTGTCCTCTGAAAAGGCTCAGCAAATAAATAAGTGTGCATGTACAAGATGGGCAATAATTAAAAATGGGGCACTTTGTATTTTACCCTTTCAGAAATTAAGAAATCAGGTGACTAAAATTAGGTGACTGATATGTCCACGTGCACCTTCATCAGAAATTATGGCTCTCAATCTACAAAATGTCCAATTATTTACATTATTTATACCATCCTTTGACCTTAGAAAAACATATATTTACACCATGTGTTTGGTGTAAATTCTGCTGTTTACTTACACGGAATACTGCCAAGGTTACAGATACAAATGATATACAATGGTGACATTTGAATAAAATGAAGAACAGATAGTGAAAAAATGAATTCTACATAAAATGGTAGACAATAGACATTTAAGAATTCTTTGCAATTTCAATATCCCTTTTTATTTGCCCAAAATGTATGTGTAAATAAAGTGTCTCACCAATCGTATGGGAAGGATTAGATTGTTGAACATCTGTAGGCTCTGGTGTTTGTGACTGTCCCTTTGCGATCTGTTCGTCGATGGGCTTATCTGTTGAAAATTAAAATGTTGATTAAATTAAAAAAATGCATGATATTGTTTCAGATAATATATTACGTTGTGTCAGATAATGAATAGGTATATGCATTACTGGGCTCCGGTTTCCTGTGTACTCTTCAGTACAGCGATAATAAAAAATTGGTGTTTGTGACTGTCCCTTTACGATCTGTTCGTCGATGGGCTTATCTGTTGAAAATTAAAATGTGGATTAGATTTTAAAGATGCATGATATTGTTTTAGATAATATCTTAACATTGTGACAGGTAATGAATAGGTATATACATTAACAGGCTCCGGTTTCCTTGTGTATTCTTGCGTATACATATATATGTACAGCGATATTAAAAATGGAAAGTGGAGAAATATGCTAAAAGCGGTAATTTGAAAAAGCTCAGCTAAATATAATTTTCTATAATATGATATGATAATTTCTCATCGATCATATTGCTGGATTATAAAAATACTCAAATGCAGAATGATTATTTATAAAAGCCCTGAAAGATTTGAAAAAGCTCAGTTTGAGATTACTACAATCATATGATTGATTTAAAGTAATTGTCTACACATCAGTTTAAAGAGAGAATCAGATCTAGCGAGCAGGCGAACAAAACGTTGTTTCAATTTTAGAATATTTCGGGCTCATATCATTTCTTGTCTATTTTCTAAAAGTCCCCGAAGTGCACACTTTATATCAGGAAAACTAAAGATTTTCACAATTATGTATTATTTTTGTTTAAGAATGGTTACCATTCTTATTAATTGAGAGAATTTAAACATTTTCACCCATTTTTGCACTTTGAATCTATAATAATATTGAACAAGCGCAAAAATTGGACATTTCATGGAATACTTTGCAATTCCAATAGCTGTTTCTGATGGGCATGCGCCATATTTCTTGTGTCAACCAAAAATAAAACATGAATCACTTGACTTGTTATCTGATACATGCAGCCACAAATGTTAAAACTTTATATTGATCAATATCCATGACATTTAGTACTTAAACACTCCTTTAGATAGGATAAGTCTGAATGTCCCTTTTTATTTGCCCACTCTGTATATGTAAATATAGTTTCTCACCAATCGTATGGGAAGGATTAGATTGTTGAATATCTGTAGGCTCTTGTGTTTGTGACTGTCCCTTTGCGATCTGTTCGTCGATGGGCTTAACTGTTGAAAATTAAAATGTGGATTGAATTTTAAAAAATGCATCATATTGTTTCAGATAATATATTATGTTGTGTCAGATAATGGATGGACATATACATTACATTAACAGGCTACAATTTCCTTGTGTTTTCTTGCGTATCAGTACAGTGATAATTAAAAATTGAAAATGGAAGGATTATGCTAAAAGCGGTAATATGAAAAAGCTTAGCTTAATATAATTTTCTATAATATGATATGATAATTTATCATCAATCATATGGGAGAATTATAAAAATACTCAAATGCAGAATGATTATTTATAAAAGCCTTGAAAGATTTGAAAAAGCTCAGTTTGAGATTATTACAATCATATGATTGATTTAAAGTGTGTGTCTACACATCAGTTTAAAGAGAGAATCAGATCTAGCGAGCAGGCGAACAAAACATTGTTTCAATTTTAGAATATTTCGGGCTCGTATCATTTCTTGTCATGTCTATTTTCTAAAACTCCCCGAAGTGCACACTTTATTTCTTGGGAAAACTAGATATTTTTACAATTACGTATTATTCTTGCATAAGAATGGTTAACCATTCTTATTACTTAAGTGAATTTAAACATTTTCACCCATTTTTGGACTCTGAATCCATAATAATATAATATTATTAATATAATAATTTTGAACAAGCGCAAAAATTGGACATTTCATGGAATACTTTGCAATTCCAATAGCTGTTTCTGATGGGCATGCACCATATTTCTTGTGTCAACCCCAAAAAAACATGAATCACTTGACTTGTTATCTGACACATACAGCCACAAATGTTAAAACTTTATATTGATTAATATCCATGACATTTGGTACTTAAACACTCCTTTACATAAGATATGTCTGAGTGTCCCTTTTTATTTGCCCACTCTGTATATGTAAATATGGTTTCTCACCAATCGTATGAGAAGGATTAGATTGTTGAACATCTGTAGGCTCTGGTGTTTGTGACTGTCCCTTTGCGATCTGTTCGTCGATGGGCTTATCTGTTGAAAATTAAAATGTGGATTAAATTTTAAAAATGCATGATATTGTTTCAGATAATATATAACGTTGTGTTAGATAATGGATAGATATATACATTAACAGGCTCCAGTTTCCTTGTGTATTCTTGCGTATCAGTACAGCAATAATTAAAAATGGAACATGGAAGAATTATGCTAAAAGTGGTAATTCGAAAAAGCTCAGATAAATATAATTTTCTATAATATGATAGTAGCACGGACAGAATTGTTCAATGGTCACTTTTTCATTAATAACTTTTTTAATATTCGGTATTATCATAGTCTGATCACACATTTGAAAACTAGAGTAAAATTCTGACATACAAAAAAATATTTAAGGAAACATCTCTTAATTTATTGATATTATAGGCGTTCATAATATGACTGACGAAAATACATTATTCATCATTTTGCCTCATATTTGTTCAAAATGGCCGCATATTTTGTGAATTTGAATGTTCAGTTGAAAGTTAATATTTAAAGATTGTCATAGGACTACAGGGCTATGCTGCCACCGTTACAATCCTGATGTAATGCAGCAACTGATCAGTCATTAAATACAAGAAGTCAAATCCCTCCAAGGGTATATGAAATCAACTTTATTGAAATGTTCGGGGCTGTGTTCAAGAGGATGTGAAAAGGTGGCGCCCCAATGTGCGGGATGTGATGAGAGTAGGTCCTTAATCTTTTCAAGAGCTCGAAACAGCCATCTCAGAGGCAATTGAAAAGCTTAAGAACAATTCACATGCATGCCAAGGATGGGTAAAGAGGTGTGTGACTGGGAAAGATATTGCAAAATGTGGCAGTATGACTCTATAGTTGCACAGGTTCAACAAACTAGGGTTGCTAATCCACTACGAGTAACAATGGAATGGCCAAAAAACTTGGAGTGCTGCGACCTTACCAATATACTGTACATACAATGTATAAACCTTTTTAAGTGCTGGTATACATACAAGTCAATTTAAAACAAAGGGTTATAAATGCAGTTACCTCATACCTCATACCAAGACAGCAGTCTACATGATTTTGTAGGCCTATGAGATTTCTAAAATATTAACTTTAATTTCAACTGATCATTCAAACCACAAAACATGCCGCCGTTTTTGAACAAATATGAGACAAAATGGTGAATTATGTATTTGTGTCACTCATACTATGAACGCCTGTAATATCAATGAATTAAGAGATGTTCCTTATATATAATTTTTGTATGTTAGAATTTTACTCTAGTTTTCAAATATGTAATCCGATTTTGATAATACTGAAAGTTAAAGAGGTTATTAAAGAAAAAGTGACCATTGAGCAATTCTGTCCGGGCTACTATGATCATTTCTCAATCATATGGGAGGATTATAAAAATACTCAAATGCAGAAGGATTATTTATAAAAGCACTGTAAGATTTGAAAAAGCTCAGTTCTACATTATTACAATCATATGATTGATTTAAAGTGTGTGTAGTGTGTGTCTACACATCAGTTTAAAGAGAGAATCAGATCTAGCGAGCAGTCGAACAGAACAATTCTAGAATATTTCTGGCTCATATCATTTTGTTGTCATGTCTATTTTCTAAAAATCCCCGAAGTGCACACTTTATTTCAGGAAAACTAAAGATTTTTACAAAAAAGTATTATTTTTTGTATAAGAATGGTTACCCATTTCGCACTTTGAATCCATAAAAATATAATATAATTATTATAATAATATTGAACAAGCGCAAAAATTGGACATTTCATGGAATACTTTGCAATTCCAATAGCTGTTTCTGATGGGCATGCACCATATTTCTGGTGTCTACCAAAAATAAAACATGAATCACTTGACTTGTTATCTGATACATACAGCCACAAATGTTAAAACTTTATATTGATTAATATCCATGGCATTTGGTACTTAAAGTGTCTCACATATTCGATCAAAATTTGCCATGCAAACATGTTATTAGTCTACTTTACTGGCCCCCCTTGCTGTAACAAGGAACCCAAAACACATTAAAACGTAAACATAAACCAATTAGTCACTTCACTATGAAAGTGAGGGGTGTACGCTGTGTGCATGGCCTAACACAATATCAGTGGTCATTTACTGTGTCAACTTAGTAACCCTTGCATATCGTGCTCACTCAAGTATTGAATAATTTTTTTATGATCTAAATGTTTGTGGTTTATAAAAAGATGTGATATATTTTAGTTAGAAATACATTAATTAATATATTCATTCAAACAGCACTAGAATGCGGGAAGAAAGAGCAATGGTGACAAAATGCAGACAGAACTTCCCGTAAGGGTTTCAAACATTTCTGAACACAATCATACATGTACTTCATGTGTACTGTTATTTTTAGTGCTGTATAGATATAATTTCACGTATTAAATCATATTTTCCAGCAATGACTTCAAATTCGGAACCACACCCATATCACATTTTCTTCAATAACTCCAAACATGTGTAAACATTGACCATGTGCATACAAATTCAGATTTCACGAGCTCTTTCCTATTCGAGTACCTCATACACCCCTGCATGGATTTGAGTTGGATTCGCCTTTTATACGTGAACCGACACACTCGCAAACGCTGATTGGATAAAGATTGCGAGAATCTTTAAACACTCCTTTACATAAGATATGTCTGAGTGTCCCTTTTTATTTGCCCACTCTGTATATGTAAATATAGTTTATCACCAATCGTATGGGAAGGATTAGACTGTTGAACACGTATAGGCTCTTGTGTTTGTGACTGTCCCTTTGCGATCTGTTCGTCGATGGGCTTATCTGTTAAAAATCAAAATGTGGATTAAATTTTAGATATATTGTTTTAGATATTATCTTAACATTGTGTCAGGTAATGAATAGGTATATAATTTACAAGGCTCCAGTTTCCTTGTGTATTCTTGCGTATCAGTACTTAAAATGGAAGAATCATGCTAAAAGCGGTCATTCGAAAAAGCTCAGCTAAACATAATTTTCTATAATATGTAATTGAGTCATATATGCAATCGACCGCCTTATTATTCTTCCTCGACGTTACTTCTGACTTTTATCAAGTTTTCTGATGGTTGTTTCATTTTAGACCATACAGCTGGATATCATCAAGTTCTAGGAAGATAATGATAACAATTTTTTTCAATGATTCATAAATTTGATGGTTGTTTTATAAGCAAATGAACAATATCTAACTACGAGAAATATAGCTGTAGTCGCAATAAGTCAAGGAATAGCAACATTTCTTTCTTTACCTATAATGTTCACCGCGGTATAACAGTCCATATCTCAAAACTTATTGACACCCATTTTGTGAAAAACTAGCATAATTTAAACATTTGTCATTCTAATAAAAAAAATGATTTATTTGTACCATTTATCTCATTAATATCTGAGAGACTACAAAACGTTGGTGCACTAATTACATACCGTAATTTTTTTGTATTGATGGAAACATAACCTCAAATTTAAAGCTTAAGACCTAAATGATATATTTTAAGTTATCACTTGCATGTGGTTACCAAAGTTTTGTTGCACAACTCAACAAAACCTACGAGTTTGGTTCAATAAAGGACGATTCTCGGTTTGGAGAACAGCCTCCTGGGCTAAAAATTTTCTCATGAAAAATATATAAATATTACCCAAATTAAACTATGAATATTCAAAAGAGGACATTTAAATCTACAAGATGTAAAAATAACAAATTGGTCTGAAGCAGGGATAATGCTCAAATAGACCGATTCAATAAAATACAAGTCTCGATTTGGGGAAAGAAGTTCATCAGTGTACTGCGCTAATATTTTTTTGCGAAAGATCTAGAAATATTACCCAAATTAAATTATGACTATTCAAAAGAAGACATTCAAATCTATATTATGTAAAAAAAATCAAATTTGTCCGAAGCAGGGATAATGCTCATTTAGATTGATGAACTTCGTTCTCCAAACCGAGAATCGTCCTTTATTTATATAATTAATTAAGTCATTACATACTATTACATAATATTGTGCAAGTTTGGGAATAATTTCGAAGGGTGGAATGTTGGGGAATGGGATGGTTCTGTTTTAAAATACAATTATATTTATACTGTGTAATGTAATGATATCAATTGATATAAAATTTACTATGCGTATGCTATCTACAGAGATATTCTGAAGAATGAACTTAATGATTAATGATTAAACCAGTAACGGTTGATTTAACCAAAGTTATGAGGAACTAGTTTTTATAATTACAATCGGAACTTTGTGGTGTCATTGACGATATGAAAGAAAGTTCTAATACGTATGTACTGGTGAAAACGTAATTCACCCTTTGACGTGATTTGAACAAAAGACCTTTAGGTCGCCAGACTAATGTACTACCAACTGAGCTACCGGGGTGGCTGAATACATGAAATTTTTGCCGGAATTTTAACCAAAATAAATTACCTGGTCTCGGACCGGGATTTAGTTCAACCCCACCAATCATCAACGCGATGAGTGAGATAACAAGGAGGGTAGGCGCTATCTTCAACCCAACCTCTCGCATTGTTAACCGCTTTATCCATCCCCGATTCCACACTGACTTCTCGGTTGGTGGCTCATGGTCAGAATTGTCTAGTTCATCATGGTGTTTGTGTTTACCTGTTTGACTCGCACCCAGACTCTGGGATTTATTTAGTGGTGGGTTTATTGATTTTCCGGATGTCCCGTTTCTTGACCAACATCTTGTGAATTTTAATGTACACCTATTCGATGATGTTCGGTTGCTGAAAGTCCCTATTGCAGCACGCCATTGCTGAAGACTATTCCCCATGTTTACATCTTTTGTCGTTTAATCTTCAGGCGTGCAAGTTTCACGTATTACCAGGTTTTTGAATATTTAGAAGTGTGTGTGTCATTATTGCAGGCTATTCCTCAAATAGTCGTTACATTCTCTTTAATTGTGTGCTTGTAACTTTACATTTTAACATCTCTACGTGCGGTTTGTCTCATCTTAACACCAATTCTTTAAGATAACAATATTATAACATGATCACAAGACACTTGTCTCATCTTAACATTAATTCTTTAAGATAGCAATATTGTTTAACAAGATCACAAGACAAAAGTAATGAACTTGTCGTTCGTTACCACTTAATGACATATATAGATATCGTTTTGAGATAAATATCATAAAGAACAATGACATTTATAAACCCGAACACACTGACAACGGTAAAGTCAGATATCGCTGTCACAAATGGCAGCTACGGGTTCGTATTCAATTCGATTTTCATTAATAGCATGTGTAATAGAGGACCTAGATTAAATTCCTTTGGTACAAAAATCATTTAAAGAGCCTTTCTACTCACCGTATAGTTAAACATGTTCTACCATCTCAATGAAGTTTTAATTTTACCGAGCAACATGTGATACGGATACTGTATTAATGACAACGGTAAATATGGGTCAAATGTAAAATTGTGATTACAAGAGTCACATTTGACAGCGGTATCTAATAAGACAAAGATAATGTGTCTAGTTCCCGTTCTCATTTCTCCTATGTTCCCATGCAATTCACCCACCATTCCCATAGTTCGTTGTCACAACGTACCATATGCCATTGCCTCTGTTATTTCATTTAAAATTCAGATTCTATGTCATTGGCGATACGGAAGAATGTATATTGCAGCGATTTGCGACCACATTTGATCGAAATTTGGATTTCATTTAAAACAAAATCACAAGAGTTTAATACACGCACAAAATCAGCGACGATAACGGCTCATGAAATGAAAACCAAGTGATTAAAGAGTTGAAGCGACGGTTAAGACCGCCATTTGTTACAATGGTATCTGCCTTCACGTTGTCAGGGTGTTCCGGTGTGGTTTAAGTAGGCCATATGCAGGCCTGTCAACTGTCCCGCAATTTGCGTATTTGTCACGCATTTGCTGAAGAATTCGAAGTCACGCATTTTACTTGGTAATTGTCAAGCAAAAATATTTATGTAGAAAAATTTCTAAAAAAGTTCGTCTACACAGCAAAAATACGAACGCCGAAAAAAAACGTACGCATTTCGTTCGGACTTTTCACGCCAATTACGTTTCGTACCCCCCCCCGTTGATGGATGTTTGAAACGCGAGCGTAACGAGCGCGAAAAATTACAGGTGTTCAAAATTTGGCAAGATGTAATAAAATTTAAACCAAGGTGTTCAAAATTTGGATCAAGGTGTTCATATTTGGACCAAGGTGTCCACATTTTGAGGGGAGGTGTTCAACATTTCCAAGTCACTCAGTCATGTTAGGTGTTCCCAAGTTGACAGGCCTGCAAAGTGTCCACAATTTAAAGAAAGGTGAAGAGGACGTACAGTAGGTGGAGAATTTAAAAATTCTTACGTGTTCAGATAGCTGCTCTTATCGAAATCATAGATCCTTACCATAAGACATTTGATCCATTGAGTACTATTTTTCTTTTCTTTGTTTGCCAGTATCCCTTTATCAGTAGCCCTATTTACACTACACGCGGCATTCCAAAACGTCTTGGCTAAAACGTTTTAGAAAAATTATTTTGAGTTTACACCACCATTTTTAAGACGTCTTACGAAATATGATTGAGTTTACACCTAATTTTCTAAAACGTCTTAGAGATATGTAGGTATACATGTAAAATGTTTTGCTAACCCCCCCCCCCCCTATCACACCAAACTAGTTCTTACCCGGTCTTGCCAGTCCTACGAAAACGTCGTAAAACGGGCTCAGTCTGGCTGTGGTCGGGAAATATTCTGAAATAATTAGCTTCTTCGTTCTTAAACAGTCTTCAATACGTCAATCTCATTCGCAGTTCGTTCAGGTCGCACCACGTCGGTGTGCAACGTCGTATAACGCGTCCTTTAGTCTAGAAGGTCATCATGACCTGATTACAGAACGGAATGGTCATCAAAGTTTGTGAAAATGATAAAACTAATTATGGGGTCTTGATTTAAAGGTTACTCAATGAAGCTAAGGGGTCTTTACTTGATGACGAACAGCTCATCAACATCACGGTGTATAACCCAAACGCTCCTACATGCACGACGGATCGTTTCATCATGAAATTAAACAAAGAAACGCTCCGGAGTAGGAAAACTGTCTGGCGGGAATGATGAGCCGTCTGACAATTTCCCCAATAATGGGAATTAGAGGTATGAGTTACATATTTCGAGTATACCATTCGATGGGTGTGATATTCATGTTGTACGTGGCTGGCTGTTGACGTTTGAAGCAATTAGGAAGAGCTGTACGAAGCAGTATAGTTATCAAAATTCAAAAACGTATTTGTCATTCTACCGGTTAAAACCCCTTTTGTCGATACATGTGATTAGTTGAGCCAAGATTAGAGCACCAACGTATATTTTAGTCAAATTCCAATGCTTCAACGCACCATACATTATCGTAATAGTGATTTGATGACCGAAAATACAGTCTTAAAAATGATGACATTCTCATATTCAAGAAACGCTCCGATCTGGTTAACACAGTGAATTGGAAACGCTCCGGTAGTCTAGCTCAGTTAAGGAAATATATAGCTTGCCTTTCCTTTTCAGGAAGAGAAAGAAAACATCTATTATACCCCTTGGCATCAATTGAAGAAAGATTAATTCACATATAACTTTTCGTTTTTTCTATCGTTTTATGATTTAGCACATATGTAGGCATGACATCATCTAATGTATAGGCTTTAATCAGCTACCTGTAGTTGCACGTTTAGCACCACCAGGTTCAGATGTTTCAATTTGCCTAACAAGTACAACACGTTTTTTAGAGATGGATTCGATTCGGAACTCTTCTCTAATAATCTGAAAATGATATCAAAACAAAATGGTAAGAGCGTTTCTAAAATTGTGGTCTTAATCGACGGAGCGTTTCGAGGAAAACAAGCGATTTCTCGAGAACAAGTAATGGATTTGGACTGGGATTTTAGGAAATGAGAATATACGAGTTTGTGATCTACTACTTAAACAGAAAGATTAACGTTTTCATAGAAATACTAGTTTAATTCGTAATTTGTGGTCAAATCGTCATCTTCAGATTCGTTCGATCTACACTACGGAGCTTTGATCAAGCAAATAACAGTTTACCACCAGAAGTTGAATAAATAAGATCTTTGCTCACGATATTGTTCATCGAATGGTACATAATATTTCACCATGACATATGATATGTAAGAGAAACGAGAGAAACAATACTTACGGTCATAGTAGAATCTTCATTAGCCGCCATTTTATTTCGCTCCGGAGCGTTTCCGCGTAAATGTAACGCTCCGTCGTGCACGTAGGAGCGTTTGGGTTATACACCGTGAACATACTTCAAACATCAAAGACGACATCACGAGAAGTTGGAGAACAGCTTCAGATTTCTGAACAGACTGAAATCAAGATCGATGCAGCAAGAGAGGTATTTTTATGAAAAAAACAAACATATCCTAATGATCCTAGTTTTCCTAATCCCAATAGGTGTAACCAACAATTGCTTTGTATATAACCTAATGCTTTCTTATTCAAAGGCAGAATCAGATATATGGGCGTGACAAAATTACAAGTTATATGTACCACTGACCTACCATTCTATTCTTTACAATCTCAAATACAATATCTCCCAAAAGATTCATGATATGTTTTAAATTGGTGAAGTTATGGATTCAAAGTGCAAAAATGGGTGGAAAATGTTTAAATTCTCCCAAATAATAAGAATGGTAACCATTCTTATAGAAAAATAAGATACATTATTGTAAAAATCGGTTTAGTTTTCATGAAATAAAGTGTGCACTTAGGGGATTTTTAGAAAATAGACATGAACAGGAATGACATAAGCCAGAAAAATTCTAAAATTGAAACAATTTTTTGTTAGACTGCTCGCTACATCTGATTTTCTCTTTAACTTTTTTTTATGAGGTTTTGGCAGATTTGTATACTCATCACAAGAAACAAAGTTATTTTCTCATTTTTAATTTCAGAGGATTTCCAAGAAACTGTATTAGGTCTTTTGGGTTTTTGGAATCATCTGGCTCTCGGGGACCTCAAACTTTTATCAACTTTTAGTGAAATGTATTATTGATATTAACTCTTCGATTTAATGGCGTGACATGGGATTCACTGCACAGAAAAACATGTCTGATTAAATTGTTTTTGTTATCAGATAGAAGGTTTGGGTAAGCAGTTGTCCTCAACATTTTTTAAATAAAAGTCAATGGTAGGTAAAAAATTGGACTAAAAGACTGTTAACATTAGAAAGGTGTTTAAATAAGATTGAGTGATATACAATCAGGTTCTGGTGTACATCTTTTTCTATTTCTACAGGGATACAGACCATGTGCCCAGAGGGCTTCGATCCTCTTCTTTGTCTTAAATGACATGGGTAGGATAGACCCTATGTACCAGTTCTCATTAGATGCCTACATAGAGCTTTTTAATATCTCCATTGACAAAAGTCAAAGGAGTGGCAAACTTGAAGAGAGAATACAAAATCTCAATGATTACCATACATTTGCTGTTTATAGGTTAGACTTTTTATTTTTATTTATCAATATATAGTGATTCATTTCCAATTTGACCCTTCGAACATTGTCTGTCAATTTGTTTAAAATATATTTATAGAATTTATATTTTTTTAACACTCGAAGACTTTCATTTAATGTATAATATGTCAGTATGTAAAATCTGTCGTCAACATCCAGTAATCATCTGTTCATTTACAAATTTCCTATTAAGTGCTCATATTCATTACCTTGTTTTGAAAAATTGGTTCTCAAAATGAGAACTGATTCTGATTAAGTGCTGCCATTTTCAGTTTATACCTCCTTTCCTTCTCCATATGTAGTAAATAGTTATTAATACATCAATTTTTCAGGTTCACATGTAGAGGATTGTTTGAGAAACACAAGTTGTTATTCTCATTCCAAATGTGTGCCAAGATCTTAGAGGCTTCTGGTAAACTCAACATGGATGAATACAGCTTTTTCCTCAGAGGCGGAGTGGTTAGTACAATTGTAACCCTCATTGACCATTTATTCAAAAACTTCTTAGTACATTTGTAAAGCTCAAATTTCTAGAAGCTGTGTTTTTATTTATATGTCTAACACTCATAAATGCTATCAAAACTATATTCAGCGTGTAGAATATATCAAATCATTATTTTTCCAGGTGTTGGACAAAGACAACCAAATGGACAACCCTTGTAGTAACTGGCTAAATGATTCTGCCTGGGACAATATAACAGAGTTAGATAAACTCACAAACTTTCATGGTATTATGACATCATTTGAACAATACCCACGTGACTGGAACATTTGGTATGTGTCGTCAGAACCAGAAACTGCCAGCTTACCAGGTAATAATATGCCAAGCAACTGGGCCTCAAGACCCAGAAAAAAAAATCAGAAAAATCAGGCTTTTTTCATTCATTGTTATGTATTGAAATCATTGGTGACGAGTTAATGCATTTAAAAACAATTTTTTTAATGAAATCGAAAACTGCAATTTTAATTTTTGTTGCAAACATCAATTCTGAAAACATTAAGCTCTGAAATTCTATTCAATAGTCTTTTTTTTATAAATCACTATTAATACATTTATACACATATTAATACCCATTACATTTTTTACGAAATAGGTGAATGGGACAATGCATGCAATGAGCTACAGAGAATGTTGATTGTAAGATCAATGCGCCCTGATCGTGTCTCATTCTGCGCTACATCCTTTATCATTAACAACCTTGGCTCCAAGTTTGTAGAACCTCCTGTACTGGATATGAAACAAGTGGTGAGTGCAATATTATTGATTGATTTGAAGTGCAATACAGGATATATTGTGCTCGAGAAAATCTGTATTGGCACGACACAAAGTCGAGTGAATGATGAAGTGAATTCTACATTCTCCGCATTGCTACTGAGATTGTCCCCTCTGTACCAATATTTTTTCTGTATTGCTATGGAGATTGTCAATAGGGACAATCTCAGTAGCAATACAGATTGGTACAGCTCAAGAACTGACCAATCAGAGGGCTTCATTTTACACATCATACAATAAAACACATTTACCAGGTCGTTCAATAAGTTCCCGGAAAAGCGCTCTCATTTTATTAGTTTATAATATTTTTCATTGAAAGTTTCACAGTATGTGTGCAATTTATTTTCAAAGCATTGTATTAAATTAATTTGAAAATGTGTGACTAGTTTTTAAGTTATCCAACATCATGTGACGTCACAAAGGGGTATGCGGGGCACTCTTTAGTATTACAGTTTGGATCATTATTAAATCTAAACGTTTTAGTCACATTTTACGATATATTTAACACCCTTTGTATGCTTGTAAGATTATGTATTCCCATAGTCCTCCACTGTCATCTACATTAAATGCTCAAAATATGAACCATCGTGTTGAATACATAGCCTCTGTCTCTGAACCCATTGCTTGTATTGGTCATGGAACTCAGCTGGAAACTTCTCCTTTAGTGCATTCTTAACACCTGCTTTAAGATCATCAACTGAGCCAAAGCGAATCCCCCTCAGCATGCTCAGAGCTTCCTTCAACCTGTTGAAAACAGCAAAATCTAATACTGCCGTATTAGGAGAATAGGGTGCCTGGTCTTGCAGTTCCATTTGGAGATTGATGGAAATGGTGTCCTGCACCAAAGTTAGACCTATGGCTTGCAATTGGAGCAATGTCTTGATGGAATATCCTAGAGGACAGTAGCCATTTTGGTGTCTGACTAATGACTGATGTCATGCATTAGTTGTGTGATGTCATGCAAAGATGTATGATGTCTTCAATCCAAGAATTTTTGCATCTTGTACAGCAGTTATATGATGTCACATAGTTAGCATGGCAACAGGACTGTTTATTCAGTTGAAATAAAACAAATACAAAAAATGTGAACATATGATGAATAAATTGAAAATTGTGAAATTTTAACGTCAAAATAGTGCCCCGCATACCCTTTTATGACGTCACATTATCAAGGATAAGTTAATAAATATGAAATATTGTATAAAAATATTTCTATACATAAATTCTAAATAAATTTTACACATACTGTGAAAATTTCAGTAAAAAATACTACAAACTAACAAGATGAGAGCGTTTTTCCGGGAACTTATTGAACGACCTGGTATATTCATTTAAAAGTTCTCATAAATAACTTATCACTGGTATCTTAAGTTGCTTAAGTAGAGTTTTTGGGTGAATATTAATTGAAGCAAAATAGTCCATTACATAGTTTTTACAGACATTTGTATTGTAATGAAAAGAAAATGGTCAGGTTTTTCAAGCAAGCATAAAGTATGTGATCCCAAAAGTTAAGTCGATACATTAGCTAATCTCTCACAATAGTTACAGCTTTGATTTACAAAAAAATCATAAGGAAACTAAATTGTATATGTAAATGAATGTTTCCAGGTTGAGGACTCCACTACTAGGACGCCTTTGATATTTGTATTGTCTCCTGGTGTGGACCCCACTAGTATGTTGCTACAGCTTGCTGAACACAGTGGCATGGCAACAAGGTTCCATGCTCTTTCCCTGGGTCAAGGTCAGGCTCCCATAGCAACGCGCATGATCCATGAAGGTGTCAAAGAGGTGAGACAGTTACATGTTTATTGATGTTGTTTAGTTTTGGAATACCTGACTTTTCTCTTAATACCATTAAAATGTTCTTACTCAATTCTTCAATTATATTATAAATGTAATGGATAATTATAACAAATTAAGTTGCTCCAAAGCTTGGGGTTGGTCATAAACCATGTAGTAACTGCACTTATGTTAACAAAAAAAGTTAAAGAGAAAAACATTGTTGAATTCAATTCTCCATATCGATACCATTCCTTAAGTTGCTCCAAAGCTTGGAGTTGGTCATAAATCATGTAGTACCTGCACTTATGTTTCATGTTGATTTTTTCTACCTTTAAGGGCAACTGGGTATTCTTGGCTAACTGCCACTTGTCTCTCAGCTGGATGCCACAGCTGGATAAACTTGTAGAGCAGTTACAAGTTGAACAACCACATCCAGAGTTCAGATTGTGGTTAAGCAGTTCTCCTCACCCTGAGTTCCCAATTTCCATACTCCAAGCTGGAATCAAAATGACAACGGAACCCCCCAAGGTATGTTGGTCGTTGGTTTGTGCCCTTGTAGTTTGTATTAGACTTTCTTAGAATCGTCAGAGAGGTAGTAAGGTACGCAATAAACGATATGAATTTTGAGAATTTTGATATCCTCAGGCATACTATTGAATGATTTAAAGAATACTAGGGAGTCAATTTCTTGGTGTGTTTCTTTGGTGTATTATTGTATGTGAATCAAACACTTATTAAATACACTTCTGTTATGGATTTAACTGCTAATTGGATATCACGTTTCTTTGTACATACGTAAACATTTGATTTGTTTGAATATTGGAATTTGTTTCATTTTAAGATTGTACTTATTTATGATTCTCTTTATGATTTCAAAACATTCATTTCCATAGGTTCAGTAAAAAAAATTGTGAATACATTCATTTCTGTAAGATGATGATGGCCAATGACATTGTGCTTATGAAATTAAATTATTTCAGGGTCTGAAAGCAAACATGAAGCGTCTATACACATTGCTGACTGATCAACAATTCACAAGATGCAAGAAACAAGACAAGTACAAGAAATTGTTGTTTTGCTTGTGTTTCTTCCACAGTGTGTTATTAGAGAGAAGAAAGTTCTTAATGTTGGGTTGGAACATTATTATTATGTTATCCTTATTTGTCTTACTAGGTGTTTGCCAATATCTTTATATATTATTTTAATAAATCGATGTTTAAAAAAACCTTTCTCTTGTGTAGGTATCAGAGAACCTCCTCAGTATTTATCTTGACGAGTATGATGAAATCCCATGGGATGCTCTCAAATATCTCATTGCTGGTATCAACTATGGAGGCCATGTTACCGATGACAGTGACAGGCGTCTACTGTTGACATACATCAATGATTTCTTCCAAGAGAATAGTGTTAGCACACCATTTCATAAGTAAGTCTACAAATGTTTCCTTTGATTTAATGGACAGCCCTTTCCAGACAAGCAAATTCACAACCTTTGATGTAAAATTCGGTTTTATCAACTCTGATGTCTTTGCTTGTGATTAAGGAATCTGAAGTATTTTGGTATTCTAGATCGTTAATTTAATGATAGAAATTAAGCTGAATGTTTACATTTAAAAATAATTTCCATTAAATTCTCACATTGTCAAATAGAAAGTTATATCTAGAAAATTGAATTGATCAAAACGATGTACTGTACATCAATTACACAATTTCAGAGTTATATCAACATAGTTGAAAATAGAACACCAAAAAAGCATGAACACAAATTCAAATGAATAAGGAAATTAAGGAATATTAAGGTCTATAAAGAATATTTTACTTTTAGATTGTCAATTCTTCCAACATACTACGTTCCTAAAGATGGTCCTCTATCTGCTTATATCGAATACATCACCATGCTGCCAAACATTGATCACCCAGAGGCCTTTGGGCAACATCCAAATGCTGATATTACATCCCAGATCCAAGAGACCAGGATGTTGTTTGAGACATTATTGTCTCTTCAACCCCAGGTTTCATCCTCAGGAGGGGAGAGCAGAGAAGATAAGGTATTGCAGACTTAGAAATGCTTATAATTGATTATCCTAATTTTGAAAATAGTTCACAAAAATCGCTTATACATACCATTTTGAGTTTATATACATATCTTTTCACAAAATATGAAGACTCGTTTTTAACCCATTTTTGATTCATTTTGATGTTTTCTTTCAGGTGTTAGAGTTGGCTAGTAACATTTACAAAACATTACCAGAAAATATTGACTATGAGAACACTGTTAAAATACTCTCAGTAGACCCATCTCCCTTAAATGTGGTCCTCTTACAAGAGATCCAACGTTATAATGCGCTCCTTAATGAGATCCGCAACCAGTTGACAGACTTAGAGCGTGGTATTCAAGGTTTGGTTGTGATGTCACAAGAATTGGAAGATATCTTCTCCTGTATATATGATGCCAGAGTTCCACCTGCCTGGGAAAAGGTAATTTTGAAATTACTGGTACATCATTTTAAAGGGTGCCAAAGAATCATTCAGAAATTAAAACAAAATAATTGATTTTTTTGTTTACTCAATATGTGACTTTTCTTATATTTCAGGCTTACCCCTCTATGAAGCCCCTGGGTAACTGGACTCGTGATTTAGTGGACCGCGTAGCACAGTTTGAGAAATGGGCCACTACAGCTCACCCTCCTAGCATATTCTGGATGTCTGCATTCACCTTCCCTACAGGGTTCCTAACTGCTGTTTTGCAGACTTCTGCCAGGCAGAATAATGTAAGACCAATCACAACAAACGCAATGTGCCATATTGTTTTATTTGCAAATTCATAATTATTCAATTTACTTTTACTCAAGAGATCACCATGGCTAGATCAGAAATTTTGTTATATATTTTTGATTTAACACTTCTCCTTTAGGTATTAATAACCATACATGCCATCTTTTATTTGTAAATTCATACTCACATTTACTGTTACTCCTGAGATAATCATGGCTCGATCAGAAATTTCATATAACAGAACATAATGTGCCATATTATTTTACTTGTGAATTCATAATTATTAAATTTACTTTTTTAAATAATGGTTTTAAATTTCTTTATTTTTTGATTTAACATAATTTAAATACCTATAGACGCATTTTCTTTGTACTGAATACTAAAAATCATAAAGTGAATTATATTACATGTATGCATTTTTCAGGTGTCTGTTGATCTACTTTCATGGGAGTTCACTGTCCTTACTGTATATGATAACAACATAATGAGTGCTCCCAAGGTACAGTAACATATAGTAGTTTTCTGTATATTTTGTTGAAATCAATCTCATAAGACTATGGATGGTATAAAACCCGGATTTCCAAGTACAGGGTGACCCAAAAAAATGCAACCCTCCATTTCTCGAATATTTTTCTTAAATGGAGGTTAATTGCTCTGAAATTTGGCACACAAGGACTTCATTCTATGTGGGATCCTTTGGCAAAGTTTTAATAATCATAGTCTTATATTGGAGCATATTTTGGAACGACCATAACTCTATCAATATAAGACAATGATTATTGAAACTTTGCCAGAGGATCCCACATTGAATGAAGTCCTTGTGTGCCAAATTTCAGAGCAATTAACCTCCATTTAAGAAAAATATTCGAGAAATGGAGGGTTGCATTTTTTTTGGGTCACCCTGTATAAATCTCTAAACATTGTAAAATATAGCATTATTTTTTCTACAATCCATTGAAATAAAGTGTTTCGCTAATGTGTAGTATGATTTATTAAATTATGAAGTAAAGTGTTATTTATTCTGCAATCCACTGAAATAGAGTGTTTTCTATGATTCACTGATGTATAGTATGATATATTAAATTATGAAGTATATTATGAAGTGTTATTTATTCTACAATCCGCTGAAATATACTATACTATGAAGTATACTATATACTAGGCGAAGTGACTAAATAATTTTAATCACAAATAATCAGTGAATAAATGATTATTATTTGTGTCTAGCCTAAAAAAGTTATAATTTGGTCAGGATCAGACTATTTCTGGTTATTAATGATTATTCTAAAAAATTAATCACTGATTATTATGTGTTAATTCCAACCTTTTTGTCCAGTGCTAGTAGTGTTTTCTATGATTCGCTGATGTCTAGTGTGATATATTAAATTATGAAGTATAGTTTTATTTATTAATAATACTCTGAAGTATAGTTTCACATATGAAATTATATTTTGAAGTATATATATGATATTACTTTACTATTACTATTACTATACTCTGAAGTATAGTCTCACATATACAATAAAATTACATTATAAAGTACAGTATTTATATATTTATTAAGACTCACCAAATTATATTAATGTGCTTTAATTAGAGGTTATGTCACTATCGTGGCATATATGCCCGAGGTCTCAGTGATATATGGCCCGACCTTGGGAGGGACATTGATCTCTGAGAACCGAGGGCATATGTGCCACGATAGTGACATAAACGATTTATAACATACCTATGATGATGTAGACTGGTCAGAGAATACCGCTTTCTTATAGAATTGACAAACAAATGGTTTGAAAATGATTGAAATGAGTTTAGAAAAATTGCTCGCGCAGTTTTATCTTCGATTGATTGGTTATGACGTCAGCGCCTTGACCAATCAGAAAGTTAGCGGGCGCGGGCTATTCAAAACTTATATTGGCCCGCTGTCTTGTGTACACTTTGCACTATACATCATCATAGGTATGTTATAAATAACAATATAACTCACATTTCGAGCTATCATATTATATATTCAAATTTACTTTTAGGATGGAGTATACATTAAGGGCCTGTACCTACAAGGTGCTGGTTGGGATAAGAAGAATGCATGTCTAGTTGAGGCAGAACCCATGCAACTTGTTTGTCCCATTCCATCAATCCATTTCAAACCAGTTGAAAACAAGAAGAAAAGTGGAAAGGGTGAGTTACTGTTATAAATTATTTGTTATTCGCTATGTGTATGTGATTTCTACTGAAATGCAACACAAAAGCTATGTTTTTGTTGATTTGTGTTTAAATGTCAACTTTTGTTTTTATTTTTAAAATAATTGTTTGTAGTTGTTTTGCTAACATCACATTTTCAGTTAAAGCACATTTTCAATTTTTAAATGAGTACAACTCAGCAATGATATGTTGAGTTTTATTCAATTGTTTTTACCATCACTATATTGTTTTGAACACCTATTTTTGTCTGTGTTTCCTTAAAGGATTGTTTTGATATATTTTGCACATTAATTTTGCTTTTGTCAATTTGTTTAATTATTTATTTACACAATTTAATGTTTATTGTTTCACGTTACTAACAGCAACCTTGTTTTGTAAATCTCTCTCAGCAGTGACTGTTTGAAGACATTACTGCGAAACTGTATAATGCACAACCCCTAAAGATTCGTAAATTCTGGCATTGCGTCAATCAACTAACTTTGGCCATGTATCTCAGAGGCTATGCATTATACAGAGTTGTTTGTTTATATGTTTGATGTCTTACAGCCATTTACCACTGTCCGGTATATTATATGCCATTGCGAGCAGGGACTATGAATCGTCCTGGTTACCAACTAAGTGTTGAATTAAAAAGTGGGGAAAAGCCACCTGAACATTGGATTCGTCGTGCTACTGCACTTTTGCTAAGCTTGGATGTTTGATCCCACATAATTGTGTAATTAACATACTTTTTATTTTGATTTGCTTGTGTGTAGTACTAAGTTAGGTGTAGTTGGTAGTGTATATAGTAGCTAATCTTCTTGGATTTGATCTAGAACATGATTTGCAAATCTTAGATTGTTAAGACCACTTGCTTATTCCCAATATACCATTGAACATTTGCATGTGTGTATAAATATATGTATATACACCTACCCCCATTTTTAGCCAATTATCCATATTGATGGTGAAGGGACTTATATTGAAAGAACTGTGATACCCTAGAACTATCTAGGCAGTCACCAGACTATTAACATGTGTATACTATACACATATAACCAGCTCCCAGACGTATTTATGTTTCTTATACCCAGCCCAAAACTATGTAAATGTCAAAAAACTGCTATAGATAGCCTCTAGAACTAGTTGGGCAGTCCCAGAGTGTTTAGCTATTAACATGTGTATACACAAATAACCAGCTCCCAGAATTATTTATGTTTCCTCGTCCCTACCAAAACTATGTAAATGTCAAAAGACCACTATAGATAGCCTCTAGAACTAGTTGGGCAGCCCTCAGACTGTTTAGCTATTAACATGTGTATACACGTCATATACCCAGCTCCTAGACTTATATATGTTTTCTGTAACCTGCTCCCAGACTTACTTGTGTTTCCAAGTCCCTACCAAAACTATGTAACTGTCAAAGGACTGCTATAGATAGCCTCTAGAACTAGCTAGGCAGCCCCCAGACTGTTTAGCTATTAACATGTGTATACACATATAACCAGCTCTGCTAAAACTATGTAAATGTCAAAGGACTGCTATAAATAGCCTCTAGAACTAGCTCGGCAGCCCCATACTGTTTAACTATGTAAACTGTCATTATACTTTCACAGCACACCCAGATATTTGTTGATTTATGAACCTTTTTAGAAAATCAATTGTCAGAAATTATAGCTTAATTCTAGTATCATCTTCTGTTTTTGCAAATATAGAATTTATTATTTTCTACCAATATATTTCCCTCTGATTTTTCATTCAATTTATCACTGTTGTCCATAGAACTTCCACCCTAGGGCTCACTTTAACCATTCATTGTATTTTCCAGGCATGTACCAGTGCCCGGTCTACTACTATCCTAACAGGGCAGGTGGGAATGGACGTGCATCATTCGTCGTATCTGTTGATTTGAAGTCAGGGGAGAAAACTGCTGATCATTGGGCCAAGAGGGGAACTGCATTACTAATGAGTCTTGATAATTAGACTTCTAGAGGAGAGCATCAGTGATATTGGACTATTTTAAGGAACTGCATTACTTAAGAGTTGATGATTGGACTTTTTTGAGGAGAGCATTAGTGATTCGGTTAAGATGAGAAACACTAAATCTAACATGATATGTTGACATGTTGACAGAAATATACCAGTGGGCATTATATGTTCTGTTGATGACAGAAAGATGATGAAAGTGGGCTGTCTATTTTATTTATACTGTCTCTACTGCCATATCTATGTCGATCTAGCCTTTTTATATATACATAATATTATACTTTTTTTCAATCTTTGTATAAGCTGCCAACTATCTGTGTATAATAGAGGAATGTTTTTAATCCTTTGTCTGTGGCCAAATTGGTCAGATTTAAATAAATATGAAATTATTTTTGTAATAAAGATCGGGAGAGTATATGATAAGAGTGTTTAATGGGTAAATACTCATATAAAAGTAATAAATGATTCGTAATATGAATTCCGTCCAATAATTACTCAGACTACATTTCCATCCAATCGGTTTAAGGTGGATAAGTGGGACAACATTTGTACATGTTTTGAGCAACAATTTACAAGTTGCTAAGTAAGAATGTTTATGCTATCCAGGTCACCTTAAAAAGCTAGCATTGTGATATTTTCTATATTGAATTTTCTGTTATATGATGTACATGGATCCTGAATTTAAAAATGCATATTGAAATCAAAACCTATTTTATTTTGGAATTTACTATGAAATCCGTCCACGATTGTTATTGACTACTAGTTGATTTTTTATCAAATAAAGAAATATTGTAACATATTAAATGATTTGTGTTAATTTCCACATGATACTCTGTATTTAAGATAAGCTGTGAGTGTGTCATAAGGTAGATAGTCCATTAAATAAATAATGCATCCAATCATATAGAGTTAATCATCTATTTATATCTGTAAGCAGTACATTTGACAACATATAAGCTGGTACAATGGTGTTTCAGTTATTTATAAATGAAATAAAGAAACGATCAGTTGGCATGTATCCTTACATTAGAAAGAAAAGCTACAATTAACAGTACAGTGTACATGCTTTATATCAACCAGATATCATTACAATAAGTACAGTAGATCCTGTATATAGTGAACAGCTATGGAATCACTAAAAATGTAGGTAGGTGTTCATTAGAGAGGGGATTGATACACAAGTCAATGTAAAATGTGTCTTGAAGTGGTGTTCACAACACACACGTGTTCACTAGAAAGGTGTTTTCTCATACAGGTTCTATTGTATTCATCATTACAAAACTATGGAGCATTTGCTTCAAAAATACGATATCATTTATCTACAAAATAATTGAAAGCTTTACATACAGGGTGACACAAAAAGTGCCAAGTACATAATTAGTTGCATGTATGATATCTGAATAGTTCTTTAGCACATTAAAACTATGCTCCATGGAGTAAATCTACAGGAAGTTACAGATGACTAGCTCAACTAGGTGTACGTTTAAGAGCATTGCAAGATTTGCTCTAAATGCCGATTCCTTTACAGCCACACCTTTTACACAAAAATGCGACCTAACTTTTGTCACATAACTTTGAAAATACTAATAATTTTGCTTGCACTAAAGGGAAAGTCCAATTAATTAAACACAAATGATATAGTTTTCATCGATAAAATCATTTTAATTTTTTTACAAAATTATGTCACAATAGGAGGTTGGCATTTTTTGTGAAGAATTCAGGTGTGCCTGCCCAGGACGAATAGATGACATACTAAGCCCTCAAAGCGCTCATATAGGTGCATCTAGATGAGTTTGTTATCTGAAATATCTCGTTGTTCCATGGTTGCTAGTTGAATGTGTTAAAGATCAAGTCAGAAATTATGCATACAACAATTTAATGCAACATTATGTAGGTGGGTGGCATTTTTTCACGCACAATGATTTTATATCATATTAAACCACACTTAAGTAGCAACACAATGGAATGAACTGTGTCTTACCCAGCTATAACAAAGAGGACTGCATTTTTTCTATTGTTTTTTTAAGAATGTACACTTGGAATTAGCTATCCAAAACCAGTGTGGCACAAAAGACAAACTTAAAACCATACATGGCCTGTTAAATGCAGTGTACTGAAGCTTCGCCACTTCTTTATTTTTTCTAATCCCAAAGACTCATTGTTTATCCATTACATAAATGGATTGCTTCTTTGTAATACATTTTATGTTTTAGAATATACATGTATATATCAAAGAAAATACAAATACAATTTACACATCTGCGGCAATCAATTCTTATATATGATTATTAGATTTACGTAGTGAGCACCATCACTCTCTTTGCTATAATATACAGGATAGATAGGGCTGACTGTGTATCGCGCTTGTGATCGGAAAACGGGACAGAGGAGGGAGATGCGGCAATTTCTGCTAGAAAATTCAACAAATCTGGAAGATTTAAATTTTTGAATTACAGAATGCATAGGCGCACGGTATAGTAAAATATGTTATGTCTTCCACGATATTTTTGAACCGAAACACGTCCCGTCTCGTCCACCTCTGTTATTACAGGTCGTGCAGACCATTGCTGCTTCATTTATAGCAAAAACATTGACTTGAGTACATTGGTGCCGTTGCGCCTTTTTTTATATATCTCATATCTTAGAAGCGTATCGGTTAAAAAACATATGCTCATTTTCTGAATACATGGGAATCACGATTGGAATATGAAGAAACATAATTCTACAAAGTCATACTCCTTCATTTGACTACTTTGATATTTTTGTGACTTACAATAGCTGGCGTATGATAAGATATAAATACAAACGTATACGTTTTATCCAAAAGAAAACAATCTCCTTGTTGAATATGAAAAAAACCATTTAAAATTCATGCTCTATATCTGATTATTTGTTTTTGATGTGAATTGATTATTAACAGTTAGTTCTCCTTTGATAAGAACAAAACGTATACGTAGTATTGAATAACTTCAGAAAAACCGTCAACAATTTGGACAAAAAATTCCAAAACAAAACAAAGTCTCCCTGGCGACGACTAGCTTCAATAACGATGCTGAATCTGACAAACCATGGGCTTTCAAGATAAGCCTTATGTCCTTTATCTCATTATGCCCTATACTTCGTGCAACACAACATTTGAGACCAAGGTTTCAGACATGGACCGTATTTCATGATCTTAAACCATGAAATTAAATATGACAATCAATATGTACTAGTTCAAACTTCAAATGTAAAAATCGCTAAAGAAGATGTTATGGGTGTATCACAATGAATCAATGTATGATCTCCATGTACTGTATATTATAACATATCTAATCGTGATCAAATTAGAACAAATTGCAATTAAGTATTTATTAATCCTCGCGTTTCGAGTACAGTTTGAATGAAAACGAGGTTCCAAAATCGTTTTAGCATTTTAGCATATTGGTCATCATAAATATACATTTTTATTTTGCTTATCGTTCGGACTATTTACACCCCAGTCACATTTTCGATTAAATCGATGCATTTCTGCAGAGAGCGAAGAAAAACTACGCTCGCCTTGCGGCCTCCGTACGGCGTATCCAGTCTTTTACAGGCCGCAGGGTCGCCGTAGAAATCATAACTCGGAGTTATAATATTTGTTCATTTCTGAGGTCCCCGTAGAAATCAACTGGCTCAACAAGAATAAATCATTATTTGTCAATGTTTCACGATCACTTTTCATTTGATATTACATCCTAGTAACTACTGTGAATAACATTTATAAATTATCCCGATGTAAATAAAATGAAAAAAGTATTATTTATCAACAGAAATTCACCGTGCGGCCGCCGTGGGAAATGTGACTGCAAAAGTATGAGAGCGCAGAAATTCCACGGCGAGCGTAGAAATGTTAATGGCCGCAGGAATGATAGACCGCAAGGTCGCTGTAGGAAATGTGACTGGGGTGTTAGACGATAAAACAAAAACATTCTGCATAATCTTATGTACGTAGGAATAAATGGGTCTTATTCCGTGGAAGGATGAAATAAAGACGTGAGCTGGAATCCATGATATTTACAAAGTCACGATGAAAACATAATATTAAACCGGTATTCTCGTAGCTTTCAATGCGTTTGTTTGATTCCTCATAAAAATGTTGTTCAGATTATAGTCAAACTTCGCATTGAAGATATCTTTTAGATTGGAAATACAATTTTCATAAGAGGAATGACCAGGTGAATACGATTTTCGCGATGGATACTCGGAGGAAAATATGATATCTTGATCAGTCTTAACAAATTCCAAAATATTCCAGGTGTCATAAGTATCATTGGATAAACATTTCATACTATTTATGAAAGAATAAACACAAAAAGCACACGCGTCTCGAACTCGCAACCTCGTGGTTACGGTACCAATACGCCTATCCCGGGACGCCTATATTCATATTCAGTTTCGTTTTGTTTTTATGTAAGGGATATATTTCATTCTCATGGTAATTGTTTCATGTTTTTCTTATTCTCTACCAATGATGTGTTCGGATTGTATTATTCCTATTTTCACTGCGTATTCGTTTGTTTATTACGTCTCTGTCAAAATTCACTTTCACAAATCTAAGAACAACATATGCTAAATACATTATACGTATGTTTTTACATCAAGGAATCTTTATTTCCTTGTAATGGTATTCTACTTGAGTTTCTCCTTCATCTCCTTACTCTCTTCGGAATACTTGATATAATTGACCATGTCGCCTTGTTTGAGAAATATATTTGCGATGCTTTCCAATGTTAAAGTGATATGATTATGAGCCTTGTAATCATCTACTAATCTCTCCATTGTAAGACATCCGGTGAAGTATTGCAAGGCATTGGCGAGGTCACCTTGCTGAGAATACACATTACCAATGTTGTACAATGATATGGCAATATCAGCATGAGGTTTGTCTCCATAGACCTGTCTATACATTGCAAGAGCATCAGTATAGTAAGACATGGCCTTGGTGAGGTCACCTTGCTCACAATACACACTACCAATTTTGTACAATGATATGGCAATATCAGCATGAGGTTTGTCTCCATAGACCTGTCTATACATTGCAAGAGCATCAGTATAGTAAGACATGGCCTTGGTGAGGTCACCTTGCTCACAATACACACTACCAATTTTGTACAATGATATGGCAATATGAGCATGAGGCTTGTCTCCATAGACTTGTCTTCTCATTGTAAGAGCATCAGTATAGTAAGACATGGCATTGGTGAGGTCACCTTGCTCACAATACACATCACCAATGTTGTTCATTGATGTGGCAATATCAGCATGAGGTTCGTCTCCATAGACATGTCTTCTCATTACAAGAGCATCAGTATGGTAAGACATGGCATTGGTGAGGTCACCTTGCTGAGAATACACATTACCAATGTTACTCAATGATATGGCAATATGAGCATGAGGCTTGTCACCATAGACCTGTCTATACATTGCAAGAGCATCATTTTGGTAAGACATGGCATTGGAGAAGTCACCTTGCTGAGAATACACATCACCAATGTTGTTCATTGATATGGCAATATGAGCATGAGGCTTGTCACCATAGACCTGTCTATACATTGCAAGAGCATCAGAATGGTAAGACATGGCATCGGTGAGATAACCTTGCTGAGAATACACACTACCAATGTTATACAATGATGTGGCAATATCAGCATGAGGCTTGTCTCCATATACCTGTCTCTTCATTGCAAGAGCATCAGTATGGTAAGACATGGCATCGGTGAGGTCACCTTGCTGAGAATACACATCACCAATGTTATTCATTGATGTGGCAATACTAGCATGAGGCTTGTCTCCATAGACCTGTCTCTTCATTGCAAGAGCATCAGTATGGTAAGACATGGCATTGGTGAGATCACCTTGCTGAGAATACACATCACCAATGCTACCAATTGCTGTTGCAATTGTATAATGCGGTTTGTCTTGGTATACCTGTTGGAACATTGTCAGCGCTTTATTGTAATATAACAAAGCATTATTGGTATCAGCTTGAATTTCATACACCTGACCAATATTGTGCAGTGATTGCGCTACATCATCATTTGGGACATCATTCCATATTTCCTTTCTTATCTTATAACTGTCTTGAAAATGCAACAAGGCATTGGTGAGGTCACGTTGATCTCGATAGACAAGTCCAATCATATTTAACGTATACGCATAATCTCGATCGGGTCCATTTTCACAGATAGTTTTATATATCTTCTCACTCTTCCTTAAATAAGTGAGACCATTTTCAAGTTCGTTGAGCTCCCAGAAGACCCATCCAATATTCATTTGAGATTTAGCAATATTTCTATCAAACGTATTAGACACAGACAATTTTTCGTTAATTTTTAGTGATTTTCGATGATATTCAAGTGCCTTCTTGTATTCGCCTAATGAACGATGCACAATACCCAAACTGTCAAGTAATGATGCTATATGTGGATGGTTTTCATCAGTATGTACATTCTTTTCCAAGTTATACGCTTTAGTGTAGTACGTCAAAGCATCTCGATACATGCAATTTGTATTATAAAGCGACGCTATGGTTGTTTGGATTTCAGCAAGTTGCTCTTGGTTGCTGCAGTGTTCTAAGTTCATAATTCGCGTCTCTTCTTTCATGAAGGCCAGTAATGCATTTTTGAAAAAGTTCATTTCTTTATGCAGTGTTCCCTTTATTTGTTCACTGCTTTCTATGTACCTAGGCAAATACTTCCAATCTTCAGTTTTGCCCTCAATCGCCGCTTTCAAGAAATTTGCCCAGGGTATGAATGTTAAGAAAAAGCGGTATATTGCACTATAATCCCGAACAGATAGCGATTCACTTGAATCCGTGGGTCTTTCTTGGTCAGGGGGTCTCGATAGGAATGATATGAACTCCCTTTGTCTTTTATATTTGTTGTAAGTGAAATGCCGGAGATTAATACACGAACAGACCATTAACTGAAGGTCAATTTTGGCACGCTCCTTCAATATCTTCTTTTTATCGCATAATTCATCCAGAACATCAAGAGGGGATTGGGCGACACAGTCATACTTAAGTTTAAGTGAATTTACAGACATCGTCGCAAATCTGTATATGTCTCTTTTAACATGTACTTGCTTACTGAATGTTTCTGGCGTAAGAGGATTCTTTGCATATTTTTCCAAATCGTCTCTAAGTGTTTCGGCTGCCCTGGCGACACCTACGCTAATACCTGGGAATTTCTCTGAATCTGATTTAAGAATTTTTCGAAGTTTCGATTTATAGCTATCGTGTAAATCGCCATCGCCATATATCAGAGTGGTTGTCATGAGAACATCGCCCAAGTGATAGCCTTCGTCCGAACAAACGTCTTCGTTTTGGCATTCAGACATCTCGTCTGGGGTCATAATCAGCTCTCTTGCAGGTTTCTTTTGTGTAGGGTTACGGCCAATCGGGGTTTTACTCGCCCATGGCATGGCTCCATCAAAACACAATCCTTGAGGAGAAATTGAATCAAAGAATTTGTTTTCTGATAATTCTTCCGTTAATTCCTTGTTAAAGTCGTTCAACACTGGAATACTTAAACTTGGAATGACAGTCTCGCCTAGGTTGAGTATCTTAAAGTGCACATAATGCACGATGAGCCTAAATTCACTCTTAAGCTGGTCTATTTCCTCGAGTGATTTCTCAGTGTCATCAAATATGATTGCTGATTCAAGATCTGAGTATGCAGTTGCCTCTTGTCTTGCCAAAGATCCCAGACCTACAAAACAGAACCTACAATTCGGTGTACCAAAAACATTAAGGCAGTCATCTATCAGTAACTTATAAAAACTCACAAGTTTGTTGCTGAGTTCGTTATAAAATGCTTTGCTGTTTTTTATTGTTCGCTCCTCGTCTTCTACTGTCATTTCAACTGTTTCTAAATTGACTATCATATCATCTTTGACGATAGAATTGATCGTGTAATCAGAGTATTGTCTCAACTGCTTCAATTCCTCTTGATACTTTAATGTCGCCTTTGCGGTCGGGATCTCGGTGTGCTTCTTAACCCTCTTCAAAAACGTCGTTTCTAATCCCTGCAATATTTCATTACAGTCCTTCTCGATCTCAGTCAAGGGGTCTTCTTTGAGTTTCTTTAGTCTCTCAATACAATTCAGAGCTGCATTTAGAAGACCTGCTGATCGAACGAAATACCAACCCTCAATATGTTTCGTTTCTTCAAATAGTTTCTTGTACTCGACAGCTAGTTGGTGAAACAAATCGATCTGTTTACTCAGTTCTATTTCGTCCATGTCTGTAGTTTTCCAATCCTTTCTACAGAGTTCTCGTCCAATTTCGTACATCCTTTGTGCGCACTCTGAAACAGGTTTGGTACATACATGATACAATACTATTTGTCATTAATCGTTGAGAAAATGTGCAACTGATTGATGCATGGTACAATATTCAAATAAATCTTCCAACAAAATATGTAGAGCTCAAACAGTATATTACACACACTCTTTAAACCAAACAACAATAACATTTGAAGTAACAAGGTATTATCTGGGTTATCCGGATAGCATAATAAACATTCCGGGTTTAATCCGAGCTTACAATTTCTGATTTTTCTCTGGGCTGAATTTGAATAGAAAATCCATTTTCCGGGTCGGTATTTTCTAAATTAATTAAAGTTGTATTATACTAGGTATAGTACTTTTATCTCCATTATACCAGAATTGAATTAACCTTTCAAGGAGTGAGCAATCAAATGAAACGCACTTGTAATTTTAAATGACGAAATTTGTTCGCACACTGACAACATACAGAAAGTAGGCTTCTAACATGAGAGCTCGTTGCTCGCGATGTCAACGGGGCCTGGATAGACACCGTAGTTTAGTGTGTTGGAAACAGATTATTCCAAACAAATTAATTAAAAGATGGTAGTAAAGTAATAATTGTTGAAGTCGAATAAAAATGAAAGTTGAATTTAAGTGAATTTGAGCCACTTGATTGTTTCAATATACAATAGATAGCCACAGAAAACAGCGCATTATGTCCTCTTTAATCACACAAGAATTAAAATTAAACGTTCGGGGAGTGTAAAATTGAATGTAATGCATTGAACTTACTGTACGTAATAGATGGAATAGACTGATGACAAAATAATTTTTCGGACTGTTAACGTTACGTGCGTTTTTTATGATTTAAAATAGCTAGTCACATCATTGGAAGGCTTATCTTGTCTTCTTTAATCCCCTTTCTAGCAGAATTTAATCAAACATTCAGTTAGTGATAACATTGAAATATAAACGTTTCTATGGAACTTTAGTAAGTGAAACTCAGAACAACTCTATTTCATAGTACAATGGCTATTTCAATTGCAGGCCGACGTTCTTCAACTATAATTATATTTTATCATATCTCTCAAGGCCCCGCTTCAAAAAGTAGCTCATTGCCAGCGATGTAAGCGGGAACTTGCTCGCGATGTACGGGGCCTGGATAGTCACCGTGTCAACAATCAAAGATGCAAAACATACTTGTACGTACACAGGCTATTGTGTAGAACTTTTAAAAATTGGTTTCTGTTTTTCCCGGTCTCCCCTGTACAAGTACATGGATTTTAAACTCAAAACATGAAGACGGACTTACCAACTGAGGGGGGTTTGTTGGATTTCACAGCATTTTCAAAAGGATTATCTTCTTCGACCTTGAGCTTACTATCCTCAGTTTCTGGGATGTCTCCTATAAAAATCAATGTTAGATTGCATGTGCATGTTTTTTACTTATTCTTTATTATAACGTTAGAATTATGTCAGATAGTTTATCTCCCGAGGTACATGGCACCTACCGAAGACGCTTAATGATAAATGAAGTCCTTCGAATGGTTACATAGCATAATTAGTAAGAAATTGAATTAAGTTAGAAATATAATTATCCAATTGTCTTTCCATTGGAGTACATTGCACACACACGATGGCAGAAAATGTCTTTCTACTGGGGAAAATAAGATCACTTGAAGATAGAAATGTGACAAATGTGACATATAGTTCTACTACTGCAGTAGATAGCACAATCTAAGGTTCAAAAATATGTCAGAAATCTTTTCGATTTCAATAGCACCATCCTACGGCAGAAAATATTTTGGCACAGAAAGTAAAGACAAAGTGTCATTTTTTCCAAAATTCCATTATTGAATCTTTTGATATTGCAGATTTCTATAGCCAATATAAACCAAACAGGCACATTTCTAAAAATTCATTATTTTTTATATACAGGGTGACCCCAAAAAATGCAACCGTCCATTTCTTCAATATTTTTCTTAAATGGAGGTTAATTGCTCTGAAATTTGGCACACAAGGACTTCATTCAATGTGGGATCCTCTGGTATACAATCACCTTAAGGCAACTCTATCAATATAAGACTATGATTATTAATAATCATAGTCTTATATTGATAGAGTTGCCTTAAGGTGATTGTGTAATAGTTTTCAATACTGCTATAGGCAGGTTTGTAAAGGGTAAGAGTCGATGGTATCACTTCCTGTATGGAATCATAAAAGATGGCAGCCAACTTTTTGCTAAATATGGATACTTTATAAATAGTTATAGCTACCATATCAAGTCATATTATCTCTTTACAAGGATCGGATGTTCAATAAATAAGTGTATATATTATTGTTTATTGATCATGTGGTTTTTGTTTGAGTCTAGATATGTTTTCGAATTCTCAAGTAGCTGATGATTAATTTGAGCATTTTAGCGCGATAAAAGTTACTTATTAGAACATTTTTAAATCGACACAATAATTATGATGGCTTGATTTTACTGAACTCAAATTAAATCTGAAAGTCATCTTCACACCGGAATAGCCTGACAACGTAAAGTCAGATACCGTTGTCACAACATAACCGTCGCTTCAACTCTTTAATCACTTGGTCCTCGTTTATTGGGACTTTATCGTCGCTAAATCTGTGCATGTATTAAGCTCTTGTGATGATGTATTATAGGAAATCCAGATTTCTATCAAATGGGGTCGTGAATTGCCACAATATAGCGTCTTCAATATTGTCAATGACAACGGAATCTGAATTTGAAATAATTTACAAAGACAACGGACTAGGTGGATGTACAGGGTGGGCCAAAAAAAACCAATACCCAACTTCACATCAGGATAAAAATAGTTACATTCAATATGGTACATTGACTTATATATCATTTTAAAGGTGATACATTTTCAAACAATTAGTTATATAATACTATGTCATGAAATCAATATTTTAGGGACAAAATGACAACAATAAATAGACCCTTTACCGTTGTCTTTACATATACCGTTGTCACCCCGATTTTACAATTACATTTACCCGCACCTAGCGTTGTCATTTATACAGTATCCGTTGTCATGTGTCATATTTCGATTGGTAAAATAAAAGCCTTTATTTCGATGGTAGAAGATATTTAACTATATGATCAGAAGAAAAACACTTTAAGTGATTGCTGTACCAAAGCAATTTAATCTAGTCGCTCTATTAAACATACAGTTCATGAAAATCTAATTGAAGCGACGGTTATGTCCGCCATTTGTGACAACGGTATCTGACTTTACCGTTGTTAGGCTATTCCGTTGTGATCTTGGTGACATCTTTTTAGCGGAATCAAATCTCAAAGTTCCTGGGAGAATAAAGTGGAGTGTTGCGCATTTCTATCCAGGGAAGCTTCTCATTCAATTCTCTAGCTCTAAATCACTATTCATAGGCAATCAATAGTGATCATACTAGAAAATCGATAATCAATACTGAGCTTCTGCAGTCACCAAGAAACCGGCTTTTAGAAAACCAGTTTGAAAGCTAGCTTTGAATACATATATACAAATGAATACTTTAAGTATCCCGTGATTCCAAGTTGCTAGATTGTCCCTAAATAGCTTGTGTTAAATGGAGCGAGCTGTTTTGTAAACTGGCTCCAACTTGGAGCCACTTTTGAAAAATGAACGGTGTGTTTTTATTTTACACTTAATTTACACTTATAGTTTTGGCATACAATGACTTCTTGCAAAAAAAATCGGGAAATATCTTAAGATTTTACGTATCTTTCAGTTTTTTCTTATTTCGATGCAAAATATACAAGAATAAGATGCATAATGCTCATCAAAATGATCGGAAGACGGTATCCCGTGATTCTCAGTTGGTTGATTGTCCCTTAATAGCTTGTGTTGTATGGAGCTAGCTGATTTGTAAACTGGCTGGAATGCAATTTAGTTCTGGCATAAAATGACTTCTTGCAAAAAATCTGGAAATATCTAAGATTTTAAGTATTTTTCAATTTTTTTTCTCATTTCACGCAAATTATACGAGAATAAGATGCATAATGCACATCAAAATGATCGGGAGACAGTATCCCGTGATCCCAGTTGCTTGATTAAAGGACTTAAGCCCAAGACTCAATGCATTGTTTGCTGAATCATACCATGAAGGTGTTGTTTCAAAACCTTTGCATGACCGCGCAGCGGGAATGCAAAGTTTAGGAAACAACGCCCGAGTGGAATGAAGCAGCTACAATGCATTGAGTCGTGGGCTTAAATTCTTTTCACACATTGCAATCTTTTCTATAAAATCATCTAAAAGGAACGAAATCACTAAAAGAACACATTTTTCAAGGACATTTTTTGCAAGGGTCATTTTTTGCAAGTCATCAAATCCAGTGTGAAAAATCCATTCATCACCATGGCAACTGTTTAACTAGTGACCTTGCATGTGTTATTGATATTTCACACACTATTCATTATGTGAATACTCTGTTCAGATTGGCTGGAATCGGACACACCTTGCCTAGCTATGTGTGAATGTCCTTAATAGCTTATGTTAAATGGAGCGAGCTGATTTGTAAAGTGGCTCCAACTTGGAGCCAGTGAGCTAATTTGTAAAATGAGCGGTGTTTTTATTAAACAGATACATTATAATCTATTCTAAATTGATGAACTTGGTTTTATTCATTAATATTTATGCTTAGAATGTAATTTACCTGTATAGTTTTGGTCCAAAAAACTAGAATTGTGTAAAGATTTTATGTATTTTTCAGTTTTTTCTCATTTTCATAAGAATTTTATGAGAATAAGATGCATTAAACACATCGAATTGATTGTAAGGCAGTATCCTATGATTTCCACTCGCTAGATTGTCACTATATTATAGCTTGTGTGAAATGCACAGAGCCGATTTGTAAACTGGCAATGTAAATATCTGTTAATACAAACGCAACGCTCATTTTTCAAAACTGGCTCCAAGTTGGAGCTAGTTTTGAAAAATGAGCGTTGAGTTTGTATTAACAGAGACATATAATAACACTTCATGTCTCTGGTAATTATTAAACAGAGATACGATGCATACTCTATTCTAAATTAATCCGTGATCCAATTCATCAATGTTTATGCTTAGAATGCAATTTACACTCATACTTATGGCATAAAATAAAAAAAGAGCGCAGCGTTTTTCGTAAACAGAAACTATGTTCTCGAAAATAACAGCATGTTTGGTTTTCAGGGACCCTAATCCCCAATTCTCTGAACAATGCTTTTATTTTTATGTTTCAGGCCTCCTAGACTTCCAACAACGCGAACATCAGTTCTGATACCGCGAACTACGTTCCTTGCACTCGAACCACGAATCCCATATCGCGAACGTGAAATCTTATGTCGCGCACCACCATTTCCTTGTTTCCGAACATATTTCTTGTACCGCGCACAGAGATCCGTTACCGCGAACCACGCAACTGATCGAAAAAAAGTCCGTAATTTTGTTCGTATTATTACGCATAAGTAAAATTCCAACGAGGTGTTTTCTTATGGAATTCGGAAGAAATATTTTCCCAGTTTTTCATGCATGTGAATGAATATCCACTCATTGACGATAACAGAATTTTAAGCTCTAGGAAACACAAAATATTGGGACTTACTTGCAATCACGCGCATTGACATTTTCGGTGAAAGGGCTGGGTAATAACAACAAAAACAAAAACCTGACTTTTGAGTAACCACGTATGGCCAAATTAGTGACAGCTTATTCCAATTTTGTCCATTTGAGCCGATGATTTCATCATAATAAAGAAATGATGTTACCCTATGTACAATATTCCTGATTTTATAGAATACTTGATGTGCTATATCTGTAGCTCCAGCTACTGATAATTTGAAGATGGTTCCCTTTGCCTGTAAAACGTTTTAGATGAAAACTGAACTTAAATGTTGCCCCCCCCCCCCATTACGGCTTGTGGGATTAGCTGTTTACATACAGGAAAATAACAATCTATCATCCTGATAAAGATTTCAACATTTGGTGTTTCAAATCATATCAAATGACTACTAAATCGTAATTTTAGGGAAATGGCTAAGACTACTTTATCTGTCTAATCTTTGACTGTCTGAGATAAATGTGTTGACGAGTCCTGTAGTTAATCAATCTTGGTTTTAAAACCAAAGCTCTCATCGTGGGCTGTTCTGCCCCACCCATGTGCCATTTTGCCCTGCTCCCAACATCATTTTCGAACACTCTGAAAAATCACAGAAAAGTGAAATATAATCCCTTCATAAGATGGAACATCAAAGTTCGCGATGATTGACAGATTAGAAAAACCTCTGCACGGATCAAATTATTATGAGTTCCGTTTTGCCCCATGTTCCCTAAAAATTCCTGACTTCAGCAACCAGGACGATATCTGACCCAAGACGTGTGGAGCGCTAAAAT